AAGCTAGGAAAGTTGTCAAATCCGCATGAATCTCCAACACCACTAAAGAACCACTTAAAGCAGCTCCAAATTAAACTTATACTTAAATACTTTCCTAGAGCACGAACTTGCTTCCTGCAAAAATAAAACTATGAAGATCATTAGTTGGAAATGATGCATCCATTTTAGTAAAAATGGCTACAAAGGGCTTAAGTAATTATTAAATATACTTTTTTAAGGGGAAAATTAAGGCCAATTCCAGTGGTGGCAAAGTGGACTACTGTTGAACATATCATAAAGTTGAGACATAGACTTTACCCAGCAAGCTCTACACCAGTGTTAGTGTGAAAACTATTTATCAACATTGCTGTGGCTGTCCCACTGGGATACGTGAGTCCGTAGTCCAAGACCATAACCTGATATCACATGAATAAAGATGTGATAGGATACATACGAACACTAATATGAAACAAAAAAGAAACATGGTTTCCAACAGGCATATTAAACATGTATCATTAAAAAGGCCTAGCCAACGAATACACATTAAGAGACAAATGTTTCTGTCAAAGGGTATAAAAATTACAACATTATATACATTGAATCAGGCATGCCAATAGCAAATTAAAAAGACAATTCCATAGATGTAAGGGCAAAACACCCGGAGCCAACTTAAGTCACAAGCAACACAGTCACCATTAGCTCAAAACCAAACCCATATGTATGTAGCACCGAAAAATTATCCATATCCATGAAGTAAGTAGTTACCTTGCGAAGGGGAACAAGACTAAAAAGGCCAAGGAAGCTGACAACAAATATGAAACCAGTCATCCACCACAAGCTTGGATTTTTAACATCTTCTGCCCGATTACCAGGGTAATCAGCACCAATAAGATTATATGTTCGCTCATCCATTGCAATCAGATAGGAACCGAATCCCCCTGCCAATTCATTTCACATTTATATGATTACACACCAGAAAGAAGAAAAACATTTTCATCATAATGTCCATATACAAACAGGAAATGGAGAGTAAGAGCTATATATAATAGGAAAAAAAAACCATTCACACTGATTAATAGCTATTTAGTGACAAACAGAACACAAAGCAATTATCCAAACAAGAGAAAGAGAGTTACCGCTAAAAGCGAGGCCGTAACAAGCAACAACGCAGGTCTGGATGACGGTGTTTTCTTGCCTGGTAAAGGGAGCTACAGAAAACCCTAATTTGGACAAGAGGCCAGTCCAGGACTTGACGAAGAAGAAGCCTAGAAGCCCAGCGCCGACATTCATGGACGGAATAATCCCGACCGTAAGATTGAGCTTGTGGGTGATGATGCAGAAGAGGGTCCCCAACAGCGCGCTCACCACCAGCCCTCTGAGCGTGATCTGGTCCTTCCATTCGGGGACTTGGTCATCATCATCGACGGACTGAAGGGGGCTGATCTTGTCCGAATCGTGAAGCAACGGCTCTGATATCCCCACGGACGCTGTCTCGGTCCCCATGACTGTGATGAGCTTTCGGATATTCTGGTGTATATTGTTGGAAAATGAATAGGGATTTCAATTTCAATTTCAATGAAGGTCAAGATTTAAATTGTTGACATTTTTGGGATGAGTTGTGTTATGTTGTGGGCAGAGCAGAAGGATGGGCCGGCGTGGAGCAGACGTGCAGACAGATAGGTAGTTGGAGTCTTCCGGAGAAGGAAAGGTAGCGTAGCCTTTTGAAAGTTTGTTCAAGTCAATTTATGCCACGTGTCTCGGCGTTTTATTGACTGTATTTTGTTCTAAATTCTGAGTAGGTTCACGAATGATGCAGACTAAAGAAATGGGGAAAAAGGAAAGAGTTATTTGCACTAAATATCCTTGAGGTTTTTGGTATTTTCACAACACCCTTTAAGGTTTAGAAAATTATAAAAAACGCCTTTGAGATTTCAAATTGTTTTTATAAAACCCATTTTCGTTGATTGTTCATCCAGAAAATTTCATTATAAAAAAACACTTATGCAAATGAAAAAATTAACATCAATAAATGTATGTGCAATCTAATCTCGAAAGCTAACTTTGTCATTTAGTGAAATTTAATATATAAAATCATCAATCTTTGAACAAAAAATCAACAAAAATGAATTTTGAGAAAATAATTTTAAAACCTCAAAGAGTGTTTATGTAATTTCTAAAACCTCAAAGGTTCTAGTAATTTTGTGAAAAACTCAAAAACCTCAATGAATGATAGTGTAAATAACTCAAAAAGAAAATTAAAGAAACTGTATTATAAAAGAAAAAAAAAGAGGGCACAGTGCGTGAGGTAAGTGTAAATTGACTAAATGACTGACTGCCAAGGAAAAGATTATTATTATTTTGGTCAGAACTGTCAAGGAAAGATGGGATCATGGGATGTAGCGTTGGCCCATTGGGATATTATTACTTTGCTCCATAACAACAAAACGTCACCCTCTTCACCTTGGAGATCCAAATGCAAGCTTCGTCAATCCCCTTATCTCTTAACTAGTCCAAAAGATGAGTCAATCCAATACACCCTCATTTTTTTAAAAAAAACCACACACAATAAAACATTTGTTATTAGCACTTGTTTGTGGTTGGAAGAGAAGCTTTATTAAAAAATAATAAAGACTATAAGAGCGTACAAAGATAGCATTAAAATAGCCAATACCATCCAAAACCTAAACATGAGAGACAAGAACAAATGCGTGATCTTAAAAAAGACTCGCGCATGAACAACTTAGTGGGAAAACAAATGTGTCATCTCTTTTTTATCTTTGTTTTTTCATTAGAGAGTAGTGTTTGATGATTATTTTACATTGCCAATAACAGGAAAAAAAAACCCAACTTATCTAAGAGATATATTGCCAAGCATTTAAGAAATGCAACAAGCATGAACTATTTATCCATAATGATAATGCATCTATAAACCAAATTGGTTATCTACTAATAAAGTATGTATGATGGATGGCTCAACTGCTAAAGGAGAAACAGAGGAAATTAGACCCATACACTTTACACTTGCAAGATGGGGGTCTTATCATTTTGAAATAGCTCCATACAAATAAGAACCAACAATAATTAGGGTGATCATGTAATAACTCCGTACTATACAAAAACGATAATGAAGATGAACACGTACACCAACTGCCCAATGAGAATCAGACCCAAAAGAAAAAAGAAAACAAAATGCCGGATACGAAATCTAACTCACATGGTCATGGATGCTTGTGGTGGATCCTCCTGCCGAGAATTTTGCTGAGTTTGCGTTTGTTGTGGTGGTATATGGAAGGTGTCATGGGTGGTGAGTGATTCTCTTCTCTTTTTCTTTAGTCTTCCACGACCAAAAGTGGCAACTCTTTCATATTCTAGCTCTTCGTTGGTTAGCAAAGAATTAGGATACCCCCAATCCAAGCACCCGATATGAGGAGAGAGCGCTCCCTATTGGTTGGAATTTTGATAGATCTTGTCTCAATTAATTAATTAATTCATCATGATCGCAATTATAGAGTAGAGTGGTGAAGATCATTTCATGCAAAAAGGAAAGCAAAACCAAATAAAAAACAAACAGAAACAAACAAAGATGCTATACCAGTTCCACTTGTTGTCAAATTCCGCATTTGCTTGCACCTTCGTAATTTTTTACTTGCCCTATTCTGCCTTTGGAATTCTGCCCAACAAGTCCTTTGCATGCATAAATTCTGCAATAGTAATAATTCAAGCGACGCAACAAAGTCTAATTGTATGTATTCAAAATTCAGGCAACTGCATTTAGCTCACAGAAAATGAACAAGCATTATTTGCCAGTAGCACCAGTAACCATACTCGAGAGACAAGCATGCCCTGGAAACGAAATTTCTGTAAGATTCCAAACTAAGTATGCTTTGTATGTACTTACCTACATGCACCATTAAGTACAGTCGCAGTCGAATATCGATTCCCGTCATTAATAATAATAAAAACAATTATTCAATAGCAGTTCTTCAATGCTTTGAAGCGAAATCACAAAATCAGTTTACATGTATAAACTATGAATATACTTTCTGCCCAGGATCTCTTTAGTACTTCATTTGTCTTGCGTAATTATCAAGCCCACTTGTAAAAGGAATCAAAGATGGAGGCATGCATGCATGGCTTTGTCTCTAAGCCTACGGCAGCATTATCCTTCCCAAATTACTCAACTTCGAGAGATGAGTAAACTTGTGGGGTATGCTAATATTTCTGGGCCAGCAACCTTGTCCTGGTGCCTCCTCTATCTGGAAGATACTTAGACATGATAAGTACGACAGTTGGTCAAATCTAAACCCCTCTATAGCTATTAACTGTCCAAATTATACCTGCATGAAAGGTTTGGGCTAATATAAATAAAAGAGAGAGAAATTAAGCATAAAGCAGAGCTGCATCAATGTGTTGTTTAAGCAAAATGAGTTTACCCTTGTACTGTTCATAAATCACAAGTCCATTTATAACTCATGGATCCTACATGAGATTGTAACGAGTAAACTCTAATTCAACTTCTAGAACCTACAGCAGGCATTTAACTTTTCAGTTTTCAATGCAATATTGAGCAGCTTTCATCCTATATGAAAATTTAGTACAAAGCTTATCTAAAGCTTTCACAATTTAAGCAGTAATCATATTTGCAGTGGCATATATAAAACATCAATGCTCACTTGTGCAACCCACTTCAACGAAGCACAAATACACATTATACGCATAAGAACAATCTCATAGGTATCCAAATCACCCTTCAATTTGTCTACATGATTTGGTCTTGATAAGAACAGCCAACCACAATCTTGTATCTATCTAAATGTCTCTCTACTCAACCACCTTAGACCCTTCTAGCAATGAGTGACTTCCACCTCGTTTAGAAGTCATAATGAAAAGATCTTATTCTGCCACTCTTCCTATCATCTCTTTTTAAAGCCCATCTTCCTTGCAAACTAAACCTACATCTATTTTCTATCTTCAATGTTTACTAGAAAAATACAACATCAAGCCCTTCGACACGAATGAAAATGAAGGTAAGTGTAAACTCTTACCAAATTCAGAATAAGAGCTATGTTCATTCCTTTAAACTTTATTTTTGCATTCCATTCATGCAGTTCTTACAATGGGTGCACCACAAATTTCGGCACGGTAGCATTGAGCCTCTCAAGGATCTCAGTATTGGTATTCCTACTACTTTTTCCGTAATTTTCTTCTTTTGCCCCACATCTTAAATAATGCCGCAGCCAGACATCAGTCAAAACTTTTAATTCAAATAAATCAGGTTACAAATATTAGCATAATAAATCCTTGATCATATAATATACAACGCTGCAGTCAAGGCTAAGCATTCAGTTCATATTCCTTGATCTTCATATGACACTGCAGAACCCCAAATTGTCTGAGGCAACCAATCTCTTGTGGACAGTGTCCACCTGATATCTCTCATTGGCGAATTATGTTGGGACCACCAACCACGTTGTACTAACTAATGAAATTACTTAATCATCAGAGAGACCAGTTTATTACAGCAACAATGCAGCCACTGAGATGACTTGATTATATACACAGATCAAGCCATTCTTCATTTGTTATTTTCACACATGTCCTAATTCCTTTTGTAACTAATTTCAGGGGATCCTGGTATTTTCCTTTCAGCTCAGCCATCAGTTGATGATCAACATTCCTATATGAAGTCAAGCTTTGGCTCCAGCTATGGATCTACATCCTTGGAGCCACCTAAAAGGGACCAAGAAAAATCTTTTTCTGAATCTGAAGCCAATAGAGAAGAAGAAACATCTGCTATTATCTCAGAGCTATTTCATGGCTTTCTCACCATTGGAACACTTGGCTCTGAACCAAGTATCAATGAGCCGGAAACACCAACTTTTGCAACAACTTTAGAGAACTTAAGTGAGCAAAAAACAGAAGTGACACAGAATGACTTGAAGCTCATCAGCTATGAGCTAGAAAAGTTCCTTGAGGTGGAGACAAAGGAAGAAGGGGTTCTTGCATCATCAGCAAGGAACAGTCATGCTAGCACCATTACACTCAATGGCAAGCAAATGGAGGAATCTGAAGATGAAGAGTACTGGACGACAACTGTGGTATGTCCGCTCAAAGAATATCTCTTTGGGTCCTCAATTGAACTAACAGACACAAGAATAGAAGCAAAGAAAGAAAAGACATCACTGCAAGAGCTGTTTGATAGGACAAAGATGACAACTGAAAATTGTAAGCAGACAAGTGAGAGTGTGGATATAAAATCCGAGCATAAGCATACATCTGCCATGCAGTTCATGAAGAAGATCATAAAAAAACTCCACGCTTCTTCGAAAAGCTCGGCCCCTTGTACTGGTGGTGATGTAACTGATCCTGTTTCCACCAGGAAGAAATTTGGTGAGGCATCTGATTCTGTTTCAACCAAGAAGAAACCCCATAAGGTTGGGTTCCTACAACTAGATATTCCCAGACCCACAGCTAAACAGCACGTCTGATGTCTCTGCATCATACACACACACACATGTACGTAGATGTGTACATACATACATAAATACATCATTGCATTGCAATGATTGTATCAGTGCTATCCTAGACACAGCTAAGTCAAAAACAAGAATTTGATGCTATCAAAGATCTGATTTTCAGCATCTAGACCAAAGAACATTAATGGTGAGAGATCCAATGGTTGTTTATGGTTTTTTGCACACACAAAGGATGTGACCCTGACACCAGAGATAAATTAATTGTGTGAACCAAAATGTAGCATGAAAATCGTCCCTGCTAGCATGCTTAGGTCTTCGGATGTGATTTATACACTCAAAAGGTGTTGTTTCCAAGTTACTGATCTCTGTAAAACCTAGCATCCAGCCAGAAACCTTATTTATCCAAACTAATCGGTAGAGTTTCCATGAGATGTCTTCATCAGACAACAATCTCTCTTTTAATAATTTGATGAAAACCACCAGGTGTTGCCTTCACTTAGATTTGGGAAAAGAAAAAAGTGGATAACACTTCACATTCAACTTTTTCGTTTCTTTTTGTGTGGCATGCAGATCTTACGTATGTTCCACAGAAGGATCCATCCTGAAAGCTCTACAGCTGCAAGAGAATTTGTTGACGCCGAGAAATACAAGGACAAGAACAATTCCAGTGCCCATGGTGATTGTCGTGAAAATATGATGCTCATGGGCAGAGACAACAGAAGGTTCCCTCAAGGGGCAATGATAAAGGAGGGGACTGAACATTGTAAGAAATACATGAACTTGCCCCAATACAGGCTGAGTGGCAGCAATTTTAGAAGAAAGGGAGAGCACTGGATTAAAACAGATGCAGACTGTAAGTATGACTTTATATCCTATACCATGGAATACTTTGATTAGTTCCCACTGGGTCTGAGAAATCAGATACAGAAAACCTAAAATCCAGGAGAACAAAAAGTACAAAACACCCAACAGAAATTTCATACTCTACCATCAGTCTTCTATGAAAAATTGAGTCTATTATGAAGTATAGTCAAGATCTGCAAAATTGAGTCTATTATGAATATATTTAACCACTTTGTGCTATTTGCATTGCAGACTTGGTGTTGGAGCTGTAGCAATAGAAGTTGCAAGAAAAGTCAGTGGTCTTGATCCTTTCTGAGACAGAATGCCAATGTTGTGTTCGATAATATTATCTTTTCATGTACTTATTTATGAGTGATTGAGTGTTGATGAACTCAAGAAAAAATGAAAAAAGACTAGAAGGTATTCATCTCTCCTCAGTGTGTTGAAGTTGTGACTCAGTTTTATCTAAATTTCTTTCCCAATCAATAAAGATTTCAATTATCTACAAGTCTTATTTGAATGGTCGAGACTTGAGAGCCAATCTCAAATTTCTTGAATAAGTATTCCAGTTACTAGCATGTTATATGGTGCATCCCATATTTTATGTAACCAGACCCTTTTTTTTCATTGCCTATTGTGTTGTTTGAACATCATATATTCTTATCAGACATTGAGGAAACTTGATCTTAGCCAAAGAGGCGGATATCAACAAATATTCTCAAACATCACACCATGGTTTCACAATTGGTTATCCAAATTTGATGCATCAATTCTTAGGAACCCACTATCCAAGCAAAGCACTACTGTTCATGTGCTACATGGTTCAAAGTCCAATTCAAATAGGTAGCACCATAAATTCGTGGACACGAGTGTCAGAAGTAAATATAAGTAAAGAGTCAAACCTCACAGCATGCCATGTTGAGGCAGCACCATCTTGCTTAAATCAAATCGGTAGAGGCTCTTCCCTAAGAATCCCACCCATCTCCATCCTCCAAGATCGATCAACTATAGCTGCTAACTCTCTGAAAGGCCATTATAAGTTCCCATAAGCAGAACACAAAATGTATAGAACAAGAGGAAAACAAGAGACCAGGTAATACAGTTCGTTTATAATTCCAAATGGGTGAAGGCCCTAGGTGCTAGATTTTGAAACTTGCTAATGCTATAGTTTTAGGAAAATAAGATCACCTTAATCTAAATACAGTGCATTTTAAGCTAGCTTGGTATGCCCTTTAAACCATTGCAACAATAATCATTAATGCTTTATACCACTTGGATACTGAAAAAACATTCGGTAATGTAAATGTAATTCTAAATTAGTCCATTGGCTTTCAATTACAATTATATGCACATTGCTCAACAAAATACTAATAGGACACATTGCAACCTTGACACCAGGCTCGCACTCTATTTTGCACAGGTTTTATGACTTTGATACCAGGCTCACACTTTTTCTTCTAGTTATGCACAAAAATTTCTTTGCAAAGTTAAAAAAGTTGCTACATCTGGCACCTCCTCTTATGACAAGAAATAAATGTAGAAGCTTTCCCAACTTCATAGAGCCACATTCATGTCCTTGTTGAAATGAAAACATTTGGGTCCATATATGATAGCTTGCAATACTAAAACTTTGAATTTATCAATTTCATAGAAAGTTGAAATTAATCTCTCACTACCTAGGTCGCCAAGGCAATGTACCAAGTGAAATAATGAACATATAACAAGTGAACAACAACAAAGAATCAGAAGCAAGAACCAGGAAACAAAAAAACAGACTTGAGATCATGGCTGACAACAAGTATAGTCAATTCTTTCTTTAGATGCTTTAGAAGCTTCACAACATCAGCACGTGCCTTCCAATCTGATCAAAACAAAAGTTTATATAAATATCAAATAAAGGATCAGAGATATAACCCTCCTCCCCAGCAGGAAAAAAAGAAGAAAATGAAACATGAAAAATAAAGAAGCATGAGCATCAATGAAACAATTTGGAGAATAGGAATTCTCAGTAAAAACAAACAAACTTATGACAACATTTTCCAGAGAAAAACTAGAATACAAAATTTTGAAGCCAGCAGCCAAGCACAACTGGTTAGGTCAATTTGGTTCGGTCACTAAGTCCACTGGAAGTTGGTTTGTATATAGTGAATGAGAGATCAGTTTGAAAGTGAGTGAAAGAGAGAATGCCTCTATTGGTTGCCAGTGAAAAATGTTTCCCGGGTAAAGCATAATGGCATTCTCAATGCCTGATTGTTGAAAATAGTTTTCCATTAGTCCAACTTGCATGGAAGGAGCAAATGAAACCAGTAATGAAGTAGAACCAAAGGCACTAAATTCATCTTCTTACCAAGACCAGCAAGAGGTTCATCCAATATCAATAAATCAGGGACTTGCACCTGAAGATTAAGGTCAATTGACAAGTATGAGTGACTTCATGCCAAAGTGATAACTAGCTATAGAAGACTGAACTTTATGAAACCAAAAGTTAAGGTGTCATCTAATATGTATTACACTGTCAATTTTGTGTTTGTGATTGTGTTTAAATTGAAGTTCTTACTAATTGAATTGCCAAGGCAAGCCGACGTTTGTAGCCACCACTAAGGGAGTGGGGATCTCTATCCAATGAGATCCCACTTAAACCAACCTACAGTCATCAGTTGAATTAATCATTTTTTTAAAATAACCAAACCCTATAAATAGTGAGCATCAACGAAAAAAAAATGCCAGAATAACTAGAAGAAAATGTTCGTGTTGGGAAGGGGCACAAGTACCCAATTGATTGCTCGTTGGAGTCTTAGAGCAAGATGCTCCTTCATTTGAAGATCACCCTTTTGTCTTGGCCACCCAAATGTAACTTCGTCAAGAACATTATCTGCGACAAAATACCTAGCTTGAAAGGGGACATATTATCAAAAACTTGGAAATGGGAACCCAAACAGACATGACAAAGACTTTGAAGGATACGGGAGCACATTACTGTAATTTAAGAACATAAGAAGGTAATACACTACGATCAAAGGCTGCAAATTAAAAACCTTTTGACACAGTGGTGATTAAGTTCCAGAAACGTAATTCATACAGAAGATGTTGGATACACAAACTTGGTCAAGTACTTGAAAAAAAGGTATATTTCCAGTAGAGCAATGAACATACATTTTTAATCTCACTGTAAGAATACAACTTTCATTTAACACATAAGTGTAAAGACAAAAATGGGAAACTCCGAACACTTTACTTTTGTACAAATTCCAATGACTACATGCTGATGTAACTCTCAATATACGCAAGAGAGAACCCCAAACCCTTATCATGATTTATAGAGACTGCAAACAAATTTTAGTTTCTTAACTAATATTCAGTACCTCTCTGGAAACTGAAATACAATGCCAACTCTTCCTGAGGATAAGGGTTCAGGAGACTGAACTGGATTGCCGTCATTTCCATATTTTTGAATGTAAATTGAACCTGAAGTTGGTTTGCTTATCCCTGCAAGAAGCTGGAAGAGGGAGAGGAAATCATATACAAGATACTGCTTAAAAAGAAGATGGATAACATAATGAGTAAGAGTTCCTTCAATAGCATTAACACACAACCTGCACAAGAGTAGTCTTTCCACTACCACTCCGTCCAAAAATTAAGCCAAAGCTGCCAGATCAAAGTGAACAAGTTATCCTAAGAATGCAAAATCTGCTCCACCCATCACAGAATATGTGTGGTCCAACCCAAATAAATATCTGACAATATGTGAACCAGTTCATTGCATCTAACACATCCTTTGTACGGTCTGGTATAAAACAATCTGTTAATATATCTGAGGCAGAGGATGATCCATGACAATATTACCTCACAGAGGCATTCCTACTCGGGATCAACTAAACCAAATTTCACAAGCTTGCCAGAATGAATGTGGTTTGCATGCAACTAAAGATTGACTACCGGACCACAAATATGTACCTTTTCTCCGGAAGTGAAAAACTAACAGAATTTAAAAGGCTAAGCTCGGTCCCTGGCGGTTGGTAGCTAACATTGCTAACCTGGAAAAGTGACAGATTGAATACTTCAGCTGTTAAAACTAATAGACTGTGTTTTACTTTCACAAAACTTAAGTAAGACAAAGATTCACAAGCTTATGAGCCAATGATCAAATCTAAAGGAAATGAAGCCATTACTTAGAAATTTAACCAAATTCTATGGACAAGCCACAATTATACACATTGCCTACCTCACTGTGAATGCTTTCAAAATACTGATCAAGAACTTAGCAAAAGGAAAATTATAATAAAATTAAAGAAAATCGAAGTTGGAAAAGGAAACTTACTTCAAAGCACGAGTGCTCGCATTTGAACTTCACAGAGTGTGAGTTTCGGAAATTCAAACTGTGAAAACGAGAAAATCCAATATAATCATAGAATTGTGAACACTAAACGTCAATAACGCATTGGATAAAATGTGATATGAGAAGGTCAGACAGACTAGACACTTGCCTTGAGCGTGATTTGGGTGCGATTGGGGTTACTGGTTCGCGCGCTCTCCGCCCTGTTAAGGGGTTGAAGGCGAAAACAGAGCTCGCCATGTTTCGCGGTCTGCGGACTGAGCACGGTGAGCTTTGTCAAACAATACAAGAAAGACACAGCACTCACGGATTTGGGCTCTGAAGGGCTTGTGGCGGGTTTGGGCCTTTTTTTTGGGAGGGTGGCCTGGAAATCCAAGATTTGTTTTTTTCAATCAGTTGAAAAATCGAAATATATACCTAAGTTAGGTTAATTGATCAAGACAAAAATGTGCGGTGAGATTAAAATAACAATTTATGAATATCAAAACTTCGTGAAAAGCAACGTACTCTGGAAACCCATCATTAAAACGTTTGAGAGTTGTACATATATTTAACTTGTATTTCTTTTCTTTTTTCACCCTTATTTCACATGTTTCTCACGAAATTTAACAAGTATTTTCCTTAATAATTATTTTAATTGATTATTAATATTATCCCAGTATTTAAATTGGATATCAACCGTCTGATAGCGCGCAGTAGTTGATCATAAATTAATAATATTCATATTGACGAAGTAAACAAAGAAAAGGGCTGACATGAGTATTTTACGAAACTGGCATCCAAGATGTGCAAATGATAACATACAGAGGGCAACATGTGCAGCTGTATGAACTAAGTAATATATGTGTGTGATAAAGAACAAGAAATGGATTGGTGCCCCATCTTTTCACGTTTTCACAAAACGGACGCTGACATTGTAGTAGCACACCTCCCCATGGCAAAGGGCAGACAGAACGTGTTTTTTAGCCCCAACCAAATAAAAAGGATAAAAAGGAACATCAATGTGAACAATCCGTCCCCAACAAGAAAGCATCAATGTCAACAAACATTACCCTAAGAAATGAAATATCAATTGAAGTCAAGTCAAATCAAAGCTAAGGACTCGAGTTTGATTTTAAGTTTAGGATAAGAACTTTCATGCAAAGAGGATACTTGTTGTAATATCTTAAGACAATTACATAATGTTATGTGAGAAAGTTATATGTATGACATTGTATAATTGGTTTAAGACATTACCACAGTAACATATTCCTGTTATAAGAAAATTTCAGATGTCAATTGTATTTTTTTATTTTCATTAGTAGAATCATGAATTTGAACGTGTCATAATTCTAATTCAACGACTTAGGTGTGGATACTTTTTGCTTCAAGAATGGGTTTGAAATTTCCCAAATTCAAAAATCTTCGCAAGAAAACTAAGAATTATAAATAAACTAATCAATGTAATCTTTTTGGGAAGAACAATCAATGTACTTAGTTGTGAGCTTTTTATTTTTTAAATTATTTTTTTGGTCAAAATAATTGTGAGCTTTTTCTTGTTGGGGCCTTTGTCCCCCATTGTCACCATTAAACAACAAGTAATTGACCCCTTAATAGATTGATTATAGAATCAGAAACTACGTCAACTCGTGGGAAGCCCCCTTGTCCTTGGCAATAACTTACCTAGCAATTTGTAGTTTGACTGAATCCCCTGGTGATCCTTCCTTCCTTTGGGTCAATAGTCAAAAGCCCACACAGCCATCCATCTTCAACAGCCTTCAGGAAAAGTTTCTGTGCAACTTCCATCACAACCACCACCACCTCCACCACCACCACAATCACCAAACACTGCGAACTTACCACTAGACAGAATCCCACATTTACATAAAATTATTAGAATTGATTGTCACTTTTCCACGTGGAATATACCACTTGTCACAAGGGAATAAAAATCTCATTAATAGATTATTGGTTGCTTGGGAAGAAGTTACTTAGGACAAGCTGTTATATTTTGGCTCGACAGCTCATGTGATCTCCACGTGTTTCTTTATTTTTAGCGGCGTGAAACCATGAAATGTGTGCAGACGCGCGCAGAAGCCTAATGAGTCATGAATGAATCAGAATTACGTTTTCAAATTGATATTTGGCAAGCTCTGCGTGTGTAATCTCTATCTCTGCATCTCAATTCCCAAACGAAAGAAAGCTATATTTAATCTTTAGTCAGCGAGAAGAGACTGACTCGTTCACTCTTTTCTTTTCACGAACAAGACGCAGAGCAGACTTCCCCTTTTCTTATTTATTACACACCACCCACCTTTTTTAATTCATTTCTTGATTTAGTTTTTACACTATATAAGTGTATCAGTCAAGTCCTTGTTCAATTAGAAAATGGGGACTTCTCCTGGGAAGAAAGTTTTGCTCACCTCCAACGGGGATGCCATTTCACACAATATTGCCTTCTCTTTGGCCCAGCGGGGATGCAGGTGAACTGATTTCCCAACCCTTTACTTTTTCCCCCATATAAATTCCAATCTTTTCATCTTCCTTTTTTTCTTTTCAATTTCTTCAATTAAAATTGTCAATTTCTGAATCTGCTCGTTTCTGGGTCTCAATTCATTTGGGTGCATTTTGTGATTGAACGGACAAATGGGTGGTTCAAGATTTCTTCTATGTATTATTAAATGGTTCCTTTTTGTTTTTGTCCTTGGTGCTTTGCGTAATCAGTCTGGTCTTGATGGGAAAGGAGAGCTGTCTGCGGAGCATTCAACAGAAAATAAAGGGCTCATTGGAGGGTGTCGTGCCAGTTGAGGTGGTTGATGTAGACATGGAGGACGAGAGAGAAGGAGCTTTTGATGAGGCAGTGGATAAGGCATGCCACATTTTGGGCAATCTGGATGCCTTTGTGCATTGCTATACTTATGAAGGTACGCAATCTCTATCATATATATACTTGGAGAACTCAATTGCTGTGTACAATTTGGAATGAACAAGTTGTTGGCATATATCTTTGTTGGGTTCTGGGTTCCTCCTCCCTTGCTTTTGGCAATAATATTATAAATTCAAGCCACATATATAAAATGGATAAGAGAAAACTGGGGAAAATACTTGGTATTTGAAAATTGTATTAAGTCTCCAAAACACTGTTTGCCATGCGTGACTGGGTTATGGTCAGCAATAGCACAATACCTATGTGGAATTGACTTTATGCTAATTGACAAAAAACGGCAACAGCTTTTTTTCTGGAAGATATTCACTTTTATTTTCAAAGGCTGATGAACTGATCTGATTCCCCTTTCTTGGGAGTATGTTGATCCTGTGTCAAAAACATGTTAACAACTTCTTTTATGGACATTCTTCGTTGATTTTACTTTCCAATTTAGTTTCTAGAACCTATGTAAAGGTTGTCGCAATTTAGTTGGACATAAGCATTTCTGATGTTTGGAACAGGGAAAATGCAGGAGCATCTAGAATTAGCTGAAGATGAGTTTAAAAAGATAATGAAGAGGAACTTTATGTCTGCATGGTTTCTGTTAAATGCTGTTGGCAGAAGACTGCGAGATTATAAGTCAGGAGGTTCCATCATATTTTTGACCTCGATAATTGGAGCTGAAAGAGGGATTTATCCAGGAGCTGCTGCCTACAGTGCATGCTCGGCAGCCGTGCAGCAGTTAGCTAGGGTATGTTATTTGGATTCATGCATGCATGCACATACAATCAACAAGTACACTGCGGCTGCATATGTGTTCTGAGTACCTTAATTCCACAAATGAACTTTTTTAATGTCAGGAATCAGTCTTTCAAGGAAAGCAACTATGTCAGCCACTCATGTTTGAGTACACAAATTTGAGTTTCTCTTGGTTTATTAGCAACCTTGAATTTACAGGGTTTTTTGTGAGTGATTTTGCATTAGGTAGTGTGGTAACTTGCAGAAGCAAAAGAAGAAATTCTGTTTTAGGAATTAGCATTCTACGGTGTTGGTTATCCAACACATCTCATAGATTTCTTGTGTCCACCCAGTTATAGTAAGCTAGCAGCATGTAGATCATACTACACCTGGATAAGAATTCCCCAGTTAATAGTTTGAAGTGATTTTATATACGCTTTGAGTCATGCGAGGTGAAACACTGAGATGAATCATGATTTTGCTTAATTTCCATCCTGTCCGCTAGTTTGCTAAGATGGTTAACAGATTTAGAGCGATTGTTTACCTGTTGGATGGTCATTGTGTCAATTTAAGAAATATAGTGCAGGGATAGAAGTAACAAAAAGTAAGTTACCACATTGATGAGGAGAAGTCTCATTGAGTTCAATGGCGTTGGTATATTGGAAATGTTTGAGCATAGAAGATGTAGTTCTATGAAAAAGCATGGGATGGTGTAGTTTGGTTTTCTATATAATACCTATCACTTCAACAGTGAATTCTGAGTCTTGTGACTACTTCGTTGGGTGGATTTGAAGTACCTTTGTTCCCCATATCGGTTGTACACTTTTAGGTGTAGCCTTGATGTAAGGGCCTTCTGAGGTCTTCCTCGTTGGTATTTCCTAAATTGACTTTAAGTTAGACACCTGAGGCATAAGCATTGCACATATCTCTGGTGTTGTGATTGTCTTTTAAGGTTACAAGTTCATTTTAGTGTGTGTCGTGTATTTCTAAAACTTAGTACATTTTGAGCTGCTTGTTCCATATGTCTACAACTTCTAGTATATTTTTCATTTATCTTGTATGTTTCATTTTCTTTTTTATCTGAAGTTGAATTTTGCATAAAACCTTTTGTTGCTGCTATTTCAGACATCGGCTTTGGAGATTGGTAGATACCAGATTCGGGTCAATGCAATTGCCCGTGGTTTGCACCTAGAAGATGAATATCCAATGTTTGTGGGTATGGAGAGAGCAAAGAAGTTGGTGAAGGAGGCAGCTCCATTGGAGAGATGGCTTGATGTTAAAAACGATCTGGCTTCAACTGTCATATATTTAATCAGTGATGGGTCAAAGTACATGACAGGCACAACCATATTTGTTGATGGGGCACAGTCTCTGACGAGACCTCGGATGCGCTCTTATATGTGATTCTTCTCGCTGTTATATTTTGACAGGCCATTAGTTGATTAGGTCTGCTCATAGGTCGATTAGCCAATTATGTTTCAGATCGAGTCCATTTTACTCGTATAACAGGGTCCACGGCAAAGGTGTTCATCCTGCATTCATTCAAGTGCAGGAATTGAATAAGCACCCTACACTCCACATCTCAGATAAACTTTCATTGTCAAATTCTCTTCCTTATGAATCACAAAAATTGAATCAGTTCCCTTACAAATAGATGGGCAAAACATAACTTCCTGCATGAAATGATATTTTCATGATCTGTGGTTTGATATAATATATGCGATGAGAATGTCTGAACAGCATTTATTTTGGGATGGAAATTCAAATGGGCTGGTCTTTTTCTCGCCATGCTCAAGGTGTGAGCAGAGGTTGATGCATCAAAAACTCTAGAATGAATGAATGAATATACTATTGCCTAAAAAAGTTGATGTTCAGGTAAAATTCAATCAGCAGAGCTGGTTTTCTTTGCTAAATGGGTAATGGGTATTGGACTTCCCATTATGAACGAGTCAATGAGGTCGTGATCAAATGATTGATAAAGTGACACATTTTCAAACTTGGATGGGATTTTGATTGATAGGTCTGGCATCTTTCTCTTTGTCTATGTCCTAAATGATTAGGTTGTATACGTTTGTGTTGTGTAGCTGATTGTCGAATGAGCAGCGCCCCCCCGCCGGCCCTCGTCAATCAATCCTAATGATAAACAGAGTACATACGAACTTGAATTTGTGTGACAATGGACAGATACCAAATCTCGTATTAGAGGGCAATTTTGTCCACAAGATTAAACCCTTCACACAAACATAACTCATGTCTCAAGTTTCACACTATATCTGTATCATCAAGCTTCGGCGAATTTCGTGGCAAGTCGTGGTTCAACAATGGCAACTAATATCCTTGGGTTGGGACATCCACACATTCACATCCCAAATTTAAAAAGGGGGGGAATGGAAATCAAGAACAAGGGTAGGGTGCATGTTTGTGTGAGAAATACAACAGTTGCTGAAACGGCTCTGGTTTAGTCTTGTAGGTGAGGAAGGAAGAGAATTTAGCCCAACAATTGGTGTCTTGCATATACAAATACTGTAACATATGTAATGTGGCGTGAGGCTATTTGAGGAGAAATCACCATCCATTTGTTTGAAAAATCGAACGAAAAAAGTATTGCTTTTCAAATTTATTAATTATTATAGAGGGCTGCGGGAAAGTCTTAATCCGTGAACTTCTTTTTCAAAAATTCAAATGCACATGTCTCTGTATTGTGACTTTGTCTTGGACCAAACTTAGCTAATATAACCAAATTTTGTGATAATCAAATTCTCTCTCCCAAGTCTCTTTAAACTCATCAAACTTTTTTTTAGCTTGTAAAAGTGCCGTAAATATATACACATTAATTTAGTAATCAAAATATTATTCTGAACGATCTTTAGGATGGCTACCATTAAATATAGTGTTTGCTTTTAACATGCATGTTGCATACAATAATAAATAAATACGACGCATGCTATGAAAGATTAATGTACTGCTCCAATTTGATCCATATATGTCTCACTAGTGTGATGCAAAATGAGGTTGTTTTATTTTAATATAAGCGATATTGAGAAAGAGGGAAATCGAACTTAGGACCTTGGATGAAGGGGTATATACTAGCTCTTTAACTACTTGAGCTACATGCCCTTTACTAAAATCAAGGTTAATAAAGCCAAATACGCACATGATTAATGAATGGTAGCTAGCAATTACATGGAAACCACGGGAAAGGTGGTTGCACACTTCGCAGACATGCACTACAAACCCAAATGCATGCATCAATTCAAACTCCAATATGAAATAAAGTCATGGTCAGACCAAAAATAAAAATAAAAATAAAAATAAAAGATATAGAGTGCATGTTGGACGCGCCACCACACATGTGCCAAGTCGACTATATGTATATATTTATCACCAGTCCAAAGGCGACTGCTCTTAGTCTACGCATAGCATGCATCAGTACCAACTTTACAATTAAACTCCCATTAATTTGTCATTTGTGTGTGTTTCTCGACCACAACCAAACCAAAGATATTGTTTCACTCCACCATTCAAGTATAATTTATCTTAATTAAGTAATGAATCGTAGATTAGCTAGTCATAGACTCATAGTGTGACTAATGATGAAGCCGCCTCCACTATTCCAATATATCTGCTGCCTCCCTCCTCCTCAGCACCTCACGCTATCACATATCCGCTAATGAAGCCTATAATTCCTTTGCCTTGGACCATTTTCGTCCCTCTTACGACACCACACCATGCTCTTTTTTTTGGGTGATCATATCTCTTTTGTATATATATATATATATATATAGAGAGAGAGAGAGAATAAAGTTGTGGTCATTTATCTCAGCCGCCTCTAGCTAGCTGGCTTAGTTTCTTTCTTCATATGGAGAAGTATCAAATGTTCTTCCCTTGCTCCTCTTCTACATCATCAGCAAACTATGATCCCATGATCCCTATCTCTGCAACAAATAATATTACTACAGATGATCATCATATGGGAATGGGAAGCTCTCAAGTTTACAACTACTTTGACGGCGGCGATCAAAATTCAAATGGACTTCTGGGGTTGAGATCATCAGCAGGAAACCACGTTGGGAGAGAAGTTTTGATAAACAAAGATCATCATCGGTACCTGCAGCAGCAATATTCTGATCTGACTACTACTGCAAGTGCAAACATTAATATTAATAATGTTGTTGTTGGAGCTGATCAAAATCCTCATGAGGCCACTAATTCAGGAAACAAGAACAAGGGGGAGAAGAAGACGAGGAAGCCCAAATATGCTTTTCAAACAAGAAGTCAGGTTGATATACTTGACGATGGCTACCGGTGGAGAAAATATGGTCAAAAGGCGGTCAAAAACAACAAATTTCCCAGGTATCTGTATACATATGCTTCGTTTTTCTTCATCTTTTCTTACTACATAATATATATGATGTGATCACTTGTTCGTTTTTCATCCTAAATCCTTCATTTTCTTTTGTGATTTCGATGACAACGAGTACCAGATTTGATATAAGTATAGTATTAGCCAGCAGATCCCACCATGGCCATCCATAAACACGTCTGGCTTTGCAGAAAAGCAAGATCCTAACTTGATTTTCCACTAGGAATTGAAAACAATATCTTTGTTTGATATTCGCTTCACAATTAATGTATGGCCGGGGGAGAAATTGGGGTTCTCTTCATACATTAATTGCATTTGCATGCACCAGGATTTTCATTATTATTTCTTTATTTTTCTTTAATTAATTTCTGGATACACTTCTAACGCTTTCGATTCTAGGTTTTTCTTTCTCACTTTGCGATCTAGTCTTAGGGTTTTCGGCTCACTCTCTCTCTCATGGCTTAATTGGTTATGAACATATTAATAAAAACTCTTGATCCATGCAAAGTTTTCCTAATTTGAAATATGCAATTTCATATTTACTGAACTTATGATGCAAAAAAATTTCCGCAAATCAAACGGGCCCTTGTGATACATAGGGAGACGACATCAAAATAGGACCTGATTTTTGAAAATCATACATAGAGAGACCACATCTATGTCAAAACTCCAAGATATAATTAAATCATATTTGCCCTAGACTGAGTGTTGGTTTAGTTTTCCATCTCCTCCCCTTTTGTTTTTTCAGTTGTAAGTTTCTTGTTCCTCTCTTTTTTGAGGTTGAATGATATCGATCGAAGTGCTTTGATAAAGAAAAAACACTCACGATCGATCCTCAGAAGGGTTCTATACATGGACAATTGAATCTATTAGAAAGGGTACCATAACACCTAATCAATGATTTCTGTGATCTAACACTCAGATAATCGTCATCCCTGAAGCCAATAATTAGAGTTTTGCTAATTTTAATTTGGTTCTAGGAAGAGCGTAAGACGGTAAGTTAATCGGTTGCACCAAATACTGCATGACCACTGCACTGCAAATTTCAATTCCTGAACAATATTGTTTGTAAATTAACACTTTTCTTTTTCTTAATATTATTCTACACTTAGCATTAATTCAAAATGATTACATATAATGCATGCATGCAGAAGTCATGAGTGAAAAACTGAAGCTCTCCCTTGTTAATTAATTTGGTGCAGAAGCTACTACCGATGTACGTTCCAAGGGTGCAATGTGAAAAAGCAAGTCCAACGCCTAACCAAGGATGAAGGCATTGTGGTGACCACTTACGAAGGGATGCACACCCATCCAATTGAGAAGCCTTCTGATAACTTTGAACATATCTTGAATCAGATGCAAATCTACACCCCCTTCTGATTCTGAAGCATCATCACATCATCATCAATGCAGATATAAATTAAGGAAATCATATGCATGCAGCATGCTTTTGTAAAAGAGAGCAACTCTTCTAAACATTACAGACGTTATTTCTCTACATATATGGAAATAAGTTTGTGATTCAAATTACTTTTATTAGTTAGAGCTGTACTGTAACTAGTTTGTTCTCATAGCATCAATTGATTTAAGTTATCTGGTTTTGTTCTTTTCCTTTCAATTAAGTCTTTATAGTTTTATTTAATGAGGTCTTTGCAGTTAGGTTTTATTTACAGATTACAGAGTAAAGACAAATTATAGAGTTTGTCAATTAGCACATATGATATGCGGGTTAAGTTAGTTGATTATGGTAGTGTGCCAACACCTATATTGCAACTTGGTTTGAATGCCTTTGATATCCCAGATAGAGGTGTCGTACTTGACATTTCTGCCTAACTATAGCAGATTGATACAGATTCTCTAATTTTATATTGATTGTGTTAAACCATAGGGATGAGGGAGAGAATGGAGGGGTTGGGGTTGATAGGGATGAAGGAGAATAAGTGTTTTTTTTAATCTAAGTCCTTAAAAGTCATTTTACAAATGGATAAATTTATTTTTAAATTTTAAAGATAAAGCTGAGTGGCAAAATAGGATATGTTGGTGAAAATAGTAGCACTCTTAATTTATTTAGTGATAGGATTAGGAAAGCAATCGACTATAGAAGAACATCCAAATGGACCGGCTGCTTGGACCTCATGCCTCTATGTGTGAGCCCTTATTAGTTTGTATGGGAAAAGTTTGTACTGGGCCTAATCGTAATACTACTATAAGTACCGACTTTGGAGACCCACTTCACTGATTAATTACGAAATAAATGATTATGGGTCAATCCTCAACACTTTCTCCCAAATCGGGAGACAATAAAAGCTTGATTAGGATTGAGGAATATAGCCCACATTAGGCTTTTTATGAATTTTTTGATGTTATAAATATTCTATGTCTTTTGAAAAAGAAAAAAACAAACCACAAGATGTGGTGTCGGCAAACTGTCATCTCGAGTTGGCAGACAACCTAGTGTCTCAATGACAGGAGCTCGAATCCAATTTGGAGCACTTTGTGATCAAGACAAGTCGAATCTTGAGCGGGGATTAATTCCACCCTTTAAGTGTGGGGACACCTCGTGATATTTACCAAAAAGAAAAAGAAAAAGGAAAGAAGTAGATAAGTATGACATGATTATGAGCAAATCCAATTCTTATAATCTTATGGTGCTAGTAGTAAGAACTTGAAAAGGATTATCCACCTGTTAATTTCCTTGATTATATAGTATGAGTAATTCCATCACTTTAATAATAATCTATCCAATATATTATATATATGATCAACTCACAACGAACGAGATTTTAAAAATTTTGACTCCTTCAAGGCATCAAATACACGGAAACTATATATATTTATCTGCTTAAATTATGGTTATTACACCACTTAAGCGTAAGGTGTCTACCGTCTAGAAAGACCAGCCCTAAACCAAAAGTCGTTCTTTTATGATTGTCGACAACTAGATATCCCTATGGACTAGTGGTCTTCGTTTAATTTCCCATTAAATATTTCACCCACCAAAAATTATATATATATATATATATATTTCCCTCACCCGCACGTATGTATATGAGAATTTCTGTAAATAGAAAGAAAATAAAGTCCTCACATACGTATGTATATATTGTTTATTAACGAAAAACAGGAGGTATTGAAACGCTAGAATTTTTCCAACATTAGAACGAAGAATCACTAAAATGAGCTAATTGATCAAATTACGAATTATATGACTTTTTAAATTTTGTTTCATACGATAAAAGGTGAGTGATTCACACACAAATGTTTTGTTTTTCAATATTAAAAACAAGTATAGCACTAAACTGAGTTGATTGATCCATATCATAAATAATATGAAGAGATTAGGAAAGAAGCAGTGGTAGTGGTGCGCCCAATTCCATTATTCAATTGTTCAAATATTCAATTATTCCATTAAATAATAAAAAAAGCAGTGGGGGGCAGCAGTGATATTAATTCAAGTGTTGAAAATAATGGTGCTTATCTTGGATTAAGATTTGTTATACCATATTTGGGATTCATAATGGATCATATATGGAAATCAAATGGATGGAGCCCTGCGATGACTCATGCTCGTGACATAGAAATTAGAATGCAGATGCTGAAAGATTTATATTTTATATTTTTATATGCAAGGATAGATGGAGGATGACGTGGCTGCCTTCTGGGTTCGCTTCTTTTGAGTACTTTCTTTTTCCTCCATGTTGATGATTATAAAATGCTGCAACTGTTTTGAAAAGTTGAAAGTAACAATACCTGTCTCTTTCTCTTTTATTATCTTCATTATTTCTTTTTATATACTTTTTTGTAATTTATTATATGTATTTGTTTTGCCCTCCTCCTAATGGTTTACCAAATTTTAAAAAAAACACAAGCAGAAAAGAAGAAGGAAAAACTAGACAAAACTCTCAGCCTCAGGTGGTCCTTGCTGGATTTATCTGCTCTGTTTCTTTCTGGTGTTGTTAACAATAACAAATTAGCAATATGGGCTAAGTAATTAATTTATATATATATTCCCTTTCCCTCTGAGAGAGTGTGTGAGTGGAGGGGTTGTGATTAAATTATATTTGTTGGGCTAGTCATTGATTCCTACTTTGAGTTTGCACTTTGCAATGAATCCCTTGACCTTCCTTGTTTTGGAGGGAACAGGGATAACACAGTGCTGCTGCTAATTATCTTCAGCTCAATTTATCTGGAAGTTTATGTGTTTTTCTTCTTCACTGCCTAAGCCTTGTGTCTGTGTGTCTCTCTCTCGTCTCTAGGAAAGGAGGAGATTAGAGAAGAAGGCAGAGTTGTTGTTGTGGCGGTTATGGAGTGGGACTTTAAGGACTTTGCTTGTTGGGATTCAACTGATGAGCTGGAGTTGGAGTTGGAGTTGGAGTTGGAATTGGAGCAGCAAAAACAGGAACAAGATAGTGACCTTGCTGCTTTGGTTGGGTCCATCTCACAACCCCAGAAGAAGAAGAGATCAGCAGCTGCTGGATCTTTACTAGTGGATTTGAACTTGTCTGATTCTCCTCCTGCTGGACACTTGTTCAAGGACCCAATTAAGCCCTCAGCTGTGGCGTCATCATCGTCACCGTTATCGTCACCATCATCTTCATCATCATCATCCAAAAGGGTTAAAAGTAATGGAACTGATGAGCAGAAAATGTCATGCTTGGTTGAGGGTTGCAAGACAGACCTCAGTCTTTGCAGGGAGTATCACCGACGCCATAGAGTCTGTGAGCTCCACTCCAAGACCCCTGTTGTCACCGTCAGGGGTGAACAGAAACGGTTCTGCCAGCAGTGCAGCAGGTTATATTTATGATCAATTCTGCAATCACCATGCTTTAATCAATTTAGGGTTCTTTTTCATTTTTATGTACAATTTGTTAGGAAGTTAGCTTCTTTCAATCTCAATTACAATTACAATATTTACATGTGATTTTTCATCAAGTGTTGTAGATTCCATTCTCTGGTGGAGTTTGATGAGGTGAAGAGAAGCTGCAGGAAACGTCTCAACGGTCACAACCAGCGCAGGAGGAAGCCTAAACCAGAATCCCTCTACTTCACTTCCAACTTCCTGTCCGGTTACAAAGGTATTAACTGTTTTATTTGTTGTTGTTGCAGGCTTCAATTTGGTTATATCCAGAACTTGTTTTGCCTAATTGTAATAAACTCTTTTGTTTAGAAGAACCAAACTGAATTGAGACAGTTCATTTAGCTTTGACAGTATTCACAATTTGTCCAAATTGGCAGATCATAATTTTGAAGAGCTTGCCTTGCCTAGTTAACTTTTCAAATTGTCAAACTATTGATCAAGAACTTCTATGCTAGAATACCCTTTTCTTCATTCCTTGGGTAACCAATTCATATTGATTATGGCCTTTGATTATGGGATTGATATGCCTATCTAATTAACATTCAGGTCCCAGAATCTTGCAATTTAGTAACCCGCAGGTATGTGCAACCAATAATGTGAGAAGTATGTGGCCTGTGGAAGCCAAAAAGGGAGCAGAATCCATGCTTTACAGCCGCCATCCTTCATTCAATGGAGGAGATAAACCATTTCTTTTCTTGCAGACAAATAATGACCCTAAAGCTGCTTCAGGCAACCGGGCAGCCCCTCAAACTTTCTTGCGCCAGCAGCCATTTCAAACAACTGCTGCCTCACCGGCAGAAAGCAGAAAGGGCGGTCATATAATGTCTTCTGATGGTATGACTCGAGTCATTGACTCGGGTTGTGCTCTCTATCTTCTGTCATCACATCCAGCACAAGCTTCAGTGACTCAGTCCAATGTCACTACTACTCATCCAGGTCAGCTCCTAGACTCGAGACTACAGATGAACGGCAGTTTTGCAGAATTCTCATGCTCACATGATGCGGAGGACAAGGCTGCCAATCCAGAAATGATGTTTCTCATGGGGCCTGATGGCTTTTTGGACAACGGGGCGCAAATGCTTCCAATTTTATTGGAGTAGTCTGATGCAACCTACAGGGCATATGAATATGCGGCAGACTTGTGTTTGTGCTACTTTACTAGTTTATGTGATCTCGAGTAAACATGATCTGGGACAAGTCAACTGCAGAAAATTGTGGTTGTAATGGCTTTGGTTGGTAATGTCACAGCTCTTACCAGATGCCAGTTTGTGGTTGTCAAGTATTTGTGTTTTAAATTGTATAAACTAAGTCCTATTTTTTTGCCTCTCTGTTTCATGGAGATGCAAACTTAGGTTTGAATTCTGCTAAATGTGTTGCATTCTCAATTAAAATTTGAAATGAAGACACTACGTATTTGTGGAGCACTTAATCCCATCATTGAGGAACCAAGTCAAGAGTGGTCGTCATACCACCACTAAGCCACCACCAACAATGATGTCCTACTAACCCACTACAATTAGCGGGACAATTAGGAAAGCAATGGTGCGAAATAAGTCCTCCTAATCTTGTTGAATAAATGAATTCTGAACACAAAATGCGACCGAACCGAAGATATATGAACTCTGAGATGCGTGTGTGTGATATAGAGCTGAGCTCAGCCTTGAAGTCCAAGAGATTTTTCTGGCATCAGAAGATTCAACTTAAAGTTAAAGCCAAAGTAACAGTGACTTGATTTGGAGTGATTGTAATTGGTCCAATTAGAATGCTTAAAATGCTGCCTGATTGATGTAAAAAGCAATTGGTCAGATTATTACATCAATCAGGCAGCATTCTAAGCATTCTGAGTTGGCCATAAGTTAACCAACATTCCTGAGCAAATATTGAAAGTGAAAGAACAGAATTAGGTTTGGATTCAGAGTGCTTATACGTGAAGTAATCCTTATTTTCCTTGATTCATTGAAAAGTAGCATGCATCTATCAAATCATTGTTTGCTGGTAGTTTATCCTATCTTCATACTGAGGGAAAACACTCAGTCAAATAGCCAGCATATTTGATATCTTTCCAACAGCATTAGGTGTGAAAGATGAAATCAGGTTTGACATCAATCAGAAAATCACTATTTTAGTATTGACTTGGGGTTTCTTTTCTGTACAGCATTTGCTCCTTCCCTATATATATACATACATAACAAGGCAAATTAACATTTCAAAGTCCAAGCCATTCTCTATGCTAACCCTCCTCCCTGCTATCAGTTTCAACATCTTCCTCTTAGACCATACACTCTGCTCTTTAGCTTCTGATTATTTCATCTCTGTTTTCTTTTGTCTGCTGGATCACTGACAGATTTGCATTTGCAGTCATGCATCCACTCATTCAGGAGTAAAACTTCCATCTGACATGTTTTATTTAGTTTCTCTCCGCCGATGTGATGAGAAATATAAAGAACGGTGGATGAAACATGGGATATTCAAGTTTTGCAGCCCATTCAGGCTATTGTATTTTCCTTTTCCTGCTCGATGATTAATGTCGTTAATGTTGACTAGCTGTAGCATTTTGGTGGAATGATGATGTTGATGTTGGCGTGGCTCAATCAAATCAAACTTCTCAACTGTTAGTTGGGTCCTTTAATTTGATTGAGCCGTGCCAATATCATGTTCAGTCTCCAAAAACTCGTCAACCGACAACTTTTTTTTTGTTTGTTTTTTGGTTCCAAAAACTCATCAACCAACAACTTTAGAAAACACAAACCCATAATAGGCGATAGTTTCCTTGGATTATTAAGGTCGCTTGAATAACACATTGTTGATTTTTCTTTTTCGTGCATTTTCTCTTAACTTGATAAGATTGTGGCTCATTGTGCAGACGTGGATTAAACCAGTTGGTCAAGACAGTGAATTCGCCATCTTACACCCAAATTCGAGTGCAGACCAACAAGAAATTTCATCGAGCTCTGACTCAAATCCGCCCTTTTTTTGTTGATTGTTCATCCAAAACTTGATAATTTTATTTTTTTAAATGTGTGCAAATGACAAAATCAACCTCAATAAATGTATGTGCAATCTAATCTCAAAGGCTAATTTTGTCATTTCGAGAATTTTATATATATAAAATCATCAATATTTTAATGAAAAATCAACAAAAAAGGGTTTGTGAAAACAATTGAAAATCTTAGTGGGTGTTCGTGATTATTGAAACCTAAGAGAGTTTTGCGAAAAAATAAAAAACTTAAGAGGGTGTTAGTGCAAATAACTCTTTCCCATTCCCAATCCTAATGATTGAGACCTCAAAAAAGTGAAAAAGAGATCTCTGCTGTCATGTTAAGGTAAATCACTTAAGAAACTAATGTAAATAATATAAATAAGATTTCTTCAATTGCCTAAGAATTATTTTTCTTCGGGTTACAATTTCCATAGAATTTTGAGATCAGCTATTACGTATGCTTCTGGCAAAAACACAAAAGTTGTGGATGCAAAGCAACTACGCCTCTGCTTCATGCAAATATTTGATCACTTTACGCATCAAAATTCGAAACCAAAACAAATTAAGAGTCAAAGATTGGGAGGAAGGACATATATAAGTACATGTACGTAGAATCATTGGCGAACTCAGGAATTTTTTAGCGGATGTGCAATTTTGAAAGGTTAAAAAACTCTTTGTGGATTGGATCTAAGGCTTTTTACCTAGATTGACGTTAGGTCCCTTCATGCATTCATATCATACATGAAAAATTGTTATATGTAAAAATATTGACTAAGTATGAAAAATAGTTTTTCGGAATAATCATTTTCTCAAGATAAAATTTGGCGGCTTTTATTCCTTACACATCAAATAAGAAAACTTGATTTTATGGGATTTTATTATGAAGTATATATTGACTTAATGAGCTATCATTTTTAGCCTAAATCGTATTTTGCACTAAAACCGATTTTTCAAATTTTGATTTGGGGGGAATTTGATTTTCTAGTATTTTTATTTGAATCCAAATGGGGGGGTACTTCCTTATTTACATTGTAAACTTAAGTAAATGGAATAATATAAAAATAAATGAAAGTAAAAAGACAAAGACATTTACTTAAATGTTGAAGATGGAAATAAGGAGCAAATGGGCAATTTCAAGCACCTACAATGGTTTTTCTGGCGAGGGGAGGTGCAGCAGCACCTCCTTGCTCCTTAAGAGGTCCGCCAGTGCGTAGAATCAATTATATATCTAAATTTTATTATGTAGAAAACATAAAAAATGAAAAACTAAAATACAAGAATTCCAACAATGATGAAAACATCATTATGTGGTATTACTAATTTATGTTTTATTAATACTGATATTAAGGTATAATATTAATAAATTTATACGTATGTTCTAACATGAGCGGATTGGTAACACTCTACAACGACTGTGCAGAAGAATTTCTCCACTTGTGTATGTAATATATTGGGGGGGAAGTGAGAATAGCGACTTGTCAATCAGGTAGAATATCTTATCCGTGAAAGTTGAGAAACGTGGATACTTTATCTCTTTTCTACTGTCTAGTACATGTCTGAGTAAAGCAAACCAATTTGCAAGTATCATAAACCGCAGCTTGATCCATCAAGCAAAAGTAGATAGACAGAGATCAGATGCTCTTTCTGCTGTCTTTCAAGAAGTTCTCCAGATTATAAAAGTAGCTAGAATAGATATTGCAAATATCTTGTTTCTTGCTTTGGAATGAAACAATTCAATTTGAGGTGATCGATCAAAATATTTGACAGATTAACATGTACATGGAGTACTTCAATGTATCACCAAATCCTTCATCGATCTGTATCATATATATATATATATATATATATAGGCTGTGCATTAATTCTTCGCTACATGAAAATTGAAAAGCATTTCATATGTGATCATGCAAGTGCTCCTGTGGGATCAGAGAGTTGTGCTTAGTGTACGTAGAAAAAGACACCATTCTTATCCACCAAAGTATATGCTCCTGCAAGTTTGCAAGTTTTACCTTTTTTTTCTTTTCCAAGTAAATATGCTTGCTTTCTCTCTGGTCTCTAGCAGCATAAGCCTCATCCAATCCAAGTACACTAACAAGAAGGCATGAGGTACTGCTGCCTAGCTACTATATATATAGATATATATTCTCTCTGTAAGGGATCATCATCCAGTTTGCATCGTCTTTCCAAGTTCGGTTACTTGGAAGATCACAAACTTATATCATCTTTCAAGTACTTTATCTTTTTGGAGATGTATTTTTCTATAATTGGTTTTATTTTATCCTTTTGGATCAAGCGGAGGAAAGTTAAAAGCATTTTGAAACTTGGGGGAATCATCAGCAGATATGATATGGTTGCTGCAGGGCCAGTATATATCTGCATTATGGAAAACATGTCCTTAATTATAACATATATTATGAATTAATTGCTAGCTAATAATGATAGGCTAATTAGTGGCAGTTGGGGATGCATAATTCTTGCCTAATTCCCTAAACTAAGCCTTTGACTAATGATCCTCTCATCTGTCTGTATTCTGATGCTTAATTATATGTCACTACCAACTAATTAATTACTAGTTAAGAATATTGAGGAAAACAGACTACTCTGCTATTAGTATTATACGTACTGTGCAGCCTAACTCTCACCAAACCTCTCCAAGAAAATGGTTCTCCGAGCAGATAGCTAAATCAGTGCGTTAGGCAACGCATATAATTAATAATTAATTCACAATTATTGGTTATTGAAGTATAATTTATAAAGTCGAAGTTCCTCTCCATATCTTATAAAGTATTTGGTATCTGTTTAATTAAGTAATACAAGATCGATACTTATCGGAATAAATGGAACACACATGCATAGGCATTAGGCACAGTAGACCAAGACTTCAAAAAGATGATGCTTCAAGATATTTAATTGAGGACCACAACACATCCTGATCGATCATGTCTATCTTGCACTCTTTTCAACTTGAGTACAAGTAATACAACTATAAAAAAAGAAAAAGAAAAAAAAAGGTACCTACCCAGCAAGTGTTATATATAGCCTCAGTTTGCAGTACAAAGATGCGCCAACACATTTGATATCAGAGCTATAGCTACATAGGTAAGGGAGAAAAAAAGGTGAGATTTAAGATTGATGGAGTTGAATCGTAAGCGCAGAGGTTTCATGAAGGGGAAGTTGATGCCATTCTACCGAGCTGCCAAACCTTCCACAACAAGCATGCAATATAGCAGCATGGCCAGCAGCAAGGTTAAGCCGAGCCAGGCTTCTCCTAACACAGCTGCTTATTCAGTTGGGTTCATGGACTATGTGATTGCTGCTCAGCCTAATCAGACGGTTTCATTTATAGTTCCTGCTGCAGACCATAGCAGCCAGCTCAAGCAGCAGTTTGATCATAAACATTATGGTGCGGCTGCAGCCGGTGATGAGAGTGTTGATATGAAGGCTGCAACCTATATTTCATCTGTTCAAGAACGTTTCAAGCTTGAACGAATCAACTCTTGACCACAAAGGAAGGAACACGCCGCGTAGTTAGCTAGCTAGCTAGGCACTATGTATAATTACTACTATGATCCATCCACTAGTTCCATCTCATAATAAAAATCCCTAAACATCGGAACAAAAAGGAGGCAGGTTTTCATTAATTTGTTTTAATTATATTTGCATCCCCAAATCTAGGACTTAAATTAGGAGTATGGTATGCATGCATGAGTATCATGTTCCACTCGAACGGAGCAATTTGTAATAATTCATTTCAATTTCATACATATATATACACCCGATTATCATAACATTAAATTAATGTGTGTGTATAAATTATATGTATCGCAGATGAACTGCAGAACGCAAGTCCTAGAGTGAGAGAGGGAACAGTTCCTAATTCAATGACTGATTTAATTACGCTTCTGCTGCTTCTTTTTTCTTTCTATTTTTCAATGAATAAACGGGCATATATAGACGAGAAGCAGAGTATATAAATATAAAGAAAAAGAAAAGTTTTAGTAACTTTTGGTTCTTATTTCTTCCATTCTCCCTTCTGTCATGTCTTCAACATTTATTATATTTCTTTTTCTTTTAAGCTTTCTCCAACCCATATTTCCCCCATCCAAAAAGTAACTATTTGAGTTTTGCCCAAACTCAAACCATTTTTCCCCCAATCCTTCATACTCAAATTTTAAATCCACAACTTTATTAAATAGTTTAAGAATGGTTTAAGTCTAATATTTTTTTCATGGATCACTTTTCTTCATTTAATCTTTTTAAATAACTTCATAATTTAATTTTTTTGAACAATTTAACTTTAAAAATTGAAATTCCACAAATATAATTGTATTTGAGAAATCGATGGGTATTTATAGAGTTTGGAGTGAGTTTTGGGGTTGGATATGATTTAGATTAATTTAAAATATTATTTTGATTGTTGGATCTTTTGTTTTACCATTAAAATAGCTTGAATTTAATCTAGACCGTTTATTTGGATTACTGTTGGAAAAAAAAAAAAAAAAAAAAAAAAAAAAAAAAAAAAAAAAAGAAACAAGAGGCAGGGCGCGACACCTTTCTATTGCACAGCAATTGCGAACCCCATTCACACCTCTTTGCACATGGGTTGCGCTAGTCTTGAGTGGACTCTACCAAAAAAAATTTCAGTCCTGGCAATAGTTGGACTAGTATTTGGCCTCAAGTTTGGGTTTTCTCAAATTTTAGCCCTTTACTTTTCTTGGGTTATGAGAGAAATTGGGCTAAAGTTTAGGATATTTTGGGTTTGGCCTGATGGGTTGGAGATGGCCTTATTACCTCATATTTCTCCTCTTCCCTCTCTCTAGTGTAAAATAAACTGGAGAAAATGACAAATCCGGAGCTCCGCCAAGAAATGATGATCCTAATGGTTTATTGTCTTCTTTACTTTTGCTTTCTTTTTTAAAGTGAGAGAATCTTATAATACTCTCTCTCTTTTGGGTTGAGGATCTTATCTATATACATACAGACATATACATATAATGAGTTTTAATTGAGGGATTCCTCAAATAACTTATTTGAGAGACACTCTTATATGACCCACCACACATTATTTTTCAATTATCCAAACTGCCTAATTTTTTGAATAAGAATATAGCTTTAAGCCATTATGTCTCAACTCCCAACTAATTGTATGAAGAAGAATGTAGCAGTCAAGAAGAAATTGCACTGTCAAAATGGAAATCACAAAAAAAAGAACATTGGAGTGGAAGAGCTTGAAATAGTTAATGTACGTTTCATTCATTCACCTTTGGTTTACATGTGCCTCCTCAAGAGCTTCTATAATGAGGAGAATTTTGGTTAGGGAGTTGAATGGAGGGTTCAATCTTGCCATTCATTCATTTAAAAAGTTAAACGCCAATATATATATATATATTTTTTTTTCTCTCTCTCTCTCTCTCTCTCTCTCCTCTCTCTCTCTCTCTCTCTCTCTCTCTTTTATTGGATAGTGGGATTGGCCCCCTCATTCAATAAAAAAATTTACATGTAACGGGGATAGCACTATTTTGCAATCCCCGACCAATAACACAATGACACGTGGAAAAGTTATCCTATGTGTCATTGCGTTATTGACCGAAGATAGCAAAAAGTGTTATCCCCATTACATGAAAGTTTCTCTCATCATTCAACCCCCGACCCTGACTTTTGGGTGGCCCTAGGCTAGAAATGAAAATGAGGCCCATTTCTCTTTCATTCTCCTGAATATAATAAACTAACATGGGTCTCCGTCTTAATGCTATAAAGGTGATCACTACCTCTTCTGCTTAAAGGGATGACAAGTATGCGGCACCAAGGGGGAATCAGAAGTGTGCGAAAACTGGTGTTAGACATTTGATTGTTAGTGGCATGACTTTTTCTAGTAAGCGTAGTTTTGGTATCGAGGATTTTGTTGACAAGGTGGATGAGACTAGCCTTAAGGGGTCTCCAAGGTCTCCCTAATAATTCTCATATGGAACTTTTGTGGGAAAGTGGGCTTGACAACCGATAAATGTTCTTACTATGAAGATCTTTCTTCGGAAATTTCTTCAGACTAAGAGGCCAATCTTGGTCTCCCTTGCTTGTCAACTAGGGTTCTGGATTAAGAAAATTCGAGGTGGCGGTCGGTGTTTGGCTGGATCTGTTATGATGCTCACAATGCGTTTTTGACTCTGTATGAAGAACTATGATGCTTGCTTTAGATCATAGGAGGCTTTCTTTGACAGTACATGCGTAGCGATAAGATGTGTTTCAATGGTTTTGCGGTTGGGTGATTGGTTGGATCTATTCTGATATCCATATTACGTTTTTGACTCTGTACGGTTTAGGGTTTTAGGTTTGTCTAGATCTTAGGAGGACTTCTTTGGCAGTACCTACATAGTGATGGGATGTTGTTTTAAGGGTTTTGTGGTTGGGTTTTAGGTTTGTCTGTTTCGTATAAGTTGTTTGACTCTTCTGTTTAGTCAATAGCATGAGCGGTACTCTTTCCTATCCCGGGGTTTTGTTTTCTTTGGGAAGGTTTCAACGAGGCCACCGTTAATATGCTAGTTCTTACCATGTAATGTTCCTTTCAATTTAATGAAATACAATCTTCTCTCAGGAAAAAAAAACATGGAAAAAAATTTATGCAATTAAATACAATTTGGATAATATAAACACGGCTCCAGTATTTGCCATATAATAGCTGCCCCAATATGAAAATAAACAAGAATGAGGATACAAATAATTTGCACTCTTTCATATTTCCTCACTAAATAATCTACTAACAAGAATTTTTGGATAAATAAAAGAATTTCTAGTCCCTGTTGGCTTTCTTTCATTGATTGCTACTTTTAGCAATTAAATATTTAAATACATACAATTGATGTTCATATATTACATAATTTTCATTTGGACTCTTCAGAAACACTTGTAATCAGATTTGGGGCCTTTAAATGCCAAACTATTGAAATTATTCTCCTCTAAAATCATATTCTTCAACTTGGTACATATATAATATATATAATTTGGGGCCCTACAAATGCGAGGCTCATGGCCATCGCCCTCCTTGCCCACCCTCAGAGCTGGCACTACTCACAATCTCCTAATTATAGCCTTTCTGGTCCCTCCACTCCATCAAACTTTGATAAAAGGAAAAGCAAAACCTTCAAGAGCCAAGACTCAAGTACTAACCACTAGGGGGCGGAGCTAGGCCTTTCTCAACACTTGTGTGAAACCATCTATTCGACCTAAACATATTCAATTAAGCAGCTTCAGCTCACCAAAACCATTTGGAAATCTTCTGAACAAAATCATTCTTAGATTGAGGAGATTGATAAGGGGTTTGTGGGTCAAGTGGTTAAGAGTAGTTATCCTTGCACTCGAGGTTGTGTGTTCGAAATCCCCCTCACCCAATATCCCTTGTATCAAAGAAAAAAAGGAGAAATTAAACAAAATAAAAAAAATCTTTGGAAATGAACAACTACTCTCCTGAAAAATGAGGATGGATCAGGTGAGCCCAAATCAACCGTGGCCCAAAATTAAAGTAGTGCTGCGATCTGGGCTAGTAGTGGAATGTAGCCACGTGTACAAGTCAATTGATTGCCTATTTACGCATCCATTTGTGGAAGGCCACGTCTACAAGTAGAAGAGTACTTGAGCTGAGTAGGCAAAAGAAAGGAGGAAAACCTGCCGCCAGCTATACGTATCCTAAGAATTGGGCCTCAGGGCCATGAAGGCCCATTTAGAAAGGGACCCGCCTATGCCAATCTGGATGGATAAAAAGGAGAAAAAGATATTTGGTGTGTGTATGTGTGTGTGTGTGTGCACAAGAGTACGAAAGGTCACCAAACACACCACCACCACCACCACCAACTCGACCGCTAATCCCAAAATTGGATACACTGAGAACAAATTCGAGTTATATAAATTTGGAAATGATGTGGACGTGGGTGATGGGACATCCATTCATTCATCACACGACAAAGCTTGCCACGTGACGACCGTCGCTTGCTAGTCAGTTACTGCTTACCGTAAACGTGGAAACAGGAGAGCATCGCCCAGATGTGGGGTCCTCTTATTAGAAAATAGAAAATAAAAAAGTACAATTGAGTTACTTGGATTTTGGCATCAAAGTGGCAAAAAAGAAAAAGAGAGAAAAAAAAAGAACACCAGTACATTCCAATGATTTATTAATACAACCTAATAAAAAAAGCAAAACAAAACAAAGAGAGAAACGGCTTGCCTCCAAAGATATATAATAATAATTTGAGTTGTGAAATCCCCGAATCTTGCTCCTCAGCTGGCTGGCTGGCTTCCTCAACTCACATCTGCCGGTCCCCCTTTGCTGACATGCGCACCGAGAAAACTTTCCCCTTTTGTTTTCAAACATTTCCTCTTTCGTGTGCAAAACTAGTATTTATTTTAATTTTCTCGGTTTTCGTTTAATTGATGTTTCAAAAAAGCACGTTGCTCCAAATTCCAAACGTTACAACACAACGCAGACAAACCAAACCAAACCGAACACTCTCTCTCTCTCTCTCTCTCTCTCTCTCTCTCCCCATGTCCAGTCTACAATTGAAATATCTTTTGTGGGTCGGCTGGAGTCCAACAGCTACAGCCTAGATTGGCTAGAAGATATACATGCGTGTCATTTGTGTTTCAAGTTTGAAATTTAGCACCGTTCAACTAGTTACTATTTTTATTATTTTTAATTTATTATTTTTAGTATTAATATCTCAGGACAGGGTGAGCGGGGAGGGTGAGATAAGGGTGAGGGAGAGGGTGGAAGGCTGGGTGAGTTGATGATGATGATGATGATGATGGATTTTAAAAAAAATATCTGATGAAGGGAAAACTCACACGTGTTGAGCGGAGATTCAGTCTAGTATATTTGGAGGCATGGAAATCGAAAAATTGGAAAAAGGTAATTTCATTAAACACTTACGTAAATGGTAATGGTTTATATCCATCCTCCCTCCCTCTCTCTCTCTCCATCTCCTCTCCTTCCTCTCTCATCCTCTCTCTCCCTCTCTCCCCCTCTCTCCCTACACAAGAAAAAGAAAAACAAAAAGAAAAAGAAAAAGAAAAAGAAAACCAATAACAAAAACAAAAACAATAGCAATAGGAAGGAAGGGAGTTACCGACTAACTCATTGACTGAGCTATCAGTAGTAGTAGTAGTGCTGTGCTGGGGTGAGAAGACGGTGACGATTCTGCTTCCAATTTAAAACCCCCCTTTTTGTTTTCTTTTCGTTTCTCTTTCGATTTGCTTCCCACAGAAACCTTAGGGTTAGGGTTTTCGTCATCAACTACTCGTTTTTTCCTATTCTCACATTCACACAGACTCAGAACAGACACAGAGACAGAAACAGAAATTAAGCGACAATGGGACGAGGGAAGGTGCAACTGAAGCGAATCGATGACAAGATCCGGCGTCAAGTGACCTTCTCCAAGCGAAGGAGCGGCCTCATCAAGAAGGCTCGCGAGCTCTCTGTGCTCTGCAGCGTGGAGGTGGGCCTCATCATCTTCTCCGCCAAGGGAAGGCTCTACGAGTTCTGTAGCGGCGAGAGGTACGTACGCCCCTTTCATCCATCCATCCATCCATCCATCCATCCATCGCACTGTTGTTACTACAGTAGCTAAGACCTTTTCTTCATGTTGTTTCCCACCGCACCGCCTTGCTGCTTCTACTGTTACTTTTTCTTCCGCAAAATATCTTAGCTGTAGCTTTCTCCCTATTGGTTGGTCAGCTAGCTGCCCGACTGTATCTCTCTCTCCCTCTCTCTCTCTCTCTCATCTGTGTATCTATCTTCATCATGTATTGTATTGGGTACAGTGCTGCTATGCTAGGCTGCTAGCTACCATGTTGTAATTAAAAATTATATCAAACATCAATGGATCCACCTTTACTTTTGTTATATTCTATTAATGTATGTATGGAAATGGAAATGGAAATGGAAATGGAATGGAATGGATGATCATCTTCATCCGTTTGTTGATAAGGATGAACCAATAACCTTATTATATTTAAATTCAATCCCATCCCATCCAATCCAATCCAATTCATTCATTTTTTACCTTTAATTTGCACTCTTTGTCCTTGCCAATATTGTCCTTGTTCAATTCCATGTATATCCCCTTAAAGTATCTTCCCAATAAATATCTTTCTTTAGCTTTCTTCCTTCATTTAAACCAAACTATGGTGTTAATTAATATACATGCAAGAGATTGGATTGGAGCTAGTATTGCATCCATCATCGTCCACCGTTGATAATTAAACCCTTTTAGCTACCTACCCATATACATTTCAGATTGAGGCTAATTAAGATGATCATCATTAAACAAATATAATCACTTTTTATTTTCTTTAATTACTTCAGAGTTTTCTCTTGTACCAGACGCATCTTTTTTTCTTTTCAATTAAAAAGAAAAAAATTCGGGTTGGCGGAACTGTCACTTATGGTCTAGTGTTGCATGTCGCTATACAGTCTACAGTGTCCCGAGAGTAATAGGACATAGCTAAGTCAATATCTCCAACGGGCCGGGGAAAATGTTGTAGGTATGAGTGGTAGCTATATATAGTTAATAAGGTGTATTGAGAAGATTCGTAGGTGATCAGGGCATGCAGTGTTTCTAATGGTGTTCTTTTTCTCTGTTTTTATTGTCAATATTCTTTGGCAAAAGTTGATGCTCTTTACCCAAGCTTTAGGAGAATAAGGCACCCTATGCATCAAACAGAAGATATCAAATTAAACTGCTCTTTTTATTTTATGACTATTTTAATCCATTAGAATCATTCATTTTAGAGAATGTCAAATTAAATCAATTTTAAATCATTATTCACTATATATTGACTTGTGGGAAACGTATTTTTGCCACACTATCTGGCAACTTATAAGAGCTGAACACTGACTCTTACCGTCGATCATGTTGCTTCTTGCATGAACCACATTCGACATGTCACGTGATGTTGTCATCAACTTGCTAGATGTTAGGATAGCTTTATCCCTTTTCAAAGCTCTTTCTTTCATATGTTCGGTGATATAAGAGCACATAGGTGTGCCCAGTAAAATAATATGTGAATATTCTGTTCTGATACCATGATAGAATTAGAGCACCAGCTCAAAATAGTAGGCCATGACACGATGAGATGACAAGGAAGAATTGCCATGCACGAGGAATCCTATGGTAATAACGGTAGAGTAATTATTAGAGTTTTCATGCATGTCATGAGTTTGTTTGGCTGCATGACGTTAGTGGCTAAACACTTGGTAGAATGGATCATAAGAGTAGTAGCTAACTCTTTCTTAGAATAGTTGATACCGTTTTAGGCTTATATGGGGTGACATGACTTGACTGACTTTGTATGGTCTATTTTCATTCATTGGATTTGCATGAAGTCTTTCGTGGTTTTAGGTTGCTCGGGCTTGTTTAGCCATCTTGAGCTTGAAAAAACAGTATGTAATCAACCTGTAGAAAGGAGAAAGATGTAGTTCAATTCTATGAAGGGCAGAGGTATGTCCTAGTTGAAAACTGAAACATATATAGAGTTAGAAGCATATCCCAAAGAAAATCTTATCTAGGAATACTAACTCGTAGCCTATTTCTCTTCCTAATGTTAGAAGCGATTCCATGATCGAATTCAACCATCTGTTGATAGAAAACAAAACAAAAAAAATCTAGGAATACCAAAAGATAAAAGGCCACTTTTTAGCTTCTCATACTAGGTGATTAAAAAAGGGGGGGCATTAAGATTTTCATCGTTGAATAAGATGATGTTATTTTTATGAAAATGGAGCGTGTGAGGTTGGACTTTGATTTTGGTAATTTGTTTTAGAATTATTATGAAAAATACATATAGACATGTGTAGATGAATAATAATATGCATAAACAAAGATCAAAACTAAAATCTAACATAACATCAGTGTTTAATAAAAAAATTAATCTAATCTAAAGATGAAAATCTAATTTTATATAGAACAAATTATATAGTTATATATTTTTAAAATTTTAAAATTTTGTTCATTATATCAAATGAACTAGTAGTAGTACTGAAAGAGGTGAGAGCGGTAAGATTGTTGGTAGCTACCGAAGAATATGAATATCCTAATATAATTGAGCATATATCCTAATTGATAGCAAAGTAGATAAGAGGAAGGTTTTAAAACCATTCAAAACCTCAATAAATATGTAAACAAATGATAACTCAGTGGCATAGAGTTAGAGTCCTAGGTTGACCTCATGCCTCGTAGTTTTCCATAAGGAGAGACTAAACTGATGAAAGAGTTTAATGCTTGGCTTCCACTAATTGAAGTAAAAAAGAATAAAATTTTGACATTTTTCCAAAGAAAATACTTATTTCCGTTTTAGTCACATACATCTTGGTCAGGCCAAATTAGGAATTCCAAAATTAATATCCAAACACTTGTTGATTTGGATCAAATCCATTAAGAGATTTATACGTCAGAAAAAGAGAGCTCATGGGGCCAGCGCTGATGGAAACTTAGGTTAGGTAGGGTAGGGGTAGGACACCATGGAGCGTCCAATATGCCTAAGAAACCAAAACATCTTGCTTAACCATGTTTCCACTTGGACAATAATCCTTAGTACTTCAATAGATGAACAACTTTCCACGCCACTGATCTACGTATATAGTACATGTTCCACATACCGATAAATACGATTTAACTTTCAAAACACATCAACATCTTTATATTATATGAAAAAAATAAGAGAGAAATCACATCAACAATCCTAATTGGGACCTGAAGGAAGTTGAGGTTTCACCTCAAAATCAATTGGCAATGGGGGGAGTAGCCCAACTTCTTCTAAGTCTGTTAGGTTTCTCAACTTTCCAATATGAGACTCTTTACCTTCACATTCTCACACGCCCCCGCACGTGTGGCAAATTTTCAAGCCTAACACGTGGACAACATATTTTCGGTGATGTGGAGCACGTGTGACCGTTGGGCTTTCACACGTGGACAACCCACTCTGATACCATGAAGGAAATTGAGGTTCCATCCCAAAACCAATTGGCAATGGGGGGAGTAGCTCAACTCCTTATAAGTTCTTGCTAGGTTTCTCAACTTTCCAATGTGAGACTCTTTACCTTCACATTCTCATTATTATCAGGCAAGAATATTGCCCCTCAATCTGATACCACTCAAGTGTCTCAAGCCAACTATCCACTTTGATACCACTTATTAGGGCCACATCCTCTTAGTTCGTTCCTAATGGTGTAATTGCATCAATATTGTTCTAAACTTAATCTCCTAGATCCATCTCTAGTTGATCATGTCCATGAACTCATCTAGGTACGAGATTTTATCTCAAAAAGCCTCAGTACAATTTAGGGAGAGCTACCTTTTATGTTGCTACACTATCTTGAGACATACAACTTGAAGGACTTGCACAACCCTTAGCACTCGGGGTTTGCATGCTACACTAGGGGTAGACATTGTTTTTTACTCCCATGCACACCATAAAAGAGGATCATACCCTATACAATTCCACAGTCGTGATGTATTGTGCTTCGTTCAGTTGAGCCATCAAATTTGAATCCACTTGTTATCTGCTTATGTGTCCCAAATTTTACCTTGCATCCTAATTCAACTACCATATAGAGTTCAGGTACTATTAAGAGTACCACGCATCGAAGAATGGAAGCTTAGCTTAAGAGTTTAAAAGATTTTGGATATGTTCACTTCACCTATTGTTAATTGATTTTGGGTTGGATGTTCGCATTATAATATGGTATAATATAGTATAACATAATATAGCTTTATTGAGGAAATTACCATTTAGTGGTAGATTGATGATTGTGGAATATAAAGTGATAGAATCCAATTGTAATGTGAAACCCTATCATAATATGCATTCAATACCTCAAAAGGGTCGTTTTTCTTTGTGTCAATTTTAGGCTTTCATATAACTTGGGGGTGAAGGGTTGCGAGATAGATGTAAAGAAAGAGATGGAAGCTTTTTTCTTATGAACACAACACTGCACCTATGTAGGCACCTGCTTATTGAGACACTCGTGAAGGGGAAGGGTTTAATATAGATTTGAAAACCGAGAGAGAGACAGCTAGCTAGCAGCCCTCTGTTTTTGTTTGCATAAAAGTTTGTTAAGACTAGTAGGGCAAGTTCATGTGAAACAGCGTACAACAAGAAAACAAAAAGAGCTCACATGAGAAAAGTGTGTACCAAAAGACTAAGTTAATGGAGGAATTTATAAAAAAAATTGTAGTGAAAAGGACAAATGCATATTGTTAAGACACTCACTTTCTCTTATCCACTCTTTTTCTTTATTTACGAAATCTCTGTCCCAACCTAGGAATACGCTAAAATTGACTTTTGTAGGTTCCAACTCGTGGAGCTCAACACCCTCCACAAGGAAAAAAAATCCTCATTCTTTTTGACATGTTAGTTGCATTCTCTCTCTCTCTCTCTCTCTCTCTCTCTCTCAGAATTTAGTTGCATTCTCTCTCTCTTAGAATTTAGTTGTGCTCTCTCTCTCTCTCTCTCTGTCTCTCATTCTCAGACATATTAAACACTCTCATTTCCAAGATATTGCCTTTCGAAAATTCTATATTCTGCTTTCTATGCGCACACCTAAATAAAAGGGAATAAGGTACAACATGAGATAGACAAGCAATGTCTCTAATACCACCAATCAAAAAATATGAAGCAATATCAAACGAACAAAATCACGATAAGTCATGTTTGTAATATCAAGCTAGCTGATTTTGTAAAAAGTCATCAATCATCATTTAGAGATTTTAAGTGGCTAAATTAGAAGAGAATATCCACATATTTATCGTGAAGATTCGTGATCGGACAATGCTTTCACACAATAAGTGATTTCATAGTCCAGATAACGCTCGGAATTTGGACTCTCTCGAAGTAATTTGGAGAGTTTGAAAATTAGCGCATTTGAATCAAGTGAAGCTAGCGTTTAGATCGGAAGTGTGGGAATGTGAAAGTGAAAATGTCCCATATTGTAAAGGTAAGAAACCTATCAAGAGCTTAGAAAGTGTTGGGCTACTCCTATTATTTACTCAAGTGTGAAACCCAACAGCCCACATACTCCACATCACCTAATATGTGTTGGGTTGGAACCTCATCTTCATTTAGTAAGATGAGATTTGAATAGGAATGGCTCCAAGCTCACCAAGTTGAGATTGTGGGGAAGTGTGCTACATAGAGTTTGAATAGGAATGGCTCCAGACTCACAAAGTTGAGATTGTGGGGAAGTGTGCTTTAGTGTAGTATCACGTTCGTGGAATCAACGTTCTCTGTGTCATTCCTACTTTACAGCATTTGTGACTTGGAAAATAACGTTTCCGTTGATCATTCATAATGCAATTCAGAGGTAAATCAAATAATTATTTCAACTATGCCAAATAAGGCATGCCACTTACTCTTAATCCCCAAATTCTGAATTTCTGAATTTACTGTAAGTACTGTAGCAATAGATGCTATTTCTATTCTATTTATGTCTTTTTAAATGTAAGTATGTCATGAATGGTTACAACTTTCATTTTGATGCACAAAATAACCTTTGCTTATGAACCTTTTTTGCTTATGATCAATTGCTTCAGTTTAGGAAAGGTTCTTGAGCGTTACCAGATTCATAATGATGAAGAAAATGCCGCTCCCAAGAGTGTTGGTGGTACTGGCAAGGTTAGTCAAACCTTTTGACCCTACACAATCTTCTTTATTTTGCTTTTTTATTTTTTTATTTTTTTAATTGACCGAAACGGCAGTCCTTGCCTCTACTCAAAACCGTCTCCATCCTTGTCTATTGAAACTTTAGGATCTAAGACAGCCCGTAGGCTATAAAAGGGATCAAACCCATCTTTTTCTTTTTTGTCACAAAACTCATACTCTGCTCTTATCTTTTAACATTTTCCCATTTCTCGATCACCATCTGAGGTAGCCCCAGAGGCTTCCATTAATAAGTATTATTTTCAACATGTGTTGAAATTGAGATTATAGACTGGATTGGCCTATATCTTAATCTACCAAAGTCATATATCGAGTTCCTTAATAATACATTTTTGTGCAACCCCCATTCCTATATGACCTAAGAAGATTCCATGATCCCCAGCTGAACTTATTTGGATAGCAACTGCCGGATTTTCCAATGAAGAATGTATGTTTGATATACATTGTTGGTACGCTTTCTTGAGCTTAAGCTGTTGATCCACTTCCCATGAGCTTAAGCTTTTGGGACTGGTGGCATCTACATTGTATCACAAACCACACTACAAGTGGCCCTATACAGAAGTATGATAAGAATACAATGTAATCAGATAACGAAGAGAAATCCCACATGGGATAAGCATAGACACGAGATAGAGTCCTGAGTCCAATAGTCATCTAATACCCTAGTCCCCGCTTTGTTATTTGTAAGGTGAAGAGGGTGCTTGACCTATGTGTTACATATGTCTCTCCAACTGCAGGATTGAGCTGCACGTGTGGGAGTTTGTAAGTCACTTGACAATTGTATTTGATCCACAGAGTCTAATGCACCTGCCATAGGTTAAAAGGATAAAAATGGATGTTGAAAACAAAAAAAACAAAAAACAAAAAGAGAGAGGAGAAAAATGGATATTGGCATTGCAGATGAATGATGATGAAAATGTTAAAAGGACACACTCTCTCTTTTCCAGTGCAGTTATTGAAATGAAAGTCATACCAATATACTGTATTTGTTAGTACCCCATGTTTTTATTTTCCCTATGTTCTCTGAATAAGAAGCGGTTTATCATCTATCACATGGTCTTTTCTCACTCTTTTAATCTCGGGTGCAGAAGAATCCTTCAGAATGGAGTGGCCTCTGCGCAGGCCCTAACCGGTCACTGAAAACGATTCAAAGGTATGGTACATGTGCAGACATGTCATTTTTTCCGTTCATCCACATGACTTGGATTTGGTTTTTGAGTTTGTGTTTGTGTTTGTGTTTGCAGTGAGTTGGAAGCACAAAACATTGAAAATCTGGATGTGACAGAGCTCACCCAACTTGAGAAGCAATTGGATACACTATTAAGACAAACAAGATCAAGAAAGGTTGCTAATCTTTTTTTTTATTATCAGACCCTCTTTAATTAAACTAGCATATATTCTGGTTTATGGTGACATCTCATTGAAAAGAATCCTGAAAACCTAGTTTTATGGTTTCACTTTGACTGGTTACAAGGGCTCTTCCCAATAAGTGAAGTACCTATGTTTGGGATCTAAACCCGCATAAATAGTTTCTTCTTCTAGCTAGAATCACATTGATGATCAGTAAAGTTCCAAATGCATGTTCTGTATGCTTCTGTCCTCAAGTTTTGGAGTTGGTAGATCCTGTGAACAGAGCATTAATTCCTGCATGTTCTGTATTCAGGTGGTGGTGGTTGTTTTTAGTGAAGTTTAATTTTAGAAATATATATATATATATATATGTAATTTATCCCTGAAATTTGAAATTTCATGTGAAAGAGCATCAATGAGCATCAATGGCTTATGACAGAATTGATAATTGGAGATGAGGTTCTTCCAAAGAAACACCAAAAGTTTAGCAACTTTTTACTCTTGAACTATTAACAATATGAAATGAAGGCTCAGTTATTTGATAAATGGAGAAAGGATTATCTCTTCTTATTCTTCTTTTTCAGCACATAATAAGTGTATACTCTAAATTCTCAATAACTGGTAAGAGTAAAAAGTTGGCTATTTGTGTCTGTGGCATGCAATTTCCTTGTAGACTAAATTTGTGGTGGTTATTTTATGGTAAGAGTTTGAGATACTGCTAATTAATTTATAACTGTGAATAGATTGGTGTGGTTGCACTCACACAGTTACACAAGACTGACTTGAGTATTAAATTAATGAATGCAGACACAGCTGATGATGGACAGCCTAACAGCTCTTATTGAGAAGGTAATCTCTCATGTTCTTAATTACACTCGAACTCCATTTAATTTGCATTAGAGTAAATGAAATTGTTATCTGCCAATTATGTATTCAAGTCAACTATGTATATGAGCAGAAACTGAGTGATTTCTTAGAATTGAAGGAAGAGTGTTGTTTGTTGTCATCAAGTAGCAGAATGCTTGGTGTTTAATTGCTTGCAATATCTGATTTCTTTATAGGGTTTTTGTGGAGTCTCCTGGCAGGGAAATTTTTGTTTTTGTTTTCTTATTTTGGTTTTTGGTTTTTGTTTTCTGGATGAATTAAATGTTTAAGCAGAAAAGCATGGTTTTGGTTCTCAGTAATGGGGTTCTTTTTGTATTTCTCAGCTATCATTTTATATAGGGTTTAACTTATGTTGGTTGAGTTGATAGAGGTAACCAAGGAAGAAACTAATTTGTCTTTGTTGACTCTAATGAACAGGAAAAACAACTGCAAGAAGAGAAGCTTCTCATGGAAAAGGAGGTATATGTTGTATAATAATATACTAGAAATTGAAAGAGAGAAAAAACAAGTTAAACACACAACTCACCGAGACTTGATGGTGTATGTATGTAATTTAAGTGAGAAGGTGCTTAAAATTTTGGTGGGTTTCAGATTGCAGAGCTGAAGGAGCAGAAGAACAAGGAACAAGCTGAGGAAGCGGATCAGCAGAGTTGTTCTGCTAACAACAACAATAGCGATGACAATGCTCCTCCCAGACAGACGGTGCTCCATTTGTTCTGACTTTTCCAAGCGGTGGGGGAAATATGTGGCAACACCTCCAGTTGCCACGCCTAAGCTCGAGTGGACATTTGTCTCGAGAGTGTCCGGTCAGATAGACCAATTGCAGGGCTCAGTGGCTCAGTTTGTATGTTTGTATCATATAGGTGTGATTTGTATGAGTTGAATTTGTAGGCCACCGCCGTGTAATAATAATATGTACGTATCAGATCATATATATCACCGTCGCTATAATTAACTAGTTTTTCTTCGTTCTCTTCTGTTTATATATATTTATATAATTATATATATATATATATATTACTTTTGACTGAGCATCTGAGCTGAGCCTATGAAGTAGCGAACCGTACTGCTTATATCATAATAAAAGGGCAACTGGACGGGACCACTATGTGAATAGTGTGTATGTAGTTACTATGATTATGATGGATTGGGATTGGATTGATGGTTTCTCTGTCAGGCAGACCAGGTTTCATACGTTATTTATACACAAGGACAAAACAATTACGTATTTATCTATTTCCTTCATCATCGGAACTTCCTATGAAAGTGGCCCTTGGGAAAAGAGAAATATGTTTTTCACATTTTCAGTTACATTATGTGAAAAATGAAAACAAATCAAACAAATGGAGTTTTTTTCTCTGCACTCTGGGTTGTTGAAAGCAAAGCAACATTTGATTTCAATGGATTTAGAAAAATAATACAAGAGAGAGTGTAGAGAAGATGAAGAATCCAGTGAGTGGCAGAGGTAGAATTTCACGATTCGAGGTCGGCTTATATCTATGTGTATATATATATATATATATAGCTTGGGTCTCCGTCGAGTTTTGTGCTGGAATTTGGTTCTCCGTCCCTCAGTCTTCTTGAGGTCTGTATGGTTTTAGGGATCTTTGTAGATCAGCCACTTTTGGCCTCTCAACTTGCAGGTTGGTTTTGATATGCTATTGATCTCTGTGTCTTTGGAGGTGGAGTTGATAGATCTTGATGGATCTGCATCTAATGGATGTTGTGCGATCATGTGGGGTGCTGAAGGCACTATGGTCTTCTATGGCCAGATGACTGTTGAGCGGTAATGCCCTTTTAACTTCTTGGTGTTTCTAGGCCCTAGCTACTTGCAAAGTTTTCTCTACCCTGGTCTCTGTGAAACACTGATGTTGCAAGGAATTTTCTAGATCCTCTCTCATTCAACTCTCAGTGAGCTGCACTTTAACGTGGGATTTAGTTCCCCCACTATCTTGCTGGTTGCTTTTCCAGTTTTTTTTTTAATGCAAGAACCTCATTTGGGGTGTTTTATTGTCAAATTCTTGTGTTTTACCCATGTTATTAATGAATTTCTATTCTTTTTAAATAAAAAAAGAAAAGAAAAAAAGGACTAACAATATAACATAATAATGTATATAAACAAGGAAATTGATTCCCCAAATGATGATGGTATCAAAGAGTAAGAAACCTATGTTATTAAGATGTACTTTTTGAGGCTTTTATTTGCAACTGCTTAATACATACATAGATATCATCATCCTCTCCTGTCATGGTATATTATATTGTATCATTTCATTCTAAAATTCAATTGTTATGTTACTATATAAGTATAGGGGAATCCCAACTCTGATGCTTCTTAATTATAATTGTAATCATCCATAACATTTAAAAGAAACAGACTCTAAAGAAGAGTTCATACAAAGTATTTATGGAAAAAAAATGCTGCTGAAATTAAACACACCGACTGAACTCAGAAATGACAAAACAATTGATGTATCCCTGAGAAAATCGAATATAGAAATAATTATAGGTTGCTGCTAGCCGGTGTAGATGTGAACACCAATAGCAATGAGGAAAATGGTGACGAGGCCGAAGTAAATGATGGTATGGACCAAGATGGAAACCCCACTGGTCTGCATGTTGTTAAACTCCACCACTCTGCTATTCCCAGGCAGCTGAAACAACAGCCCCGGCGTCAACAGCACAAACAGCACCACCGCTATTACCACGGGACCCCAATCCGCCATTTTCTACCACCCTTCCCACACAATTTAAGGAACAGAGTGCTACGAGATTACCATACAGTTATCAAGTTAGGAGATGATATGAGAGTAGGGTAGTAGACTTGCTACAACCTAGTAGCAGTGGAGTGTAGAAATTGAAATGAAAGGGCAACAAGAAGGCAGCACCATAAAAAGAGTGAATGGAGGTGAAAAGAGCCAAAATGGGAATTGATGTAGACAAAGAACCACAAGCTCCGCGACGAAGCAAAGGGTTACAAACTTAGTAATCAGCAGACGGTAATATATTTGGAGCTTGGACTGTACGGCCTCTCATTTGCCTCATTGGACGGCCATCACCTCAAACTGGCATCTCTCTTTTGTTTCGACCTTCGAATTGGACGGCCATAATTTGAACTTGGACATTCTGGAAAGCCCACATATACAGTGCTTCAACTTAGCTTTGGCTTGGGCCCAAACAGCTTATCAGTCAATTCTTGGTAGCACATCAGACATGTCTGCATTATCGTTTCTTCGTCTTTTAACTTTTGGGTAGTCCCTGCATTTCTTAATGTATGCTTCTTTAGCTTTTTCTAGTAGAAACGGGCAAAAAAAAACACTGCCTTTTTTTCCTGTTGAAAGTTAAACTAAACATGCATAGCATACGCGAACCACAACTTTACACTTCATTTTGCTACATTATTTTACAATATTTCTGTAAAGATGACTCCACCTTCATCAATCTCCAGAGAAAGCAAAAAGAGGCCCTGCTAAATGAACAATTATTGGAAGCTTATGAAAGCAAAGAACTTTGTTACCATCTCCATAAAGCAAACCCACCACCTCCTCCTAATACCTTTCCTCTCTTTTATCCCACTGTCTTCTTTCTCACTAAGTTTAGCATCCCTGTCTCCTTCTTCACTAAGATAATAGGATCCATCCTTCTACATATTAAGAAACATCATAACAGTCTGTTATCTATTTCAAGGGAAGTCTCAAGTTTCCATACCTCCATTCCATTTTGGGTCCATTTTGGAGAGAGAGAGAGAGAGAGAGAAACAGACAGACAGACAGACAGAGACCGAGAGAGAGAGACAGACGGACAGAGACCGAGACATAGAGAGATGGGTGCTGATTGGGGACCAGTCATTGTTGCTGTGGTCTTGTTCATCCTCCTTTCGCCAGGGCTGCTATTCCAATTACCAGCAAGAACTAGGGTAATGGAGTTCGGAAACATGATGACAAGTGGGATTGCTATTCTGGTTCATGCCGTCATATACTTCTGCATACTGACCATCTTGATCATAGCAATTGGTATTCACATACATGTCAACTAATCCATATCATTTTCAGCCACCACTCACAGTGGTGTTTGCTCTTTTCTTTTAATTTTTTTCTGAAGTGATTCTTCCTCTTTCTACTACCGTGCTCCTTCTTTAATGTTGTCCTGCTACCTGATTGGTTTAGTTCACTTCACACTCGGCATTGACACATTGTAAAGGAGCATCTCAATGAATTGGTTCATAGCATCAATCAGGCTCAACAACGCAAGGTTGTTCCATATTGAGTTTGCTCTCACTAAGTTTCCAATCTATATTGTTTAAGTTTTATAGTATCAGCTACACAGAAAGATCTATCTGTAATAAACCTACTTTTATGGAGTTGCTTATCATTTTAACACGAAGCATTGTCATCCAAGCATGTGTAAGAACCTAAGGGGCAAAATATCTAGACAAAGATCTATCTTTTCTATGGGTATTGTGAAACCATGCACTTAGAGGGCACATATCCTATAATGGAATTTTGCATATCAACTATTAGCAAAATGATTTCCTACACCAATAACCACAGACATTCATAACCAACTAAAAGAATAACAATAGAAATAGCTACGCATCTCTAAATTGTCTCTAATTCAAAGTTCAGACCACTTCTCAAATATAATATGAATATCTAACAAATAAGATCAACAAAAATAGATTAAAGAGCAGTTAAGATGGTCTTGAGACCACATGATCGAGGTGGATATACTCATTCTACATTTCTAGTGCTTCCCCTATGTGGCAAAAGAGGTTTCCACTTATTCACCAAGAAAAATGAAAAAGAAAAGAAAGTGATTTCAAGTTGAGGCCGTTAATGTACCCAGCACCTTGAGCCATGAAGCATGAGCCTTGAGCTCAACAAACACCCAAAAAACCCCGACTTCACGACCTCTTTGGCTTTTTTATCATTTTTTTCCCATAGTATTTAGAAAGGAGCTTAAGCTCAGCAGTGGATCTTGAAGACTCCTACTCCAAGAGGAATATATTGCATCAGAGATCCAATGGAATGATTAAAATCTATGTACATGTAGAATAAACTAGAATCAATTTATGCCGGTTTCTCAAATCCAAGACTAATTAACAAAATGGAAAACATCAGGGACTATAATAAGCAGCTTCATCTTCTTCAAATCAATTAAAGATTTGTGCTTTGTATTAGTAATTAAGTTCAAAACCAAGTACAGCCATTAAGTTACAAGTTACTAAGAAAAGAGAATACACAGATCCAAAGCGGCGAGAGTACCGGATCAGCCAGTATAGATGTGGACGTGAACGGCCAAGATGAGAATGGCATAGAGAGCGAAAAAGATGAGAGTGTGCACAGCTATGGCCTTGCCATTCGTTTTCATGCTCCCAAACTCCACCTGCCTGCTGTTTCCCGGTAACGAGAAGAGAAGTCCCGGTTGCAGCAGAATGAACAGCACCACCCCAATCAATATGGGCCCCCAGTCCGCCATTATTATTTCCTACAAATTGATTTTCAAATGAAATTTCGGATTTTTGGATGAGGGTTTCTGAGTTAGGGCCTGAAGTTACTAGCCTTCCTTCGTCGGACGCAATGGGGATGAAGACGGAAGTGAAAGGATTTTGATTTGCTTATTTTATTAGGGTTTTCTGAGTGAGAGTGACACTGGATTCGGAATTGTAATTTTGCAATTCTAATAAGCAAAACAACCACGACGAAAGGCAGAAGAAGCTACTAGCTAGCAGCAAGTGAAGATTTGGCTTCTCTGCTTTGGGTTGCAGATTAGATCAGTGCAGTTGGGTCCACTGTCTACCATAGAATAAACGAATAAGTGCAATTGGGTCCCAGCCACTAGCTCAAAGTTTTTTCCTTTGTTATTCTTTTCCTCTTTGACTATTGAAGATAAAGCTTGAGCCTTTAGTGGCAGAATCGAATTGAACAGACCAGGCGGTGCTGAAATGGATAGTGATTGGAGCTTTTAACAGCAAACTCTCCCCTTTAGAAATGCTAAATGGAACTGCTATCGATTGCAAACAAAACAACACAATAATGCAATTTATATGACTGGCTGGCTGCGCTCACTGCTTATGTTATGTTATGTCATACTATGTATGTATGGCCTTGATCACAATTGAACAATAGAAAATGATAAGGATGCTCTGCCTTATCCAATAAATCCAACCAAGCAACAACAACAGCTGCAATACCAAGAATTTAAAATTGAAGCAAGGGCTAAAGTGGATGGTTGATAAATATTTATGTTCTTTCCAGCTTTATGAGATTCCCATTCCCCTCTTTCAAGGGCTTAAATCCAAATCATATAGCATCCAAAGCCCTTTTTTATATGCTCTCTCTATTATTCTTCTGCTGAGTCTGAGCCCTGAGCTGATCAAAGAAGGCTAGGCAGGAAATCTCCGGACAGGGGCTTTATTTAGAATGAAGAATTGGGCTGCTCCTCTCATAGCTTCAGGGCTGTTTGCATTTTTGTCACCAGGGTTGGTGTTTCAAATGCCTGGCAAGGAACGTCCCGTCGAATTTATGAACATGAAGACCAGCGTGGCCTCCATATTCTTGCACGCTGTTATCTATGGTTTGCTCATCATTCTGTTTCTTGTTATTCTTGACATTCGCATCTATGCTTAGGGAGCAGCGGCCATCTCAATTGTCATTTTGTCAAAGAAAAGAAGAGCTGTGGTTTTTAGGATTCTAGCAGATCAGCTTAGTGCTTTTCGTGAAGGAAGGATTTAGTTATGTTGTTATACTCTTTTCATTTACGGTGCTGTTGTGCTACTTGTATGTATTATTATTACCTTCATGAATTCTCCTTTGTGCAATGAAAAAACTATAATTGATGCAGCCTCGACAATCTTTCTTATTTTCTAGGGTAGTCTATGCTTGCCTTTCATTTACAAGCCAGATCACTCATAGCATAGGAGAGAAGATATTTGTTTTGCTTTCCTTTGGGATGGCAACTTGAATTGCAATATGCAGGAAAACAAGCAGAACATGGCATGCTAGCTTCCCAATTTGCAACCATAAGTCAATAATCGGTGCAAAAGTAATTCTGTGAAGACGAAATATAGCTTAACAAGGATCTAACACCACAAAAACATATGAACTTGACATGGAACAGAGAGTCAACCAGATTTTTTTTGGACTTTCTTTCTTTTTTTCTTTCATTAGTCAATGAATTTAGATGATCCCCATTAAAGCTTTACAGTTAGCAAGAAACACACCTCGTAGGAGCATGGTGACTACTTGTGCATCATGAAATTACCAAAAGAATATCCAGTTACTTTATGAAACTCCACCATCCAGCAAAACTCAAAATCAATGACAAACAATGTGGTTAATCATGTAAGAATGCACAATCCAAACAAGTCAATTAAGTACATAACTGATCATCAACCTGAAACGTAAATGAGATAAATTCTTAAAGGGTACTACATAGTAGAGTTGAGATGAGAATTGGGCGTGTTATCTGTGGCAGTTTGAGTTGATCATGAGCCAACATACATGTGGACACCAATAGCTAATAAGAAGATGCAGATGAGAGCAAAGTAGATAATGGAATGAACCAGTATGGAGATTCCACTAGTCTGAAAGTTGCCAAATTCTACGAATCGGCCTTTTCCAGGCATCTGAATCAGCAACCCTGGAGTGAGCAGTATAAACAGCACCACTGCTACGAAAACTGGCCCCCAATCTGACATCTTCGATGTGGTTCTTGCACTTGATCTCTTTTATCCCTCTCAAGATCCAAATCTGTTTAGTTGTGATCTGATCTTCTGCGAATGAGTTGTATAAATTAGTGACTAGTAAGTGGGAGAAGGAGTTAGGAATGGTTGGTATGGAGGGGAAAGAAACAATGAAAGATGTGCGTGATTATAAAGTTGAGCTTTGAGAGGAAGAGACAAGGGATAGATGACTAGGAAAAAAAGTGAAGGTTAGAGGATCAAGCTATTCCCTTCCCTTCCCATATGTTCACATTTTAGTATTTTGGTAGTTTACAGCTCACATCACACACATGCATACCAAGGAAATTTCCCACATAACACTCAACCCGTACAAACACTTTGAATTGCCACAACTGTAAATCTGCCTCCTGCGCTATAGAGGGTAAGTTGCGTAACCAACCAATGACTTTCCCTTCACTCAGTTTCTGATATCCATCTACTTCTAAGTTCTGTGCATCACATGCTATAGGAACCAGCTGAGCTGAACAAATTTTTTTTTTCTTTTGATTGGTGGTACAAAACTTTCTTTTCACTGAAGCATTATAGAGATGCAAGTCCTGTTTTTAAATTGTGGATAAGCCTCTTTATTTGGAGTGGCTCCCTTTCATCTCCTTGTCCCCCTCCCTGTATTTCTCTTTCTATATTGATTTTGGTGGAGCCATTTGGATCTCACACACACTTTGTTGTTAAAGATTGTTTAATGGAGCGCACAAGTTAAAAACAAAAACAAAAAATAAGCAAGAAACTGAGCCTAAAGGGCCAACCCAACAACCAAACTGCAAAAATTCAAGAAGAGAAGAGCGGAATGGGCCGCTACATGATCCAGTCCACGTTCGATTCGATTAATTAAAATAACAAAACATGAAAAACGATCGTCGACAGCAGGGTTCGAACCTGCGCGGGCGAAGCCCAACAGATTTCAAGTCTGTCTCCTTAACCACTCGGACATATCGACTTTGATGTTATGTTAAGCGTAGATAGTGATATTTAAACAAATCTCTTCCTTTATTAATATGAATTAATCCTTTGTGTTTTGCTAATTGATTCGCGTCTCCTTCAAATTCTACTATTTTGGTCTATTTAACCCTACCTCTTTCATTTTAGTGCGGATTTTGTCTGCTTTAGTTTTGGTTTTAGCATGTTGCTTTGTTGACCCTTTTGTAATTGGTACTTTAAATGTTACTAGCCCCTTGGCACATGCGTCCACGTATGTGCCAATTGATTTTATTTTTATTTTTAGAATTTAAAAATATAATATGAGTAGTTATGTTCCATAAAAGTAGGACCTATTATCTTTTTTTTATTTTTTTTTAATATGAAAAAAAATGTGAATTTACCATATTATCCTCATTAATTAATAATTTTAATTCTTAATATTTGCATTAACCAATGACACTTTATGGTATTTTGAATGTTTCACTATTCTCTGCCTTTTGCTTTATATATATAGATATTCATGTCTTTGATTGTATTGTTGAAGTTTTTCTTTGATTTTTTTTTAAAAAAAAACACCCTACCCCTTTCTTTTTGCTATCAAATTACCTTAGTATTTGACAATTGATAAGTGTCTCTTCTAAATCCAAGCTTTTTAATTTCATGTGCACGTCACCACCACGTTATCCCCGGTAGATAAGTTTAATTTAATTCACCATTTCATTAATTTCAAAACTTAAATTTATCCAATAGTCAAGTAAGCCGTGGGAAAAATGAACCCAAACGTATAAAATGTCTTGCAATTTGCAAACCAACTGATTGCATATGCCTACTATACTATTTAGTCATGTGACGTTTCAAGCTAAGGAAGGGGTTATATATTTTGTGTCCCCAAGTCAATACCCAGAGTGTTTGTTTGGTGTGTTCCAGTCCAGTCCAACAAAATGCTGCATATATTGATTGATATGAAGAAAAACGACAACTACTGACATCGGAAATATATATTATCTATTACCAATCAAGCCGAAAATTAATTTTATAGTAGAGCATATTCGGGGAAGCATAATTATTGAGAAAACGACGTGATCTATGTCCACCGACCGCATGTTCCGCATGACGTTTTTTATTTTTTATTTTTTATTTTTTATTTTTACAAACAATTCGATTCATAAAATATATTTTCAAATGAATCCAAACTGACGTTAGATTCTTTTAAATAAACAAATTGAAATTAGATTGCTCTTTAGCAAAAATTTTGAAAAATAATAACTGAAACATCAAAAAGTTGTCATGAAATCGAGTACAATGAATCACACCAACTCCGCACATGAATTCAGAGATCTTTTCTGAGACAAGGCAATAGTATTTTATTAAAGAAATTTTGAAGTAAAAGAAAAAAGACATTTCAAGTAATTTAGTAACATTTGACACATACATACGATATTTTAACTTTAAAAAAATCGTGTTGGATTATTGGATTAATTTCGTATCATTAGCTATTAATTAAAATAAATCAAAATTGTGCAAAAAAAAAGGACGAAAATCAATCAAATTAATCTTTCATTTGTAGCAATGATTTGGGTTCAAACAGATATAATGCCAAAGCATTTTTCTATTTGTCTTCATCAAGTATGATAATGGTATAAATTGGTCGTCGGATTGCCACAATTGTCTGGACAAGTGGTGCGCCCAAATGTCTCAGTCGGAGTCGGCTAAATCATGCAACTCTAGGTTACAAAAACAAGTGGCCTGAAAAAACAGAGCATTGCTACCGTTGAATATTGATCCAAAATAAAGAAGAAAAAGCAGCATTGCCCAACAATGAAAAATCAAGTGGACCAACCAAAATAAAAAACCATAAGAGAAACAAGGCATGACTTTCTTCCACCAATAAAAAGCTTTGAAAAAGAAACGATTTTTGTAGTAAAGCGGCCATTGCCGTGCTTGTAAGTTGTATTATTTCTGGTGGCGTTATATGGAGATTGTCAGACTCACGGTCAGTCACAACACAAAACAAGTATGTGTGTGTCTGTGTCTGTGTCAGTGCCATTTCCGTAAATATTGCAAATGTCAAATGCTTTATTATTTAAATCATGTCGTGCCTAAACAAAATAATCTGTCAGTGGTCCACGATCGGTGACCCAATCCAGCACAGCCTCTGGTTCGTCATCATCACCACCCTATACCTTCCACTGGAGAGAGCAGTCACTGGTGTTGTATATATCTGCTTGCATCATAACCTTCATATAAATAAAACCCAACAAGTTCAAAGGCAAAAACAAAATTGCCAAAAGTATAAATATATATATATATATATATTTCCAAATTCCAATAGCGCAGACCTAAACAAAGATTGTGGGCAATGATGGGTCGGCTGCAGGAGAATTTCAGGTCCTTCTTCAGCAACAGATGGCTGGTTTTTGTGGCTGCAATGTGGGTACAATCCTGTGCGGGTATTGGGTACTTGTTTGGGAGCATATCACCGGTGATAAAGAGCTCTATGGACTACAATCAGAGGCAGATTGCTAGGTTGGGTGTGGCTAAGGACCTTGGGGACAGTGTTGGCTTCTTGGCTGGGAGCTTGTGCGAGGTCCTGCCTTTGTGGGCAGCTTTGCTCATTGGTGCTTTGATGAATTTTATTGGGTATGGCTGGGTTTGGCTTATTGTTACTGGTCGAGCTCCTACTCTGTCTTTGTGGGCTGTGAGTATCTCTCTCTCTCTCTCTGTTCTTTTCAAGCATTTGATTTTCCTTTTATTGGTGATCTTAAAATAGTACAAGGTTTGGTTATTTGTTGATCTAGTTTGATTGTATATTTTGCCATTGTGGGTTGGTTTTCGATGGTCCTTTTCTCTTTCTCAACGTTGATTTCTCATCTATTTAATTTGATTTTTCATTCGATTCATGAATATACTGACTGAACAGTTTGAGGAAGATACAGGAATGGATGGTTTCTCTGGAAATGGATATTCTTTCTGGTATCTTTGGTTTGAGTTGATGATAAGACACGGTTTAATCATATATGTCCTTAAGAAAGGACCTATCTTTTGCCTTAACTGTGCTATTTGTTAGTTTTAAGTAAAGTTTTAGTCTTCCTTGTCCACATTCGAGAACATCGGATTGAAGAATTGAGTATATGCCCTCTGTTTAAAGCTCTGTTTGGATCCTGGAGAGGTAAAGAAAATGGAGAGAATTCGCAGAATTGCTGTTCAGGGTCCCTGGAGTCTGGAGTCGGCATTTCTGCATTTTCAAGATCCTCTAAAAAATTTGCTTAATTGCATTTTTAATTTGATATGACAGACAAAAGAAATGGTCATCCTGCTAGAGTTCAATAGTGGTTTTTATGTTTGCTTTTAAAAGATCTTCTACTGCGTTAGTAGACCTCGTTCATGATAACTTTTGATAGAGCAACAAAGTTCGTAACAAATTTAGAAACCATTTGAACACAATATGATTAGCAATGGGCAGGGGTGCCATACATTCTTTACACAGATTATGAAAATGATTCAATATTTCTTTTTGTCACTTTGCTGTTGTTAAACCGTTGCATTTTTGCAGATGTGCATTCTTATATTCGTGGGAACAAATGGTGAGACCTTCTTCAATACAGTTGCTCTGGTCTCTTGTGTGCAAAACTTCCCAAAAAGTCGGGGTCCTGTGGTTGGAATTCTGAAGGGCTTTGCTGGGTTGGGTGGTGCAATTATGACTCAGATATATGTGACGATCCATTCCCCAGACCATGCATCTTTGATTTTCATGGTTGCAGTTGGTCCAACAATGGTGATTGTTGCTTTAATGTTTATTGTCAGACCAGTTGGAGGTCACAGACAAGTCCTGCCAACTGATGCCATGAGCTTCACGTTTATTTATAGTTTGTGCCTCCTATTAGCTGCTTATTTGATGGGGGTCATGCTAGTTGAAGATCTAATTGATTTGAACCACACTGTGATCACTATATTTACAGTCATTTTGTTTGTCCTCATCCTAATTCCCGTTGTGATTCCTGTTCAATTGAGCTTTTTCTCAGAGCCAAGAGCTCTAGAAGAAGAGGCACTCCTACCTGCGCCAGAGAAACAAGAAGCTGGCAAATCTGAACAAGATGCTAATGAGGTAATATTCAGTGAGGTGGAAGATGAGAAGCCTAAGGAAGTAGACTTGCTTCCAGCTTTAGAAAGGCGAAAACGAATTGCCCAATTGCAAACAAAACTATTCCAAGCAGCTGCAGAAGGAGCAGTGAGGGTTAAGAGGAGGAGGGGTCCGCATAGAGGGGAGGACTTCACCTTGACACAAGCTTTGATCAAAGCTGACTTTTGGCTTATTTTTTTCTCACTTCTCTTGGGTTCTGGATCTGGTTTGACAGTGATTGATAACCTGGGTCAGATGAGCCAGTCTCTAGGGTATGATAATACACATATTTTTGTATCCATGATCAGTATTTGGAACTTTCTTGGTCGGGTTGGTGGCGGTTACTTCTCTGAGATTGTTGTGAGGTATGAACTGCTTACATTCTTATCTAGATGTTCTGTAACCATTACTTAAATTTTGGTTTTGTGACTTCTCATCCATCACTGTACATTCAATAGGGACTATGCTTATCCAAGACCGGTAGCAATGGCTGTGGCACAACTCCTTATGGCAGTTGGGCATATCTTCATTGCTTTTGGATGGCCTGGAGCAATGTACATTGCTACCATCTTTGTTGGGCTAGGCTATGGGGCTCATTGGGCAATTGTGCCAGCTGCTGCTTCTGAATTGTTTGGCTTGAAAAAGTTTGGGGCTTTGTACAATTTCCTCACAATAGCAAACCCTGCTGGTTCGTTGCTCTTTTCTGGTGTGATTGCTAGCAGTATATATGACATGGAAGCAGAGAAGCAAGCTCATCAGCACCATCACCTGCATACGAGTCCAGGATCAGTTTTCCAAGGCATGCTTAGACTGGATGCACCAAAGTGTGATGGTGCTATATGCTTCTTCTTAACTTCTTTAATTATGTCCGGATTATGCATTGTTGCGTTTGTTTTAAGCATGATTCTGGTATATCGGACTAAGATTGTATATACCAACCTCTACGGAAAATCCCGTTCAGCTGGCCCGTCATAACCAGAGGATTCCAACTGAATCATCCTGTATTTCCTAAGTTGTCATTTCAAAATAGAGTGCTTTTGTTCCAAATTGTTGCTTGCATTCTTTGTCTGAGGTCGTGTAGAATTTCTCTGTGTTTCTGTAACCATATATCAAGGATGATGGAGGCAATTACACACTCTCCAGAAACTCTCAAGGGTCAGAACCAGAAACCAAGGTTTTTCCTTCCCTCCGTGTCCCAATTCAGAGCTATGTATTGGTTATGTAAGATTGTCCTTTGATGTGTTAGAATGTTGTATTGAATTTGGAGATTCAATTGACATTGAAATGTTTTGAAATTCAGAGTCAGTTTGTGCCCAATATTCTCCCATGATTGAATAGAAAGATTGTCACTTATTTTGTTTTTCCTGAGTTTCTTTTCTGTAACTTCGGATATTTACAGTTTTCTCAAGCATATTGGCAGCTTTTGCCTTGTTCTAAATAATCAAGAACTCCAACTATCAATTAGGAACCATGACGTTTTTTGACTTCTTTTTCATATGGTAAATCCATTTGTATTTGGTGCCGGCTCATTAGTCGAAAATAACTGAGTACTGAAAGTCCAAAGGAAGTGCAGATACCTGCCCAGGTAAACAAAATAAATTATGAACAGATATTCTTTATCAATAAATAGGTCATATTGCAGATATTCCTTCCTATACATTCCAATCAACGACTCCCCCATGACCATGACATTTGTCACGAGGACAAACAGATATTACTGAGAAATGAGTTCTTCTTTGGAGACTATTATTTCACACAATGTGTTGTGTTAAGTAGAACCAGCAATTTATAGTCCCAAGATCCATCGTTCCTTGCTGGCTATCAATAGATCATGAATTGAAGGTGGTGCAGTCTGTCCTTATCTCCCCTTGGTCACCAGTCTTAACGCCGACCCTTCCGAGCTTCCTCATGGCAGTGATGAAGGCTCCATTGAAGTTACCAGGGTTGTTAGCAAAATCAATCACAGTAGGCTGAGATGCAGAGTCAGAGAAAAGAACCTGATCCGAACTCAACAACCCCTTACCTGCAACCAAGTTTCTGTAATAGGCGTTGTCAAAAGTGTCTGGGGTTTCAGGGTCCAAGTTGATAACTGGGTCTGCATTTATGGGACAGGCTCCCATCAACTGCTTGGCATAGCCAGGATCCAAAGAAGGGTCCACAGGAGAGTTCGATGAAAAGTTGGAGAGGCGGTCTGAAAAGCGACCGCAGTGAGAAAAGCCTACAGTATGTGCTCCAGACAATGCAACAACATCAGTTTGGGAAAGATTGTGTTTGGCGAACATGGTATTTAGCTGATCGAGATTAAAGTTTGGTTCTGGCAAATTCCCAGCGACCTGAGAGGCTTGTGAAACTAGTCCATCACGGCGTCCCAATTCTACGCTGAATGCAGGGCCTCCAGCCTGCAGAGAATTTGAAAGTGGAATTAATATGTCACGACTCACGAGATAAGCAGTGGATTGGATTGTTATTTGTTAACAAGCTTTGAGTTAAGTTTGTGCATCTGCCTTGCATGAGCCATGAGTGTCATGGTATGACTTACGAGGACTACACAATCCCGGGCAGCGAGAGCCAAAATGTCAGCACAAGAGACGACACCGGGGCATAGTGCTTCCACTGCTTGCTTGGCCTTGATGACGGTGTCAAATCCATCTCCTGCTAACGAAAGATTATCCGTGAAGTCCTTCTCTGCGTCCCCATTTGCTGAAGCGATCATGACCGATGCATCGCATCCCTGCAAATTGATTGTAAAGTTGAAGATTGATTAACCAAGAAAAGGATGAGTATATTGTGACATTTTAAACACCATGCCCATTGCCCTGCTTCAATGCTTGCAACCTACCTCAACAAAGCAGTCATGGAAAAATAGTCGCAAAGTGGACGGAATGGTGATAGGCGTCTGGCTTAGTTTTGTAGAGACTGCCTGCTTCACTATGAATTCAACATTTGGACAAGTAGAGCTATAGAAGTTTTCTGCTAATTGTCCCTCTGATTCCCTCCCCTGCATAACCATCAAAACCAAAACCACCATTAACAGCAACAACCCTTTACATGCCTCCATCTTCCTTCTCTAGCCCACTCTCTCTGTCTTTTTCTCCCTGTGCGTAGTCTCCATTAAGCTATGAATCTTATTTATAGTCAGAGAAGATAAGAGGGAGTTGAGAAAGAGACAACCCTTAAAACCATAGGTAATTAAGATTGGTCATGCATACTATTACTTGGTCCAAGCGTCCAATCGTCCAAAGTCCAAGACCCTGATTAAATGTCCTAATGTTCTACTTCTAAATTGTAGCCATGCTCTATATTTGTTGGCCTCTGTTGTATTGGATGTAGGGTGTTCGGGGTTGGTCATTGTCTTGTACAGGCATCTTTATGTCCAAGTTACATATGCAGAGCCTCCTTTTTTAGCACACTTTGTAGCTGTCATTTATTTATAGTAGCATGTATGCTAATTCATAGTACGAAACACAATCTTATCAATTACTTGATCGATCATTATGATCCAACGACTTGTGCTTTTTCTTATACAAGCGATATTGGGCGAGGGAAATTCGAACATATGACCTCGGGTCGGGTGTATGGGTAAATGCTCATAACCACTTGAATTACAAACCCCTTTTACAATAATTGTAAACCTTTTTGTTGAACCTTGCATGTCAAATTCAAATACGTGTAGCATCTATTGCCCTGTATTTGGTATATTTCTTTGATCATTTGCTTCTTATTAATTGTTGGTTTCCAATTGGCTCTCAACGCAACAACTCCCTTAGTCATTACTTGCTAGTTTGAAATGAAAATGACAAAATAACAAATACTTATCTCCAACTTACGTCATGTTGCACGAGTCTAAGGTGACTTTCATGGTTTCATTTGAGTTCATATCTGGTTCACATTTGAAATTTGTAATGACGTGTGGAAAGAATAATTATACCATATCAAACAGGTTTTCTATTATTTTAGTAAATTCGTCAGATAAGTATTATCAAACAACAGTAAGAACGTTACTTTCATTTCATGCCCTGCCTGCCCGGCCTAGCGTGTGCTGCATGTTTGTCAAATAATTATTGTTAAATCCAGTATTATCTCTACCAACTCCTAAAGTGAATAACTCATTACTTGCAAGTTGCAATCAAAGAAAAACGAACTATCGGCATATGTGGGCCAGACCAGTTCGGAGCTTACCAGCCTCCTTTTATCCGAATTTGAATTACCTCCTCGTACATTAGAATAGTTTACAATATTAATTTTTTTTCAGAAAAAACTATCCAAGATAAATAAAGAGTAAATAATAAAAGAAATGGAAACCCAACACTTCTTTGACTATGCAAATAGGCCCATATTGTCTTTTAGCCCAAACATGGCTTTAGAAGGATGATCTATAGATGGGCTAGTTTTCAGGCCTCTCATTGAGAACCAAGCCCGAATTTCGTACCCGATTTAAGTAGAAGCCGCTTAACGTTCCGTTCGGTTGGAGAGAGTACAATTTACGATTGTCGATCAACCAGTATCGCTCAGGGCTCACAGTAGCAGAGAAAGCCGCGTCTAGCACAAAGCCATGGCGTCGATGGATGTAGAAGGACCACAGTTAGGGTTTCCGCACTGGAATCCTCTCCGTCGAAGGTTCGGCCCTGAATCTCCTTTTTTCGCATCTGGCAACATCGAAAGAGAACTGCTTGCCAAACAGGTTCTCGTCTTTTCCTTTCTTTCTTATTTGGTGTAAATCGTATGAAGTGTGACGTTGTTTGAGATGATTTGCGTCTCTTGATTCCGAATTGAACGAAGTTTTTAAGCATCAAACACAATTAGCATTTCAAAATTATGCTTCCACATTTGGCTGAAATGAATTCAAATTTGAAATTGAAATTATTTTTTGGGGGTGCTTTTTCCTTAATCAATTTACTGTAATATTCCGTAGCTTGCATTGGATTTAACTGAAGATGAAAGGCATCAACTTCGGAATATGGTAGATGAGGAAGGCAGGTATTCATAGTTGCATGAAATTTATAAAAAGAGTTTGATCATGAAGACACATTTTGGGTTTTGGTTGGTTTTTCCTTAATGTGAAATGTGAAGTGTGTGCTGTGCAGGGGGGTTTTCTGTACCATTGTTGGTTGTGGTGCTCGCTTGAGTTCCTTGGAGGATTTTGAAGATCACTATAATGCACGGCACACTGCATCTTGTTCTGTGTGCTCTAGAGTCTACCCAACATCACGGTTGCTCAGCATACATTTATCTGAAGCTCATGATTCTTTCTTTCAGGCGAAAGTTGCACGCGGCTATCCCATGGTATTTACTCTTCATTTTCTTCCATGACTCATGCTAGTATTGTCTGTATGATGTTGGGCTTTTGTCTACACCAGTTTTTGTGGCAGCCCTCGTTAATTTTTGCGAAAATGTTGTTGATTTAAAATATGAGAGTTTTGTGTGAAGCAAAGAATAAAAGGAAAACATGGCCATAGAAGTCATTTCGTGCTTTCCTTTTTCTCATTTGCCTTTCTCCCAGTCTGGGTGCTAACTTAAAGTCCTTACCTGACAACTGAACATTATTATCCTTTAAATTTTCAAATCAAGTATAAGTATATAACTAGTTTTGCTTAAGCATGAAGAATGGATCTGGAATTTTTCAAAGCTCATGGTTTTGCTAGATGATATCTTGTCTTTATATATGCTTTCTGGTTTATATACTGAAATGATGATCGTAATTCAAAGAGTGAATCATTTCTCCATCTTGCTATTAATTTGGTTTGGATTTCTGTGTGTAACAGTATGAATGCCTTGTAGAAGGCTGTGATTTGAAGTTCAAGAACTATAAAAGTCGGCAACAGCATCTGGTGGACAAGCATAAATTCCCCATTTCATTCGAGTTTTTCAAGAAGGCTCAACCTTCCAAAAAACAGAGGCAGAAGAACCAACGTAAACAAGCTATTCCTAAGAAGGCAGATGCATCTTGTATGGAAGTAGAAAACGAAACCATTGATAGCCTTGTTTCTGCTGTCTCCAAATTAAGCACTTCAGACTCGAGCCCCTCATCCATCAGTTTTGGTCGTCGACCCACTCGCGGCTTGACATTTGTCCCACGAGCTGTTCAACGTGAGAAAAAACCAGACTCCACATAGGAACAAAGAGATGGCAAACCTACAAGCCAATGTGCTTAGGATTTGTTATAATGGTTTGCCTTTTTCCCGCACCTGTAGGTTTGGCTTCTTGCAATCAACTTGGAAACAGACTCTTTGAAAATGTTGTAGGTGATGATGGTTAATTGTTCTTTAGGAATTTCCTATGTACCTATCGAAGGTTGAACCCGTTAGGAGTCAGCAGCTTACCCTCTGATTTCAAGGATGTCTTAGGTTCACCGATGAGGACGATATTGTTGTAATGATTGGACCGGAGAAATCACACCTTGATTTAGCTGAATCTTTTCCTGGTATTTGCCACCTTGGGCTTCTTTGTTTCTTTTTCGGTTTACCTTGTTTTTTCTTCTTCACTTTTTAATTTTTTTCCTTCTTCATCTTCATTTTACTTCAAGCGTACACTCTTTTGCTTGATGGCACAAAATATAATACGTGTGTAAAAGTACAACTTATATGAAGATTATGACTGATGAGCAAGTGAGTTGATCCATAGTCCATTTGTAATTCACATAGAAAGTTGGGTTCCAAATTTTATTCAAAATGAGTCTCAAGTTTGTTATGCGAGTTTGGTCAAGATAATGTGCCCGCATTTGTACACTCGAGTTCAATTTCCCTAGTGTAGTTTAAAATATTCACATTGTATAAATAAATAAAAATAAAAAAAAGACATCACAATTGAAATTGCGGAATTGAGGTGGAAAATTGCTAGATCAATGAACAAAGATTTTGAGTTCTTGAGTAGAGTTACGCCGAAACGACTGTCGTATACTGACTGGGACGCGCAAATTGCAATCGAGGGTTGTTACTGTCTCATTGTATAAAAACCCCTGTTTCCTCCTAAATCAGCTCCTAACTCAAATTCTTGTTCGTGTTCTTCTCTCTGAGGCTCTGACCAAAACAAAAATAAAATCTTGGGAATTCGTTGGAAGAAAAAAAAAATGGACGCCATTGATTCAGTGTTTGATCCGCTAAGAGAATTCTCCAAGGACAGCGTTCGCCTCGTCAAGCGCTGTCATAAACCCGACCGCAAAGGTAATTCCATCCATTTGCAATCCAATCTTCACTCCGATCCATTTCGTTTTTCGGATAATTAATCCAATGTTTACGCTAATTGTAATGTAATCCTGTTAAATCTTTCATAGGAGATCTGTGTTTTGAACTGACTAATCTTTCCCGTGAGATTTTCTTTTTTCTATTTGAATGCAACAGAGTTCACAAAGGTGGCGGTCCGTACGGCTATCGGGTTCGTGGTCATGGGGTTCGTTGGCTTCTTCGTGAAACTCATCTTCATCCCGATCAACAACATCATCGTCGGATCTGGTTAAAGTAAGATTCTCTTCTTGACACACAGAATTAAACTCGTATTCGTTTCTTTCTTCTTTGATGATCGCTTTGCATGCAATGAGTTTCGCAATTGAAACTCTCATTTCTGCTCCTTAATTACCACTTGAGTGTTTGATCATCGTGTTGAAGAATCGAACAGATTTTGTAGTATAGACAAGTTAAGGATGTTGAGTTTTGATTATTTGTCTGTGAATTAAGCATTGGTAAAATGTTTGTGGCGCAGGTCATTTGGCATTTTATAGAAGATGAAAGTAAAGTTGGCAGTGAACACTAGGGATAAGATGTAGCACCACCAAGTGCATAGGATGTTTACAGTGTTTTAGACATTTGTTTCTTCAAGCGAGTTGAAATGATGTTTCTGAAACAGAACTCTCTCACTGTACTCTACTCTCTTAGCTTGTGCTATTGTAATTCCAATCATCTTTTGATCATTTTGCATCTTCTCTCTTGGTCCTGTCCAGCATAGCTTTTTTGTTCTCAATTGAAGCCAAATTGATTGGTCCTCTCTGAATGAGTAGTAACCTGCATCATCTAACTACGTTTAATCTCGATCTTGATATGCTGATTTTTCAAGTTAATAGGTTAGATTGCTAATCACAAATAAATTGATGTAGAACCTTGCATAATAACTGAGTTTCAAATTGCTATCAAGGGAGACAAGCTCAGTAGGGAGCGGAACTAGAATTTGCCAACTTGATACAAGACTTGGGTTTTTCCAGTAAAATTTCATTCATACAAAATTATACAAAAGGGAAACAGGAAAGGCAAGGCAAAAACTCATGCGCGAAGTTGGTCACAAACAATGTAGAGTAGAAAAATTAGCATCAAGGACAAGTTCAACTTCCAAGGATCAGCAAGAATCAACAAACTGGAGGGACATCTGCAGCATCAGCAGACGCAAGTACTAGCTGAGGTTGGTTTTGAAGGATGTAGCCTTCCTTTCGTGCTTTCTTTCGTTCCCGTTGTAGCCTGAAGTTCTCCCTCTTTCTAGCCCTGTAGCTGTTGGGGTTCTCAGGCTGCACTTCTTGAGGGTAAACACTCACCTGTCAATTATACAAGTCCCCGATTAAGTCTTAATTGCGTTAGTCTTAATCGGCCTTTGAAACCAGTAACTTTAAAGGGGGTTTAGGGACTCCAAATTAAACCTTCTTCTTGTCAGGTCCATACTTCTCAAACTTGACCAAACCATCAATCAAAGAGAAAATGGTGTGGTCCTTGCCAAGCCCCACATTCTTCCCTGCATGGAACTGAAATCGACGACACCAAAGAAAAACATCCAAAGGTCATAAAAAGATTTTATACGTCAATCGAAGTGGATAAAAACTAAGTCTTGGTCTTGGTGGTGTTAATTTAATTGGATAAAAATCACACTGAAATTACTCACCCTCTATTTCTGAGAACTGCCAAAATCACACTTTAATTGGATGCAAAATGGTTTCAATTTATTTATGCCAAACTTCAATGTTGAGCCAATAGCACACAAACTTCGGGCTCAAAATCAGTACAACTTCAACCCCTAATATAACATTGATTATACAAAATTAACAACATTTTGGTTTGGTTTGGTTTGGTTTGATCTGGTTTGGGTGTAATTGAGTGCGTACCTTGGTGCCACGCTGGCGCACAATGATGGAGCCAGCCTTGGCAGCCTGGTCACCGAAAATCTTGACGCCGAGCCTTTGGCCTGGGGAATCGCGACCGTTCTTGGTACTCCCAGCTCCTTTCTTGTGCGCGTTTTGAATCGTCAAGGCCAATCTCTGGGGGTTTGACACTAATGACAGCTTGGGACCCACTTGCAGCGAACCCAAATCGCCCCTGAAGAAGGACGACGATGATGAGCTTGAGCTTGAGCTTGAGCTTGAGCCCGAGCGCAGAGAAAGCCCTCTGAATGCACCGACTAGGTTGAAACTCATAGATGCAACCGCCATTTCTAAGAACTAATCTTTCATAAACAAAAGAATATGATTTGGGAATTGTGTAATTGTCTGAGTAAATTGTGTAGTTTGTGGACAGCCAAAGCTTATAGCTTCGAACGAAGAAGAGGAAGAAGCGATACTGAAACCTTATCCATGGAGGCTGCTGATTGGGTTATCACTGCGAGTTCTTTCATTCTTTGGGCCTGATTCAGTCTTTTACTGCAATATTGCTCCCTTCTCTTACTGGGCCTTACACAGTTGACTCTCACCTTTGATCTATTATGAAGGCCATTGGACTTGGGCTTGTACTAGTTCATAAAAAATAAAAGATAACTCAATTGATTTTACGAGCATGTTTACTTATTTATTTATTTTTACAAAATAATATTCTAATGACTCTAATGCACTCGGATGCAAGGAACTGGCAACTGGGTACATTGTCTTGGCTAATTGATCTAACTCACATATGCTATGATCATGCATTTAATTATTGTGTTTTTCATGTTATGAGATTGAGAACACAGACTAAAAGTGAAATCAAGAGAAGACACAATTACCAAACATTCATCTTACCGCAAGGACAAGACGAAAATCCATGTGTGTGTGTTTTGTATTGCAAAGCTGGCATTATTTTAACGAGGGATGAATAGGTTGTTAGAGAAAAAGAGAGAAAAAATGATGAATAGATTGTTAGGAAGAGAAAAAATCACGCACACGGGTACCATGAGAGCTTATCAAACTAACACTTCATTGTTGCCTCATCCTCATGTCTGCTACAGACTTTATGGACACAATCTTGAATCTTCCACTGACAATCATAATCTGCGCCTTCCGGCATAGCTGCTCAATATGAGGTAAGGTACCGTACATTATCATACATGTTCTTTCTTTTTGCGAATATTTTTCTACTTATTAATTAATTAAAAACATACCAACTAGCTAAACCCGAGTTACTCTGACTCATTGAGTAAACGAAAACGAGGGGTGGCGATCAGGTGCAAGCCACTCTTTCTCCTACACGTCACTCCAAAAGTCTCAGTCATGTCAGCTTCTTCTGGTTTGATCCCATTGGCCAGTTTCCAATCTAAGTGGCAGAGCAACTGAGAAAGTGCAAGTTCAATCATGGTTACCCCAAATGCTATGCCCGGACATATTCTTCTTCCAGCCCCAAAGGAATGAACTCAAAGTCAAACCCTTTAAAGTCAACGGAAGAACCATGAAACCTCTCTGGCTTAAAACACTCAGCATCAACCCCCCAACTCTCGACATCTCTTCCTAAAGCCCATTCATTGACAATCACTTTTGATTTAAGTGGCAATTCATATGCACTGATTTGGCACCTTTCCCTTGCTTCTCTTGGGAGCAATGGGGTTGGAGGGTGCAGCCTCAGAGTTTCTTTCACCACTGATTTCAAATAATCCATTTTTTGAACTTCTGCTTCTTCAATTCTGTTTTTCTTTCCTTCAAGGGCTACTTGTCTTACTTCAGCTTGGGCCTTCTTCATCACTCTAGGGTTTCTCATCAACTCTGACATTGTCCATTCTATGGTAGTAGCTGATGTCTCACTCCCTGCAGAGAAGATGTCCTGCATTGCCAAAAAAAATTAGAAAAAGAAAAAATTGGCATCTCAAGTAGTTTAAAAAATAGTTGGTTTGTTCGTTGATATTTTCATTAATAATTAGTTGGTTCACGTACCATAATGACATCTTTGATCCGATCGGTTGTGAAGTTGAATTCCAGCTTATTGGACTCTTGAAGTTTTAGAAGTACATCAACAAAATCTTCCTCCTCCTCTTCTGCCTTGTCAATGCCTGTTGTAGTACGACTAGCAATCAAGTCTTCCGATCTTTTGGTCATATGATCGCTGATGATACTTTCAAGAATTTTACCGAGCTTGTTGCGTATCCTTTTCATTGCAGGAATTTTCCCAGTAACATACCCAAGAAATCCGAGGGAAGGAAACAAATCAGGAATGTCAAACCCTCCAGCAAGTTTGATTGCTTCCTCAAGCAGTGAGGTGAACTCTTTATGGTCTTTGCATTTTTTGCCAAATGCTGCTCTTGACACTATGCCGTTTTGTCAAGCTGAAGCATTTCTCACTGAAATTGATAGCTACTCCCTGCTGGGATACAGAGGAAATGGACTCAACAAGATTCCCTACCTCTTCTTCTCTTATTGATCTGAACGACTGCACACGCTCTGCGCTGAGAAGTTCAAAAACACAAATCTTTCTCAGCTCTCTCCAGAAGTCTCCATAAGGAGCAAAGGCAATACTTGCCTGACCAAAGGACATAACTTGTACTGCCAAAACCAGAGGCCTTTGAGAAAATGTAAGCTCATGTGTCTTCAACAACCTCTTGGGCTGCTTTGGAGGAGGAAATTATGACAGCCTCCAACTGGCCCAGCTTTAGGTGCATAATGGGACCATGTTTCTTGGCTAAGTCTCTCAATGTATGATGTGGTTGTGGACCAACCATATGATGCAAGCTTCCAATAACAGGCAGCTTTCATGGCCCTGGAGGAGGTGACTTGAGGCCTCTGGCTTTGAATCTCTTCCAAAACAGAACCAGGACACAGAGGAAGAGAGAAGTGAAAAGAGGAAAATAGGGTGTTTGGAGGATTAGGAACATAACTGGATCTAGAGAAGCTGTGTTTGGTTTGGTAGCGTGGAGAGTGGTGGTGTTAAATGGAAGCAACCAGAAACTAAAATTGAGAAAAACAGAGTGTGGAGAGTGGGATTTGAACCCACGCCCTTTCGGACCAGAACCTTAATCTGGCGCCTTAGACCAACTCGGCCATCTCCACTTGTGACGTCAGAGTTACACCCTCTTCATAATATCCTGTTCTTATTGGGTCAGAATGGAATCGCGCATCAATTATAATTAAGGTAAAAATGGAAATTTGGCAATGAATTTCAATTAGGAAATATTAGCATCTCCACACGCGCTGCAGCTCCTGCGAAAGGTTTTTTTAAAAAATATTTAAAAATATTTTAGAATTAAAAAAGATAATTGGTAGTTGTGTTCCATAAAAAAAGGATTCATTATCTTATTTTTTCTTTTAATTTTATTTTATTTTAATATGAAAAAGTGTAAATTTACCATATTATCCTCATTTAATTAATAATTTTAATTCTTAATATTTGTATTAACCAATGGCATTTTCTAGTATTTTGAATATTTCACCATTCTTTACCTTTTGCTTTATATATATATATAGATAGGTCAATATGTTCACCCTATTACATCTGAATTCAAACCCATTTCCCAAACATTATAAATATTTAAAATATTACCTTTGTTAAAAATTATAAATATATATAAATATCGATAAATTAATATATAATATTATGATACTGAGCTCCTGCTGCAACGTATTATGTATATGTAAGTTAACATCTCAAAACTACACCAACAAGGTCCCATGGTCTAGTGGTCAGGACATTGGACTCTGAATCCAGTAACCCGAGTTCAAATCTCGGTGGGACCTTTTTCTGTCCATTTTTTATGCGTTTAATTTTTGCTCGCAGTATTAAGCTGCAGATAAAAAAATTTGTTTTCTTTTGTGTTTTTTCACTGCTTTTAAGCGAAGTCTGTCCAGTAGTTCATTGATCTGTTACCTTCTTAAAAACAAATTTACTTCACACCCGAAATCCAGTCTACATATGATGAGCAATTACTATAACAAACAACAGCTACATAGAGAGCCTGGACAAAGTAGCAGAGTCTGAAAACAAACTACATTGCATCACTGATACATGTTCCAATCTACCTTGGCTTAAATAAAGGAGACACCCTCCTCCGAACAATCTCTTGAATCTGCTCTGAAGACAAAACTGATGCAGCACCGTCAAAATCGGCATTTTCCATCTGCTGACGCAGCTGTATGAACAATACCCCGCACCAATATGTTATTCAGAATATATTGGCTTTGTTGTTCTTTGAATTTCAAATTGGGATTGCATTCACCTTCCTAAACTCTATTCCAATTAGATAAAATAAACAATCTTTCTGCCATTTAAGTTCTAAATTCTTAATTGAATGTGAGCTAAGAGATTATATACAGCCACATACCTTCTCAAGGATTGCAGATTGATCATCCAGGGGAAATTTGCGCATGTGCTTTAGCATCTCAAGTTGCTGAAAAATATTTACTTCGGGTGCTTTAGAAACATCCACATTTACCATTAAAGTTGTTATATTTGAACAGATATTACCTGCTCCTGTAATTTTTCTTGACTATGCATCCTTTCCGCAAATTCATCTGCTCCAAGCTCAGCTTCATCACAGGCCATCTCCTCCCTGACATTCCATAGATGAGTACCACTAACAGCAACGTGCAATACAAATATCCGAACCTTTCTTGTTATCCTTCCCCACCTTTTAAAGGTAATATTTGTACTTTTAGCCCAATATCTAAGGCCAACATACATGAGCACAAGGCTTACAAGACTCTAGAATCCAATGAACTCAAGCACTCCTTGTGATTGTTACTTCAAAAGACAATAAGAAATAAACACCGAGCAGAATTTTTAACTTCAAAAATGGGCAGAAGAGGATTACCTTGCAATGAACTTATAAAAGCGGATCATCATATCCTGATCATTCTCATATTTTTCATTCACCTTTCCCAGGGATGATATGCCAAACCTTGGATCTGTAGTAAAGAAACCATTTGCTTTTAGTGAGGCTGTACCGTGATTGTGGTATAAACCTTACAGTGGCCACAGAATACTAGGTTTATCTGATGTATAAAAGATCAACACTGCTAAATATTATTTTTTTTCCCTAGCTAGAGCAAACTTCTCAACTGCAAGTATCAGGCACATACATTTACAGGAACTGGATCTCAACATAAAGAACGAATTGAGTCGATAAATGTAAAACTGCAGTATGATACACATCATGTGTTGGGATTTCCAGTTAAATAAAGATGAACACAATCGACTAACCAATCCCCATCTCCAGAAATATGTATAATTAGCATTTAAAGATAAAACTTACCAATCCCCATCTCCAGAAATATCTCTTCCTGGATGGCAGTGGTTATGGCAACAGCTTCCTGCGTATTGTAATCTTACTTATTAGACATTATCAGATAATGAAAAGAAAATTAAACAGTTAATTATCACATTCAAGCTGAATTTTCAATAGCCCATAATGTACTGCGTTGGATAAACTCTGGAATTAAATCAAATGACCTGTTTGTCCTCAACACCATCAGCGATTCTTTTCTTCACATCTGCAATTCCAAATAAAAGAATTTGAACCACCGCCAAGAAACACCACCGAGTAATGAAGACAAGTAAAGATATATTGATATGTTTTTTGTTTTTTGTTTTTTGTTTTTGCAGAAAAAAAAAAAAAAAAAAAAAAAAAAAAAAAAAAATGGGACGTGCGTGTGGATGATAAAAGAGGGAAACTGTACCGAGCTGAGAGGTGAGGAAAGAGAATCGATCGAAGAGATGAAGCAACTGTTCCCTTGACAGCATTTCTGAGGAGCTCTGCAACTGCGAACCCATTTATGGAGACTATTATTAGAGACACCCTTCCTTGTCTCTGTTATTGATAAGGTCTATAAAGAGAGACCCTCCCCTTTTTCCCAAGCCATGGCTTTTTTCTTCTAAATTAAATTCCCAATCAATTCAAATTTCGAAAAGACAAAAAATAAAAACCACCCACCAACCAAACCCCACAACACAAATGCATGCCAAAAATAAGAACAAACACATAATAAAGAGAGTCAAATATTCCATTTATCATTTCTTGAGAACAAGAGATTGAACAAACATATCTATTATAAAATTAAATTTTCGAAAAAGATCTTTAAAAAACTCAAATATTACACAAACACATCCCATCCCACATCCCCTACATAGCTACATCAATCAGAATCAGCGGATTTTAGAAATCCGCATCCATCTTGAAAACATGCGAATCGACATTGCCGTTGATGCTATTCATCACTGAAGCCTTCTGGTACTCCCCAACCCTCTTCTCGAAGAAATTGGTCTTCCCCTGCAGGCTGATCAGCTCCATCCAATCGAACGGGTTCTGCACATTGTAAATCTTCCCGTAACCAAGCTCACCCAGCAGCCTATCCGCCACGAACTCGATGTACTGGCTCATCAGATCGCCGTTCATTCCCACCAGAGCGCACGGTAATGCTTCGCACACGAACTCTCTCTCTATCTCCACCGCATTTCGTATGATCGACTTCACTCGATCCTCGCTCAGCTTCTTCCTCAGCAGCGAGTACAGCAAGCACGCGAAGTCGCAGTGCAAACCCTCATCTCTCGAGATCAACTCGTTTGAGAACGTCAGTCCCGGCATTAACCCGCGCTTCTTTAGCCAAAATATCGCGCAAAAACTCCCCGAGAAGAATATCCCTTCCACGCAAGCAAAGGCCACGATCCGCTCCGCAAACGATTCTGAGCAGTCGATCCAGCGTAGGGCCCACTGGGCCTTCTTGGTGACGCAGGGAATGGTATCGATCGCGTGAAAAAGCCTGTTCTTCTCGTCCGAGTCCTTGATGTAGGTCTCCAGAAGGAGGCTGTACATCTCGGAGTGGATGTTCTCGATGGCGATCTGGAAGCCGTAGAAGGCACGAGCCTCGGACACCTGGACTTCCTTCATAAACCTTCCGGCGAGATTCTCCAAAACGATGCCGTCAGATGCAGCGAAGAAGGCGAGCACGTGGGTGATGAAGTGCTTCTCGCCAGGGGTTAGAGTTTCCCAATGGCGTAGGTCCTGGCAGAGATCAACCTCCTCGGCGGTCCAGAAGGAGGCCTCGGCCTTCTTGTACATCTCCCAGATTTCCGGGTATTGGATCGGGAACATACAGAAGCGGTCCGGGTTCGGAGCAAGCAATGGCTCTTCTGGGAAGGCAGGCATTTTTATGACGAGGAAGATTTCAGAGATCAAGATGATATTGGGGGGTTTTTGAAGCGTTCGAAGATTGTGTATGGAGGAGGTTTGATAATTTGGTGGGTTAGGGTTGCATATATATACACACACATTACACATATAAAAGGAGGGAGGGTTTTTGAATATTGAATTGAGGTTTTTGGGAGCGGGTAATTCAAATTTGTGAGAAGCTTGCGGGAGAATGAACCCAAACAAGGGCACTTTGGGGATTCCGGAAACTTGTACGAGTAGGCGCGCAATCGATTTCTATGGTCTGCGTTTGCGGCTACTGGATGAGGACGGTATGGACCATATGGTGTAGAGAGAGGGGTGTAACGGTCATTTGAAGGACATGGTCAAGAAATTACCCTTGGATTTGGGGAGAATAACGAGTGAGGACAGTAATAACGGTGTGAAGTTTTTATTAGGTGAAGGGCTTTTCTGGTAAATGAAAATTGACGTTTTAAGGGAAGAAGCTTGCGAGGGAAGCCTTAGCTGGAAATTTTAATTTTGGTTTCAAAGTTTTGATATTGTAGCGGGAGTCCTTTTGGCGCGAGTTTGGAAATGAACGGCTTAAAAAGATTTGGCTCCTAAATCTATACAATGAATGAATTTATTGATTGCCTCCAATTTTTACTATGTTTGGTCCATATCAAGGAACATGGTCCCCCACAAAAAATAAACGAAATGCAAACTGTAAACCCATTACCAATTAGACAAATTTACAATACTGTTAACTCTATTATTACATTTATAAAAAATAAAAATAAAAATCTTTGTTGCTTATATATGATAACCGATCTGATGAGAAAGGAAAAAAAAATAATTTAAGATAACAAGTAATTAAATAAGTTGCAAATGTGCATTATGCTGGCCAATGTAGTGTGTCGGTCATTACACCCGAATTTGAACCCCATTCTTTGAACATTAGAATAGTATAGAACCCACTCTCTGAACATTAGAATAGTGTAGAATGTCGATTGTCAACCCAAAAAAAAAGTACTTAAATAAGTTGCAAGTTCATAGTGGAGACAAGCTGTGAGGGTGGGAAGTTGGGAACCATGTGCAGGTTATTGCATAAAATCATGCACATTGTCTGTCTCTAAGACTATAATGTAATGTGTTTTATAAAACAAAGCAATGGATGCATATTAACAATATTATAATTTGTAACACAAATTAACATTGACATAAACACACGTGACCAATTGTGCAACCCACACTTGCAAATTTACACGCACGCTTCCATATGGCCTATGCACGGAATTTGCAAGTGCGGAGCACACGCTTTATTCGCAATTGGGCTTCCGAGTTTAAGCCTAAGTTTGGAGCTGGACCTTCATTTATTTATGTTTCAATTTTGGGCCATCGTCATTTGCTTAGCCCAATGTGACTAAGAGGATTGGGCTTGATTAAGATTTACTAACACAGAGCTTAGCATAGTTTTTAGAGAGAGAGAGAGAGAGAGTTTGTTTGGTCATGGACTCATGGCTCTAAGTTCTAACCACCTCAACGAACTAACAAACCCATTTCTTGATTTCCCGCCCTTATAACTCTCAGCCTTTCCAGAGTTCTTTTAAGTCCTCCGCTTCAAACCCACACTAAACAAACAGATTCTCTTTCTAATTCTCACATCGCTGAAACACAGAAGAAAGAAACACATCGTCCCTTGAAACCAAGCTAAGCTAGTCTCCAATGGCGGCCTCGTCTCTCTTGATCCTTCTCATTACTCTCCTTTCGCTCTCTGCTTCTCCGGCTCTTGCTACCTCCGTAACCCTGTTGAAAGCAGCCAAGGTCCTCTCCAACTCTGGCTTCCTTTCCATGGCGCTAAAGCTTCAACTTGTCTCCCATTCCCTCGAATTCGAATCTCCCACCGCCACCATTTTCGCTCCTCCAGACCTCGCCTTCATTCGCTTGGGGCAACCCTCTCTCCCTCTTCTTCTCTACCACGTCTCCCCAAGAAGACTCTCCCTCAACACCCTCAACTATCTTCGTCCCAACACCAAAATCCCAACTCTGCTCCCCAATTACACCTTGACCCTCACTGGGTCTCCAAATTTCCAAGGCTATTTGTCCATCAACAACCTCACGATTGATCCAAATGCTGTTTTGGATGATGGGTCGGTCGTCATTTACGGAATTGATGAGTTCTTCAATTCGTCGTTCTTGGTCGATGCCTCTTCAACACCGGCTCCGCCACTGATGAGCTCTGTTTCAGGTGCTCAATCACCAAGCCCTGGTCCCAGTGCTAATGAAGATACGGAGTTCGAATCGCGCCGGCCTGGTCCTGAATCTTTCCGTTTCGTTGCGGACTTGCTGAGGTCTAAAGGGTATTCAATCATGGCCGCATTTCTTGATGCGCAGCTGGTGTCGTTCAAAAGGAAGACCAGGCTGACAATCTTCGCTCCGGTCGATGAGGCCATTGAAGATTACCAGAGGAACACCACCGATTACTCGTTGATCTTTCGGCAGCACGTCGTTCCAAGAATGCTTTTGTGGCAAGATTTGGTGGGGCTTGATGATGGGACCATGCTGCCAACTTTTGAAGAAGGGTTCATGATCAATGTGATCAAGTTTGGTGAGGTTCCGGCGCTTAATGAAGTTGCAGTGGTGTCTGAAGATATGTATCAGAATCGGTGGCTTGTTGTGCATGGCCTCAATCGGTTGCTGACATCGCAGGAGCCTAAGCAACAAGACCCAGTTGATGATATTTACACTGATGCATATGTTGCTCAGAGCGTGCCTCATCATGATTATGGTGACTTTCACTGAGGCATCAATCGTTGCCGTCCCTTTTCTTGATCACAACAAGTTGTCTCTGTTTTCACATCAAGATTTTGGGTAAATAGTTTTCACCTCAGAGGCCATGAAGAAACCCTGGTTAATTACCTTCTCTGATCGATGTATGTTTTCATTTCATAACCCACTTGTGATAGATGTAATTGTTAGATTTACGAGTGGTATTTTTACCTTGTAATCAGTAAACTTTTTAGTGGACAGCAGGCATTGTGTACCTTTGAATCTTCAATCATATTTTGCTGTTTCAAATATGTGTGAATTCTCTCTGCTAATTGTCTCCTGATATGAGAATCTTGGGCTACTGACTTAGCATAAAATTGTCTGCCAGATTGTAAAGAACATTGATACACAGAAAATTGATGTGAATTGACAGTAATTCAAAAGCTGATATGACATTGGGAGAAAAGAAATTGTGAGCAGAAGTAAACTTAAGAAAAATGCCCATCCCCACCCCTTACAATTTTCATACTAATGTTTAGTTCTAGAAGTAGAGGCTTGGGGAGTTTGCAGTGAAGGTTCACCAGATAAAGGTTGCATCCGAGAACAGTAGCTAGTGCTAGCTTCCTCAAAAATTGAGTCACCTGAAAAACTTGCCCTTGCCAACTCCCTTAGTTTCTTCAGATCACTTTTAGGTTCTAGTTTAAGTCCCTTTTGCCGTTTTGCTTCCGCTGCTCTCTGTGTACTGACGGTTGCCTCCACGTTAGTGGAACCTGTCATTTGAAGAACATCAAGGCCAGGGGATCCAGGACTGATCACAGGGACTACAGTTGCAGTCATAGCGCTAATTGGGTCAGTGCGTGGTGCTCTCGTATCTCTTCTTTCAAAGTTTGTGTCTGGACTTAAAGGAAGGACTGGAGCTAGCCCTGTTTTTGGTTGGGAGGATGCAGGTATGATTCTAGACCATTGCTTCCTTGGAAGGAATGGGAGGACAAGGCCCTTAGCAGCAAACTTTAATCCAAGCTTGAATGAATTCTTTCGAGGCTGTGAGAGTCTTAATAGGGATTTCATCAGAGCATGCCACTCGTTTATCATTTGGGTGACAAAGGTTAGGAAGAGGAGAGTTAGCATCACAAATCCTAGATTTCTTGCTTTGACAGGATTTGAGCCGTTAATGCTGATAAGTAGAGCAAATATGCCCACCTCACACAGTAGAGAAACACTTTCTGCCATATGGACTCCTCTCTTGATGTATGGTTTCAGAGTAAATAGATACATGAACTGTACCAGCGTAATGGCCAGTGCGAAGAGGCTTTGGCTTGATTTCCTCGATGAGTAAGCTCCAGATATGATCCCCAAGCAGACCCGTCTCGAAAGATCAACAATAATATAGGAAGATCTAGCACACCCCAAGAGCCTTTTGGACAACGGGGTCTTAATTTCTTCAGTGCTGTCTTCCAAGCTGACTGGTCGCATTCTCCCAATACCACTATGGCCACTTCCAGTCCATTTGGATATGCTGTTTGGTTCATTTTGATCAACAAAGATGAATAATGGAGGACCCTGAAAACTTTCAAAGAGAATTCCAAATCGTAAAAGGAAAGACGAAGGTAGGCCTTCCTTATAAAACCACTTTCCGGCACTAGGTCTCCCTATCAAAAAATACCAAAGCTTTTCAGTCCATGGTTCTTTTCTAGCTACATGCTTAACTTCCTTGTACTGAACAAAACTGCCATAGAAGATTGCAATTATTTGAAAAAGGCACACAGATAAAATGAGAGCTGCAGGGATAGCCAGCAATAAAGCCCCAGTAATGATTCCCCCAGTTGTACCTCCTGTAAATTAGAGTAGCTTTGAGTTCAAAAACATCGTCGAGTGGCAAACAAAACAATTGGATTTAGAAAGAACAAAATTGGCTCCTCACCTTTCATAACAAATGTTGAGGACTGAGTGATACATGGTAGCATGACAATCAGAAGAAAGAGCTCGAATCTGGGCACTGAGAGTATACCACGAGCTGGTGGTCCTAATCTCCATCTTAGGAAAAGTAATATCAACACATGGGTTATGACTAAACTGCCTCCTCCAATACCAAGCCAAAACAAGTTCATCTGTAAATCTTCCCACCTGTTAAAAGTTAGTTAGGTATGATAACATTAGGTTAGCCCCCTTATTCCTGTCACTTTTCAAGTCGTCTGATTTTAATGTAAAAGCACTAAGATAAAGGTAATTCTGGAGCTACCCTTTGTAATTCTCCATTCCCTTGATGACATTGCTAGCAGACAATGGCTCTCCTCTCTGTAAGACAAAAGATTAGCACTATAGTGGTTTTCATGGATGAGGAAAATAAGCGTTGAATGCTTAAATAATGGATACTCACCAAGAAATAAGTGAAGTATTCGTTGGAATGAAGAGGTAGTCCATAAGGAGTCATACGCATGCTATGCTGCCCATGAAGCCAACTAGGCTTGGGGTCCACCTCAATTGGCACTGGTACTTCATTCTGCATATAAGAAGAGTTGGAGAGATAGAAGTCAACTCCGATTCTAGTCCCTAAATGTGGAGATCCTCGTACCGAAGAGATACTGAGTTTCCTCTCAAGCTTCTCTTGGCAGGGCCAAACTAAAGTGCTATCCTTTTTCCATGGAAGCTTTTGACGAGGTATGAGCCACCTAAGACCTTTTGTTGTCTCTAAATATTCAATTGGTTGATTAACTGAGAGCCAGTCTGAGAGAACAAAAACTTGAAGGTGTCCAACCATCCCCTATGTTAAAAATAAACAGACATTTTAGTTGAATCTTAATAACTAAAAAGGAGATGCACAATGATGGAATGAAAAATGGGATATAGCAAAAGCTATCCACTTGGATATTGTATCTACTAAACAATTTAAATCTCACATGTAGGTTCATTGAGTCAGACGCAACAATGTTTGAACTCTCAGAAGCAAGAGTGCCCACTGCTCCAAGATTTGCAGTTGAAATTGAAAGAATGGCAGCTGCTAGTGAAGTCGCTAACATACCCACAGTAACAAAAGAGTGCAATGCGATTGATATTGCAGGGGTTGAGTCTGCACAGAGAAACAGCCATGTGAATCTGTGTGTGTGAGTGTAATAATATACATCTTGTCAAGCACAGAAGAAGCCATGTGAATCCGTGTGTGTTTTCTAATAATATATCTTCTTCTCCAAGTCTCTGACAAGTATTAAGTTCCACTGATTTATTAAATAAGATGCTGTAGTGAGAATCGGCTATAACCATTAACTTTCTTTCCTATCTTCCTATCTTGCAAATTTCAAATCTGGCTAGAGAGTAAAATTTAATGTATCATCCCCACAAATTCCAAGCAGAAAGGCAATGCGAAGAATGAATAGATATAAAGAGTACCGAATAGAAGGAAGAAATGATTCATACAGTGTTTCACTTCAAGTTGGTTAGATGCCATGTTAAGATTTCCTGATATATCATATACCTTCCCTGAAGGGACGGCAACTGACACCGTATGCTCAGTGACTGCCATAACATTCAATGAGTACAGAGCTCTTGAAAGTTCCCTAAACCTACAGGAAGCAAAATAGAAAATTTTGACATTCTTTCAAGTGCATGAAGCGAGCTATGACTATGAATGAACATTGCTAATGGTATTTCAAGAGTCACCATATGCACCTGCCTTGTTATTCTACCGCCGACCACTTGTACCATGGAGGCCTGAAAGCCAAAGACCGGTTTTGTAAACTCAACAATCACATTGATATCGCGGTCCTTAGTAACATTTGAAGAACTAGTGCTCAGCCCTACACTAGTCTCCATGGAATCTGAGAGAAAAGCAATTCAATTAGTTCCATAAAGCTACTGGAAAAAAAAACTAGCAGAACTAACTCTGGAGCATATTAGCGGTGGAATAGATACCATAAAGAAACGTAAATGAGGGAATCAGTGACACAGGAATGCCTGTCCTGCCAATTATTAATCCAGCTTGTAACTCAATCTTGATGATTTCAGTCCTAGATATATTCCTGAGCTACAGCAGGAAAAAAAAACTAAACATAAATGTACAATGCTAACACAAACACACACACAATAATTAGCTACAATAATTTGATAGATAACAATGCTAATATGGAAATTGCTTCCAGAAAAAACCCTGCCACTGCATTATTAGTACTAATGAAAGCTGTAGTTGCTTACCTGGAATTTAAATCGGCGGTTTCCTTGATTTCTGCCATGAATAGGTACTAAGTTAGCCGAATTCACAACCAATGCATTCAGAATCTGCTCTGTTGTGTTTATAATGGGAATGCTGAAGTCCAAAAATATGTTCAAGTCCTCCATTTTGTTAGTTGCAAGGATAGTTCGAGGGACCCCATTGATCATCAACTCGTAGGCTGGAACAGAGGTCCACAAATCTGCAAGAACTGGTCTTCTATCTAAGGCATTCATAAGAAATGTGAACAATCTGTAAGATTCGGAGAGTCAAAAGGACATTTTGTTTAAAAACATAATTCAAGTACAAATGTGACTGATGTCTTACCAAAGTGAATGATTATAGTGGAACCATTTGTCCTTGTAAAGCTGTTTCCTGCCTGATCTGTACAAAAATCATCTGCCATTCTGATTACGACACGCCCGTACATACTTGCCAAAGAGAGAACTACATCAAGGCTATAACTGATGCTAGGTTTAATCATGCGTAAGGAAGATGGCTGTACACGGCCAGGACCATCTACTATTACCTACACACACAAAAAAAGCATGCAATTTACCTTATGCATCGTTTTCCATGGTATACTGTGAAGTTGAATAACATCATGCATGGGTAAAAACATAAGCATAGAAATCCACTTACATCACAGTTTGATGAGTTGAGGCACCTGAAGCCACCTTTTCCTGTGCAAGCTTCATTAAACATGATATCAATGGCTAATTTTTCAGCACTTGTGTAATTCTTTTCGCTAAAAATCGTTGCAGTTGGTGGTATTGTATCTATCAGATAGATGAAAAAAAACAGAGTAAAATCCCCTGTTCAGCATTTTAGAAAAAGAAATTAAAGTAAATGTAAAAAACTTTACAACGATGAAAGAAAGTCACTGACCAATAAACCAAGAATAAGCTGATGAGTTTCTGTCTCCATCCCAAGTTGTGACGTTGAGAAGAAATATGTGATCACGGTTGACGGTCAGGTTTTTGAATACCATGACCTTAGCTGGACATGGACTCAAAGTTTGGCCATCAAGCTGTTCATATTAAACAGATTTAATCACTGTCTCCTACTTAAGAAAATGAGCTTATAAAAACGCAGCGGTTAAAAAAAGAACAGGACGTACCTGACAGTGAACGGAACAAGTATTTTTGTTGCATGCATTGGAGCCATTCAGCGTCAAAACTGAGTACCGGAAAGCTGCAGAAGAATACCGTGACCGTGCCGGCGGAGCTCTATCAAAACGAATGAGGACCGTTGACTCGGCTGAGTTTTGTACATTCACCATAACAGTAACCAGAACAAAAGCATATTGAAGAAACTTGAACAAACCCATTTCAGGGACGGCCATGTAAATCGCATTTAAGCTCAAATCTTGAAGGAGGAAAACAAATAAAAGAAGGCTGGACTGGGAGGCCAAAGCAAGCAGTGGTTATTTATTGCAGGGCAAATTAAATGTTGAGTGTTCTGTTTATTACGGCTTTAAATTGAAGACCACGTATAGAAAAGGGCAGTGCAACCACCATAGCCCTTGTTCACGACAGTCTCATAACTGCTTCTTTAAAGAAGTTCACAAACATCATTTACTTCCACTCACCAACCCATTGGCGTCTGCTTTTTTGGTACTTGTAGTTGTGCCACATTAAAAATGTTAAAACCAAATTGAAATATATTGGTTAGCTCGTTCCGGTTTCTAATGAACATGCTACGCAAATAGTCAATTCAGTCCACTATTCAATTAATTGGGGTTGAACCAAATTATTATCAGTGTAGTTTGCTCTGTACTTACAAATCGGATTGACCAAAGGAAAGCTAGTGCTGACACATGGAAGCACTGTTAGCTCTCCTTTGGGTCTCACACACTGTACGGTTCAATTTTCTACTCAACCACTTCTTTACAAGGCTATACAGAAGATACAGGGCAGGACAGCTGCAAAAACCAGTGAGACATTCAACGTATCCAAACCCTGGTTCTCCACAGGATTTATCAAGATGAATGATTTATCGTTGTACTAATCTTCTGCAACCATCCAGTGTAATTTGGGTCCCTGGATACAAAAGCATCACTATTTTAGAAGTGATAAAGATAAATAGACCAGATATCAGTGGCTATTATCACTGGTTCAGAGGCCCACAAAATATTGCAAAATGAAGATTAGGAAATAAGTTTAACAGATGGCCATAGGGAAAGCCCAAAATCATTAGGTTCCAGGAGTGCCAGGCTCATATTGTTATGAGAAAGTATTGAAACCATAATTCATGGATGACCCATTACCTTTCCTTGTCGTATGAGTTTGGGAGGGATCACTGTCATGTCAACTACGGTTGATGGATCAGCCACTCTTACCCCGCCATCAACGACAAAATCAAGGCCCTATAATGAATTTGAACACACAATAAAGGGAGAGCTCAATTTCAGAATACAAGCTAAACAGCCTTCAAGTGCCAAACCCATACCTCAGGTCCATATATATCAGCTATAACGACAGGATCTAACAACCACTCATTCTCCTTTGGGCACTTGACACTGCCAACAGGGAAACTTCAGTACAACACCATAATAAATTGGATTGTAACAGAAGAATCAGCTCATATAGATTGCTTAAAACTCCATTATGCTAAGAGCTTCTCATCTTCCTACAGTTCTTCACGTCATTAATGAAAAGAAGGTATACCAATGTATACAAAATAAAATCAGAGTTACCTAGTGGATATCAATGGTGAACCCATCTTCTCCAGTATTGCTTGACATATGGGTTCATCAGGCATACGAACACCGACATTTTTCCTTAAAGTGTATTTGGCATCTGCCGTCCCGTACCTTATACAATGTTTAGGCAGTTCTTTGGTTGCAGTTAAGATGAAAGTATACTGTTACACAAAAAGTGCTGTTATAGGCCAAATTTTAGGAATCTAGAGAACCATCATAAGTATTATGTGCTTGCTATACAATGAAACATTGTCTACTGGTGGTAGTGTTTAGTTGTAGTCAACGCTATAGATGACTAGGTTTAAAAAATAAAACAAAAAAGGGTTCTATAGGCAAATAATAATAGTAAGAGAAGCAAAGAAGAAACTTACAGGGCCAGGTAAGCAATGCTTAACAGCGCGGAATAAATTTGCATGACCTTGGCCATCGCCACGAGGGAACCCTGTTGTAAACGTATCAATGTCGTGGAAGGAGTGGCATAAGATGCTAAGGGGCTGCACCAGTAAGTCAGTCACACAGACAGTCATGTCAAAAAAAAGCAGAAATCAAAAATGAAAATTGGAAGAAAACCCAATAATCACAAAATTATCTAGTGATTAACAACAGAGTTAATGAAGCAATGATATTGAAGTGATCATGAGTAAAGGGATTCCGAGATGCTTGCCTTTTGAGGATCAACGTTCTTGATTCTGCAATGAAAGAAAGAAAGCATCTTTTCTTTACCAGTAAATTAATATTTTCAAATGAGTAGGAACAACGTAGACAAGGAAAGAAGAGGATCTTACCTACGAAGGCGTTCAATGGCTGAGTGATTTCTGAGATCACAAACTATTGCATACCTACAACAATATTGCAATTACAATTCAAATTCAAATGAGCAAGAAAGATTGTTTTTTTGTGCTGTGACTTACACAGTGTCAGTAGGAATAACACCAACACCGCCCTGTTTCAAAAGATGAACAACTGGTTCCAATTTCCAGCTGTCCGCTCCTGATAGTGATGGATCAACTTCAACGTAAAGCAGCTCATCCTCCTGATATTATCAGTCAATCAATTTCATAAGCTTCGGATGCTCAAACGCCCAATTTTTGCTTAATTTACATTTTAATTTAAACAGAGAGAGAGAGAGAGAGAGAGAGAGAGAGAGAGAGAGAGAGGACCTTGGTGAAGCGAGGAGTGGCGTATTTGAGACGCTTGGGGCTCCGCTTGACAGCGAGAGCTAACACTTGGAAACACCGGCGTTTTGGAGCGTCACAGCATACACGGCGGCTTGCATTTGAAATTGAATGAAGGCCAAGAGTTCCAGGCGCTGCTGCCAAAGACCGCGAAAAGCTGGAAGACGAAGCTAAGTCGCCACTGTAAACTTTCGTCTGAATACTACAGTAAGCCATTATCTCGAAGATTTGGAGGTACAAAAGTACAAAAATTTGAAGATGCAAAATTACAAAGAGCCTTAATTAACATTGTTTTTCGGAGTTTCTCGCACCAATCTTAACAGACATCAGCAGCCATACAGAAACTTCCGGGTTCTCCGGGCTAAACGGCGCCGTATATAGGAGATGCAGCACGTGGACATTCGGAGACGGTACGCCCCAATGCCTCACAGGTTCATTGGCCCATAGCTTCGTGGGCTGAATTCTGGGGCTTTTTAGATTAGGATCTTTACCCATTGCTTTTTAGTGAGGGTGTCATATACGGATTATAGATGTTAACTTTCACATTAGTCACATGATTATTTCATTAAATTTAAGTGAAGTTACTATTTAGATGAATCATGTGACTAATATGAAGATTTACATCTATGATCCATATATGACACCATCACTATAGAACGACTCAAAATGGGGGAAAAAATGCAACTGACGCATGAAACTTAATTCATTCATTAATTAGTTTGCTTTTCTTCTTATTTTTATTCGAGCGATATGCTATTTTAATCTAATTTAAACTACGGGGAGATTAGTTTGCTTTTTAAGATGAGCTCAAATGTGATATTTTTGCTTAATTAAATCTGATCACCCAATCCAGCCAAAAGGAAAAGATTTGAAGTATTCAATTGAGGGATCGAAAGAAAGCATGCATCAGAACAAGTAATTGCATGCTGGAGAAAGGCATAACCAGATTTACCCCCATCTTTGTCGTGATGGGCATTTGAAACCAAGGAATTGAATCTGCAAAGACAAACCAACATCCACAAAACCAGCTGCTCAACCGTCATCTATATTTGACTACGAGAAATATCCAAAATTGTTATCTATCATCAGTCACATTGGCGAAGCCTCACTATATTCACTAGGGCAAAGCTAACTACTTAATCTTATGGATGGTCTGCCATATATGATATGAGTAGTCCATTTCAAATGTACATCTCCACCTGCTGATGAATGATTCATCTCCAAACCACCTTCCAGAGTGCCAAAAACTAAGTCTAACTAAAGCGCGGAGGTGGGGGAGGAGGAGGAGGAGGATGGGATTTTGCAAATCCTAACCAAGCAACAATTCCGACAGCAAGGATTATCCAACCAAATATGTCATACTTGAGATCGCTGCTCTTGCTTTTCTTTGTAGCCTGTAGAGGGAGGAGGGACAAGGGGAAAAGCAATAATTCATCAACGGTTCAAGAAAACAACCATAATGAAAGCACAAGGAGTGCAAATGTGATGCACTGAGGTTAACAATATCATTCATCAACAATCAATGAACTATTGAATGACATCCACGTGAGACAGAAAAATCACCTTTGCACCCGATGAAGTAGAAGGTCCAGCAGCAGCAGCGGCCTCCATCACCTGTTGACCAAAACCATGCTTTTGGAATTCCAAGTGCAATTGCGGGGCCTATAAACACAGTCATTAATAACTTTGCAACAAGTCTCACATTCTTGGGCTGTTAAATCCAGATACAATTGTAAGAAAAATACAGTTCCAGAGATACTATAAAGTATAATTGACTTCTCAAGAAAACAGCTGACACCACACTAGACTTGGAGACAACTTAAAATCAAGGTTCTAATTGCCAGTCCCCCACGCTACCGCAACTAAGGATGCCAATACATGATTTCAACAACAAAAAAAAGCATTTTCATCAGATCAAGTTAGAGAGCACCTTGGCAGCCACTTCCAAAGACTTTCGATAGACTTCATTTCCCGGATCCTGCAAAAAATAAAAGAAAATACTCATCATACATCCAAGTTGGAAAAACAATGACATACTTTGACAACAAGCATACAGTTTCTTTGAGATTTGGCAGGTGAAGTACCTCGTCAAGAGCTTGCTGAAAGTACAGAGACGCCTTATCAAAACCATGATTTGCCTCATTCTGGTCCGGATTAAAAAATGCACGAGTAGTATGAGCATTTCCCAGGCACCAAAGAGCATCATGTTTCTTAGGATTAATCGACAATGCCTCCTCCAGCTTTGAAATTGCATCTGTGCAACCAATCACAAACCCATATTTACAAATTTAAAACTTACAAATTACTCAATTAAACAATACCAAATATGAAGGCCAGAGATAAGAGATTACAGTCTCGCATTTAAGAGATAGATGAATATTAGGGGGAAAGTTTGCACCTTGAATCATCTTGTTTGCCTCTACGACATTCTGAAACTGAGACAACTCTAGTAGAGCTCCAGCCCATCTCGTCAAGTTCTGCAATTACAAAATAGAAGTTAAATATAAGTTGTTTAAAGAAAAAAGGTGAAGAAGGGAAAGAAGTTAGAGCTCGAAAGCTAGCAATCCCCAGGTTCAGAAAGGAGAATGAGAAGGATGAAGAGGGAGGAGATACGAACACCGGCATCAAGAGGGTTCTTAGTGTAGGTGGCTTCGGAGGTCTTACGGGCGTGTTCGAAGAAGAGGATCCGATCGAAGTCGTTTTGCTGCAAATCCATGGAAATGGAGGGTTTTTCTTTGTGCTCTATACGGACGGTAAGGTTTAGAGAGATTCCAGAGCGAGCGACTCCTCTTCGAATCCACAGAGAAGAGGACTGGACTAGCTATCAAGGTTTAAGCGGTTTTCTATTTGGGGTGGAATAATGAATTTTTTCTTTTTCTTTTTCTTTTCTTCCTTCTGAAGCTAAACTTTCGACACAATCATAACTATTTATCACAGTGTGCTTTTTCCTCTCACATCTTAGAGCATCTCCGACCGATGTGTCAAAAGTGTCACATAGATATTTAACGGCTAGAAATAACATCTCACATCACTCCAACCGATGTGTCAAAGCTGATGTGGAATGAAGGCTGGAGATTGAGATGTTATTTTTGACATCCCAAAAACAAGATGTCAAATGAATATTTTATTATTTTTAGAGATAGTTGGTTGTTACTTTCATTTATTTTTTTTCTTTATCTTAAATGATTTGACTGTTACAATAATTATTTATTTGACATATCAGGTGGAGTGTAAAACTGTGTAAATGTCAAATTGCTACATCAGCCATCAAATTTAAATTTGATGTTTGGTATTTGACATCTCCCTTGGAGATGCTCTTACGCATTACCTCATGCGACTAATTCACATATATTAATACAATAAGTTTTTAATATAAGTTGTCAATGTTTTTATATTTCATAAATAGGAGAAGTCATCAATCGGAAAACTTAAATAGTGGAATTAAAAAATTAGAATTGAATCAACTACTCATCTAATTAGATCTGGCAAACGGGTCGTTTTAAAGGGTTTCGGGTCGTGTTCGTGTTAACCCGTTAAGTTAACGGGTTGACACGACACGACCCGTTAACTTAACGGGTGAAATTGTCAAACCCAAACACGACCCGTTACAATTCGCGAAAAACCCGCATGACCCGTTAAGAATAAACAAAAACAAAAAAAAATTATCGCCCAATGCTAACTCTTCTTTCCCTAAACTTTTCTTCCCTCTTTTCCTCTTCATTTCAGTCTCCCCTCCCCCAAGACAAAAAAACTTCTCTCTCTCATAGATATCTTACAAAATTGGTCCTCTCTCTCGCTCTCTCTCTCTCTCTCTCTCTCTCTCTTCACCACTTTCACAGTCACTCTCATTTAATCCAACCTTAAAACCCAACAACAACAGCAAAAACATAGGAATAAAGAAAATGGACTGAGAGATAAAGGCTTAGGCCGAGAGAGATGGGGAACTACATGAAGAAATCTAAAATCTCAGGTGACGTCGCTGTGATGGAGGTCTCTGTTTCACCACTCTTCTCTTGGCTGGGTTGAGTCTGTTGAGTGGAAGAAAAAATGTGAGAGTCACGAAGAGAGAATGGGTTGAAGGAAAAATAATATTAAAAAAGAGAATGGAAGAAATGGAGAGATGAAAAATGACAGAAAAAAGAAGAAGAAGAAGAAGAAGCGTCTGTTTGGTGTTAGGAATTGATATATTTTTTTTCAAAAACTCTTTGCAAAATTACAAAATTACCCTCCTTAACGGGTAGATGCGAATATTCGCGAATTGACCCGACACGACCCGTTAGCATAACGGGTGACTAATGGGTTCACCCGTTTTCAACCCGACCCATTAAGCTCAACCCAAATACTGATAATTTCATGCGAATTCATGTCGTGTTAACGGGTCGTGTGTAATATTGCCATGTCTACATCTAATTGATCAAATTTTTAATTTTAAAGCTATTTAATTACAAATTTTAACGTGTAACTCGCTTAACTTTTAATTTCATAAATTTAAATCATTCTAATACACATGTATAAATAAAAACAGAAGAAGTATAAATTTGAACCATTCCAATATAAATCATAGTAAACACGCTTAAATTAATCATTCCAATACATATTCATAGTAATCATGCTATGTAGTTTATAGTAGTTAGATGTTAGTATTGTTTGGTGATACGTGTTTAGTATTCATCACGTTAGCGCTCATTAGCTTGAATCCACAGCACAACAGCTGTGCTTGGATGTGCATATCCGTAAGTAAGGAGATGCAGGTTTAATGACAAATTGACACTTCACACGGGGAAATTGAGGCCAACGCTAAAGTTCAACATGTCTGATAACATTAGCCCAACCCAAGCCCATCACTTGCTTACAAATTAAGCCTAAACCATTAAAGGAAGGAAGCATAATTCCAATAAGGCCCATGTGAAAAGAGTTACAAAACCCACGTAACAGAAACAAGCCCAGAAGTGCGGTATGTTATGTTGTAGAGTAACACGGTGTTGCGTTATGCATATAGGCTCCGTTTGGTTTACATAACGGATTTGAGAACAAATTACTACCAATGTCATTTGCCAAGGTACTGAAAATATAATATTATTTTCCCACGTTTGTTAATGTTGAGAAAGTAACCGGGAGATATCACTTCATTTCCTTTCTCATATTTGTTTTGGATAGGAATAGAAAACAAAGTTTGTATAATTTTTCAATTATACCCATATTAAATCAAATAAAAAAAATACATTAATGATATATTATAATTCTAAATTGTTAATATGGACAAAATAGTCATGAAAAATGTGCATTTAATGTTGGCTCATTTTCTAAAACTTTTCCAAGATGGAAAACAAAATTCAAGTTGGGATGAGGGTTTCACTTTCTCTCTTACTTTCCCATGAGTCAAGCAACGATTTACCATACCTAGATTTACCAAACATGAGAAATTAATTGATTTTTCATTCTCGAGTCTTTTTTTATGAACCAAACGGGACCATATAGTTGTTCAACTTCCGGTGTACACAAATGAGAGAGAGAGACAGAGATATTTTGGAGATATTTTTTTTACTAAAAAGGTGCGGAAGGCACATGAAATGAAAGTGTCCTCGTTTTGATGTTGATTCAACAACCCATGCGTCACATGCCAACCAATCCCAATCCCATTCCCGTTCCCACCAACTTCATTTTAAAAAAAAACACTTAAACAAGTTGTGGTCTGCAGCTCAACAGACATTTAATAGGAGACTATTCTTCCTAATTACATTAACCAATCATTATTATTATAATTTTATTAATTCTATGTATTGGTAGAAAGAAAAGTATTATCTGGATTATTATTATTACAGGTCGATAGTCGTCGACACTACTTGTAGTTTATATGCGACCAGGCCAGCGAATTTCATGGTTATTTTCCAAATGGATCAGGAAAAACGACAAAGCTCGTACGCGGAGGAAGCACATAGTGATCGTATTACTACTCAGACTCTCCTCTCCCCGCCAGTCTTGCCGACAGACAGACAGACCCACATCACAACATTCCAAAAACTACTGGAATCTAATTTCGAACTCATCTGAACGGGAAAAATATAAAATGAATTAAATTCCAAGTAGTTCATCTGAATTGGATGTGCACGTCGTCTGCACATGCCACGTCCCTCTTTTGTCATTTTGTTCCTCATTGGATTCATCCCCAAAGTGTTTCACTTAATTTCCAGGTTAATTGTTGTGTCTAATTGTTTCTTATTTGACCAACACTTTAATTAGAGACTTCATTTAAACAAGGCAAATGTTGATCTGCAATTGAAAAGCTCCTGAAAACCCTAGTCCCCTTCTCTTCCTAAAAAACACTATAAAGTCGTTTTCACTTTGAGGAGAGGAAGCCATTATTCTTCCTCTCTTTCCCCATTTTTCAAAGTCATAAGGCTTCTCCTATCTATTTTCGTTTTGTTATGATTTTATTTCACTCATCACATGTGAATGCGTCTTGACGTCGGATCTCCACCTGTGTTTCAATGTCGAATATCTACCACCATTTTGCGAATTTTTTCGATCATGCATGATCATTAGTGAGAGGAGTCCCAATTATCTTAGTTTTGATGTTAGATCTCTTCATTATTGAATGCCCATTTTGCTAGTTTGTGTTGGTCATTTGTGACTGGTGGTTTTTTGGGCTAAATTATAAATGCAATCTCACAATTCTCCAACCAAAAAAAAAAAAAAAAAAAAAAAAAAAATGGTATTTAATCAAAGGGGCTCACATTAATTAAGGTTAGTGAGTCCACACACTTATGCTTGACTTCAAGTCCTCCACTCCATATATTCTATTAATTTAGAGTTTTTTTATACTATCGTTTGTGGATTTTTTTTGGGTTTAAATCTAGTAAATACTTGGTAGGAATTTAGATGAACATTTATCTAGCATTAAAGTCTTATCACTTGAACCTAACACAAGTTATTTACTCCATAGAAAATTTTGTAGATAATTTGAGTAATTTGGAATGGTCTTTTACAATTAGAAAGACGTAACTTGAAGTATCATTGTGGTTAGTGAAATTGTTCAAGCATTTAATGGTCAATACAATCCACATAACTACTTTATCAAGTAAACCCGTTAATTAAATCGTGACTACTTTGTGACCACAGAAAAAGAGATTCAAAATGAAAACCCGGAGTGGCAACGGATGTGATTCACCAAATCTTCAAGGGCATTTCCGGTAAACTGTACCATATATATAACAATAAAGATCCAGCTGCTCTCCTCCTCTGTCGTGTCTTCCGGGTTCACAGGGCAAAGCAAATAAAAGGTGAGGTGAGCTTCTGATCCCCAAATCTAGGGTTCTCTAAGGCTTCAAAAATTCACTCTTACTACACAAAATCAAGGCCTTAAGCCCTTCACTTTTCTACTTTAAGCTAGTAATTGAAGCTTTTGTGTGCTTCTTCTCTCTGTTATTTGGTAATTACTTGTCACATTTTGCGAATTGCATCTTCTCCTCCTCAATTTCTCTTGCTCTACCCTTCTTATTGTTTTAATCTCAAATGCGTGTTTTGGATCTTTGAATTTGTTACATATACGTTGATGTGTAGGAAACCTTTTGGATTTATGTATTTTTGCAGCTGATTAGTTAATTTTCAGCTTCGGATTTGGAGTAATGTTGGTAGTTGGAACTTGCGTTGTTCCATTTTTTTTTATTTTCTGTCATTGGGTTGACTTTTTAGTCGGTGTAAATTTTTTCTTTTACTTGTTTGGTTGGTTGGAAAATGGAGTAAATGCAGAAAGAAAAATATGAAACTCAAATATTTAGCTTCTTCAGGTGTCTGGGTCAGTTCTAAATCATGCTGTACATTGACATGAGTATCTCAAAATCATCTTTTTGGAATTTTTTATATAAAATATTTGTACTTTTCTTTTGATTAATAGTTATTTTGCGCTTATAAAATGGTAAATCAGCATGTTTATTTACTTGCGAAAGTTAGTATTACCTTATCTGCCAATTTATCGCGTAAACCTTTATTTTCATCCACTTCTTTTTTCTTTTGTGCATGTATATGATGGTAAAATGACTCTTTCTTTCATGAACATATGAGCTGTTCTCATGATTCTCTTATCCTCTTCCGTTCAACTCAGCATTGAACTAATATGGTTCATCTTTTCAGTATATGCTACTTATGTGAGCCAATTATGAATGTTGTCCCCTTATCCTTTCTTAATTTATAGAATCTTCCTTTAATGCTGTTTAATCAAAGTTCCTATCGGCATTTGTTCCGTTATCACTGCCTTTGTGCTTTTCTAAAATTAGATAAGCATGCTTTGCATTATTATACCTATTTACTATATGCTTTAACTTTTTTGGGTTTAACTGATTTTTCTGTTCTCAATCCATTTTTTATTCTTTGAGCTGTTAAGTTAATTTCCCTATCTCCTTCTCATAAAAAAAAGTGTTCTTTTTCTGGTTTCTGAAAAACCGTTTTGCAGGATCTGTCAATCCGAGTATATTTTGCAAGATGGACAGCATGAACAGCTTTTGGCAATTGGGTGATGAGCTTCGAGGACAGTCAAAAGTCGCAGAAGATCAAAAATGGTTTATGGCCGCTTCAAAGTTGGCTGAGCAGACAAGGGTAAAGGGCGAGCGTATGAATAACCTTGATCTTTCAAAGGGCCCAGCCGAGACAAGGGCAAGGGATAAATTTGGGTTCCAGGAAGATAACAAATTTGAAAGCCTTAACTTTAACATGCTGAGCTTGGACTCTAAAGTAAATGAAAATGTGAGCAAAAGTTCCTTTAGGAATGGTATTTATAACATGAATGCAGTTTACCAGAAAAACAATGCAAGTGTTGTGGGAAACATCACTGGTAACAAGTACAGCAACAAAGAAATCAACAACAGCAATATCAACAACGAATCTGCAAATACAGTTGAAAAAAGGTTCAAGACCTTGCCGGCAACCGAGACACTCCCGAGAAATGAGGTGCTTGGAGGTTACATCTTTGTGTGTAACAATGACACAATGCAGGAAGATTTAAAGCGACAATTATTTGGTAAATTTGATTTATTCTTATCTTCCTTAAGAATCTGTTTTAGATTTGTAATTTTTTTACTTTTTATTTTATTTAAAGATTGTGGGTTATAACTTAAGGTATAGGTTAAAATGACTAATTCTTAGCTTGCATTCTCTGCATTTGCAGTCTTTACAGAGATAATAGTTCATGTAAAGGGATCCTTAAGTTTATGCCAGTGTTGAGGAATACCTAAAGGGGTTAGAATGCATAAAAGTTATAACTAGGAATAAAATACGTTGGATGAAATGGTTTATGATGTTTGTACATATCCCTCTACCCATGCAACTTAATTAATGGAGTTACCAATAAATGCAGATTATGCTTATAAATTATATAGTTTATATTCCTTCTTTGACACATTGAGAAATTTGTGTATGTGTTAATCTTTATATCTATATGCTAGGTTTACCTCCAAGGTATAGGGATTCTGTTCGGGCAATAACACCAGGCTTGCCTTTGTTTCTCTACAACTATACAACACACCAACTGCATGGCATTTTCGAGGTTTGTTCTCAGACTTCCTATATATTGTATTCATTCATATTTTTTGGCTGCAATATTCATGGTGGTATAGAATGTATGCTGACTTGGACTATCATCTTAGCTTATTATTTGATCCTTTTTCAATTGCTTTTGTGCAGGCAGCAAGCTTTGGTGGTTCAAACATTGATCCAACTGCTTGGGAAGACAAGAAATGTAAAGGCGAGTCGAGATTTCCTGCTCAGGTAGAATTTGTAACGATAAAGAAAGCTTTGTTCTTTTGGTTTTTGGCATTTATCTTCTTTTCGTCTTTGTGTTTGCGAGCCATTTATCCAATTTATTGATGGAGACTGTCTCCTTCCGTTATAAATAATTATTAGGTAAGGATCCGTGTTAGGAAACTCTGCAAGGCTTTGGAAGAAGATGCCTTCAGGCCAGTCTTGCACCACTATGATGGTCCCAAGTTTCGTCTTGAGCTGTCAATTCCTGAGGTATGGCACCTAAGTCACTGGTTGCATTGTTTTTTTCTTTCAGTTAAATTTTACTGGCTTCATAGGAACCTATTTGATGATTTTTTCAGACCCTGGATCTATTGGACCTTTGCGAACAAGCGGGTACTGCAGCATAAGCTAAATGTTGGCAGCAAGATGCCGATGTAGTAGGTTTTTTGTGGTGCATGTCAGCTGTGTGCTTTCAACAGCTTTTCCATGGAGCGCAAGCTTGGGGGTTAAGTCTGGTGTTTACTTTATCTTGTGGAGTTATATAGTGCTTAGCGTGAGTGAGAAGCCTGCTGAATAAGTGAGTGTGTCTCTTGTGAAGATACTTGTTTAAGTTGTACAACATTTGAGAGCTCGGGTTTTATGATGATGAAAAATGAAGTCGCAAGATGTAAAAGAGATATGACTGCTCTGTAATGTAATGTAGGAGTGGTAAAACCTCTGAAGGTAAAGTCCTTGATGCGATGTGTCTCTAATCTATTGGGTTGTTCCTTGTGTTGGTTTGGTCAATTTGGAGTGCATCTACCATCTTCTTTACTCATATAGTAAGTTAAGTCTCTTCCAAAAGCTCAAATCCGGCTTGCGTTTGTGAATTCTATCATTTCACATAGATATTGGTAAAACTTGTAAGGGCTCTTGCGGGAAAATCGAAAAAATGGTGCATAATTATATGATAAGCCAAGGGATCCAATGCAAACAAGAGAAAAAGCATCCGATGCAGAAAAACCAAACAAGGAATTTTGCTTTGGGATGACAATTTGGCCCCCCGAATTGAACTTGAGAAGAGAAATAATACTATATTAATAAAACTAGTTAGTGATATTTATAGAATTCAAATAGGGTGACGCCTAGTAGATTAACAAGTACATATCTCCAAGCAAGCCAAAACTTGTATATATAGTATCTCTATCAAAAAAGAGAGAGCCAAAGTTTCAAAATAGCCAGAACTCCTTGTCTAGCCTATACTGAATAAAAGTTGAACGAACCTTAAAACCCAAATCCCCCCAAGTACCCTGAGGCCTATTTATACGTGGATACGTTGTTCTGTTTGAATTGGAACATGCTGTCGTACAACATGCGCACTTGATCATCTACATAAGTTTGAGATTCAGATTCAGTTTGAGATGAAGTAGCAAACTGTTGATATTCAAATGAAAAAGAAGCTGCCGAGACTGGACAATCGGTATAACTTGGTTGCAAGGATAGAGAAAGCGGTTCATCATATGCAACATTTATCGGAGGCACGTCCAGAGGATGTTCAACGCTTAGTTGTTGTTCAACTTGAGATGTAGTAGCAGCACTGGACAATATCGGGTCGTACGTATATGGTGGTTGCATGGGATTATTATTATAGAATGTCGGCTTCTCCTCCATATTTCCATATTGCAGAGGAACTGCATCAATTCCAAACAGGTCATAATCCCAGATAGATGTCGTGCCCTTATAATCCGAAACATTTGATGGAGCATACTGAATGTTGTTATTGGCCCATGAAGTGCTTGCACTTGCAGATTGATCCCAGCCATTTTCGCTCATCCCCATTGAACCATAATTACTAGGGTTCTGATCATCAACCATTGAAAGAAATGGAGGGTCTAGGTTGCTTTGAACCATGTCCTGCACATTATGTCAAAGAAAAAGGAGCATGTTAATTATTAGCACCAAATAAGAACATATACCATACGTGGGTTAGGCCAGTTGGCTAGAGCAGCGAGTTAGAGAGAAATTTGACAATTAAAGGGTACTCACTCACCATTGGGGGTATATAATCTTGTATTGCAGGTTTCTTTGAATCGATCATCATCATGTTGTGTATCTTGTGGGCAGCTTGAATTTTGGCCTCTAAATTGTTTAAAAGCTCATGCATTTGTTCCAGTGAATACTCATTAAGACGATTGTCCCATGTAGGATACTTCTCTTCGTAACTTTTGGTGCGTAGTTTCACAATCTCTTTCTTAACTTGCATTGTTTGGGTGGCATAAAAGTCAGCCAAGTTCTGAACTTTCTTGATCTTTGATGAATTGGACTTGTACTTGTCAATGATTTCCTTCACCTCTTCAAATTTCGCAGGGAAGGTTTGAGGAGGGGCCAGTTTGCCCTCGGATTTCTTCTCATAAACGATTGTACACACCTTCACATCACAAAGGGTCGTTAACTCAAAAGCCTTCTTAAACAATCCATTCTTTCTCTTTCGAAAAGTAATCTTGCGAGCTTTGTCGTCCTGAATCAGCTCCAAAGCTAGCTTTGTCTTACGTCGACCCATGTCTATGTTCTTGTTCTAAGAAAAAAACAGCAAGATAAGATCATGTTAGAACATATTACATCGCCGAGTTCAAACCCCCATCCCCGTACATATTATCAAACTAAAAGGCGTTTTCTTCTTAGAACACATACCATAAGCATAACCGATAAGTCTTCGTTCTTACCAGTTAATCAGAATATATCAATGACAGACAAACTAATTCATGAACACAACAATGCGAACATAAATCAACGTATACAGAATTATAACAAAGGATTAATTAAGACAAAGAAGTAGGAACGCAAGTGTTGAAACTAAATAATGGTGCAAGAAGGAAGAACCTTAGTTTCGATGGCTTCTTCTCACTATGTAGATTTAAATTCAATGCAGATAAGAAAAAGAGGGAGGTTTATGGTTCTTTATATTAGGTTTAGATCATGGGATGATGAAAAGAAAGGAGGTTTATGGATATCTCCTTTATACGGGAGGGATTGAGCTCTCGTCTCTGGTCACGAATAAGGAAACAAAATCATAGCGATTGATTGTTTCTGTTTTTTTTCTTTCAAAATTTCCTTTACGAATATGGTGTTAATTGATTAATCAGCACACAAAATATTCGGGATACCCGAAATCCCGATTCTTTCCCATTGTGTGCCACCATTAATTGAGAATAAATTATTATTTTATTTTAAAGCTGGGTAGCACAATAGGAATCTTATTTTTAATTTCCCAAACCCCTCCCTCCCATCCCACGAGAGAAATTATTAAAATATATAAAGTACGCGTGAGTCTTTATATGCAAGAAACAAAAAAACAAATTTATTTTTATATGCAACCGCCCATGGAGATGTTCGTGTGCTGGTTTTTCTTAGTTTTATTGGGGGATAAAAAAAGGGGAAGAAGAAGAATGCTCGATGTTCTTTCAACATGCATGAGCTGTGTGACATACCGCAGTTCAACCTAAAATCCCAAAAAGAGAGCAAAATAAAAATACACGACACTATAAATTTCTTATGAAGTGATCACTTTAGAAAAAAAGACAAACCACAAGAACAATTGTAATATATATAAATATTATTACATGGGAAAAATGTGAGTTAAGTTGCTTTCCATAAACAATGATACAATTCTCATGCGTGCAGCTTTAATTCCCAGAAATAACAGTTGACCCACCCTCCAAGCAATTGAACAGATGTTGGCACTTTGCAATGCTGAACTAGTTTTCAAATGAGTTTCATTCAGCAAAGGCTTCATCATCATATTCCTACTATTGTCACAGTTAGCAACCATGATGGCGCATCAACGAGCTGCTGATACGAGAAACGTGCGAATTCTTTGCAAAAGCTCCGCCTTTATGGAATCGGGAATGGAGGCTGTTGGGGAAAAGAATTGACGAATTTACAGTTGTTAGAGCAACACAATGCAAAAGGGAATACAAATTCAAACAGTAAGATTCATTCATTTATAGGTAGGGAGAAGTGAAGATTTATTGGCAAACAGGGGATCAACAACTGCATGACATGAATGTGGGTGGGATTATGTCAAATCAAATCCAGGTAACTGAATCTCTTTTCATTCTAAGAGTTCCTTCCCTTGACTGCCCGTATCATCAAGTTGGTCAGTTTCATTGGGACAAATGGGATGACACCTTATCCCATTTGTCCAAGTGAAGCTGAGTCTCACTTACAGAGGATAGCATTAGAAAGAAATCCATCAAAGTTGCAAGAATAAAAACAAACAGAAAGCCATTGTCTACAAATGTATTTTATACATATAATGTAAAACCAGTGGAGATTAAAGTTAGTACTCTAGATATTTCTAGTATTAGCGAAGCCAAGAATCCACCCTATTAGATTGATTTCAGTGCTACCTTAAAGGTCAAATACTAATGAACATGGAGAGATGAAACATCATTTAAACCAATTTTGCGAGTTCTCAGACTACACTAGAGGGGTTTTGCTGTCCCTAATGATCAATAAGAAAAGAAAAAAGCCACACCATCTGCACATACAACCACCATCACCAAGGTCCAGAAAACCACCACCCCCTGGCTCTGACAGAACCCACAATTGCAGGCATGCAGCTTCCTAACCTACCCATACCACATAGTATGAGACTACCACTCTAACCAACACCAACCACTCACCCGACTTCATTAAAATTTCTCAGAAACACCATCATCTAGACACTTCCTGCTCCCTTGTGGACACTACCAGCACATTTTATGGCGATGCCCAACTCTCCTCCCAAAACATCCTTCATGTCAAGTTTTCCAAGAAGGTGATATTTAGAGCAAAGTAATCATAAAATTCCAAGAAAAACATGCAATCATGTAGACAATCAAATGGGAAGAAAAAAGAAAGATTTACCTCTGCCCTTTGGGGTGATTACATGTACAAGGTCATCCACAGTAACATTGTTCCTCCCTTTTTTCTTTATAAACGCCCTAACATAAAAAGATACACATGGGTTGAAAGATGTCCAATTAGCAACCTTGCTGGTAAACACTTGGTTGAGTGCATATAAACCTTACGTTCAACATATAGAAACAACTTTGCACTATTCAAATTTATAACTCATGGCTGAGGCTATCTTAGCATCCAATTCTATTCGCAAACATCATAACTAGAACACTTAGTTTTTTAATACAACTATATAATCATACACCAATAGCTTAGTTAGCCATTTGGTTCCTTCATTTTCCCATATACTATGCAGCGTTGACCATTGATAGAGGATTCCATCATGAAGCTGCTGAAATCCCAAAGACAAGATCCCAGGTTACAAAACCATCGAGCCCCTAAAACCATACCCCAAACTCCCAGAGGAAGAACATGGAAATCAGCCTGAATTAGTAGTCTTGTAGAGTAACCAGCAACCCTCAGAACCGTCTTGTGCAAGTGAGCTTAGTTTCATTAGCCACCATGAGCTCAAAACAATCTTCCTCAAGTGTATGGCAAAAGAGTCTACCTAAAGTTATGAGTGCTGGCCAAATTGATCACCACTGTAACTGGATTTATTTGATTTTTAATAACAAAGGGCTATAGTTTTGTGGCATCATAAATCCAGTGAGGGTGTGCAAAGAGACTTCCAATTGTTCTGCATCTTCAGGTTCCTCATTCATTTCGAGGGTCCCCACAAACATCATAAAATATAAATCCCCCTCGAAATTACTTATCAAATAACGAAATTTAATTTTACTGAATTTCCATACACTCGTTATGAATTGATCACAGAATTGTATTTGATATCGGACAAAAGTCATTTTGCACCATAAACCTTTCCAATCATAACAATGCCATATCATTCTCATTGGTCGTGGTTTAGAAGCAGATGTGGGTCAAGGAATTTAGGTGTGAAGAAAGTAACTGGGCAATAGTGGTGACCTCAAAACAGAAAAAAAGAAAAGAAAAAAAAGTAGTAAATACCTGCAAAGAGCTTTCATTTCATCCTTCCACCCACATTCTATTAGCCTTTCCCTCAGAAGCTCCATTAATCTCTCTTTTTCACCGCTCTCAATCAACTGAAAATTCAACCAACAACCGGAAAACGCTAAGCTAACTCAGCAAACAAAGGAGAAAGGAATAATCTCAGACTTTCAGTAATAAAAATAAAAAAAAGATGGAAAAAACAAACCTCGATGTTGATAAGCTCTTGAAAAGTGGGCTCTTTTCCTTGATTCTCCATAACATCCGGCGTCGGCGGACGATTCACCGATTTCCTCCTTTTTTTTAATAACAAAAGATGGAGGAAATTCTATTAAAAATTCAGTCTTCTAACACACTATGCAAAAGAAAACATCACAAGAACATAGATGACTGTTGTAAACCTTAACATAATATTCATTAAATTAGTTAGCTTATGTTAGGTTAGGGAACTAACATGGGTTTATCAATGTAAACAAAACCCTAGCTAGCTTAGGTTAGGGAACTAACATGGCTGTATCTATCACGGACCCAGAAATCTACGACTTTGTTCGAACACTCTGCGACTTGAAGAGGAAAGTAGATTGATCACGAAGATCGATTGATGAACATGAAACTGGTTAAGCACTGTAATTCAACGACGTCGTCTCCGGTGGTGAAACGGAGTAGGTTAAATTGGGCCGCTTCAGCCCACTCTTTTTTTTATTATAAAAATACTGTAAGGTCCAACCAGATGGATTGGTTTGGGCCGATGTATTTGCTCTTTTTGGGTCTTATGAGTTATTGTCCTCTTTGCCCCTTCCCGCTACAAAAAAATCACCAACTCCGGTCAACTGAAAGCGAAATGGCGCCGAACGGTCACCATAAGAACGGCTGTGGACACAAACGTACAAACGCTTGAGGGCTGGAGGACGCATGTTCAGTCAAATTAGACCTAATAAGCAGAAAATGGAGTTTAGGCTTTAATATTATACGCCTCTACTGTTACTCTCAGTTCAGAGGCTCTGTCTGTGCGCTTCCATGGCTTCCGTGTCCCTCTCTTCTCTGTGCCTGACGCAGAACCCTATTTCTCTCAGTTTTAGCTCCATAGCTTCCGATCATTTGAGGTTTGGTTCACCTACTGTTGAATTCGGCTCCGTCAAGAAGTATCGGAGAGATAGAGCTGTCGTCTGCAGAGCTTCCTCGGTTGTCTTTCGCAACCTCGACGCCGATGACTTTCGGCACCCTCTCGACAAACAGGTGTGATTAGTTGTTTACTCTGTGAGGAATAATATTTTGTATGGTCAGTGGCGTTTGTTTCTCTAGAAAAATAAGAAAATACGAAAATACTGTGAAAACAAAAGCCACAGCTTAACAGCCTAAGTCAGTTGATTCAAGTCCTTATTGACTCACTCTCAGTTTTCCTCTACAGAAAGTAGAAATGTTGACGATGCATAATTCTTGCCTTTGCTAATTAATTTGTATTTGGACTAGCTATTTGGCAGTGTTCGAAAAATCGGCCTAGGCGGCGTCCTTATTTTTTTTCTCCTGACTTTAAAGAAAACCACGCTGCCTCTTTGAGAGTGACGAGGATATTGAGTTTTAAGTCCGATACCGAGCGAGTCTTGGAGGGATATGTAGACTGAGAGGCTTAGCCTTCATTTCAAGTATTTTTCTTTGTAGTACTATTATATGCTTTATGCTTAAATTTTTTCCCATGGTTTTTTTAAATCAATTATGGTACTTTATAATTTATATATCCTTTTATTTTGCATGATTTTTGTATAAATTTATAATTCATAATACAAAATAATTATATAAAAAAACCGCCTAGCGATTTTTCGAACATTGCTATTTGGTAATGCTTTCTATATGCTTGGAATTTTATTTCCTTATTACGCAGAACACGCTGATTTTGAGGGCGATTCCAGGATTGAATGAGCTTGGAAAGATTCTTCTAGGTAATAGGCCTCTAATTTGGTGTACAATTAAACTTGTGTCAAATTGTGTTTGCTAAAAGACTTGGGTTTTTATTCTTTCTGAATTTGTTTTTATGGCTGTTGCAGGATCCGTTGCAGAGCAAGTCATGCTTCTTGAGAATATTGGAACATCCCTTCTTGTTTCTAAAGATCAGGTTAGTTCAGTTTATCATCTCTTGCCAGTGGAAAACTTGTCTTTGGGAAAAGCAAAAAAGAAAAGCTTATGCAATAATTTTGTATTATTTTTGTTTTATCAGCTTTCTGGTCTACATCGATTGATGGTTGAGGCCGCGGAAATCCTCAATATTGATGCTCCTGATCTATATGTTCGTCAAAGTCCTGTACCAAATGCATATACTTTAGCAATAAGTGGTAAAAAGCCATTTGTTGTTGTTCATACTAGCCTTGTGGAGCTTTTGACTCGAGAAGAGTTACAGGTGATAAATTCTCTTTGATTTTGATTGCTCACCCTGTATTTTGTATTTTCATCCTTACTTTCTCTCAGTTCTCAGTCAAGGTTTTCTGCTGATGTTTTTGTATTTTCGAAGTTGGCTTTGATGTTCAACTTCATTCATAAATTAGTTTCATATCTGTTTCTCTCTGGGGTTTTTCCCTGCAGACAGCATACGTATATAATAATTGGACACGAGTGTGTGCTTAAATACATGCATTATCTAGGGTCGGTAGTAAGATTGGAATATTACCACATTCTATCTGTCTATCTGTTCGCGCGTAAACACTCAATACACACACTGTATGTAACCCACACTTGTGCATGTGTTTTTGTGTGTGTGCATGCGCACGGGGGGAGGGGAGTAGGTGCGAATCATGTGCTTGTTAGATCTTGTAGGAGTATTGTCTAATATCCGCTGTTTAACTTGAAATTAGGCTGTTTTGGCTCATGAGTTGGGTCATCTCAAATGCGACCATGGTGTATGGCTGACATTTGCAAATATTCTTACCCTTGGAGCTTATACCATACCTGGTAAGGTGCCTGATACTTTTATCCTTAGTTAAGGTAATTTGATTACTTTTGTTGTATTTGATTGTGTTAATTGAGCGCCATTTGCCTTTATTGTCATAGTCATAGTTGATCCATAATAATTTGCATCCCCCAAGAGTCTTCCTGAAGAGATGCATAGGTATTGTTTTGAATACTTGTGTTATTCATAGGGCTTGGTGGGATGATTGCTCAGAGTTTAGAAGAACAGTTATTTCGTTGGCTTCGAGCAGCAGAGCTAACTTGTGATCGTGCAGCCCTTCTTGTTGCACAAGACCCAAAGGTATACAACCTCATGTAGCTACTTGTTTTCCAATAAACTTGCTGTTTCATATTGGTTATCTTGATTTTCTCTTTTATGTGCCCACAAGAGGTGGTCATCTCTGTTCTAATGAAATTAGCTGGGGGCTGCCCTTCTCTGGCTGATCAACTAAATGTGGATGCATTTTTGGAACAAGCTCGCTCCTATGACAAAGCTTCTTCAAGCCCAGTAGGGTGGTATATAAGGTACATGGCAGCATACGTATAGCACCCTTTGTTTGGTTATGCACATCCTAGGGTTGACTGTTTTAACTCATGCTGTCCAGAAATGCTCAAACGAGACAACTTTCACATCCTCTGCCCGTTCTACGTGCTCGTGAAATTGATGAATGGTCAAGAAGTCAAGACTACACAACTCTTCTGAAACATGCAACACAGATCACTGGTGCCAAGAAAGTTTTAACAACACCAGGAAGATAGTCAAAATCCAAAGCACTGTGAAAAGGTATCACCTCTTTTCTATGTTTCATTTGTAAGTGTACTTGCTTTTCGAAGATGTTGTCTCACAGAATTATACTCTTTTTATTACGTATAATTTTTCCTTTGGAAACTTGTGCTTATTTTACACAGAAGAAAAATCATTGCTCTTTATCCATGGTCTTATGGAACAAAGAACAGGTTTGACTGATTGACTTCCTGGTCTTTGTTAGTTGCTTGACACTTATGGAACATAGCTATTTCATGTCTCAATTCTATCCTTGTCCTGCCATCATGAATGGGTAGGATAGTTGCTCCTTCCACCAAAAAGAGAGAAGAAAAAAACATAGGTTGCTAGGTACAATATTAACCATGCACGTTATGCATATTATGCTTTGACTAGACTTCATTTTTGGTTGTTTTTTTCACGCTTTCCTTATTGTTTGTTATGATATATGAAGATGCTCATATTACGTTTCATTCAGGCAGCCCTGCGTCTCACGGCAAAGAGCTACAGAGATAAAGAGGATATGCTAAGAGTTTTTTCTGCTGTAAAAGCCTTGCTGTAAGTAAATTCTGCAGATTGAGGATGCACGGGTCGTAACTCGTAAGTTGAGTACTTTGGCTTGTCAATCTTGTGAAAATATAGAAGACGTATAGGTTTTTGAAGTCATGGTGACACTTTATACAGCTCTTATAGAATCAGGTTGTTTATAAATATTGATCACCACTTTTTCTCAATGTACAACAGAAACTTTATTTGGTAATTAAACTGTATATATTGCATTACAAATTTATAGTTTATACAGTTATTTGGCACGCCTCCACAACACACAAAATGATCAGCAGGCACGCTGTGTTGCATGCATATCCCGAAGTAGTAGTCTAATTTTGTCTGGTATGAGAAGTGCTTGCAGCAATTTTGTACTGAAAATTTGGAATTAAAGCACAAGAAAGCTGAAAACAAGAAAAGAGTGAAAGTTACAAAAAGTTTCGTGTTTGGTTGTAATTCTTAGAGCCGAAATGCCGGGGGCATGATTTGCATGAAGTTGGCTACTGCCCTATAAATACTGTGTCCACATTCAGTTAACAGCACACACAAATTCCTTAATTTCTTCTGAGCAAACATGGCCTCCACCATTTCCCACCTTCCAGCAGTTTGCTCAACTTTGGTTTTCTTTCTCCTTTTGAACGCGCTCATTCCTTTTCATCGTGTTTCAGCTGGTCCAGGATTGCCTGTTCCCCATCCTCCACATTCAGGCTCAGCATCTGATCGTCAAGCAATGCCTGCTTCCAATCCTCTACCTTCAGCCCCATTATTTGATCATCAAGCAATGCCTGCTTCCGAACCTCTACCTTCAGCCCCATTATTTGATTATCAAGCTATGCCTGCTTCCAAGCCTCCACATTCGGGCTCAGCTTCAGATCATCATGCAATGCCTGCTTCGCATCCTCTGCAATCAGGCTCAACTAAAGATCATCAAGCAATGCCTGCTTCTCGTTCTCCGCATTCAGGTTCAGCTTCAGATGGCAAAATCACCACAACGGGAACACCGCGGACGCCTATTCTGTGCGAGAGTGAGAAACCTACTCAACAACAACAGCCAATGTCTCGGAAGCAGCTAGGGGTTTAATATGGCAGACAATAACATAACAAATAATGATTTTAAGTAAATAATCTACGACATCCACTTGTATCACACACGACATGCAGTTGGATGTCAAAATCATGCCCATAAGGACCATATGAACGTTTTATGTTTGACAATTAACTTATTTTTTTTGTGTTCTTTCGCACATTATCTAGTTATTTTATTGCGTGATAATGAGAATTGGATCCTCTTTTATCCCTATGTTGCCTCTACAAATTGACCCAATTCATGTGAAGAACAAAACAATGTCCATGCTCGAATGCAAAATTACGCCCACTGGATTAAGATTAGTATGGAAACAAAATGCGCCGATGGTTTTGAGCAAAATAAATTTAAATTAAAGAATAAGAATAAAAGGGTTTTGGACCTCCGGGGCCCAAACACAGCAAGCGGCAAGCACCAAGTCCAGACAAGTAACGTCACTTGTGGAACGTAACGTCACAATTCACTAAGACCATTATTCCCAGAAAAGGGCCATCTGTCTATCACTCGTTAGCCCCAAGTAGCTTAGCTTGTTCCTCCATTTCTGCTGAATCAGAATCAGAAATCACAACTCTTTCTTCTATCTCTCTCTGTAAACTCATCATCAAGGAAGGTTGAAGAAGAATGCCTGGCGTCAGAGGGCCTTCAGATTACTCGCGGGAGCCACCTCGACATCCCAGCCTCCAAATCAATGCCAAGGCCAGCCTTTTCTTGTTCTTCTTCTGCAATTCAATTCAATTTCATTTCTTTGATTCTATATGAATACATATTCAAAATCAATCAATCAACTGCAGGAACCTTTTAATGCGGAGCCACCGCGTTCAGCTTTGGTCTCGTCGTACGTGACTCCTGTGGATTTCTTCTACAAGAGGAACCACGGTCCTATTCCAGTAGTGGACGACATCCACAGGTCCATATAATCAACCAAAGCTTTCAAATTCTTCATTTATCTTTTCAGTTTCAGGGATTCTAACTCATTCTGCAACCTCTTTTCCCAAGCAGTTACTCAGTTTACATCTCCGGATTAATAGAAAATCCCAAACACCTCTTCATGAAAGATATCAGGTCATTTCTTGCCACTTTCATGTGTATCTGTGTGTGTATGTATATGTCTATCTATCAGTGTATGTGTATGTATGCTTATTATAATGAAACTGAGATTTTAACTGTGCGTTATTAAAATAATAACAGGGCGCTTCCCAAGTATAATGTCACTGCCACTCTACAGGTACGTTATGCTATTTCTTATGCATTTGGGTTTTCACCAGTATATGCTTTTGTTAGACTGTGATGAGATTTGGTTGGTATATGTGGGCTACACAGTGTGCTGGTAACAGAAGGACGGCTATGAGCAAAACCCGGACTGTCAAGGGAGTTGGGTGGGATGTTTCTGCTATAGGAAATGGTTCGTTCCTCTTTTGTGTATGAGTTTCAGCCTTCAATCTCTCTCTCTTTATGTGTGAATTAGCATAAACTTTAGAGTTAACCCTTTTATTGATTTCCAACTAGATTTAATTTGCATATGTATCATTGTTATCTATTTTTCTATGAATTTAGTGTCAGAGATGTCCTAGCTAATATAAGTATGTAACTGTGTTATAATTGTTTGAACTCATTACAGCTGTATGGGGTGGTGCAAAACTGGCTGACGTTCTTGAACTCGTCGGAATACCCAAGTTGACAGGTGCCACTAAATCAGGTGGAAAACATGTTGAATTTGTAAGCGTTGATAAGTGTAAGGTACAAACTTGGATAATTACTTACTTTTTCATCTGAAGCCTTTTCTGTTGTTTTGTGGCTGTTTTTTTTTGGATCAAAAGACTACATAGATTCGCTTTGCAAAAAGAAACTTTATACTCATTATAATAGTGAGTAATGACTACAAATTATAGGAGGAAAATGGGGGCCCCTACAAGGCATCAATTCCACTAATTCAGGCCACAAATCCAGAAGCAGATGTTTTACTTGCTTATGAGATGAATGGAGAGGTAAGTTTAGCAGAGTGGATGGTTTTCTTGTCTATCTTAAAGTTCTGCCATTGTGTCGTTCAACCATGCTTGTAGTCACATGCTTCTGCTTTGTTGCTAATGTTTCAAATTATTGTTTTGATTAACCTGGTATCTTCGTTATTCTTCAAAATCAGGGACCTGGCAGATTTTGAGTTTTGAGTTCCGAAATAAGTTGTGGGCTTTTGTGTTTGATGTTAAATGTGGTTAACTGACGTGTAGTTCAAAACATTCTCTATATTTTGTATATGTACCTGTTGCATGTGTGTCTGGCTTATGTTTTTGATATTGTTTCTTTCAGCCTAATAGGCAGTTTTTGTCACATGAAATTCATATATATTAATGTTGGGTTCATATTCTTTGATCATGTCAAAGACTCTTAACAGGGATCATGGGTATCCATTGCGTGTGATTGTCCCAGGTGTTATTGGTGCCCGTTCTGTTAAATGGCTTGACTCTATTAATGTAATTACTGAGGAATGTCAGGTCAGAAATGGATTCTTCAACTGATTATTTTCGGTTAATCTTTTGTTTATTTTCTCCTTTCACAGTTTTATGTGATTCAAATTTCCTTTACAATCTTGTAGGGTTTCTTTATGCAAAAAGATTACAAAATGTTTCCTCCTTCGGTGAACTGGGATAACATTAATTGGTCTACTAGGAGGCCACAAATGGATTTTCCCGTCCAGGTATGAACATTTGCTACTCCTGCTAAAATACTTGGTGTTTCTTGTGCTAAATGTTGCGTGTATAACTATAAAATTGTGGTAACCATAGCCCTTCTTTAGATTATCACAGGTGCAACATTTCCTTAGCCTAGAAAAGGAAACAAAATTCCTACAAATACAAGTTCAGTACTCAGTTTGTCTTACAGGTTTTTATATATAATTAATTGACTAACTTATGTGTTTGCTGATTCACAGTGTGTAATTTGTTCTTTAGAGGATGTGAATGCTATAAAGCCTGGGAAGGTTAGTTCATATAGCAATTGCAGTGGATATGTTTATTTTGCTTGGGATTATGGCATGAACAAATATCTCAATTGTTAGCCCCAATCCAATCAGTTCTGTTGCACCCTGCATGCCAATGGTCAAAGTCTCCTTAATCATTTGAATAGGCTGGGATTTTCATGTTATTCTGTTTCATCATGAAGTGACCCCAATGATTATGTAGTTCTTTTCTACCATTCATGGCATTGCAACCACCCCCACCCTTTCTTGTCAAATGATGTGAATTTTTTTTGTTAAGATATGATTCCTTCCCCTTTATTTCTTGATCAGATTCTAGACCATTGATATGCTGCCACAGTAACTGAGATGGTGGGGATTGGCCCTCAATGATTTATTGGATAATCCTTTTACAACATACATTGTGCAGGTAAAAATTACCGGGTATGCGGCATCAGGAGGTGGTCGTGGCATCGAGAGAGTAGATGTGTCTGTTGATGGTGGAAAAACCTGGATAGAGGCTTCTAGATATCAGAGGACGGGAATCCCATACATTTCAGAGCACACAAGCAGTGAGAAATGGGCATGGGTGCTTTTCGAGGCCACATCTGATGTCCAACAGAGCACTGAGATTGTTGCGAAAGCAGTATGTTTAGTTTGTTCTGATGATAGATTATTTACCACGATGAGATTTTGTCAACTAGGAAGCTCATATTGACCATTAATAGCTCTAGTCCCGAATCATTAGGATGCATACCATCTAAAATAGCCCATATCAGAAATTACATAAAGAGCTTACAAGGTTGGCAAAGTTTGGTCTCAAACATTTTATGCTCCATCCAGACTAATGGTTCACCTGGACTATCAACTAGCCCATTTCTGGGAACCATTACGAATCAAAGGGTTTGGCCAGTTTGATCAGTGGTTGGACTGTCAGCCCAGAGACCATTCCCTTTGTGGGGTCCTTATTTCCAACTAAAAACTAGAAACATATATTTTATGGTTTTGTACTTGCGTCGGCAGTAGGTGGGATGTCATAAAATAATCGGTATGACCCATGACCTAGTCAGGTTTCAGAGCTCAATGAACTCTCTTTTAAATAATTAGTGAATCATGGAAGCAGTGTTTAAAAGTATTCCCTTGTGTGATTTATTTATGATTTACGGCTCAAGGGGTTTTTTCCCCACCTATCCCTAGTGTTTCATGCATCATGCATCAGATCCGATGTTTGCTGTCTTTTACTAGTCTACTTGTTAGCTTTCTCCCTTCTTGAGTAAGCTTATGCGCTTGTCTCTAGCTTACAGAATCTTATTTATTCTTAATTATAAATAACCAACATCTGACTATATCTTCCATGACAGTTTATTATATGCTTAACAAATAAAAAAAGCATATGGATGTAAAGTTTTTATACACAACAAATATTATCCACATGTTTCAAAGTTTTTCATTATGATTATGCATTGGTCTCCCAAAATACTACTTTCTTTTTGGCTGAGTTGCAGAATTACTGTGTGAACATAAGAAGCTTTTGATATACTTGTACGATTTTTGACTCTAGTTCTATTCACGTGTTTGAACTTGAAAACTTCTTGTCCCTGTCACTTGCTTTGTTTTGTTGACATGCGTTGACTCGAGAGTGTTAACCAAGAGTATTCTAAACGCAATAGTGCTCCTACTGCATCTGTATCAATGGATCTTTGATGTTGAGTCCTATTATCGTATCTGCAGTTTCTTTTTATACAGAACCAACCAGTGAAACAAATTAGTTCTCTAATTTTCTGTTTTTTGTTTTTTTAAATTGTTTATAAAGTATTACTCTTTGGTGAGTTGTATTATGTTCATATCCTTGCCGATAGTTGGCACTTTCTCATGTTCCTCCGTTTCATTGATGGGCAGGTGGATTCAGCAGCAAATGTCCAACCTGAAAAGGTGGAAGACATTTGGAACTTGAGAGGGATACTGAACACTTCATGGCATCGCGTGCAGGTTCGAGTTGGTCACTCGAATTTGTAGACCAAGCACGAGAAAGGAAATAATTGATCTATCCGAGGCTGCTTCTTTCTTTTGTGCAACATTGACAGACCTTATGCTTTCCATGTGCGAAGTAATAAAAATGCTTTTAGCATGCTCTTCTTGATGTTTGGACCTGAGAGGGTTGTTGAAGCTTTTTCTAATTATGCAGAGTGTTATTTGCCTTGAATATTTTAGTTTCTGCTGGTCATCTCTAAGTTTCGGCCATGCGTCTAGACTTTAAAAATGGATATTCCCATGGCAGAAATCAATCCTCGAATCCGGTCCGAGTAAGCCAGCCACGCTAATCTTATCCTCCGGACGTGTTAGTAAATTAGGATGATTGTGGGAGCTGAAAACGATTTGTTTTTCATTTCTGGGTGGTGAGTTGCAGTCGTTAAGATATTTTGTTGCAACATGATCTGATTAATCAAAGTTTTGTTTTGACGAGTCTCAATTTAAGGTCTTATTAATTATATGTGCTACATGCTTCGTGGGAAAGAGACGAGAAGAGCAAGAGCCACAAAATTGACTCGGGTGTGAACAGATGTTAAATTATTAAAGACAGATCAAATCAAATGGAATTATTATCAGTTAACTCATCACCGATCGTTATGAAATGATTAATCAATCACCAATCATTCCCAATGTTTCCTTTATCCATCAGCCATCAATTTTCCATTTCTAATTTTCCATGAGCTTCCAAAGGCAGCACACCTTGGATGAACCAGCCATTTCCCCCGTCACTTTCGTAGAGTACTTTGAAGTTTCAAGCTTACCTAAGCCTGTCCTGCATTCCTACTTTTGGTCTTTTCTTTCTTCTCTTTGGCACGATGTGTGTCTGCCATAACATAACAGTAACACTGCACATGATGTGAAATGAGCCATTCAACAATTACACGGTGTGGAAAAAAAAGTTTCTTAATATCAAGAGGGAGTTATTCCATGACTTGGTTTCGGTGGAGTGTGTTTTTTCCTTGTATTAATCCATTCATCAGACTATAATGAAAATTTAAAAACAAAATGCCGACACTTAAAAAAAAATTAAAGTAGGGGGATTCGAACATATAACCTCGATGTATGGATAACTAGTCTTAATCACTTGATTACAAGATGCTTGCTTTTCCACTCTCTAGTTTGAATCATTCAGACTTGATAATCTCAGCTCAAAAACAGAATGATCAGTTGGCCTGAGCCACACTCGCAGGGCCACAGCACATACTAGTGGAGTAGCTAGTGGGTGTGCATATGACGAATCATGATCCAAAACATTAGTTATAAATATAATAATAATAATAATAATAAAGTAAAAAATGGGTGAATTTGATCACGTTTTTGTAAGCTGGGAGAGTGGAGACCTCTTAAAGTGTTGTCGGCTACGAAAGGAACATATAGATTCCTACTGTGTGGAAGGGAGGAGAGGAGGATAGCATATATAATTTGGATCGTCCATATTAAACACGAAGAGACACCTGTCTGAATCTCTCTCTCTCTCTCTCTCTCTCTCTCTCTCTCTCTCTGTGTACAACCCCAAAATAAAAACATGAGAAGAAAAATGACACACCGTGAGGTTGAGAGGTGTGGGGGAAGCAGACAGGTTTGCATTTCCTTTCTAGGCCACACACGCACACACTCTCTCTCATTCTAATAATAATCCTAGCTAGTGCATAAGTGTACTTGTTTACAGCTTTTCGCTGGATAAGGCTGCTGCTGCCTCATGAAGTTGATAACAAACTCCAGCTGTTGGATGGCCATAATCTCATTACATATATATATGTACGTGTGGCGACAGTGTTACGTAGATAAGATGCAAGACAGCAGGCACTAGGCAGGCAGGAAGGATGGCTCTTTGATATTTCGACAATGAAATTGGCTTTTTATTACAAATGGTCTCTTATGTTTGCAAAATTATCACATTTCGTCGTTTTTTGTGACACTGATGGTCCTTAAGGTTATCCCTTACACATCAAAATGGTCCCTGCCGTTAGCTTCCGTCAAATTTTCTGTTAAGTTGTTGATGTGGCACGTGTGTGGAGCACACACATCCAATAGTATAAAGCCACGTGGCTTTAAATAAAATAAAATATATTTTAAATATTTTAAAACTTAAATCCTTAAAAAAGAAAAAGAAAAATACCTGCACCTTGCATTCTCACTCTGCCTGCGCGCTTCCCCCCTCACAGACCCACCTTTTGCCTCTCTCTCCCTTCTCTTCCTCCTCTTTCTCTCTCTCCCTCTCCCTTTGAAATGGTGGAATCTCTTAGCATCTCGCATGATGAGTTCCCTGCCTGCAATTTTTGAAATAATCTTCAATGCATTATGGCAATCACCACAAACACGAAGATTCTTGATTACCCTAATAGATGAACGAGCTGGGCTGCTGAGGAGGGCATAAGCTACAGCAAGTCTCTCACTACGGGCAAGCAAAGCATCTTCCTTGCCTTCCTGATCTATGTCATGTAACACGAATCTAGTCTCTGGAATGTAACCAGCCTCCTGCATTTGTTCCCTTAAACCCCTAAGTTGAGCATAAATCTTATTATTTTCAGGATGAGATGTATCTCCTGCTCGATATTCATGGACTCGGCTCCTGACTTGTAAAAGATTTTGGGCTGCTAATTTTTTTCTTCTCTTTCTCCTTTACAAGGTCCGAATCTTTTGCAAGAACAAGGCCAGCCTTTGATTGCTCATTTAAGTTTTAAAATGAGAATGCAGGGTGCAAGTATTTTTCTTTTTCTTTTTTATGGATTTAAGTTTTAAAATATTTAAAATATATTTTATTTTATTTAAAGCCACGTGGCTTTATACTATTGGATGTGCCCACACACGTGCCACGTCAGCAACTTAACAGAAAATTTGATGGAAGCTAACGGTAAAGACCATTAGTGTCACAAAACAACGTTAGGGACGAAATGTGATAATTTCACAAACGTCATGGACCATTTGTGATAAAAAGCCAATGAAATTTCCAATGCACAAAACGTGCACAATGATCTTGGTGAACTGTCGATCTGATGCAATAATACAATGCCTGATCATGCATGGTAACCCGTCTGTCTTTGTGCTTGCATCATTTCATCACCTTACCATCACGTGATAAAGTGTCGTAAACACAATAATGTATTCAATTGGGAATAGCTAAAATTTTCCTAGCGTAAAACTCCCTTAAATTGTGCCAGAATGGATGATTAATCGCATCATTTCATTTTGGACAACATACCCACGTGAGCCTTTTCTTTTGGGTTTCTGTTTTTGATAGTCAACATAAAACCTGTTTGATGTGCAGAGATGCGTCACATTCCGCTTAATGGCCTTACTGAGTGGAGGTAAAAGATGAAAATATCAATTGGGCACTAGAAGAGTATTTGCATACAACATGATTTGATTTGAGTAGGGTACGCCTGAGTCTCAAGTATCCTTCGGTGATGACAGCATCTCCTGTCCATAAATTTACCTTCACAGAACAGGAAAATTTCTCTTATATAAACTCACATGAAATACAAACACAATTTTAACTCTCGAATCTTGACAGGTTAAGAATTTCATCTTTTTGTTAACTTTACATAAAATGATTATACCACGTGACTATATTCTAGTACTATATAATAATTTCTTTACGAGTTAGTACATAGACGGAAATTCATCAGACAATTGGTCGTTTGATGAATTCGCCCTTATAGAGGAGGGGGCTTGTACCAACGGAAAGTTGGGAGACCTTTGTTATACAACTCTAAATAAATTTTGCAGCCATCATAAGTTTTTTGGGATATAGTAATTCGTCCATCATTGGTTTACACATGCACCGACGACTGTGCACTTTATTATTGAAATGCATACAAATAAAAAAATGGGCAATTCACACTCTAACAGTACCAAACAATTTTAAAAAAAGAAAGAAAAAAATGGGCCAATTCACACCTTATAAAACATTGTGGTTGCTGGAAGCTAGTTTTTGCTTGGTCTGAAAGCGCTTAAAACTGAAAAACCAACAGCCTCTGAGAGCTCATTTTGAGTTCAAGTCAAGATGGGAATATCCATGTGGCTCTTCACACACCCTAATATATCCTTTGTTTTCTTATCACTGATTCTTCTCTATGTTTTTCACGTGATTTTTTGTGAATTCCGGCGAGCCTATGAGCTTTCTTGCCAAGGCCCGCCAAGCTATCCCATCATTGGCTGCTTGCTTTCCTTCTGCAACAACCGCAACCGCCTCTTGGACTGGTACACTGACCTTCTAGCACAATCAGCCACCAACACCATCGTCGTGCACCGGTTTGGTGCACGACGCACGGTTGTCACGGCCAACCCGGAGAGTGTTGAGTATATGCTCAAAACCAACTTCAACAACTTCCCAAAAGGCAAACCCTTCACTGAAATTCTTGGAGATTTTCTGGGATGTGGCATATTCAATGTGGATGGTGAGCTTTGGCGAACCCAACGCAAGTTGGCTAGCCATGAGTTCAGCACCAAGTCTTTGCGTGAATACATCATGAACACCTTGGAGGAAGAAGTGGAAAAGGGATTGTTGCCACTCATGGAGTCGCTGGCCATGACAGCCCAAGTTGTGGACTTGCAGGAATTGCTGAGAAGATTTGGATTCAATGTGATTTGTAAGGTCTTTTTGGGGGTTGATCGGTGCTGCTTGGATCCTTCTCTACCCAGTCCACCACTTGCAAGAGCTTTCGACACAGCCTCAGACATATGCGCAAGGCGTGCAGCAGCGCCCATGTTCATAATTTGGAAGATTAAGAGGTGGCTCGGAGTAGGTTCAGAGCAAAGACTTAGAGGAGCAGTTGAAGAGGTTCATGCCTGTGTCATGAATGTAATTGAAAACAGGAAGAAAAAGATGGAAGAAGGCGAGGCAGATACTCGTCAGGAAGACCTCCTGAGTCGGCTAATAATGGCGGGACATGAGGAGGAGGTGACGAGGGACATGGTCATAAGCTTTATCATGGCGGGGAGGGACACAACTTCAGCAGCAATGACGTGGCTCTTCTGGTTGCTTTCCCGCCAACCAGGTGTGGAGGAAGAGGTGGTGAAAGAGATCGACGCTGCCGGAGAAAGAATACTAGATTTTGAATCGTTGGATTTGAGATTGTTGAAGGCATGCCTTTGTGAGTCCATGAGGCTTTATCCGCCCGTAGCCTGGGACTCGAAGCATGCCATAGCTGATGACTTGCTGCCAGACGGTACACATGTCCGGGCAGGAGATAGAGTGACCTATTTTCCTTATGGGATGGGCAGAATGGAAGCACTGTGGGGGAAGGACCGGCTGGAATTCAGACCGGATAGGTGGTTTCTTGAACCGGAAAAGGAAAGATCGGCGTTGAAAAAGGTATCCCCATACAAGTTACCGACGTTTCAGGCAGGTCCAAGGGTTTGTCTCGGGAAGGACATGGCTTTTATTCAGATGAAATATGTGGTGGCTTCCATTCTCAGGCGGTTCGAGATCAGACCGGTTGAGTCCGTTGAGCCGGTTTTCGTGCCGCGGCTGACAGCTCACATGGCCGGCGGGCTGAAGGTTCTAGTCCGCAAGAGAGGGGATGATCACTCGGATAAAAACTAGAATATATATTAAATTAGTAGGAGTCAATGGTATTGTATGATTTGAGATTTATTGGACAGTGTAACATGCCATTATGCGCCATTCTTAATGTAACACAAAGATATGATTATGTACATAAAGCATATAGTAAACTCTGCACCCATCTGAATGAGTACGCAAATCATGATGATCATCAACATCATTTTTAATCTTAGATGTCAAAAATAATCCCAAATCATGTGCTACTCAAGTTAACTCGTGCAAGTAGACTTACCCCAGTCAGTAGTTAAAAGTTTCTTTTAAAAAAACCAGGTTAATTAGAATACCCCACATGCGCGTTTGGAAAGATAAGTTCACATGCCATTGAATCATTGATGTCGAGGTCTTTGTCTTAAAGGAAGAAAACAAACGAGCCCTGTTTAAAAATACTCCTCCTTCTAGTCTGGTCAGCATAAAGCAATCAGAAATTAGAAATCAGCAATCACCTTAAACGTTTCATTTATATACAAAAATAATAAAAATGTCTTATTTCAGAACAAGCGAGAATCTAATGCAATTGGTAGGTCCAAGTTCCTATTCAAAGCAACTGCTATTTGCCTATTATTGTTGCGATGCTAGGGTATTGTCCGGGAGGCCTCCAATTGTAGTAAGTTGCAAATAATAATTGATTGATGCTTCTGTTTTTCCTGTTCTGTCTTGTTTCAGAAATATACAGACAGATTCCTACAATGACAAGCTTCCAAATTGCTTGTTCCATTCCTCATACGTACCAAGCTCGTTCAACGAAACAGAGGGCCTCACCTCTTGCAATGCACTCTCGAAGTCCTATAAAAAAAATTAAAAAAAAACAAACATATTTATTATGCAAAGAAAAATAAACCTAAGGAAACAACAAACATGGTGAGCTGTGGACAGTGAAATTTTAACCTGAACAGTGACTGCCCGCATATCCTCCTTTTTCAGCTTTGTTATTTCTATGCCTTGTTTCAGAGCCTCTCTTAGTGGACCCATAGAGGCATCCTTCACTAAGTTTTTCATGTCTGATCCTGAGTACCCTGGCAAATGAAACAACAAGAGCTTCAGACAGTCAATTTACAATAGAGAAGACGATGGGATTAGGTCTTTTGGACTGCATGGAGATTATCTACCTTCAGTTAAATTGCATATGCTATCAATATCCTCCCTTGAAAGTTTGAATAGTCCATCCTTGTCTAAGATATTCTGCACGATCCAGGCTCTTGCTTCTTCAATACAGTAATAGCTGGTTAGCCATAAATTCAGTATTAAGAATGTTAGACTAATCAAACATGCTGTAAGTTGGTACCTGATGAAGGCAGGGGAATATAAAGCCTCTTGGTAAGTCGCCTCCGTGCTGCTTCATCCAGTTCTTGGGGTCGATTTGTTGCTCCTAGGAGATAGATGTATCCATTTTGTAGAAAAAACAGTGAAACTCGTTAAAACGGTGACATTAAGGATTAAGTCTAAATTAGATATGATAAAATTCATTAACAGCATTCTAATTAGAGATAACTGAGATTCAGAGGATTCAACAATCACCTATAAGAAGAATTTGCTCACTGCCACTGTCAAAGCCTTCCATTTCAATGAGGAACTGTGTTTTAAGCCGTCTACTTGATTCATGCTCACCTTCTGACTTACGCTGCAACCATACAGAATTAGTATCATCTAAATACATTCAGTAAAACAAAGTATAATACCATGAGAGAAGTGTACGGCATACATAGAGACAGCTATACCATTTCCAAGATTATATTTAACAGCTAGAGCAAACCTTACCTGTGAGAGAAGTGAATCAATTTCATCAACAAAAATTACAGCTGGCTGACGACAACTCGCAACTCCAAAAAGGGCCCTCACTAGCTTTTCACCTTCACCAATCTACAGTCACCAATTAAAATTTTCAAATATAAATATGTTTCAAGCATATATAATAGGAGAATACTGAACTTATCTTGTGCCATATATCTTTTCATATCAGTCGATTTTTCGAAAGCACAGGGAAAATAAAAAAGAAATCAGAGAACATACGCCAGTGAACCATCACAGAACCAAAACAAACAGAAAAAATGCATACCCATTTGCTTGTTAATGAACTGGCAGATATGTAGAAAAAGGTTGCCTTTGCCTCTCCAGCTATGGCTTTCCCAATCATTGTTTTTCCTGTTCCCTAAAACAGGCCAAGGGTTATGATTGTTCATTGATCAGAAACACATTTACCCCCCCTGCTTTAAAGGATTCAACACTTACTGGTGGACCAAAGAGAAGAAGACCTTTTCCAGGAGAACGACAACCTTTAAAAATGTCAGGACGTAATAGCGGCCATATGACCATCTCGGTCACACATTTTTTAGCGTGCTCCAAACCAGCTAAAACATTGCCACGCAACAGTGAAAATCAGAATGGCTTCAGATACTTGTGCAAAAATTGTAAATGTAGAAAGATTAAAGAATCACATATTACCAATATCATTCCATCGAACATTTGGATCCTTGTCCATGATCTCATTACTAACATGTTCAAGAAGACGAGGTTCCAAGTTCCTCAATTTTTCTGGAAGCTCCCCATCAGGACCACAGAGCATTTCCAAACTGAAATTGAAACATTAAAGTATTTAGGACATGCATTCATATTTCACACAATCAGTGTCAAAGTTACACCACTCACCATTTCTTAGTTGAGTCACCTAATGTATCATCTGACTTTCCAGCTACTCGTGAAGTCATATTCCCAACATTGCCCTCATTAGATTTAATAGGTGGAACAAAATTACCACGGGCACCGCGGCGTGAATAGCCATATGATCTCGTACTATAGCCCCTATTAGTAGCATTGTTTTCACTTTGAGGGGAGACACAAGCATTTGGTGAACCCGCTAACCCTCTTCTTTGTCTTGCATCCATTTCCTAGCCAAAGAAGAAACAAACTGATCAAAATTGCCACATGTGGACAAAATGTAAATAAGGAATAAAAATTTAAAAAGAATGGCAATTTGAGCTCCAGTAAGATCAGGTTAGGTAAAAAATGATTTACTAGAAGTTCCAAACCCTTATGGAAATAAACATTAATAAGAGGAATGGTTATCAGAAATACAATAGATACCAATTTTGCTTTGGCAGTAACAAAGCTATGGCTAGAACCATCAGCTTTAACATCTTCATTGCTTGATGGGGACTTTGCATTATCAATAATGGGGCTAGTAAACTCCTTGTGTGCACGTTTAGCCCTCAAGGTGGTCCCATAAGCTTTTTCTTCCTCTTCAACTTTTTGAAAAGATAAGGCACTGTGACCGTCATTACGGTTGTGATAAGAGTGAAGCTTTTCTACAATAGTGCAGTCATCAGAGCTGTTACTTCTAGAGCCCCAAGAACTCTTGGATTTGCCATTACTTTCCATCATGAAGTTGTTTTTGTACAACGATGTCAACTTTGTTTGTGCCAGAGGTTTTGATAACTTGGAAGTCAACTTGTCCTGCCTCTCCAATTGATCTCCCTAGGACAGACAGAAATTTTGGTTGACACGCCTAATCCTAATAAATCACAAAAATAACATAAGGAAAATATTTTCTACAAGCAAGATCAGAGGCAAGTAATACCAAATCATTTACAACCCTTCCATTATTAGACTGATGAAGAAGAGCCTGAAAGTACTTTGACTGCTTAATCTTCTCAATGTCAATATCTCCATTGGTGCCAAAAACACACTCCGGAGCTTTCTTTGCTTGCTCAAAGGCTTTGCTGGCACATGGTACTCAAAGTATTAGCATCAGAAGGAGAAATCTGAACCTAGTTGTGAAATATTACAGCTACTAATCTACGCTCCGAACACATGGAAATTCAATATGAGAATGCTTCGAGCCATATGAGCAGATCACTTTCCAACTTTGAATTCATTCAATTTAAAACCTAATTCATATCTGGTTACTTAACTTGAGGAAGAGTCTAGAAATAATTGCAAGATCGTTTGAGTCACAATTCAAATTTAAGTTAATTCTATTTGTCTAAAATTCTTCAAGAAATGCACATAATGTTCAACCTCAACCACATTTCCAAGCTTCTTAATCAAGCTAAAACAAAATAAAATAATTCCAAACAGACACAAATGCTAAAAGCTAGGGTTCTCGAAGTTTAGGTTCAGAGGAAAAATCAAGCTCAGAGAGAGAGAGAGAGAGAGAGGAGAGAGAGAGAGAGAGAGAGGCGCACCGATCAGAATGAGGAATGAGAGCTCGGCGAGAGGCGTCGAGCTTGGAGACGGTTTCGCGGCGAATGGGGCGGACGAAGGCATGGTCGAGTTGAGAATGAGACTGGGAGTCGAGGAAGCCGAGGAGACGAAGCCCGAGGACCTGAGCTGAGGAGAAGTCGTGCCTCTCGACGGCGAGTTCGGCTCCGAAGAGAAGAGAATGGAGCCTGCTTAGGTTATTGTGGACTTGCTTTCTCCAGCACACCTCTTCGCTCCACCCTCCTCCACGCTTCGCTTCCTCCTTTCCCGCCATTTTCCCTTTTGCATCCGCGCCTTCTTTTTCTTTTCTTGGTTAAACTTGCAAGATGTTGCAAATTTGTGAAAGGAAATCATACCTGAAAAGTCAAATATGCGCTTGTTTGTTCTGTCATCTAGTGGGGTAGAAACGACTTTATAATTCTTTCTATTCGCAAGTTTTGTTGTCGTATGTATCGGAAAAAATATTTGCAGTTCAGGACACAATTTTGCTTTATTAGACTTGTGTGCTGCTTTGCGTTTTGCTTTAAGGCCCCGTTTGTGATTGCTTTTTTTGGCCAAAAATCTGCTTCACTTTAAAGTTAAGTAGTTTAAGGTGTTTGGTAAAAATAAAATATCCCGATTATTTTTAAAGCAGTGACCTTTTGACAGCAGTTTTTAAAAGCATGCTCTAGGTTGCTTTTCAAAGCTGTTTTCAAAAAAAGTAGAGATGAACCTTTAATAAATTTTTTTAATTCCCAAAATACCATCATTCATTTTAAAAAATGACACCACCTCCACTTCCACATTCCACTCCACCACTTACACCCCACATTCACTACCTCCACAACCACCACCATCACATCCTCCTCCTCCTCATCCTCCGCCACCACCACCACAACCACTACCTCCTTCACCACCTCCACCTCCACCTCCACCACCACAACCACCACATCCTCCAAAACCTCCACATCCACCACCACCATCACCACCACCATTACCAACACAACCACCTCCTCCTCCAAAACCTCCACATCCACCACCACCTCCACAACCAACATCGCCGTCGCCGCCACCACGATGGTGCCACTGCCACCACTACTGCCACCACCTCCATAACTGCCATCCCCACCACCACAACTACCACAACAACCAACTTCACCTTCATCACCACCACCACCTCCACTCCATCACCACCATTACCACTACATGATTAGTACATAATACTTTCAACATCATGTCTATTTTAGTCATTATTCACAGTTACAACAATTTTATATTAAAATTTACCAAACGGTTTTGACACTGTTTTTTGTGCTAACAACACTTTAAAAATATTGTTTACCAAACATGAAACTACTTTACTTTACAACTAATTATTTTCAAAGCACAGCATAAGTAACCTTTTTTAAAAGTCACAGCAATCCCAAATTGGGCCTAAGTCTGTTAACAAAGCTGGGGAAAATAGAATATCAAGCAGATTTTAAAGTTTTTAAGAATCCGATTGTTATATTGATTTCACTTTCAGACATTAAACAGAAAACGAAACAAAAGAAAGGAGGATTCAAGCAGCAAACATAATTTGTAAGTTAAAATGGAGCATAGATAAATAAAACTGTGTCTAACATGTTTGTACATTAACCATAATCAGCAGAGCAAGTACATGGAAAATTTAATGGTTAAACAAAACAAGCTACATATATTTTGCCTAAGTTCAATGCGCGACCAGCATCCTTCCCGTCCTACAATCAATAGAAAAGGCAATCGTATATCCTCCTACATCTGCTAAAGAATACAAAGGTTGGCACCCCCATCAAGAGCTCAACAGTCCTTTCACATGCTTCCAGGAGCATCGCTTCCTGCAACTGGCTTACGGTTCAAATAGCGAATAACAGCATCTTCAACCCTGTAAGAATCACCAAAACAAGATTCAATAAGTAGTTCAATTTTGTTAACCACATGTTGAAGTAAGTATGTGCGCATCTATGAGTATGATAACCAAACGAAATATAGTAAACCAGACATCTGTGATCTTTGACCGTGAACACACGTTAGTGATGCAACAACCTTAATGATTACCGGCAAAGATGAAAGGAACAAAATAAATGAATCATCTAACCAAATAAATGAATCATCTAATGCATCATGTCTAGGGGGGCCAAATCAATTAATGCATCATCTAACCAAATAAATGAAAGGAATATCCAACATCACAATAATACCCAGCAGAGGGTTAATTGGAAGGAACAATTTAGCATAATTATCAAAATAGTGAATCAAAAGCTTTGTTTCCATCAAGTCAATCATGACCAGCAAATATTTGTCTGTATGAATGTGTGTACCTAGAAACAGCAACGATAAACCTTTGGAATGCAGATAAAGTGCGAACAATAAATTATGACAAAAGTGATAAACTTACCATGGTTGGTGGAAAAAATCTGATCGTCGCTCTTTCTCAGCACTGCGGCTCGCTACTCCAGCCACAAGCTTTAAATCTTTGTTTTGAGATTCTATCAATGTATTGATAAATTCTACAGGTGATTGACTAAACCCAAGGAAAAAAGCTCGCCTGCGACGATGCTCATGGATTTTTCTTATAGCTGCACATATTGCTTCATCACAGGTATCAATCTCTTTGTTCTTCTCTGAGTTGGCCAAAAGAGCAGACAATTCCCTTTGAATTGGAAAGGGCACGTCAACCAACACATCATAACATGCAGTTCCAGCCGGACTATTCCCTGAAAGTTTTATCTTATGTTCCAAATGTATAGGTTGTGGGGGGAACAAATGCTGAGATATCTTCTGCGACACCATGGTGAATTTCATCTTTTCTTCCCCGAATACTTTCTGAAGAGGTGGATCACAGTTAAAGAAAGAGGGGTCATTTTGGTTCTGCAATTTCCTAGCCTTCACATAGTGCCAGATTGAAGCTATTATTCTAGGACGGGTTTCGACCTCAATACCAAGAACTTCCATCAACGGTTGCGAAAGCTTAAACTTCTCTGGTGCATAATTCATTTCCAAGCGTATATTCACAGTAAATTCTTTGTCCCCTTTTCTCTTCACCTCAAATCCCTCATGTGGTGCAGGCGATCTAGCATTTTCCCACATAATGATATGATTCTCAGGATATAGTCTCTGGTCCAAAGAAATGGTTACTCTCTTGAAGAAAGATGAGAACTTCGGATAAAAGGGATTTGATTTCTGGACCACTCCAGGCTGATCAGGATCAACACCATCCTCCAAGATCCTCCCAACTATCTTCAGAGTCCAAGTAGGGGGCTCAGCATTTGGCTTCTTTGGAATTGTGCGAATCTGATTAGCAAAAGTGTTAAAAACATAAATGCGCAGCGTTTTCTGAATGCAAGGAGGGCTTTTAAGGGCCTCTTGGATGTCAACTTTCTTTCTCGCAAGAGCAGCATCAACACGAGCCTCAAACTCGAGCAGCTGGGTGTACAAAGCAGATTCGGGCAGAATGGTGGCTATTTTGTCTTGTAGCTGTTTATCAGGAAGTTTCTGCTTCTTTTTACGAGCAGCAGGTGTGAGTTCCATGGTTCTCATAGGTGACATCATGTTTGTAGGAGAAACACTAGGAGGGCGCACTGGAGGTTTTTGAGGGAAACGCTTGAGACTTGCATTTCCAGGTGTGGAAAAGGAGGGTGAAGACGACCCTAAATTCCCAATGCCAGCTGCTTGGTTCTGGCTAAGGGATAGCGCCTGAGCTTGTAACTGAGCTTGGAATTGGGCGTGAGCATGTTGAGCTTGAGCTTGGGCATGTGCTTGAGCTTTTGACTGAGCATGGGCAATAGCCTGAGCTTGGGAGAGCTGGAATTGAGCTTGGAAACCAGCTCCGATTTGTGCTTGAGCTTGTGATTGTGGAAATGTAGGGTTTGTTGGCATAGATTGGGCTACCATCCCGGCATTGCCAAAGGGCGATGAAGAGGCTCCGAGATTCTTAGGTGGATTATTATTGTTCATAGACATAGCTGACTCTAAACAGAAAAAAGATCTAAAACTAGCAAAATTCTAACTTCCCATACACATAACCTCAAAAAGCCGTCATAACATCAAAAACCCACAAAGAAGACAGTACATATACGTTATACAAATATAACTTAAAGCCATTTCCACCAAGATCTTAAAACCCAGCAAAAGAACATAGATGAAACTGAAACCCGCTCAAATTCAAACCTCTAAGAGTCATTTCCAAGTAACAGGGCAGAAGGCAGAGGACCCAAATCCATGAAATGCCCAAATTTGTAGGAGAACAAAACCCTAATTGAAGAAATGGCAATCAGACAATACGTTGACATGAAGAACCAAAAACCATAATTCTACAGGAGGGTTTCGACAAAAATATTGAATCAGAGATACATCTTCTTGTATAAACAGATAACAAGGAAAACAATTTCAAGGATAATTGGTAGCAGAGAATACCAAGAAATTTATGAGGAAATAAAGAGAGAGCGCAGAAAATGAAGGGATTTAAGCAATTCTTACAGAGTAGTAGAAGAAGTCCAGAGCTTTCCAGAGTATAGCAAAGCTGGTTTGCTTTCCTCCACCTGACACACGATGTAGTGAGCTGCAACACCTACGCTATGCCATGTTTGATTTCGCTCTATTTTTTTCTTCTCCTACTTTCCTTGTCCTATATTAACGATTTTTTTTTCTTTCTTTTTTTTTCAAGTTGAGCGAAAGGTTGAACGACACGTGTCCAATCGCATTGACGGGCCTCCCTCAAAACCCAAAAGCCCAGCCCACGCCTTTCAACTGGTTTTCGCATTAGAGCCTTAAACCCTAGAAGGCATTTGAGTTTCGCTCCAATTCGCCCCTGACCTCCCCCCACTCGCAGACTGCTCCTCCTTCTGCCGCCGATCAACAGCAATGGTAGATCTCTCGCACACGTAAATACAAGTTTTTGTAGTGAAAAATTACGAATTTATTAATTAATCTTGATCAGTTTTTTAACTTGAATGATGTAGGTGAAGTACTCGAGGGAGCCTGATAATCCAACCAAGTGTAAGCATTTTTTGTTTTAATTTACCCAATCGTATATTCTAAATTTTGATTGTAAGTTTCATTCGTATTGATTTTATTTATTTATAACTATTTTGTACATTTTACCACAGCCTGCAAGGCCAGAGGCTCGGATCTAAGAGTTCATTTCAAGGTATGATCTGTGGATTAAGTGCAAGTTTTAGTTTTTCTGATTGAGTACTAATTTCAACCGTAAATTTCCACATCTGGTGGGTTTTTTGCATTTTTAAGGTTGAAGATTCTGATGAATCTTGGTTTTTCTTTGTTGACATTAAGATACAATTTTTTTGCTTACGAGTAGCAATGAATTTAGCTTGTGGTATGCTTAGACTGACTTGATTGTTGTAATTTGGATTTGTTAATCTGTTTTAGAACACGAGAGAGACAGCCCATGCCATCCGGAAAATGCAGTTGGGAAAGGCCAAAAGTTACTTGGAAGATGTTTTGGCTCACAAGCAAGCCATTCCCTTCCGCCGCTTTTGCCGTGGTGTTGGTCGTACTGCTCAGGCGAAGAACCGCCAGTCGAATGGTCAAGGACGCTGGCCGGTTAAGTCTGCTAATTTCATTCTTGATTTGCTCAAGAATGCTGAGAGTAATGCTGAAGTAAATGATTCTCCTTTGCTGCCCTGGTTTTCTCATCTTTGATCGTTCTTTTATATTTTAGCTGCGACCACAAACTTATCTGTTTTCCTTTTTTGTAGGTGAAAGGGCTGGATGTGGATTCACTTTATGTCTCTCACATCCAGGTCAACCAGGCTCAGAAACAGAGACGCCGCACATATCGTGCTCATGGAAGAATAAATCGTGAGCTTGCTTTTCTTTTTCTTTTTCCGATTTGAGTGGTTACTTTCTCTATGTGATTGTTCTTTAATAATGTTCGTCTGGACATTATTTTAATCTATCTTTTTCAGCTTATATGTCATCTCCCTGCCATATCGAGTTGGTTTTGTCAGAGAAAGAAGAGCCAGTGAAGAAAGAGGTAATCTACAGCTTCATTGTCTGATTACTTAGGGGTCAGTTATAAAGGAAAACCAAAATTTGAGATTAGTGCAATCCAGCCTGTACATCTAACATATGCGTCATGTGTGGCATTACTTAGATATGTGAATTGTGCAGGCAGCTTCATTGTCTGATTATTATTCTGAGAATAGTTCAATGTGAATAGGATCCTTTCATCTTAATATACAGAATTTGAACTCCAAAGTTGGTGGCACAACATAACTCTGAAAAGAAAAGTAGACCATTAGTTGAAACCATTAGAATGCTCATTTTAGTATCTAGGATAAGTGGCGAAGCATTTCCAGATGGTGTCATAAGTTTCACATTTGAAATATATCAAAGCTTAGGATGTATCCCTCTGGTCGCAAGAGTCCTATAGTTTAGCCCCATTTCCAGTCTTGTTTTTGCTACATCTGCTCAACAAAAGAGATGCAGCAGATGGCTTCAATCTGAATAAACTAATCAAAAGATGATTGACTGATGTCATCTTGTTATTCAGATTGAAAAGAATCGCCATTTGTCATGCTTCCCTAAAAAAATGAGTTCAATGGAATTTCCTGAATTAATTTAATGTGGTGGATGATGTTACTGGATTGTTTATCAAATTTGAATTTTCTGCTAATTGCGCCTATTTTGCAGCCTGAAACTCAATTGGCTCCCAGGAAATCAAGGAAAGGCCAAGCACTACACAGCGGTGCTTCTTCTTGAGTTGTTTGGTTTAAAGAGTTTATGGTCTTTCATATCCTAGATCATCCACTCTATCTTTTCCTAGAATGTCTCAGTTTTCAGATATCTGTTATTTGTAGTTGAGAATTCTGTCACTGAATATTTGTTCAACAATTTTGCTTTTCAGTGTCTGGGTGAGACTTTAAGCCTTTCTTTTTCTGAGTAGAATAATTTTCTATTGGGAATTTGTAGTGATTTCGAAAATTGAAGCTAATCAATTAATGAGAAGTTTGGTTTTCTTGAGAAGGTCAGACTAGGCAACTCTCTTTCTCTCTCTCGCTCTCTCTCCAACTGGAAAGCCTCTCCATTGCCTCTACGTTATTGCTAAGGATGAAGGTTTTGTAGAGTTGCTTTTTAGATTTAGTGGCCTCTTGAAGAGAGTAAATAAGTTTTCGACTCCTGTGACTCGTGAGGATGACATCAAAGATGTTCTATTCTATCTTAGTCTTGAGAGCTTCTTCTGGTTCCTATATAATTCCTTTTTCTTTCTTTCCCCCAAAAGAAATGTTTTTTTTTCAGTCAAGTCAACATGCTTTTTATATCACAACTCCCCACCCACCAATGCTTCTATGCTTGCAAAGTTAAAGCTAAATGCTCTTTATGTGATGGATACTCATACATAACCATGCCATCATCAGCTTTGTTAATAGCTCAGTGGTACTTTTGTGGTAAACAACTAATTGCTTTGCTTTCATGATGCTTGGAATTTATTTTCTTTATGAAAAGCAGTTCAACTTTACTAATAACACTAATTAATGACATTCTGATTCCATTTCACTAATCTTCTTTGGTAGGTCATAGAAACTCTGTCTGGTCTTTTTTCAAATTTTTTTGTTTGTTTGTTTAAACAAGCGATATTGGGCTACAAGCTCCTTACCTGTTGGGGAATTTGAACACGTGACCTCGGACGTAGGGTAATTGCTCTTAAACGCTTGAGTTACAAGCTCCGTACTTGTTAGGTCAATCTTTGAACCCATGTTAATTGTTAAGCATCAAATTCGAGGCTTATATTAGTTGATCATTGCTCATATGATGGATGATATAAGGGTTAACCATGGTGTTGTGCTGGAGATACAAGAAAAGGTAAAATCAGAAAGCTCCATTGGATTACCCCAAGTGTTATATTATATATCGCAAGGTTCAGACTTGGGAGGCACACACCTAATAATAATAGTAATACAACGACACTGGAAAATAAGATGAAACTCACACACACTCACTAGGTTCTGGTCATCATGGCAAAGCCTTACTTAAATACACCATAACAAACGGGAAGATAGATTCTACTTAAGGAAAATATAAGCTTCAACGCTTGTTCAAGCAGCCATCACGGAGCAATTAACGATGAAGCGGGTAGGGTGGGTGTGGCCATGTTCAAGAACTTGCCATTGCAATTCCTCAGCATTTGGATCGGGGCAGCAAGTGCATATGCGGGCAGGGCCGGCGAACTCATTTGATGAAGATTGGATGACAAGCAGCTCATCTCCCAGGGACTTAAACGCGATGCCCCATCCAGAAGTAGCATCAGCTCTCACTGGGACAACTCCCAACTTCTTCCATGACTTGCTTTTCTTCAAATACACCTTGAGCTCATTTGTGGAAGTTTCAAGAGAATAGAGCTGGTTGGCCAGTACTGCAATAAGAGGTGGTGATGGGTTATTTAGATTTACCCAATCAGCTTCCAGTATGTCTGGGATGAGATCCCATGTGTTCTTCTCCACATCAAAGGCTTCAGCACACTTAAGATCATTTCCATCCCAGTCTTTCCCTCCAATCACAAAAAACTTGTTAGCCAAGTAACAGCCAGAGCAATTCCTCCTCTTTCTCTTCATATCTGGAAGGGGTTCCCAAGATTTAGTGTTTGGATTGTATCTCTCAGCAGAATTCATGGCTTTCCATCCACTTGCAATTCCAACTCCACCGGCTACATACCCATAGGAACCACATGAGGCAGAGGCAAACATACATCTTGGATTGATCATACAAGGACCCTTGGACCACTGGTTTGCTTCCATGTCATACCTCCAAACAACAACACCCTCCATCTCTTTCCCAGACACAATCAGATGGGTCCCTACACAAAGAGACTCTCTATCGCCGGTTGTGAAGCATGTATCAGACGGTAAGATTGGGAGCTTCCTGCAAGACCTGAATTGCCTATCAAATTCCCACCATGTATCCTCCCCATAGTGTGACACAAAAACTGAGGGCTCTTTAATCCCAAGTTCAGTCCTAATCTTGTAGAGCTCACCACTCTTCAAAAGCGCTAAGAAGCGCTTGTTTACAGAACAAAAGTTATGGTACTTTGATCTAGGCACCCTGGCCAAGATCAAAGCCTCCACTTCATCAATGAGGGGAGGAATAGCATAATCTGCATCCTGGGGTTTAAATGGTACAGTTCCAAAGGAACCGGAACCACCAACATCAAGCCTGTGCTGCTTGGAAGGCAATCCATGGCAGCTCAGGCCCTCAACTCTAGGATTAGTCTCACATAGTATCCTAACCTTCTCTGGTGGGGTAGTATGTGAACTAACCCCAAAACTAGTAGTGGAGTGATCTCCAACATTACTAGCAAGTACCCATTTCTTACAACTCACAACATTAAAAAACTCCCTGCTTTCTTCTTCAGTGCCCACCATTTGTTTTTCGTTTGACATTGATCAGAATCCCTTCCTTCAAACCTTGAAAATCTCTGTGATTTCAGAAAACTGGAGAATAAGATCGAAGAAATGATCAGCAACTGCTGTACCGCATGTACTAATCATATCATCAATTAAAAATTTATGCATAAGAAAGCAACAAAACTCAAATGACAGGACCAAAACATATGGAAAGAGACACACAGAGAGAAAGAGAGAGAGACGACAACAATGCAGTGGGCTGATACTGACTTAACTAGAAGAAACAACACTATCGACAATAATTTTCTTAAGGAAGGAGAATCTGATTCACTGAGGCCAGAATAACTAGCTTCTTTTAGGGGTGCTTGGAAAGATACCAAATTCACAGATATAAGAAAATGAGACCCCAATTAATCAGTTACAGTTATGCTTGGAATAGATCAAAGTTGAAGAATTGACTTGAAACAAAACTGCCTCACAAACATAAAGTATAATTACCTAGCAATATGAGCAGTAGGTCAAAAACCACTTGTGCAGAGGTAACATCAAAATCTAAGAAGATAACTAGATATACATAACATGATATCATTTTAATATAACTACCCCCACATGAAAATTTAAGTCGAAATACAATACATATACATACATAAAAGTAGCTTAAGTTTAGCAGAATGGAAATTAAAAACAGACACAACAACTACATAAATGCAGAGAGATCGTAGCCAATGAAAAATTTAATAAAATAAAATAGGGAGAGAGAGAGAGAGAGAGAGAGAGAGAGAGAGTACCAGGGAGTCAAAGTCAAAGCAAGAAGTAAAGACCCGATTATAGACTCAGCAGGTGAAAATCAAAGAAGAAAAAGAAGAAGAAAGAAATTAAAGGTGGTCTGCAAAATTAGTCTCTAAGGCACAGACTTTAAATTTGTGAGGAAGGGGGGTTGCAACAGAAGAAAACCAAGAGTTTGAAGCAGAGGAGGGGAGAGAAGATAGAGAAATGGAAGGGAGGCCATTAAAGCACAGAGAAGAATATTGATGAGAGTGCAAGAGCAAGTAGCCTTGTAGTACTACTAGTAGTACTGGTGTGGTGGCAATGGAGAAATAGTTCCACTTGAAGTTGAAGGCTTACCATTTGTCGAGCTTAAAGCTTAGTTCAGGAAGCTCATTGTTGCAGGGATTAAAATACACCGAGAATATTATTTTTATTATCATCACTGTCAAAGGCACACTACCACCACCAAGATTTTGGAGAGAGAGAGAGAGAGAGAGTTTTTATTGTTTGGTTATTTTTCTATTCTGGTTGAGTAGGAAAGCCAGTCATTTCTCTTTTTAAAGGTTGGAAATATAGTATTATATGTTAGGGATTTGTAGGTTGTTCACACGCTTCTAGTTAAACATGTGCGGAGACATTTTTATATGTTTCGGGTACACCACGTGGCTGGTGTATCATCTAATAAACATAAGACATGTGGAATTATTGTTTAACTTAGTGCATTTCTTTTTATAACATGTGGCAGGCTACATTGCAAATATTTCATATGTCTTCCGTCTATTGGATGGTACACCAATCACGTGATTGTTCACGAATATAAATGAGAGTTTGTCAATCGTTGATGCGTTATTATGACTCATTTACATTAAGTGATTATTAATCGTTAAACATGTATTAGCTACAATTGTTCACACATAAATGATTCATTGGAACGAAAAAAAATATAACCGCCTTGGTGAGTACTTAGCTGGGCCGTGGAACTAAAAAGCGCCTTCAGATTCGCACACATGTGCTGCTCATACTTGCATAAGTAGGCATTGCTCTAATGATGTTTATTGCTAAATTGTTCACTTCGATACTCTAAACTCTTTCTTATTTTACTCTTTAAATTTCATCAGACAACTTCAGATATGATAATAGGATATCCATATTTGAATACTAATTAAGGAATACACGAAAGACTTGTTTTGGGGTTAGGGAGATTATGAATTGAAGGAAGTCATGAATAATAGAAGAAGAAATAATAATAAATTGGAATTTTCTGAATTACGGATAGGGCCTAATTCAGTGAGTTTTCTGTTGTTTCTTTTCAATTTAGCCTGAATTCTGAAAGAATTTGAATTTCCTTTTTGTTTGCAGATTCCTATATGATTTATTCTGAAAGAATTTGGTCCCTGTAGCTTAGCACTTCAACCACTTTTAACCCTGTAAGTCAAATTTTTTATTATAGAGATATTGGTTACTCTTAGCACCAACGTCAGGGCAAACCCACAACCTCGAGCCTAAATGACTTACGTGTGACACCCAATAAGGACTGCTGACAGCGGGACTCGAACATTGGTGGAGCTTACACAACAAAGTGTAAGGACCTTACCAACTAAACCAACCTTGTTGACAAAATGAATGTCATCTTTAAGTACTTGTTCTACAATAAAATAAGATAAAGGAATTTTGGACCGAATATATTGTCCAGATTTATGATATATATATATATATATAGTTATTTCTTCTTTCCTTTATAAAGTCACCTTGGTGTTTGCTATTTGCAGTTGAAAAGTAGGAGGTTCATCATGCACTCCTTGTTGTAGCATGGTATGAATGAATGTGAGGAGCTATTTATAGAATCAGCTACAGCTACAGCTACCTTAATTGCTTTATTGCTGTCTTTGTCCCAGTAAGTGATTAAGATGAATAAACCATAATTAAGCAAAAAGGAGTAAGGATCGTATCCAGATATATGCTGATGTGTTCTCCATAATCACTCTTACACTGTTTTTAGTTTTAATTAATTGTATAAATTTGGAGACGTTGGTCTAGAATCTACATCAATGAGCATGCAACACAAATTAAACCAAATAATAATTAATTAAGATTTATAATTAGGCAACCCAAGAAAGAAGAACATTAATTGGAATATTTCTAGGACCATTACATCAGTCCTAGTCGGATTGTACACATCAAGAATATCGATAAAGCTAATTAGTACTACTATTTCCCATCTTATTATTATTTTAATTTAATTAATCCCCACCAGTTGCTGAGAAGAAGATGCCACTGCCAGTCTGCCGGTCTGCCGGTCTGCCAGTCTGCCACTGCACTGGGGGAAGGCCCCAAACAAACCTATCAAAGTGGATGTCCATCTATTCTTTAATCAAAGGTTTTGTGTTGTCTCTCCACTGATTAGTGTAATGGGATTTACCTTTCCTATTATATAATCCAGTTTCAGAGTCATAATCGCATAGGTTAGCATTTTTGTTCCAAAGGTTGTATTGTTATCTGTCATAAACATATATAAATATGAGAAAAAGCAAACCATGGTATTGGCTATTGGCTGCAGCAGAGGAAAGCCTAATCAGCTTTCAGCCCTTGAATTTTTAGTGAAAAAGCAAGAAAAGGAAAGCCATAATAATCATCAGCAAACCCAGTTTTCATTAGCACAACACTAATTACACTTTTCATTGGCTTAACCTACATTTGGCACTATGTAACCTCTTCAAACTTAATCAAACAGTAAAAGGAGGATTTCTTTTATACCAAGAATTGGCATGAATTGCTTCGAACATGACAGACGAGTAATAAGTGGGTTTCAGACTCTAGTTGCTTGATTCAATCTTTGCCCAGTCGGCTTGTAACTAAGACAGACATATTAAAGTGATTGATTGCTTGATGAAGTTAATTATTATTTTTTGAAATTAGGTATGTCTCTGTCGCTTTGTACACCCAAGTTCAATTCCCCTCTTTGTATATTAGAGTCGTTTAGAATATCTCTCGTTATTCATTCATGCATTTCTTCCACCGTTGCACTTGCATCACAAAACACAAATAGCTCAGCATTGAGCTCAGCGCATACTGGGGATGTCTCTTTGAAAAGCAACCGTCAGATTTTGCTTTTTTGAGAGCACCAAATACTTACTAACGTGGCCTCCATAATCCATAATATATGCCAATCATTAGAAAAATGAGAATTAAAGCATCAACATCTATATGAAGTTTATTAATAATAATATTATAGTCTAGTATGTAGGCTATATAGGGTGGGAGATGGAGAATAGACAAATGCAGTGCAACAACAAAGACCTTCTTCTGAAGCTGTGCAGAGGCAACAACTACAACAAACAGTCTCCTCCATACCGACCTTCATTTTCTTTCTCTAATCTCCCAATATTTTTTTCTTTTCTTTTTTGAAATTGACATATATGGCAGTTTGTAAGCATTATGTACAAGTTCATAGTATCAGAAGAAATTGGGACAAAACAAAAAGTTCAATATATTATTTTTAGATCAAAAAAATGATAAAGCTTGCCCTTGACAATAACATGACAGAAAGAAGAACAGCGAAAAAGAAGAAGAGTGCCTAAATCTTTCTATATTGCAATTGGAGTGGTCACTATAATCACTTCCCATAAATGATGACCATTCAGTATGACCAGAAATGGGAGCCTAGCTAGGCTCCAACCCAGCTTCTACTATTTCATACAAATAAATAATTTATCAATCAAACAAAAACCTAAACTCATCCTATTTAGTATTTTTAGCGAGACCAAAAATATAAAAAATCCCATCTATTATCCACCCACTTTAGTTTGACAAAAGGTATTTATGTAGTTAATATGACCAAATAGCTCTTACTTTGACAACATCACAACTTCCAACTCAACTAAAGGCACGAAATGTCAGGGATTTATAACTTAAGTGGTTAAGAGTATTTATCTAAATATGGAAGGTCCTAGGTTCAATTCTCCCTTCCTCTAATATCGCTTGTATGAGAAAAAAAACAACGCAAGGCACAAAACATTACGGTCACTTTTTTAAACTGGGCCTCTACAATGTCAGGTCTAACTCCAAAGTAATTGACTAGGACTTACGGTCTAAGTTTGAAGTCCATCAAACACATTGATGTATCATACAAATCGACAGGACCAAATTTCTTCAAACCAGGCCCAACTCTATCAGGCTAATCTCACACTCAAACCCACTTAGAGTCTTGGACCACTCTGTCTATCCTATCCCCCCCCCCCCCCCCCCCCCACCCAAAAAAAGGGAGAAGAAGATAACACCAAAATCAGAAGGTCGACAAGTCTTAGCACTCCAATCAACAAAGTAATCCATGGCTGCCTCATCCTCTCTCTGCAACTTGTTCTCCTTCCTCAATCCCTCAAAGCTACCATCACAACCCAAAACCCCACCAACCCAGCTCGCTATTTTACAGACCCAGAAGACCAGAGATGGGGTGGCCCCACTGATGGCTCAAGGGGGTCCCTCTGCTTATGGCCCTTCTTCTTCTTCTTCTTCTTCTTTAGAGTCTGTGATATGCCCCCCTCTGGCTTATGCCAACACCCTCTTCTTTAAGTCGGCCTACAATGTGCAAGTTATTGTGGACGACAACGAACCCGAGGAGAGGCTGCTCAACAGATTCAGGAGAGAGGTCATGAGGGCCGGTGTTATTCAAGAAACTAAGAGGAGGAGGTACTTTGAGAACAAGCAGGACGAGAAGAAGCGCAGGACGCGTGACGCTGCTAAGCGCAACAAAAGAAGGTCTCTTTTACTTCTGGGCGTTTTCCTGCTTTTCGTCACATTTCTTTTTTTGGTTGCTCGGGAAATTGAGGAAATAGGAAAGAGTGGAAGGGAAGTTGATTATTCTCATTTTTTATGATTGTTTGGTAGCTTTAGTTTAGATAATTGAATTTAAATTAAGATACAAATGTTCAACCTTTGAAATCAAGAGAAAAAAAGATTTGAACTTTATGCATTATAGCTGAGAAGAACATGTCATATCTTTGCTCTGTGAACCAATGTAAAATGTGTTTTGTAATTGTTGAATGTGGGTTCTTTAATCCCTAACAATCCAATCGTTCTGTGTGTAAAACATATGACTAACAAATCACAGACAAACTTGAATGACTTCTTTTGGTTAGTTCTCCCCCCTTGAAAATGATTATTGAATGCTCGTGTCTTTTATCAGCCGGCGTCCCTTTTCAAGACCTTTTCAGCAGAAGCCAGAAGTCCCTGAAACCAAGAAGAGCGATGATGACGGCGATAACTGGGATCTACCTCAAGGAGACATACCCTATTGACCACATTCTGTGCATCCTTTGATTTTTAGGAATATCTACCCTTGATGTAGAGAGGCTTTGGTCCATGTAAGTTGCATAAGAGTTGTATTCAGTTCTTCCATTGACTTCAAGCAAAATCTGTTTTCTATCGTAATTTTTATAATGTTATGATTCTTCATTCATGCTTCTGTTTGCGGATAATTTGTGTTAATTGCGATGCTTTTATCTGGCTAATTGTGTTGCCGCCTTTTTCCCCATGTATATACCAAATTGCAATCTTCCATCATTGAAGCTTTAAATAAAAGATAAATTCAAGAACTCTCTGTTGCTGCTTCCAAGTTCTGAAGTACTTGGTATGTGATGTGAAAACATGCGTATGGAGCACTAGAAAAGTTCAAATAGAAAAATGCTGTAGCCTTCATTCTTAGTTTTACATAAATTTTCTCACATTTTTTTTATTTTCTCTTTTTACTGAAATGTATATGAAGCTCAACCATAAAAGCCTAGCATTATGGAGAAATACTTGATAAATACTGATCCCTGCTCCCCTTACCAAATTGTGAAAATAATGGAATCCTTCGTTGCATATAAAAATTGAATCCAGAATTTTGATCATGATTAATTATCTGCAAGTAAACTGAATGTAGCAGCAATAAGTAAATTCTTATTGGATGCATTTGTCTGGGGCTCTCCATGAGGACAATGTCCCCAAGCTATTATTTGATGATTGTCTTGTGAAGTTTCTCCAATCATCTAGGACAAGCTTTAGATCATGGACCTTACTTTCAATCTTTTCACAGCAGTTTGCTTGCATGGTATAAACTTCACTATTGTTCTTAAGTGGCTGACAAAATCCACCAAAATAAGCTTTATCAAGAAATTTTATGCGCATTCCAAGCATTTCCATAATCTCCTGTTGTGTTGCAATCTCACAGAGAGATTCAAAAGGAGTGTTGGGGTATAGGACCCCGACCAATTTCAAGTAGTTGAAGAATCCGACTGATATATCATTCGATTTCACATAAAAGAGCCCCCTGTCCTGTTTATTGCTTCCATCTTTCGGTTCGAGATCACATGGAATTGTGACTTCATCTTGGGGGTTGAAGTGTGGTATTGGGTTTCTGAACCACATAACATCCACCTCCTGCAGCCAAGTTAAGTTTCAATTACGATCTGCATGATCCAATCTTGATTTCAACCATCACACAAGGAACAAGAAACCTTACTGTGAAAACAAGATTGTAGCCTAGTTGAAGCACTTTATGTAGCAGGTCATGTCTATCCCGACTGTGCTGGTGAAGTTGCTCTCCGGTAGAAGGTTTCGATACTCCAATTGGTGTGAGCTGGAAGCAATGGGGATGCAGGGACTTGCAGTACTGAAATGCTTGCCTGCCTACAGTGACAATGATCAAGTGATTCAAGAGCCATTTGGTCTCTTGGCCAATCCGAAAGCTCTCTAGGAAGAGATCAAAAACAGAGCCAGGACCAGTCCAGGCTTCCTCAACAATGGTAAGTATGATCGTTCTGTCTGCCATCGATGCTCTCCTCAAAACTTCCACCAACTCTGAGCTTTCTGGGTTCTAGTAACAAATTCATTCATCCACCAGTATTATATCACATGGACGGATAAATGAAAGAGAAATAATTAATAATTAGAAAAGAAGCATATACCGGTTGAAATTTGAGAAGCGATACGTCGTGGGTGGTTCCAATTGGTTGAGAAGAATTTTTCAAACGTATGCATAGGAGCACTAGAGCTGAAAAAGCTATTAGAGGAAGATACCGATATTGTTTCATGTCTCTCAGTCGACGGAGGGACATTGGAGATCCCATAGAATTTTTCCATCCACAATAATGCCGGAATTAAGGGTGATATAGAAATCCCTTCTTGCAAATCTTTACCTAAAATAATCATTTGTATTAAAAAAGAAAGAGTAAGCTTTTAAAACTGTCTCCCTGATGCGGAGAATTAGATGGACCTAATAAATACTATAGGAACCTTATATAGGAAGTGGATTCATTGCATTTTAGACATTGTCCTGTACCAATTTTCTCACTTGGTGCATTGATGGTGGGGTTCCGAGAAAATCTACCTTATCTCTAGTTGTATGCAAACATTTTCCTCACGTAACGTTCCCGAGAGTTAGACACATATATATGTATACAAGTGGTGAGACCCAAGAATCGCTCGAGAAATATTAAATATGGAGTGATCCTCCAAATGGAAAATTGTCTTCCCAGAGATCTTCGCCTGGTTGAATCTCATGAAGGGTAAGACAAAGAAGAGAACAGATTTACAATAAAACTAACATTAATAGTTTGAAATCACCGGTTAAAATATGTTTGATTGATTGGTTAATTAGTGATCATTTCACTAATTTTCTAGAGGACCGACCTACTAATTTTCTATTTAAACACCCAACGCTAGCTTTGTTTTTAAACCAGAAAAGTGCACACCAAGAAACAGACACTTTTTCTACACTCATTTACGACCAAAGTTTAGTTTTCTCTCATCATGTCCGAGTCCAATAACAATACTGGTTTCATGGTTAGTGTCGTTTATCTCTCTGTTCTTAATTTCCAAGTTATTTGTTTTAATTTTTTTTTGTCAAAATGGTTCTGTAGACTTGTGAATTGAAATTGGATACCCGTTCCCCCGGATGGCATAAGACCATGATCAAAGTTTTGAAGAATGTCAGTGGTAAGCATGCTTGTTTCCTATATACTATATATACATAAAAAGATGCATATATGTGAGTTAGGTCAGTTGGTTAGGGCAGTGATTCCGCTCTCAAAATTTGAGTCCTCCTCATATATTATACATTAGAGTAGTTTAGACTATCGCTTGTATACATAAAAGAAAAAAAAACTAATACTATTGTTTTTTATCACTTAATTCAATTTTGATTATAATTAATGAAGGAGTATCTTATACCATTGATGCACAAGCCGGAATAGCATGTGTTTCGGGGACGGTGGATCCGAGCACCCTTCTGACTTTATTTGCAAAAGCAGGGAAGCATGCAGAGCTGCTGAGGGTTCATTCTGGACAACATTATCACTTCTCTGGTGTCAAACCTGTTGTTGACACTTACAACAACACACATGGAAATGGTTATGGGACTAATTACGATCGCACTCAGGATAGAACCCTTGCAACAACAACAGCCCACCACGTACACCACTACCATCGGCCGCCGCCGCGGCCAGAAGACTCCCAATGCTCCATTCTCTGATCACTCACGCAAAATGTAACATTATAGGATGCTTGGTTTTTTGGTTTCTACTACTTGTGTATGGAATTTTTGTTTTTCCCTTCTTCCCAATTTTTAAGGGCATGTTAGGGAGTTCATATTTTGCGATTTCTCCGGTTTTTTTAGGAGAATAATGTAGAATCATAATGGACATTATATTTGAATCTTAACTAAGTCTTCACTTTTTTGGGTATTTTTTTGTTGTTATTTCTTTTAATTTCAAGTCAAATGAATTCCCTCACACAGAAGACTAGTTTGGTGCTGCTTCCAAGTTTTGCATTTTTTGGGATGGGATGTGAAGACATGTGTATGGAAATGGAGCACTAGAATATATTTTGATGCTAAATACTAAGGTCTTACTTGACTCCTCTGTGGTGGTGTCAGCTATACAAAGAGGAGGCTATGATATGTCTATACTGGGAAGATTCAAGAATCTATGAAGATATTAAGACCCTATTGCTTCAGGTGCCGGAGTCTTCTTTCAGTTTATTCCTAGAGAAGCCAACTGCGTTGTGCATAGACTGGGTAGACTTGGTTGTGTGAAGAGAGGTCGTCGATTTGGGTAGAGGTGCCCCTGATTTTATTCAAGAAGCCCTTATATTTGATTGTATGAGTCGGAATCAGGTTCCGTGCCCCGTCTTACTTGTTTCTTAATAAATGACTCCTCAAGGTTTGATTAAAAACAAAATACTAAGGTCTCAATTTAATTTATTTAGTTTTTAATCTTTTCACCAAAAGATATACTAAGGTCTCAATAAATTCATATATGAAGCTGATCCAACCATAAAATCCTGCGTAAGAACATGTATTAGGTGAATTAATTATCTATAGGCAAATTCTTACCCATTATGCATTTTGTGAAGGGCTCTTCATGATGACAATATTATGCAAATCTAGGATAAGCTTGGGATCATGGACCTCACTTTCAATACTTTCACCGCAGTTGGCTTGCATGTCATATGCCTCATCTTTAGTCTTACTGTGGCAGACAAAAACATTTCATTAATCTCGTTTTTTATTTATAAATTATGATCTCACTCACAGAGATATTCAAAGAGAAAACGCTATTAAGCATTATATAATTTACAATAAAATTTGGCGTAAGTGTTATCAATCTTTAGGAAGGGACTCGGATTCAAGCTTGTGAGTGTAACTGGGGATCGAAAACATTGTCCTACACTAATTTATTTTTAGAGGAAGGCGGATTGTATCTTATTAAAAAGAAAATAAATAACTAGTATAAAAATCAGGCTATGTCCTACACTAATTTAAATTCGAAATCTCCGTACATCTCATGAGGTTCTTAAAAAAATAAATCTTCAGTACGTAACATATAGATATCCGTTCTTCCAAATCTTTACCTAAAATAATAATTTATATTAACCTTTTACTGTTCCGGAGAATTAGATGGACCTAATAAATACTATATCAACCTTATATAGGAAGTGGATCCATCACATTTTAGACATTTTCCTAAACCAATTTTCTCATTTGGTGCATTGATGGTAGGGTTCCTAGAAAACCTACCTTATCTAGAGTTGTATTTTTTTTTTTTTGTTGGATACCAATTTTGGGGAATGAAGATATCTCCAAATCCTAAAGAATATTTTTAACATGCAGAAATATGGAGTGATCCTCCAAATGGAAAATTTTCTTCTCAGAGATCTTCGCCTGGTTGAATATCATGAAGGATAAGAAAGAGAAGAGAGATAGTTTGAAATCACCGGTTGAAATGTGTTTGATTGATTGGTTAATTAGTGATCATAATTAATGCAAAACATTCCCGACAAATCATACCCCATATTTTCTAGAGGCCCGACCTACTAATTTTCTATTTAAACACCCAACGTTAGCTCGGTTTTAAACCAGAAAAGTGCACACACCAAGAAGCAGACACTTTCCTCAACTCGTTTACGACCATAATTTAGTTTTCTCTCATCATGTCGGAGTCCGATGGCAATACTGGTTTCATGGTTAGTGTCGTTTATCTCCCTCCCTGTTCTTAATTTCCAAGTTTTTTTTAAAAATTTTTTTGTCAAAATGGTTTTGTAGAGTTGTCAATTGAAATTGGATACCAGCACCCCTGGATGGCATAAGACCATGACCAAAGTTTTGAGCAAAATCAAGGGTACGTAGGTATATATATATATAGATTATTATATATTAATTTCTTCTTTAAATTCATGATTTGCACAACTGCTTTTTGTGTTAATCTCGTTGTTCTTGAATCTTAATCACTAAATTAATCGTCTGATTTGTTATTAGGGGTGTCTTACACCATTGATGCACAAGCCGGGATTGCGCATGTTTCGGGCACAATCGAGCCGGACGCCCTTCTCAAGTTATTATCAAAATCAGGGAAGCATGCAGAGCTGCTTAGGATTGACTCAGGATATAAGCATCAGTTCTACACGGCAAAGCCTGTTGCTAATTACAGAAACGGACAGGGTTATGGGCAGGGTTATTATAATAATCATGATTATGGATATTATAATCCCAATGGAACAGGTAATTCCTACCATACAGCAACAGATCCCTACCATCAGCAGCGGTACTACCCTAATTATTATGAGCGGACGGCGCAACCGCTGAGTTTTCCACAGCCACCTCCGCGGATGGAGATTCACCCGTTTTATGATCCGGACACCCAATGCACCATCATGTGATCAGCTATTGAAATTAAAATGCCATGGATTTAGGGTTGACGTTTTAATATTACATATATGAATCCCACAACATATAAAATGTGGGTTATGAAGTTTGGTTTTTCCCTTCTTCTCCATTATTTGGGAGTTGTTAAGGGGTTTAATTTGGTTTGCGACTCTCCGATTATTAAAGGAGAATGTTGAAAAATTTTGAACGGAGTTGTTCTCCATATATTTATAATTATAAGAAGTCAGGGTTTGAGTGTACTTGTCTCAATGTTTTTGTAAGAGTGTAGACTTGAACTGTCATCTATATATATATTTTTGTTACATGATCATTGGATCCACTGGTTCGAATACTTTGAGAGATGAGATGAGCCTCCTCCTCTCCTCAGCCCCAACATAGGGCAACATTGAAATAGCCCACAGTCCTAGCCCTACAGATGTACTGAATGCACATCGTCTGGATATTTGAAACTGATCTGAAATGGACAAATGAATTTTGTGAATTATGTAACGCTCGAGTTTGGTTGATCGAGATCAGTATGATAATTCGAAATGCAAGTCCATCCAACTTAAAGAAAACCTTCTTTTTTTGTTCGTTCAATAAAATCTTTTGCAATCCTTTGCTGTTATTTTACTCTCCTTTTCTGCCAGTAGAATTTGGTAAGTTCTTAAACACGTTTGTTTTGTTTTGTTTTTTTTTATAAAGAGAAAAAAAAAGGAATCAAAATTAACTGACCTATGATTTAAGTACACTCTAATATTTATATTAAAATATAAAATTAACTGAGTACACCATATTTAACTACCAAAAATACTAATTATATATCTTAATACACTCTATCACACAACACCAAACCTTTTCGAGAGCTAGCTGCCATGAAACTTAAACACAATGATTATATAGCTTATGAAGTTTATATAAATATGATAAAACATTGGTTTTCAAAAGACGTGTGAAAGTATGTTTCATACGAGCATCACGTTAAAAACAAGAGAAAAAAAAGTCTTAAACTTGTTCATTGGTCATCAAATTGGAAAAAAAGAAAAAGGTAGTGTTGTTGTGTGGCTGCTGGGATTCGAGCCCAGGTCTCCACGGCCACAACGTGGAATTCTTACCACTAAACTACAGCCACAAGTTGATGATAGGGGCTCACAACATAATATATATAGCTTTTTCTACAGTTGACGTTGTGTAGACATCTGGGCCTTTGGGAAACACGTGAAGATCCAGAATCTGACTATTAGCCAAGTGGGTCTACTTTCAAAAACTAAGGCCTCCATTACTAAGGTGTCATGGGTATTTGAACTTGAGATCTATTGATGTGCAAGTCGCTAGACTACACCTGAGAAAAGAAGAGCAAGCCACAAATTACAATAGGACGGGATTGGTGGTGGGGCCGTGGAAATAGGACCGGTGGTGTGAAGAAGGCATCCACATCCACCTACACATGGCATGGCAACCTGCGTATTCCGGAACATTGCTGGTCCAATTTGGCGGAACATGAAGAATACCAAATTGTTATTGTCCATGGAAATGAAATCCGAATGGGTCCGACAACATACAAATGCAAATCACATATTATATTAATGATACAGTGGATAAACTGGCTTTTCAATAACCCCGAAGGCCACATCTTATGCGCACCGTTGATCTCCGCCATCTGATGATGATCGGATGTTGACACGTGCTCTGCCCCAAGTGGCTCTCGCATTTTGTGCCTATCTGTCTAGAGAACGAGGTGGCAGATTGCTGATACGCCAGACATAAATAACATAATAATTTGTACGAAACTTGTGCATTATTGTTTAGAAAAATGCACAAGTCATGTAAAATCCGTAGCTATCAATCATGCGCCCAAAATCGATTGCGTAGATTCAAACGCAACTCATTTGTGCAGATTATTATGAAACAATCCACAAAAATTCAAGAAATATGGAAAGGAAAATGGATGATCATATCATTGATAATAACAATTGATAGCAATGTGTTATGTGACTTTACTTGAATCATTATTACCAAACGTCCAAACCTCCTAACCTATTATTTAGTATTTCCGAGTAAGGATTCAGATAGGTAACGAAATAAAATATACAGGAAGAGAAGATGCGTCCATAAGTCTTGGCCTTTTATTACAGGACGAGAAGATGCCATCGTATATGTATTACATAGAGTAATGCCACTCTTGTCATGTATGTACAACAACGAACAAGTGTCAATATATGTGTGTATTTATTTATAAAGATACATAGATAGGACTGCATGACAGCTTCTCGCCAATCTAACATTCGTAGCAAATAAGAGTAGCTGTCTCTGTCTCTGTCTCTGTCTCTGTCTGTGTTTGCAACTTCCATTGGCTCGATGGAGGAAAATTCAAACCAATGTGCAGCAGAATCAGCTGCAATTCCTCTCAACATGGAGGGAGAATCTAATGACGGGGAAGAAAGAGATCCAGAAAGCATTTCACTGAGCCAACCACTCCTCCGGAGAAACCGGACACTCTCTTCCAGTCCACTGGCTATAGTTGGAGCAAAAGTCTCCTACATAGAGAGCTTGGACTATGAGTAAGAACTAAAACACATCCCATTTCTAGTTTCACTTGAAAGCAACTCCTAAATCCTTCTTCTCTTCATCTTCACATTGAATTGAAGTTGGTTTGATGCAGGATCAACGAGAATGATCTCTTTAAGCATGACTGGAGAAGCAGATCCAAAGTCCAAGTCTTGCAGTATATATTCTTGAAATGGATCCTCGCCTTCCTTGTTGGACTTTTAACTGGCATAATTGCCACCCTCATTAACCTTGCAGTTGAGAATATTGCTGGCTACAAGCTTCTTGCCGCAGTTAGTTTCATACAGAAAGAAAGGTTTGTTGCATTCCTAACCACTCTCAATGTTATATTCAGCTACGTCAATCAAAATCTCATATTATAGTCTGTTCAATTATCTATGATTACAAAAACAATGTGTGGGAATTATGTGGTGTAGGTACCTCATGGGGTTCATCCATTTAGCTGGGGCCAATCTCCTACTGACCACTTTTGCTTCCATTCTCTGCGTGTGTTTTGCACCCACTGCGGCCGGACCTGGTATACCTGAAATCAAAGCTTATCTAAACGGAGTGGACACTCCTAATATGTTTGGTGCTACAACAATGATTGTCAAGGTGGGTTGGCTTTTTCAAATTGAATGTGTCTCAAGATAATTTCAGTAAGTGACTGCTCTATTAGACTACTCTACAGTACACGAGAGATTTTACTTAATTTCTTCTGTTTATAAAGCTAAGTGGCATGATAAACTTTCATGGTGCAGATAATCGGAAGCATTGGGGCTGTCTCTGCAGGCCTAGATCTTGGAAAAGAAGGACCTCTAGTGCACATTGGAAGCTGCATTGCTTCCTTACTAGGCCAAGGGGGACCTGACAATCACCGTATCAAATGGCGCTGGCTCCGCTACTTCAATAATGACCGTGACCGCCGGGATCTCATTACTTGTGGTGCTGCCTCTGGGGTATGTGCAGCTTTCCGAGCCCCTGTGGGTGGCGTACTGTTTGCTTTTGAAGAGGTGGCAACATGGTGGAGGAGTGCCCTTCTCTGGAGAACTTTCTTCAGCACAGCCATTGTGGTCGTGGTGCTTAGAACTTTCATTGAAATATGCAGTTGCGGGGGATGTGGGCTTTTTGGAAAAGGAGGGCTTATCATGTTCGATGTAAGCACTGTTACTGTGACGTACCATATGATGGATATCATCCCCGTAGTTGTAATTGGCATTATTGGTGGAGTTTTGGGAAGCCTGTACAACTTTTTTCTCCACAAGATCCTCAGACTATACAATCTCATAAATCAGTAAGCAACCTAATCCAAACTTCAATCTTGTAGTCATAACCATAAACGGATTTTAGGATGTAAAGTAACCTTGCAAAGCTAAGCCAACACCAGAATATACTCAGCTGACCATGCTTTTAGTAATCTGAGAGAAATGGTTATTCCATGTTTGACAACCAACACAATGTGATGTCAACTTGATAGTAATAATTACTTCTTGAATTACTCTCTTGGCAGGAAGGGTAAAGTTCACAAGCTCCTCCTCAGTCTCAGTGTATCACTCTTTACCTCTGCATGCTTATATGGTCTCCCTTTCCTCGTTGAATGCACACCCTGTGATTCCTCTCTTGCAGAGTCTGTCTGCCCCACCAATGAAGGGTCTGGAAACTTCAAACAATTCAACTGCCCAGATGGCCACTACAATGACCTGGCTACTCTTCTCCTTGCCACTAATGATGATGCGGTTCGAAACATCTTCTCGACTACCACATCCACTGAATACCATCCTATCTCCCTCCTAATCTTCTTCGCACTTTATTGCATCTTAGGATTGTTTACCTTTGGAATTGCTGTGCCAACTGGACTGTTCCTCCCCATCATCCTTATGGGCTCAGCTTATGGCCGCATGCTTGGTATCGCCATGAAATCCTATACGAGCATTGACCAGGGGCTTTTTGCTGTTCTCGGTGCAGCTTCTCTAATGGCAGGATCAATGAGGATGACAGTTTCGCTATGTGTCATATTTCTTGAGCTCACCAACAACCTCCTCTTACTACCCATAACAATGATTGTCCTCCTAATTGCCAAAACAGTAGGAGACAGCTTCAACCCAAGCATCTATGAGATTATACTGCATTTAAAAGGTTTGCCTTTCTTGGATGCACATCCAGAACCATGGATGAGGAATCTGACCGTAGGTGAGCTTGCTGATGCCAAGCTGCCAGTAGTCACCCTTCGTGGAATTGAAACGGTGGAACGTATTGTGGAGGTCCTGAGAAATACCACACACAATGGTTTCCCTGTTATAGATGATGGAGTGGTGCCACCAGTAGGATTGGCCGTTGGGGCAACAGAAGTACATGGACTAATCCTTCGAGCTCACCTTGTTCAGGTGCTGAAGAAGAAATGGTTCCAAAGAGAGAAAAGAAGAACAGAGGAGTGGGAAGTGAGAGAGAAATTTACCTGGGTTGAGTTGGCTGAGAGGGAAGGAAAGATTGAGGAGGTGGCCGTGACAAGTGAAGAAATGGAGATGTATGTAGATCTGCATCCCCTCACTAATACAACACCTTATACAGTGATGGAAAGCACGTCAGTGGCAAAAGCTATGGTGCTTTTCAGACAACTGGGACTCCGTCATTTGCTCATTGTGCCAAAGTATGTAGCAGCTGGGGTAAGTTGATCAAGCATTCTCATTTTACTAAACACCATGCGCTTGTTAATTAGAGTTACAACTTACTTACACCTAAGCATATTTATTCAGTACATTGAGCAAATTTATTCAAGATGGTCTTTCGTTATACACTAAAATTTGTAAAGGCCAATATCACTAACCTCAACGTGTGCTCCATTTATAGGTGCTTCCCGTGGTTGGGATCTTAACCAGGCAGGATTAATAGCCTACAACATTTTGAATGCCTTTCCACATCTCACAAAAGCCACAAGCAGAGAGAAGGGGAACTGAAAACGTCTTCTCCTCAACCAACAGAACTAGCAGCTTTCCTGAGCAAGACATCGCTTCTTTATTATTATTTTTTACTTAATTATTTATTCTTTCATCCAATTCCAAAGGAGTCAGGTAGATACACAACAATCTGCAATTTCATTCACTTGTAACTATTCATATCACACGTCTCAGTCGAGGATGAACAAAATTCCTTTCTTAAAAAGGGAAAACAACACAGAGGTATTGGTTTTGTTATTTTCTCACTCTACTAGATAGATTATCCTACTCTTCTTCTAGTAATAACCCCAGCAAAATACATCATTGAAAATTCTTCACAAGCGTTTCTTCTTCTTCTTTCCTAATTTCTTTTTCTTTAGGCTGACACCTTGGCCCCTCTTGAACACAGCTAAAACCTCGATGCTGCAATCATGGATAAATAAATAAAAACTTGTCATGGAAAACTTAGCAAAAAAGAAACTGGAAAACAAAAAGATGTATTAAATGCAAAGATGATGGAATTAGCATGACAACATATGCTACATTCCATTTTTGCTATGTCAACCATCTATCCTTCTTTTTTGGGAAGTCAATTTCTGCCTAGATAAGTACCAAAAACAAAACAACGTCTGAATGAAATGCTGGAAATCTTGCATAATCAATCTCCAAAACAAATAAGCATGAATTTATTTTTAATCAATAATGAATGAACCTATAGCATATATGCATATCCATGCAATTTAATTGTAATAAGATGCATCATATGTTGGAAACAAGGGGGTTAAAGAATAGAAACTGATATATACCTCTGGGTTCCAGGGAAAAAATTATATCCATGGGCTTTTTCCAACTTCCATGCCTTGCTAGACAATAACAACTCGCAATCCTGTTGAAACATCAATACCAAATTACGTAGAGGTAAAAAATGATAACAATCAAACCAGACCAAGACGGGATTGGAAAATCAGAGCAGAATATAATTATTTCATGGAACTTTGTAGCGACCAATTTATACCTCTTTGAAGCTTTCCCATCCACAACTAATATAAATAAGGGTTCGAGGCAATGTTTTGCTATCCTCTGAAGTTATTTTGCTTCCAATCTGAACTGAAGCTTCTCTTGCACGGAGCATCCATGGTCTCTTCTCATCCTTTTCTTTTGAGCTTGAACTGAGTTGACATATAAATTATCGGAACTAATTACTTTCCACTAGGACCACCAGTGAGGTCCTTGACTTCAATATTTTGAATGTAGAAAGGGTCTAACCTCTCTGAGGATGACTTAGCTTTATACTCGGCTGAAGATATATTCCGCAATGCATCAACAAGAGATGCATCCAGTCCCTTTCTAGGAGGATCCACAACAAGTACATCTGATCCCGTGATCCAAGAAAGAGGTTCCTAGTTTATTTGTGAGAAATATTATAAACCCAACTATTCAGCAGAAATCATAAAGGAACAATAACGGAGAAACCTTGAAAATTGCTTTGTATACATTTTAATATAAACATGAAATTCGTAAGAATTCACATACTAAATAATAATTTAAAATTTATTCTCATACTTTCTCTTTAACAAATTATCGCCATATTTAACATCTAAACTTGAAGAAAACAGAGACCTCTACTATGAGGTAAAAATTTAAGATACATACATTAAAAATTTCAAAGGGTTACCAACTTTAGAAGTATCTGCAAGATGCCAGCTTATACTGCTATCAACTAAGTTTGGCAGGCGGTCAACTGTCTTCTCAAAGGATAGTTTTGATTCTTTGTTAATCTCGATGCACCTAACAGACCTAGAAAACAATAATAATTCCATATCAGAATGTCTTATATTTAAAAATAAAGACTGAACTTTTGAGGTTTTATACATTCACAATTATCCCAATTCTTGCCTGCATTTTCTTGTCACAGCTAATGATAATCCAATTACACCAGCTCCTGCATACAAGTCAGCAACAGATGATCCTTGAGGGACATACCTTTGTAACTTCCGGAGCAAGGTATCAAAAGCCTGGGATGAAGTAACATTAGACCAGGTGATATAGAGTAGAAACTTTTTCAAGAAATGTAAAATTAAGAAGGTATGATTTTCCAGTAATCAAGTTTCAGAAAACAGGTTCCAGTCAGGATGGTTAGATGTTAAACCGAAGATTCCTTCTTTTACATGTTTCAAATTCTGATTCCTTCAGGATCCAATTATACCCTAAATAACAACTACATCATAATATATGTGCATGCTAAGGGACTTTTGTTTTTCTTTTTTCTTCTTCTACCCTTACATTTACAGTGGTTTATATGGCTTTAATTTCTACGCTCACAGTGTGATGGAAGTTGATGTTAATGAAAATAAAATTATGCATTTCAGTCAAATTTCAATAGTTAGAAAATAAGATTAAAATACCCGTGTGTTTGCTTGGCCAAAACTGGATGGAGCCAAGGAGATATCAATTCCTCCAACATGTTCCCAGAAGTCTCTTTCTCCTAAAAGATGTCGCCATCTGTTCCCAAAAATTATCTGCATCACCGGGTAAACATATGTAAATTCAAGATCATGGAATAAAATGACTAAAAATAACCCTTTGGACTCACATTGTTTGTTGATGTCTGAAAGTTGGCCCATACAGAGTGAACCAGATTGACTTTGCTTCTTGTCCCACCATTTCTCCATATAAACTGGAAACAAAACAAGTATACAGACCATAGATTTCAAATATAATTCTTTAAAAGATAAGATTTACAACAGCAAAATAAAATGAAGTAGCTAGCTCACATTGGCCAAGGCATTCAGTTTTTCTGAATTCGGGGAATTTTCATTTCTTGAGTGCCATACTAAAGCTACCTGCACTTTACCTAGAAGGAAGTATAACTTAAACATTAGTTAGATTTCAGATCAATTTTTGCGTATCACAGAAATCTGATTCTAAAACTCACATAATTATAATGAATTCAACTACTAACCATTTTTATATCTTTCGGAGGCAGGAAGAGATGTATCATGTGTTGTCACGGCCATCTGCACACCACCATTAATTGAGTTACCAGAAAATTACAACTTACTAGCATATTTTCCATGTACACTTTCATTATCTTGAATCTCACCTGCACATAACGTAAATCACCCGTCTCCTCATCTTCATCATATGGCTCAATGCTTAGTTCAGTAATACCTGAAAATAATATAAAGAAGTACAAAAATAATTCAACACTCAAAAACCAGAAAAATAAACAAATAAACAAAAAAGAATACAAAATATAACAGGTAACATTGAGTTTTAATAACTGAAAAGGACCTTGTTTAAGCAGCTCCACCGCGGCATTAATACTTGGATGATGAGCTGCAAAAACAGAAAAAAGAAAATACAAACTAAACAAAATTAAAAACTGCAAAAGAAACAATTGAAGATCAATCCAATGATTTAAAAAGTTAGTACGATTGGGAATTTGGGACCTTTGCATTGAGGAATATCTACTACATTATGAGTGCCCTCCTGATAAAGCCCAATCAGAGGGTTTTCTGATGAGCCACGAACGGCTAATTTTGCACGACACCTCCATCCCCACTAGCACCACACCAAATAATATCAAGACTCAAAACCCTAAGTAATACCGGGAAGATAATTTTTTTATTTTCTTCTATAAAAAAAGGCCTACACTTTACGAAATTAAGGGGGCAAATTGTTAAGTACTACCAGTTTGCAGCTGTCAAATGTAAAATCTGAGACTCCAACGGCCTTGAAGAACTCTGTAGCCTCGTCAACGATGACCGGACGGTGGAGATTGAACTCGTGGGTACAACCGGAGCACCTGAATATCCAGGCAGCAAATTTAAAATAAATAAAAAAGTTAAAGCAACGATAATAATTATTGTGGGAAGAAAAAAAATGTAAACTGAAAGGGTGTTGTCGAAAAGAGTTACAATTCGAAGTGTGGGCAGTGGAGGGCGCAGGTTAGCGAGGGCGGAGGGGTTGCGTTGGGGCTTAACGAGCGAGAAGGAGCTGCTGGAGCTGAAACAGCAGGTGGAGCGCGCACTGCTCTTGGGGAAACGTGGCAGGTAATTAGTGGAGGTGGAGGAGGACGTACGGAGAGGAAGCACAGAGGCATTGCTCTCCGTACGATAACAAGATAAACCGCGTTTTTATTTTATGTTTCTCTGAAAAAAGAATTAAAAAACAAGAACATAGGACACTACTAAACATTGCTTTATTTTCTGAACCAAAAAAAAAAAAACATTGCTTTATTTGCTTGCAAACATGTGCTTTTACATTTGCAGTTTCTTCTGTGGTGGTCTATGAGCTTTTGTGCAGAAAAGTTCCAATGGATGAGACAAAACGAAGGAGAGCATCTTTCACTTTGTCAAGGAAGTGGAAATAGGCATATCTCCAGGACTTCTTGATGACCAAACTCCCACAAACTCCCCAGAACCCTACAATGAAACCTATCACTATGCTGATGATGAACCCTAGCTTTTTAGATTTACTTTCATCATCATCCTCTCCATCTCCACTTGGAACTTGAGGTGCTTCTCCATTGTCGTCTTGGCAACTGGGTAATGGATACCCGCAAAGAGCGGAATTGCCCTCGTAAATTGATGGATCAACCAGGGTCTGAAACTGGTTGCCTGTTGGAATTCTCCCAGACAAGTTATTGTATGACAGGTTGAGATGATTCAAAAATGTTAAAGAAACCATGCTCTGTGGAATTGAACCTGAAAGTTCGTTTGTTGATAGATCAAGAGTTTCTATCCGCTCCAAGTTTCCGATCTTTTCTGGGATATTTCCTGTCAAATGATTCATGGACAAATTCAAGGTGCCCAACATTAAAAGTCTTGTCAGCCCCACAGGCATCTCTCCTGACAAGTTATTGTCTGAGAGATCAACACTATTAACAAGGTAAAGGATGGAGTCATATACAAGCACTCTTCCTTTTGACACCACCTCCAGTTTTCCCTGATAACTGCTTATATCTTTGTCTGTGAACTCAGATTTGAAGCCACTCAAATTACCTATGCACTGTGGAATTTTTCCAGAGAGATTGTTGTGTGAGAGGTCCAGTATGTGGAGATTGGAAAGGCCACATAACTGTGAAGGTATGTTTCCAGTAAACGAGTTGAGCCTCAAGCTTAAAATCAACAAAGAGAGCATATTTTCTCCTATGAAAGCCGGAATAGGTCCAGAAAACTTGTTGTCACCAAGATCAAGACTCTTCATGTCAGTGCAGTTTCTTAAGGAAGGAACTTCACCTGAAAAGTTGTTGCTAGAGAGGATCAAGAAGTTGAGTAAAGTAAGAGAGCCTAAGGATCTTGGGATTGAACCGGAGAGACTGTTGTTTGACACATCTACAATATACAATAATGGCATTTTGTTCCAAAAATGAGGAATCTGACCAGACAAATGGTTGTTTGAGATAACCATGGTTGTTAATTGGCTCATATTACTAAGGGACAGGGGAATTCTTCCACTCAAAGAGTTCCTAGAAATGTCTAAATCTGACAGAGAGGGCATCACTTCACCAATGTTATGAGGAATTGGTCCTGAAAACAGATTATCTCTAAGATACAGCATGGTGATGTTTGATGACCAGAGTGGGAGGGGGCCCTCAAACCTGTTCGAACTCAAATCAATGGTGGAAGAATTGCTGAATCTTAATGAGTTGGGCACCCTGCCGCTTAGCTGATTATAAGCGACATCTAGTTTACTCAATTGCAAATCCAACTGCCAAAACCAATCTGGTATGGTGTCTGAAATCAAAGCATTATTAAGTACCACCATGGTCAGCTCAGTCTGATTTCTGAGCCATGTAGGAAATTTGGGACCCAGTTTGCATGATCTAATGTTCAAGTATCTTAATTTGAAAGGAGGTATCCAATCAAAAGGTATGTCGAAAACTAAGGAAATGTTTGACGAAGCTTTTTCAATTGATACATCTTTTAAGCCTCGAAGTTTCGCCAAATGAGCTCTTGTTATGAAACCTTCCCATGTGTTTTCAGAGATATCTAGTGCAACCAGCGATGAGAGCTGCCCGAGACTTTCTGGGATGATCCCACTCATTTGATTTCTTGCGAGGTAAAATTCCTCCAAAGATGTTAAGTTTCCAATCGATTTCGGGATTGAACCGTGAAATGAGTTGTCCCATAATGTGAGGTATCTTAAGCTTTTAAGGTATCCCAAAGAATCAGGCAGTTTTCCTGTCAGTCTGTTATATCCCAAATCCAATGTCTCTAAGCTGCTGTTTGTGCATGCAGACAACGTATCAATGAAATTAGTAATTTCACCAGTAATTTTGTTGATAGAAAGTCTTAGCGTCTGCAAACTGCATAGCCTTCCCAAGTTTCTTGGCAACTGACCTCCAATGTCGGAATTCTCTGATAAATCAAGCGTTTGGAGAGACGTCAAACTACCAAATGTTTCTGCAAGTTCTCCATGGAGATTGTTGGACTTTAGGTGAAGGTGGACTAGTTCAGTCAGATTAAACATCCAGGGAGGTATCGTGGAGTTGAAACCGTTGCCAGAGAGATCAAGAACCAGAAGGGATGTGAAATTGATGGAAGGAAGAGCGAGAGGAAAGATGGAAAGTCTACAAAAGGGCAAACGCAATTCAACAAGGGAAGGGAGCATATTAACAGTGGGAAGCCAATATGATGCAGCCTTGGAAAGGTCAACTCCTTCCAAGTTGAGGTACTTTAAGGAAGAAAAAGTTGCAAGCCTTAGCCAGTGGAGATCATTCTCAACTGGTTCAAAAAGGTAATTACTGAGATCAAGATAAAGCAAACTTGAGAGGTTTCCAAGATTGGGGGGAATGGTTCCACCAAAAGATGCATTAGAGAGATTGAGATATGTAAGTTTCTCTAGTGATCCAATGAAACTTGGAAGCTGGACACCTCCAAAGTAATTCATGCTCAAATCCAAGTAAACCAAATCTTTCAAAACAAGCAAAGAAGGGTTGATCTCACCACCAAATCCAAATACATTCTCTGCTGCTCCATCACCATCCAACCCACCTATTTTATAGCGATTGCGAAGATCGAGCCTGTTGACACGTCCTGTTATGTTGTTGCAGCCTACACCACTCCATTTGCAGCAATCTTCTCCCACCCAAGACGAAAGCCGGTCCGAAGGATCTGTAAGGCCTTGTTTGAGCTTGAGAAGGGCTTTCCTCTCTATATCCATGCATTTCACGTTATGATGATCAGCGGCACTGCAGAAACCAAGTTTAATGGTTTCAAGGTATAGAATTCCTGACAGTAAAATTAGTGAAACAAGTTGGATGGAAGCACTGCTGTGAACCATACTTGTTATGCAAGCATGCAATGGGAAGGATGATCTGCAGGAGTGAAGATATGAGTCTGCAAGATTTAAAGAGAACAAATGTCCTGTACGTATTAGTAGGGAGGATGGAGAAAGAAAATTGAGTTTTTCTTAATAATAAAAATAAATTTATTTTTTATTATATATTAAAAGAAGGTTCGTTGAAACTAATTGATTAAGATATAAAATAATTTATATTTATATATAATAAAATATATAATAAAAAATTATTTTCTCTTTGAATTTTCGAAATTACGTGCCGTCCGGACGCCCTAACAACAAGGGATAGATTTGACCAGGGTGACTCAGATTTAGACCATGTCTGATAAATTAAAAAGTCAATTATTAGAAGACTCCGAAGTCAATTTGAGTTAGGTGGGGTCAATAGTTTGAGAGAGCCTTAATAATATATATTTTCGACCCCATCAAACCACGCTCGTCCAATTGATAATGACTTTTTAGGTTGAATGTTGCATTTCAGTCAAAGGGATATTTAAGACCCCCAATTAGTACTCAAGAATAATACTTGGTCCTTCCACCCAAAAAAAAATTTGACCAGGGTGACTCAGATTTAGACCATGTCTGATAAATAAAAAAGTCAATTATTAGAAGACTCCGTAGTCAATTTGAGTTAACGTGGGGTTAATAGTTTGAGAGAGCCTTAATAATATATATTTCCGACCCCATCAAACCACGCTCGTCCAATTGATAATGACTTTTTAAGTTGAATGTTGCATTTCAGTCAAAGGGATATTTAAGACCCTCAATTAGTACTCAAGAATAATACCTGAAAAGGTCCGCTCCATCTTCATGTTCAAAGAAACTATTAGACGTCGTCGTCAAAATGGAAGAGGTCCTGCTATATTTATTTTTTTAAAATCCCAAATTTTACAGATTTCACACGAGGACATTATATTATATTAATTAAACATGAAACTGTTTATAATTTTCCTCCATCCATCACAGTAAGATCATATAGGTTGAAACAAGTCAAGCAGTCGAACTATAGAATTTGGAAATAGCGCCAATACACACTACATAGTTCCGGTAACAAAATATGCATAAGCCAATCTCCTTGGTGTTTCTGTATAACCATCTATTTCAAGGCTACAGGAGCTCAAATATTTTAGGATCACAATCTACAATATGCACTTATCTCTGCGATCAATCATCAGTGCCAAAGTATCGATCACCAAATTCACCCATTCCTGGTATCACACGGAATTCTTCATTCAGTGCAACATCAATCTCTGAAGTGACAATCTTCAACGATGGAAACCGTTTGGAAACACAATGGATTCCTTCAGGGGCCTAAGGCAGAGGGAAACAGTGGTAAAAAGAATCAAACAAATGTTGACATTGTACACAAAAACACAGTCGGTCGGCATCAAGAAAAACTCACAGAGATAAGGTTTAAGAATATTATATGCGCTTCAGGAACTCCTTTCTGTATGAGTAGTTCAATAGCCTGGTTAGCTGAGTTACCTACAAGCCAGTAACGTGGATTGTCACTTTTCACTCACCAGCAAGCAAAAGTTCAAAAGAATGCCCTTCTCAGCAGGATGGGTCAGGAATTTCATAAACCAAGCCTATTCTTGTTTTTAATTTGAAATTCTTACAGTAACTAATATCTACATGAAAAAAAACAGAGTCCAGTGCCCAAATTATGAAAATAAAAAACGGACTCCGATTTCTAGCTAGCAAAAGCCAACATGCCCTGCCATTTCAATTTCCACATTGTGCAGTATGTCTCACAGCATACCCTTTGGCGGGAATGGCATAAGACATAATAAACAAATGATGTTATCTTTCTATCACTCCTGTGCATCTTGAGCAATGAGAATAAGAAAACACTAGAGTCCAAAAGTTTTCTTCCATCACCAACTACATTTTTCTCAATATATGCAGGTACCAAAGGACAACAGAACTTCAAAGGAAACCAATGGGATTACCTGTAGCAAGGACAGGGTCTAGAAGCAGGACATGGCGTTCTGAAATATCCTTGGGAAGCTTCTCGTATATCAGCTGCTTAAGTTGTAGTTACTTGGTTATACACAATTTTTATTAAGTTTGAGTGGGAGGGGTTAGCTATTCGTAAATTTTCTCTACTTCAAAAACAGTTACAAGGTTACCTGTTTCCCATTGTCTCCATCACGGTGAATCAGAATCTTTCCTATTTTTATTCCTTTGCAGCATGCACGTAATGCATTTTCCATGCTCTCACCACTTACATAATAAACACAGAAAGATTGTTAAGACCTGACAACCCATATTTTGCCTGCCGGATAAATAAAACTTTTAAAATCAATACCTGATTTAAAGCTCACCTTCGAACAATTGAAACCCCACACAATTTCTTGCAGAAATCAACCCCAGTATATACTGATGCTGAAATAGAATAAATACAAAATTTCAAAGACACAATATTCTTTACTTAAATAAATATTGGATCCATGTTTATGTGAGCTTCACAATCCAATCATTCAACTAGCAACGCACCTCCCCCTCCAATGGAAAATCCAAAATCCTCAATGAACAAAGTTCTGAATCGAGTATGGAGAAGGAAATAAGAGGGTAAAGACATGTAATTAACATACCTGTTGGAGTTACTACTTGCTTCTCTGTGAATGGCAAATGGCCAAGGCCATGCTCCACAACCTAGAGGCCACATCAAAGTATAAGAACATAAAAGCTTAACTCTGGTAGGTTAATGAAACTTGACTAAGCCTGAAATGGAAAATACCAGACGAATTAGCCGATCTGAATAAAATACAAAGTCATGCTTTGATATTTCTCGGTCTCGAATCAGTGTATGCATACCTCTAATCTGTAACATGAGAAAAACTTGATTAAGGACTATAAAGAGATGAAAGTGAAGAAACAGTCATCGGATTGCAGACTGTTGGGACAACCCTTCAGGTTACAGGGTCCATCATAATGCAAGTGACCTATATATTCAAATAAACTTGGGCCAGTCAACCATGAAATCTGATTGATCACACTTTTCAGCGCTGAAATTTAAATATTTGGTTGCAGGTGGACATAGAAGGTGCCCAGAAAAGGGGTTTGGAAAGTTCTCTCACTGATATGCCATAAGCCCAGAAACAGAAACCAAGTTGACATAACTATCTTTAGCCTTCACCTACCAGACACATACCCTACCCTACCCTACCCTACCCTACCCAACCCAACTCATCCGACGCTGCTTTGTATAATCCACAATCTCACTGTTTTCTGCACTCAGAGTTGTACAGTTATTCTAGTTACTGGCATTTAGTAGTAGAATTTTTGGGCCACAGCTCAATGAAAAACAAGGCCAATAATTGAATTCAACGTACAATAAATAATTTGTAATTGAGAGTCTTAGGATCAACAACCATAGCCAAGACTGCCAAATTCCTAATGCCCCCAAAAGACAGAAGGTGAAGAATATGTCTATAACACCAAATCACAAATAAAACAAAAGGCATACCTGAAATGTTGACTGAATAACATACATATTGGGATAAATTTTGCAGAGGTCATGCTGACCAAGCTTTGTTTGAATATGTTGCACAATCAAATCAATGGCTACATGATTATCACCACCACGGGGAATGATCACATCAGCATACTTCTTTGATGGGTGAACAAAATCATCAAAAGCAGGCTTGACAAACTTGGCATACTGCACAATTAAAATAATGCTACCAATGTGATTTTAAGAGTTGAAACAATAAAATCTCAGTGGAATTACAAGACAATTAAACCATAAAAGAGCCACCCTATGTTCTTACTCAACTCCACAGAAAATTATGATGATTCAACTGTGTGCAAGGAGACTGTTCAAGCATGGGGTCTTACCATTTCAAGAACAGAATTTATGTCCCTCCCCCTCTCAACTGTGTCTCGTCTTATTCTACGAGCAAGCCTTACATCAGCATCTGGACAAAAACAAGATAGCAAATATTCACAGAGAGAGAGAGAGAGAGAGAGAGAGAGAGAGAGCATAATCTAAAAAAGGTTATGACCTGCTCCTCATGCGCATACAGAGACTGACCAACCCATAAAGTTGGATGGGAATAGAAGCACTCTTAAAGAACGAATGTTTGATAATAACCTATAGGCAGTTTGAGTTTATATAAATTTTTAAAAACTGAAGCCATTCTATATGGACCAGCAAAAAGTAGAATATATTATTCGCCACCCAAGTGGCTAACGCCTATGGTTTATAATCAGCATAAATTGCTAATTGGCAACTGAATCTTAATAGGCAGTACAAGAACACGCAACCAGCCCTGAAATTCCCTTCTCTGGATTTCTTTGATCAATATCTATTTCTATTTCTTTGACGTAACATATACATTTGATTACAGAGGAATTGCTAGACCTATACAAAGAAGGCATAATGTCCGTACATAGCACTCAAACTAACATGACATGCAAAGCAAAACAATCATGGAAATCTGGAAGATGAGATGACCATAAAGGAACATAACAAGACAAAAATAATGACAACGACAAAAAACTAGAAAGAGAAAATGAAACCTGTATCGACAAAAATCTTCATGTTCATCAGATTTCGGACACGTTGATCATGGAATACCAGAATTCCCTCCAAAATTATTACATCGGAAGCATTCACCTGAAAAAGCAGTAAACAAAATGATTAAAAGGGAAGAAAACGACAATTAGAAGTCAAAACGAACCTTGAGAAGAGTAAAAATGGTAACAATACTAATAATAATGATAGTTAATAAAGTAATATAAGAATAATAATAATAAATAGTACAATGTTACCAGTACACTAATTCTACACGCCAAACAAGCTAGATACTCCAAAAAAAAAAAAAAAAAAAAAAAAAAAAAAAAAAAAAAAAAAAAAAAATATCGAGTACCTGCCGGAAAGTATCAGAACTTCGTCGATGGATCTTAAAATCATAAATCGGAACTTGGACAGATTGGCCACATTTTAGCTTTTGAACGCACTCTAAAAGTTGCTCGGTGTCGAAAGCATCTAAAAAATGCAAGCCATACATAATCAATAAAATTTTACAAATAATGTCCATAGGCTAAAGAAAAACCCCAACAAAACTTCATCTGTCACTCCATAACTGCCAGAGTTGCACAGTACAGATAGAACAGCACACAACCTAATTTCTTGGCAGCAGACATCAAGAATAGGAAAGTAAATTTGACTTTTTATAATAAAATGATTACCAGGATGATCAAAATTATACTCATGCACCCGTTCAGATTCCTCAGGTGTCAAACCACGGTAAAATGAATCCTACGACACGGCCAAATGAAACTAATTAGAGAATTTTATTAAGCATAAAGTAAAATCAACTAATGACGGAATTTTGCAGGCAGAAAAGGCAAGTTAAGCATAATGGACACCAAACCCTAACCTGATTGACAAGGACGACCCGATGATCGTGAAGCTGTTGGATGATCATGTCGCAAACCGTGGTCTTACCCGAAGCCGTACCTCCCGAAACACCTAATCAATCACCGCAACAACAATCAAATTGAAAGAAAATGTAGTTGCGGCAGAGATGTGACTGAAACAAATTTAAATTGATTGGATGTTCTGTGAAAATGTGAAGAAAGACGAATGAGAGAGTTAATAGTACCAATGACGAAGGGCTGCTTGGTGGCGTTGGGGTCGGCTCGGTTTGAAGCAGCGGAAGCAGGAGAGGAAGACGATGCAGAAGGTGGAGATGAGAGGAGGCCGTCAAGTCGGAGCCCCGAGAAGTGAGGCCCGGACGCTGCCTCCATCACGTAGTCTATGGTGGTCGTCTCCTCCGGCATGGTTTTCACTCTCGCTGTCACTCTCTGGTTGTGTGTTTCGGACTGAATTTGTTACAGCACGACAGTTCAACTGCCTTCAAAAATCAAAAGAGCTCAGCGCTGGACGGAATAGGACCGTGCCGCTTTGTCACGATTTGTTCGGGCGCCTAGGATTCACGCTTTATTTTTGGGTTTGTCCTTTTTTTGATGTTGTTATGAATTTTCTGATTTTGGATTGGCAAAGGAGGAATATGCCGGATCCATTTTTTTATTATAATCTTTTTCGTGAGAATTTCGTGCGCCAAAATGGTGATGCCGATTAAAAAAATTTAAAAAAAGCGCGCCTGTAAAGAGGTTAATATAATTGATAGTGTGGTGATTTTCCTATTTCTCTTTTGTCTACTTACACTCCTTTTTATTTTTTTAATAATTTTTACTATAACAAAAAATGGAGTGTAAATGAACAAAAGAGGAGTGAGAACATACAATTTCTAACAAAGGGAGTATAAGTGGATAAAAGATGAGTGGGAAAATCAACTCCCTAATTGATATTTCTATTTTAATTAAATCTTAACTACCGGGTGAGGGATTCAAACTCTGGTGATGAGTGGAGGAGTATATCTACTCTAGCAAACTTGACTAAGTCCATATATGCTTCTTTCTAGATGTAACAATAATGGAAAAAAAAATTAAAGATATGTCTAAGGAGGATTAAGGTCGGATATGTGGAGAGTGGAGTTGAAACCATATAGGATATGTAATTTTTCTGCAATCAATAGAAGAAAAATTAGTAGGCAAAATCCAACAGGATATGAGGGTTGATTCATAGTATTGTACAAAAATCAGGCCAGGGTTATATATAGCAATCCCTACCACTTTTATTCTGCTCTTCCTTCAAATTTCAGTCACAATGAAACAAAACCAAAAATATCAAGTTCTGAGTTTGAATCACAAACTCGGCACTGGCTATAATTTATCTCCAAAATACAAATAAAATGATACGTCCATGGTGGTAATAAGTAGACCCCATAGGGCAAATACCCTCAAACGAAGTTCAAAACATAGAAGGCAGAACAACGGTTGCAGATAATGCAGCAAGCACAAGGAATGAAGTAATGGAATGCAGGGAAGTTGAAGCAGGAGAAGCATCAGAAGACGGCGACGATGACGATGCTGATGCCGGAGAAGATGGTGCATTTCCATCGACAGTAGTGATCTTCACCTTCATGCCTTGGCCACAGTGACCTAAAGTGCCACAAGCAAAATATCGTGTACCAGCCTTGGTCAACTTCACCACGTCACTGCCGGTATTCTTGGAGTCTAATGCACCGCCAAGGTCACAGCTCTTGTAGGCACTCTCATTTGGTAGCTCCACCACGCTGTGCAGCCCCGAAGAGTACTTGAAAACTGTCAACAATATTAATCACATAGGTTATGGCATTATTATGCTAATCAAATCCACACTAAAAATATAATTATTAGATTAAGAGGGTTTGTTTACATACCAAGTTGATCGCCAACCTTGAATTTTTGGGCAGATGCCCAAGAGTTGAAGTCTGTGGACTCATCCCAACCTTGGCTTCCTCCAACTGTGAGTTGTGCTGCGAAGCCCTTCTTTGTGATCAAACCTACAAAAACCAACACCAACAAAATTGTGTTCCTGCACCCCATTCTGTGTATTCTTATGCTCTCTCTCTCTCTCCTTCTTTGCTTCTAACTCCTTTCAATGTCTGAGTCTGAGCTTTCCCATGCCTATTACAACTATATATATACAGGGGAGTTCTGTTTGGTTTATTAATATTGTTATTATTATAAGTGATGAAAAACAATATTTGTAATCTTGATAACTTGGGAAGTTTCGTTTTCATAAGATGAACATCAAGGACCCTCCAATTATCAAATTGCCCCGAGAAGCAAGAGGCAGTATACTGCAACCTAGATCAGGCATTTGTGTAATTCTGCAGAGAAACAGGGCTGAGCGTGTGAAATGCGATTATGTTAAGACTTGAGAGAGTTTGGTTTGTCCGCAAAGCAAAACTAGTTGGTGGGCAAAAGGTCGTGGAGGAAGCTTGGCGTTGAAACAAAGCTACACTGGCGGTGATCATATTCACTCGAAAAGGCCAGCGGCTTGCCCTTGGAACTCAAATTTTAAATCAAAACAAAATGTCAGAACCATCAGAACGGACTAAGACAAGGACCAAATGAAGAAAGTCTATTCACTATAGCTTGTGCTCGTCATCATCAATGTCATGACATTGATTGTTTGGTTCATTAAAATATTTTGCTCATCAACTTTAAAACCGACATATATTGTTCAAAATTTCTGGATACATTTTACTACAAATTAGAGCTTAAGTTGCTCATGATGGCCCCTATACATCTAGACATTTAGCCTTGTTGTCAAATCCTCAATCGAAACGGAGCCATATGGTTTGCAAGTTGCAGCTGATTTCAACTCAACTTCAATCTCAGTTGTAATATCATTGTTGCTGCTGGAAAAAGGCAGTAACTTGATTGTACACGATGTCCTTGGCATTCAACCCCATGATGAAGTCTGCATGTGCATATTCTTTTATGTACTGAACAGTCAGCTTGCCCACATCATGAAGCTTAAGAATATCAAGTAAAAGCTCCACGTCCCGAATATCAGAGAGCGAGTCTCGGCCGCCATAGCTGAGGAACAGAGGAAGGTTATGGGGAATGTTGGATAGGTTATAAATTGGAGGGCTAAATTTCCCATAATGCATCAAATTGTAGTCTAGTCTCCCGTAGTTGTATTTTGCCAACACCCCATCTCGCACAGCTGCAAGTTAATTTATGTCACAATTAGTTTAAACAAGTAGTTTAATTGGCACCATTACTTTAAACAGATGGGGTTTAAGTTGGATAAAGGAACTTACTTTGAGCCAAGTGCACCATGTTCCTGGTGGATGTTGACTGAGGCTCATTCTTCAGGAAGAGATCAACAGTGGAAGAATTGAGGCAGCAGTTTTTTCCTTACATCAGATAAATTTACAGAAGTAGTTAATAGCTTAGTTGCAAGATAATTAATAATTAGAGATAATAAGAAGTGGCTAATTATACCAGTAACTGCTTCTAGTAAGTCATAGCAGTCAACCCCTGGATAAACACACAGAGCATTGAGAAATTGGGCCACAGGCTCCCTGCAATTAAGAGAAACCTCAAATTACACCAAGTTAAAATCATAATGCTGTGAGATGAAGAGGTATTTAACATTTATTTCTTGGTGGATTCTTACCCTTTTGGATTGAACTCGGCAAGACCGAATAGCGTAGTGATCTGTTGGCAAAATCATACGCTTAATTAGAGCTCGTTTGGGACTGTTTCTATAGAGGGCATATCTGAAATTGTATAAGGAATTATTGACTAACAACTGAATGAATTTGTACCTCACCAACAAAGGCCTTTGCAGCAGCCACGCCAAGTGCAGTGTTCATGTGACTCAAATAAGCAATGGGGCTCAACAAGGCTGCCGACTTCATCTGGTCCACCAGTTTCCCATCTGATAACGATGCCAATGCAAACAAAGTACCCTGCCAAATTCACATGGTTTCTTCAACATGTTGCATTGCATGTCCTTGATTTGAAATTCAATTTACCAAGATATGTGCATTTTCCATCACACAAAAAACCTGAAAAATTCCAAATACATTGATCCTCACCAGTGAATGGCCCACGTAATTAACCTTCTGTCCTGTTTTGCTATACACGAAATCAAAAACAGCTGGTAGGTCAAAGGCCACCAGTTCATCCCAAGACCAATTCCAAAATTTCTGGCATGTTTCAAATCACAACTCATTAAGCAGTAAGCACATACTACTAAGAAACAGAGATAGCTGAAGTGAGAGAGTATATAGTGTAAGAACCGGATCGGAGGGGTCCATGGAAGTATGTCGTCGGCTAAACCTGGTCCCTCTGGTGTTAGCAATCCACACATCAAACCCATTATCAGCCAAAATCAACGGTAGATTTCTATCCGGAGAATTTAAGAGCCAGGTGACTCCATCCTGCACCCACATACACAATATAGAAACCCCTCAATTATAGTCAGCACCAAGAGCAGTTATCCGTGTCTTGAATTTTGCACCCATGGAATTATGCCTGAGGCGGTGCATCATTTTTTTGGACAGTTTCTGATGGGGTTCCTTTTGCCTCATCAGAATCAGAAGCAGAAGCTGAGTCTCTGAACCACTTTTTGAAAACTTAAATCCAATTTTTGTTTTGTGTGCATACAAAAACTATTACTTGGTATTTAAGTGGACAAGTTTTGTTCAACAATCTGAACAAATTTGTACGTCTAATCTGAAGAGCGTGAAGTCTGCTCTGTTTTCCTCTGTTTCTTTCTTCTTCTCATTGACTTTATAGGCAAACATGGACCCTCTGTTTTGGATCTGCAGCCATTTCCAGGGGCGTAATTCTGGCATCCACTTTTGTAAAGATATTGCTTTTCAATTTGTTGTTAAATGCGTGGAAGATGCTAATTTCAAGTGTAGTTTAAGTGACATCATAGGCCATTTGAAAGAATTACAGGGCACATGCTATATTCACTGATAGTGTCCTCTCCCTTTTGACTTTTTTCACTTGAAGGGTCGAAAAAAGCAACTTTGGTACCAAAATGTGGCACTGAAAAGCAGCTTTAATGAATATGTGCAATAATGTTTAATGATCAAAGATCAAACGGAAACAGAAGCAGAAGCAGAAACAGGATGATGATATGCAGAGCAGAGAAGAAGAGGAAACTTACCACAAGGACACCATGTTGAATTAAGACCGGTGGCTTCTTAGTCCCATTACTATGACGACCTTCTGGGATTCTTTGCAAACTCAGTATGTAACCGTCTTGGGTTGTCACCTGAACAACACAAATGAATTAATTCAAAACTAATTGATTGAATTATATGTAGCTACAGTGCAGTGGCTTAATTCATCAAGCTCTTACCTGAAGCTCCTGGCATTGGTAGCCATATACGAGCACCGAAGACGCACATATACCGACGGCTGGGGCAGCCGCAGCAGCAGCACGTTTGTGGCCAAGTGAGCTACGAATGGAGGCGTAAGCTCGATGAGGTCCTAGGGCTGCCACCAAGACTAGGAGGCAAAAGCTAGCCAAGGTTACAGCCATATTATATATACTTCGTGTTCCTTGGTTTTGTTATTGTGATATTGAAAATTGGCTTGTTGAGGGCTTTATATATAGGCTAGCTGAAGAAAAAGACAGACACAGAGTGAGAAAACGAGTTGTTCTTTTTCTTCTTTCTTTTTCTTTCTTTATCTCCTAATTCATTGCTCGAGTGACAGACTAGTAGGATATACGATGTGATGGCAAGGGGAATGGATGTGGGCCCCACTGGGATGTCCTTTCTTATCATCAAGCAACTGATCATTTGCAAGCAATTTGATCAAAGAGCTGGAATTGCAGTTGCAATTTCCAGACCTGAGCTAGCTAGCTAAATTGGTCTGGACTGTATGGGAGGAGTGCGTACTCTACTCGTATGGATTAGGATAAAAATTCTTTGCGTATGTGGGTTCCACGTTGCGATTTTGGATTTGGACCCATCTAAGACGGCAATTTTGGAGAGGAAATGGATAAAAGAATTGGATCAGATTTTATTTGTTTGTCCGTAATCTCAAGGGGTTTAACAAACAGGGCTTCAATTGAATTTACTATATTTTACATTGAGTTAGCGTCCTGCAACTCAAACAAGTCTGGTGGTGGTGTTCATGTGGATGCATGTGGCTCAGGTTGCAAGACACTGCTTTTTCCTTTTTCTGTTTTCTTTCCTTTCAATCAACTGATGAGATCCAAGAGCTGGAAGAAGAACATTATTTCACACTGAGTTGACCAACTAGCTTTAGGAACCACATAAATGGAAGATTCCTGGCAGCACTTATCTGTTGCTAGTTAGGCTGTGTAGCATTTTATATGGGAATTGCGTTCGGTTCTGTTCTGATATGTTTCAGCACATCCCATGGGATAAGGATGTTTAATCCAAATAGTCATAGTGTTTGAAATCAAGTGACGCCATTAATAATAACGTATCATATGTTAACTTGGACCTATTTTTTATTTGTTTGAATTCCATGACACTTGTCAAACGAGTTGTTTGATTGCACCACGATAATTGTGACTTAGCTAGATCACTTGTCAATTATACATTGTCCGAACTCACAATGGATTTTTAGCTTAAGTGAATAAGAGTATTTATGCGTACATGAGATGCTTAAGTTCGTTTGCATTAAAATTAAAATAAAAAGCCTTGTGTGAACTCACTTCTAACATTGAGGCGTACCATGTTGGAATGAGGAATTGAGCCATGAACATGAGCCCCACTTGTCCCTTTCCAAGACCACCCCAATGACCCCGTCATCCTTCATGCCTGTGCAAAATCAATATCTCAATAATCACAATGGGGCTCATGCCTTTTTCACACAACTTCAATTCTTCCTTTCACATTGACGGATGACTTGCTGCTGAATGGTGCTTAAGAATATGAATCAAAACCACAACACTCATTTCTGTGCTCTGCCACTTTCTGCAAGCTCCACTTTCTCTTTGTTTCTTTTTTCCTTTTGCTTTTGTCGAATGGGAAAAATAATAAATATCTTCAGCAACTCATACATACAACTGACAGGCCTGTCTCTCAAATGAACCAGAACACGAAAGAGCCCGTTTGTTTGGTATATGGGCTGAATCTATGGGCACGATATTTCATTCTTCTAAGGCTTATTTACACTAATACACTTTAAAATTATAGTCAAATCTCACTTTACTCTCTGTTGTCAACTTCATCCAAAAATCTATTAACTATAATGACGTGATAAGGGTGTTTTTATAATCATACACATGGATCATTGTCCACCTATGTTGTACCAATACTCCTAACTAGAGGGGTATGCTGGTATCTGATATGGGTACGATATGCCTATGATACATATCCAATACGGATATAGAAGTATCGTGGACTTTTCTAAAAGTTTGACCTTCCGATACATTTCCAATACTTCTAGGATACGGTCTCAATATGTTTCCAATACTTTAAGGGGTAATTTTGAAAATATGTTAGGTCGTTTTCAAAATTATAAAATCTTATGGAATCATATGGAGACTTATATGTTTGGTTTTATATTTTGAACTTATAATGGATGATTTTAACATGATAGGTGCAAGCCGTACTCGTATCCTAATTTTTAGAGTTTTTCCATATTGGTGAATCATATCATATTGTATCGATGTACCCATACCCGTGTAGTTATTCACCTTTTGAGAGGTGGCGTGGCAAGTGGAGTCCATCTCTGCATAAATAAAAAATGAAAATAAAACATTAAAAAAATAGAACTAAATGAGAATACTAATTTTTTTCAACCCTTCAGTCCTACAAGCAAAACACCACTCATATTTGGGCTTTTTTCTTCCTCACTCACCAACCCAGTGATCGACTGAAAGTCTGAAACCCATTGAAAAAAACTAGCTGCAATTTTGAGCTTGAGATTGAGATTGGGAAGCCGAAGCAGTGAAGCAAAAGTCAGGTCTTTTCCTTCCTTCAAAACCACAGAAGAACAGATCATGAGACTCTTAATTCATCTAATTCCATTCCTCTCCCTGTTTCCCGCCTTATTCTCTTCTCTCTTCGCCCTCTCCCAAACAACATGTTCACCTCACCACATCAACGACAACGACGACAATTCCTCCCGCTGCCAACTCCACCAATGCCAGCTCAAGATCGATCGCTTAGGTATTTACTCCCACTTCAAGCTTTATTTTATTTTATTTATATTTTTTTTCTTTCTTCAATTTGTTACCCATGATTTTCTTCTTAGCTATTATTAATTTTGTTATGCAGAATCGGTTCTAGCAGAAAGCATTCAAAACCTGACCGAGAAAATTGATCGTATCGAAGAGCGCGAGAAGCGCATAGACGACATGGCGCAGAAGATCCATCATTTGCAGTCCGTTTTGTCCACTCTGAAGGTAGCTTCAAGTCATCAGATTTCAAGTATATGCTGAATTGAAAGCAAATATATAATATTTGGTTGCATTTGAATGTCACAGGGAGACTCATTGGCTACTGATGAGAGGCTTAAGGCTTTAGAAGAAGAGGTTCATATATTTTTCAATTTCTTTTTGCAATTTTCAATTCAATGAAAAAGTAGCAGAAAGAGTTTGTTGGATTTGAGAATTAGGCTTTGCAATGCTTTTTAGGTACGGCTTCTGTGGGCTGCATCAAGAAAGTACAACTTCGATCTTCATGTTTTAGAGTCTAAAGCACAAGATGCTGAGGATAGACTCGAAACGGTTGCCTCTCGGGCTCAAAAGGTCATGCACTGATGTACTCACTCCATCTATGGTCTATGACTATGATTGTGATGTTGTTAGTGTGGTGTTCATTTTGCCATTGTCTTCTTTCTCTTTGCTTTCAGATGGCTGACGTTGTTACAGAACAATGGATTCAAATTCAGCAACTTGAGCAGGCTCTTCATATTACACAAGTAAGTATGTTGTGCTTGAAACTGGCTTCAGGTTCTTTATTTGCTAAATTCAAAAGTTTTACTGAAATTGGTTTTGCTGATTCACTAATATTTGCTAGTTTCTTTTTGAAAAAAATAAATAGATGAGGACTATGAGGATTCAAAGACAATTAACAAGATGCATATTCTTGAAGGTAATATTGGATATCCCACACTCGTAGTGGTAGTTCAGAACTTCAGATAGGTTGATATATATAGTCAATATGATATTCTGACCATCTGTGAACTGTCGCCAGAACTTAAATCCTGTCAGCACTGACAGCATCAAGTCTTTTCGACAATTGACCTATTTTGCTTTTCACAAAATATAATATCACATTAACTCAACAAATCTGATGGTTTGCAGTTCATAAACAACCTTTCTGATGACCCTCTGCTGAAGACGCTTGGGCCTAACTTCAGATCCTATTTCTCTCGAGCTTTGCATCAGTTCAAGAGAGTCTTTGCAGAATTTAAAAGGTCTCACCATGAGGTATGTATCAAAAGTCTTTTGTTAATTGGTCTGTAACAGCTGTTGGAAAAGGAAAACATTTCTTCAGTGTTGTTAGGAGGACCCTGAGGCCACTCCTGTGATACATCTTTATAGCTTTCTGCCATTCTGCTGTTGTTTACATTTGCATATCCCTTTACTTTTATAGCATAGTTTCCAAATTTGGTGGTTGGTTTTCTAATTTTCTGGAACTCTGAAGGCACAAGCTGCTTAATGTTGGCACATGACAGATGCTTGTATTGCCCTAAATAATAATCTCATTTAGTAGGTTTCCTTATCATGAATGCATAGGTTATATTGTTGTGGACTGCTCCATTATGTACAATCTTGACAGTAATTTAAGCACCATTTTTTTGTTCATTTTTCTTTATCATGGTTTCCCAATGCATTAATTCTCTATATATTCATACGAGGTTGTATAAAGTTCAAATATCGTGTTTACTTCAATTGTTCATCCATTGTTTGAGGTGGTCATATATCCTCGTCAGTCTTCTTTTACTAGACATTTTTGTTGCTGTTGTTTGGCTACTCAATCCCTGAAAACCTCAACTTTCTTTATGCAGTTACAACATTTCATCAAAGAGAAACTGGAAAAGAATGAATTCACAGCAGCTCTTGCAAATGAGGAATTAGTTTTCTTTATGGTATGTAGTCAATTTTCTTTGTTCTTTAATTATTTCTGTGCTCCTTTCTGCCGCAGCTTTTTCTCAAGAAATACGTTCCCATCTAAGCATTTTCTTGTGGTATTGTCCTTAATGGGAGTTGCTAATTTACAGGCTTCCGCATTAATCACCTTCCCAGTAATGAGTGCTTGGATGTTGCTCTCATCAAAACTCACTAGCTGAAAGCGTCACAGGTTCTGAATGAAAGAAATTTTCGAGAATTTGATATTGTTAACAATATTTGATAGCAACTGTTACCATGTTGGCCTAAGTTAGGAGATTTGACGCACAGGTCAATGCCTACAACAGCAACTGTAACCATTACAAACATGAATGTAGAATAGTTTGAAAGATATCGGATGCACGTTTTTGTTAGATTTTCTTATGTTCCAAATGGCCCTAAATCTGTCGCTGCATTTCCTTCAATCAAAGACCCTAATTACAAAATGAACTATCCCATCGTTGTCTTTTCCCTTGGCTTATAACAAAGTTGAAGATATCCAAATTCTTATCCCTCCAAGACTAGGCCTGGTGTGAGAGAGGTGGTTTTCTTTAAAGTCAGAAAAAAAAATTAAAAAAAAGGGCCTGACCCGCCTAGAAACGACTTTATATATTCTTCGTATTCACAAATTTTCCCCTGGCTATGTTGTCTAATTTGACAGATTTTGTGTACTCTACTTGCGTTTTGTTTAAAATCAGTAAACAAAACAAGGGAAACCCAACTGCAGAAAGCTTACCATAGTAAGAACAACCAAGTAACATGTAAAGTTGTAACAACAACTTCTGTTTAAATATGCATTATCAACTTGCGGTTGTGCTATAGTAATTTCTCATAGCATAGGACTTTTTCTTCTCTCTATACATGCCCTCCATCCCAAAATTCTTAATTTCAACAACAGGGAACTATGTCTTGGACTTTACACCGAACATTGAGGTCTAAGTTTAGCAACTTGGCAAGTTCTCGGGCTTCTTCCATTTACATTGTATGAAAAATACCAGGATCAAACTTTATCAACTACAGCAATGGTAGGGCTCATCTTCTTCCTGTGACTCGAGCTACGGCAAGAAACTAAGCTGGGAAGGCAGCACTGCACAGACCTAATTGGTTTCTCCTTCTCAGTTGCAACATCTCCGTTTGCTGTCCATTCGCTGCTAGAGACGGAATTAGTTGCAGGGGCAGGAGTACCATTGACAGATTTTGGAGGGAGACTAGGTGTAGTTGGCTTTACTGCGTTGTCAGCGTCTTCATCATTTTTGAAGCTCTCTTGAAAAAGTTCAAGTAGTTTCTTCTTCTTTTCTGTTGGAGATGGACCAGGAATTCTGTCCTCAAAAGGAGTTTTGTTCATTCGGGAGGAGCCAACGGACAAGCTGTGATGGACGGGAGTGTTGCCACGAGATGGGGTAAAGTCTGCATGAGAAACCATAAATTAAAAGGACCAACAACAGTGGTATGAAATGAAGTAAACGGAACTCTTCTGAATTCTATGTTTCGTGTGGCACCGCACAACTAACCCACCCAACAGCTAGCCCTGTTGTTACTCAACTTTTATCAAGGTTATTTTTCAGCTTAACGAATTTCAGCATATTACACACATATTTAGTTGCCATACAATGTACATTGCATAGTAGAAGGAATCAAAGGTACAAAAATTATAAGCTAGAAAGACAAAATGGGTCAAAGCATTTGACTAGATGCTTACCACCATTGACACTGTAGAAATCATCTTCACAATCTGAGTCCAACCACGGCTTCGTATCAAAAAAGGCCTCCTCTCTACTACCTGCTAAAGAAAAAATGGAACTAAAACTTAATTAGGGAAATGCAGTAGAGCTAAAAGAAGACCCCAAATGCTTGCCTTGAAGAACATCCATCTAACAAACACCACCAAACAGAACAGAGAGAGTATAGAATATAGATGTAGCCAAGTTGGAACACAAGTAATTAGGTGCACCATGTCAAGTGCATGAATTTAGTCAAGTATATGATATCTATCTAGGAAACATATTTGGCCACAACCATTAGCATTAGGGTCAATGTAACTTTACTTCCAAGCTAGGGAAGAGCCAACCAGAGTTGATTAGCAACCGCGGATGATACGGTGGCATAGGAAAGACCCATTGTTTGATGGGGTGGAGGTGGAACCTGATATTCAATCAGTCCTTGGTTGATATTCACCTTCCTTGGTTTTCCAATAATGTTTCATTTCATAGCTTCCCGAAACTGATCAGTTTAGCTATTCAAATAAAAACAAATACAACCTTCCTCTTCTTCTCCATAGACAACACATAAAAAAGTTAAAGACCTTCCAAATGTGATCCATCCACCACTTTAAATTTTAGGTATTGATATGATCCTTGACAGTTCAAATCACAAGAGGCATTAAGGTAAAATTAATGGCCCCATGTGTATATCCATCGCTTTGAAATGAATGAATGAAAGCAGGGAGGACCACAATCACAATGAGTCATCTATACTAAATACGACCGAATCCGAATCCCCATTGGAGTAACTAGTGCACTCATACTCAAAGCACCAAGCTTTCATGGAAGCTTGGTTCACCAATCTTTGATATAATCCTAGAAGTCTACATTTCTAAAGTTCACAAGCTGCCCTCAAGTTCACCTATTATCTATCCAGCATGTGAAAGACAAATTTGACTGCAAGTTTGGTTGTTTCTATAAAAAGAAAAAAATAATAGCAGCATGAGCGAAACTATTACAATAAGCCAACTGATCTCAGCAACCAAAGGAAAAAGATATGCATTTTTTCCGGTGCCCAAAAAAAAAGATCGCGTCGCAAAGTAAATGCACAACCACTTGCAAGGAATAAGGGCTCTGGAAAGCACTAGAATCTCGCTTGAAAAGGCAAGAAGATAGTGTCATAACGTAAAGCAATCTCTAACTACTATTACAAGTAAGGAGAAAACGAAATTTACCTTATGACTCCAAAACAAGGAATTCGAATTAAAGGGAGCCAAAAATAAATAAAAATACAACCCATAGCTAGCAGCAAGTGGCGAGAAAATGACTCAAAGCATAAACCTTTCATACACCTCATAACGAATCAACAAAGCAAGCACGCCAAATACAAGACATTTGTACAAAAATATTGCAAACCAGATGGTCAAAACCAAGCACAAACGCAGGGTTGATTTCTACAAACGTATTTTTATCCATGTGAAGATCGTTGAAGAAGATTAAAAAGCGAAAAGTCATAATATTTGATTTGTTTGACCACACAAGACTAAAAACGAAGTCTTTAAAAAGTTGAGCTTTTTTATTTTACCGTAGTCCCGGAAAGCGGTGGTGGAGCGAGAGGGCGACCAATGAGATTTAATAGGAGGATCGTTGATCGGACGGTCGCCATTGGCGAGTTTATCGTTGACTGGGAAGGGTGGGGTGACGAGCTTGTCGGTTTTGGACCCAAATGACAGTCTGAGTTTCATGGCGGAGTCCGCGTCCCTATGAATGGAAACACATGAACCCATCTCTCTTTCTCTCTCTCTGCGTTTATTTATCTAACCCAATAATAATTATATCAGTGCCACTCTGAGCATCACGCTTTTAGACAGATAGAAAGAGATAGAGTAAAGTAGGAGGGGAAATAAGAGGGCAGAGGGAGGAAGGCGTTTTTTGGCGTTATGCTTAAGGAGAGGCGATATGCCCTTCGCAAATAAAAATCCCGCGGAGAGAGAGAGAGAGAGAGAGAGGCCTTGAAAGGTAAGTAAACGCTCTTCTCTTCTCTCTATGAGAATGAGATGCGCTGAGGAGGAGGAGGTCTTACTGTTTATGCGGAATCGTGGGTTTTCAGGGTTGGTGGTGACCCACTGGGGGCTGCTGAGCTTTTCGTCTTTTTCTATTGGGTGGAAATTGTGGGGCCTACTGCTTCTCTCAGTCTCATGTCTAAGCTGACCCTGAGTTGAGACTCTCTGAATTATTTTTCTTTTTGTGAAAAGTTAAACGGAATGAAAAACGTTTTTGCTTTGAGAACTATTTGGCCATAATAATAATATGGAATATATATATATATATATATTATATAGCGATGAACGGGCGATGAAAGATCATGACTGTCATGAATGTGTTTAAATTCTTCTTCAACATGGAATAAAATCAGTCTTAAACCCTTTAATCATGCTTTAATCTTTTTTAACTTCTCCTGCGTATCCGGTAATCTCCCAAATGATAGACCTTTTTTTTATAAATAATAACAAACAGGTAATTCATTGAATTGAATTACAAACAAAATCAAAGGAATGTCATGCTTGTTAATTCTTTCTTTGTTGTGTAAACAAAACCAATATTCTATACATATTTTTTTAGCAGGACATTTTTATAACCCTTAAACAAGTTTGTACAAATGTTAACGAATGTTCAACCTGTCAGAAGTTGACTTCAGATGCACCCACGAAAAATCGCAATTAAATTTTATTACTACAAACAATTCCTTTCCAAAATAGAAAAAGAAAAAGAAATGTTATTACTACAATAACCATGTTCACGTGTAAATGAATTGTTATGTAATATTGGTCAAGATAGTACACTGTACATCGCTTTTGAATCCATGTGTCCATTTCCATTCCATGACTTGAATTAAATCTCATAATTGGTCGCCTTTGTATTAGGTTGCAATTAAGTCATAATAATCCCATCCATTAGATCTATAAAAAAGTTAGTAACTAACACGGGTTTTGTTGACCAAACGAAAGTTAAATAATTAAAAAGGCTATCACTTGCAAAAGTTACTATTAATATAGTAGTTTGAAGTAATTACTCTCTAAATAAAGCTTAATTACAGAATAAAATTGTGTAAAATATTATTCACTTTGAGTTTGTGGTAATCAAAATCAAAACACTCTGTCCGCCTTCTTATACTCGAGTTTTATCCCCTCCTATATGTTAAATATTGTTTTGTTAAAAAAAAAGGTCCGACGATCAAGTTTAAAAAAAGAAAGAACAACCCGACGCCAAAACCAAGAGAAACAAGGAAATAAAAGTCAAACACTCAAAGATAAAACCATGCACTGTGCCATGCTTTGACAAGACAGAAGGCAGCAATTTAGATCAGCATGACCGGTTTGCCCTGCTCTTGTTGCTGTGCTTGAGTTTGATTGATAGCAGACATTAAAATATTAAATTGCTTATCAGTAAATCACATGATATTCCTAACGGACGTCCCGTCGTTTCAATTTTGTTGTATTATCCCCCAAACAAAACACTAATCTTTGCATGTTCTCATTACAAGAGACGAATTCAAAGACGTGGCTCGGAGTAGAGATGAAAATGATGTATTTCACCCAACGCGGTGCTGTGCTGCACAATTTACCATAACCTAATTATTTCTTGAGTTAATTAACAAGAGCTAAACTTAAGCATGCATGAAGATAAAGATGGGTCCTGTCTGTCTTGGCCGTATATTACAAGTAAACTATCTTGTAACACAAATAAAGTGCTTCATCTACTTTCCCTTTAATGTGTTAAGGGGCCTTTGGTTTGCTCAGTGGAAGCGTTTGGTATTTTTTTTCTCTCTGTCATTAGATATTTTTTTTACCCTTCATATAAACGATATTGGAGAATGGTGATTTGAACACGGAATTTCAATTACAGAGATAACTGACTGCTCTTAACAACTTTATCTATTTTCTGGTCAAAACTTAGTAATTAGGCTTGCATAATGGAGGGGAAAACCAAACTTTTACTGTTCCAAATGATAACAATGGAAGATGACTGCTGAGAGAGTGGTGATTTGTAGATGAAAAGTTGGTGTGCACGTCACAATCCATGGTGTGTTTATATTTTATATATAGTGGTGGTGGATAAGAACCAAAAGAAGATAGGAAATGGACTTTGGTTTTTCCCCTTCGTTTTCAACACTTGCCAATTATAAACCAATTTTTAATTTCTCCAGAGAAGAGAAGACGGATGAAAAAAGTTTCACATAAACATAATGGGGAGGGAGAATCACAGAAACACATAGGTTTGGCGTTTGGGTTTAGGTTGGGGGGTAGGGGACCCAGTGGCAGTGCCCATAAAAGTCGAAAGTCGAAAGAGCAATTTAGAAGATGTGAACCCATGACAACCACCCACTCTCTAACTTTATTTATACGATACAATGTGAATGCTTGCTTAATGCCAAAATTAAAAAAAAGAGATTCAAATTGCAATAAGCGATTCTTGAGTTGAAATTAAACTTGGAATATTTGCGTTGTGTTTGGGCTGGCCATGTTTGTTTGTATCCGGTGGTTTCAGCATATCCACATGATTATCATATCTTCAATTGGAATAATTATCAGTCAATCACTCAAATTATTCAACATACAAAATTTCTTAGGATGCGCCGTCCGTCCACGTGGCTTTGTTTGCTCCTCTCCCTCTCTCCATGGCTGTCTCATCTCATCCCTCTCCTGAATTAACAATGGCCGAAGTGCAGGAATTGTCTAAGTGGGCCATTTCTTGATATCCATTTTCTTATTGGGCTTAAAAGAGTGTTCTATCTATCACAGTCCAATTCAGCCCACCTTCCATTCAGCAAGCAAGCAGTATCACGCCGTGTGTTCACTCACGACTCTACCCACCACCAACCCTCTTGAGCTAAAGTTGTTTTCTTGAACTTGTCAAGGTGTCTTTTCGCCCACCAAACTGAAAAGTCGTTGAATAGAGCTGTGAATTTTGGAAAATGGGTGTGGCGGCGAAAATAGCACCGTCGATGCTGTCCTCGGACTTCGCCAATTTGGCATCGGAGGCCGAGCGCATGCTCAAATTTGGCGCCGATTGGCTCCACATGGACATCATGGTACCTCCTCGAAATTCATCAGTTTTTTTGTTTGATGGAGTTCAATGTCTTTTTTCTTTTCACTGAAACTTGCGTATTTCTCGTCTCTTTGTGCAGGATGGGTAGGTTTGATTCGCTTTTGCTCATTTACTAGTTTCCATGTCTCTCAAGTGACTGCTATCCAATTCGGTTTGATCATTCCACATCCTTAAATTTTGATACAATGAAGTGTTTGATTCTGGATTTGGGATGTGGAGGGAAGGGGAAGAAGAAGAACATGAAGTTGTGATAGTACTGGAACTGTATGGGATGATAATTCCATTAGTAGGATTGAATCAGTGTGTGATTTTGTTCGTATTCAATTCAGCATGTTCATAATCTGATTGTGCCATTAAAGTTGCTCATTTTTTGGTTATGAAAGATTTGTTATGTGCTTACTAAGACAAAGTAAAGTGCTTTTATGTTTTCTACTAATCACACCGTTACTTCTTACAATTGTAAATAGTGGAGGTGGTCTTATTGTTCATCCATTCTTTTCTGAATAGGCACTTTGTCCCAAACTTAACACTTGGTGCACCCGTCATTCAGAGTTTGAGAAAGCACACAGAGTAACTTCCTTGACATGTTCTCTTTTCATTTTTTTTTCTTTTACCAAGAATAAATGGATGTAATGTAGGCATCATTCTTCTTCACCTACAGGGCGTATTTGGATTGTCACCTTATGGTCACAAATCCTCTTGATTATGTAGAACCTTTGTCGAAAGCTGGTGCTTCAGGTTTTACATTTCATGTCGAGGTATCCAAAGGTGGGTTGTGGTGTTTGGGAATGGGGATGTTCATTTTGCTTTTATTTCCTGTTACCAAATGGTCTCTATATTTATCCTCCTTTATGCAGAAAATTGGCAAGAACTTGTTCAAAGAATTAAGTCCAAGGGCATGAAGCCAGGTGTGGCATTAAAGCCCGGAACACCAATCGAAGACGTTTATCCTCTGGTCTTGCTTCTTTCTCCTTCTTTCCTCCTTTGTTTGGTGTTTTGCAAATTTTCAGTTCTGTTTAGGTGTGTGTGTGTTGAATGGCCAGGCTTACTGACAGGCCATTCTTTAACTTAATAAAGAAAATCTGATCTACTGCTTTTGCATACATTGTCGAGTATTCAGTAACTTTTATTCCGCAGAATTCTTCGAATTGAGAAGGTATTCAATGATGCTTTGTAATCCACAGGTTGAAGGTGAAAATCCCGTGGAAATGGTCCTTGTTATGACTGTAGAACCTGGATTTGGTGGACAAAAATTCATGCCAGAAATGATGGAGAAGGTGCGCACGCTGAGAGAAAGGTACCCTTCGCTAGATATAGAGGTAAGTTTACCCCTAATGTTTCCTCTGAACCTTTTTTTATGCAAGTTCTATTAGTGCACGCACGATATGGTGTATCTCTCCACACACATTCTATGTGGGGTTTTAAGGGTTTTTTTCCCGGGGACGAGGGGATATGCATCTCATTAGTGACAACGGCATTACGCAGGTAGATGGTGGCCTAGGGCCTTCAACCATTAACACGGCAGCTTCGGCCGGAGCCAACTGCATAGTTGCTGGAAGTTCAGTGTTTGGAGCCTCAGACCCTAGTGCAGTAATATCCCTTTTGAGAAGTAGTGTTGAGGAATCTCAACACAAAAGTTGATTCTGGTACATCCAAGATGTATCATAATTGGTTTTTTTGTTTCTTTTTATATCAACATATATTTACAGTGTCTACACTACATGTATGATCCGGTTGACGTGGTGAGTTTTGAAACTTGATTGAATAAGAATATTTGAGGGTGCCTTCTCAAGTGTTATTTATCATGAAATTATGTCGTACTTGTTCGTTTTAGACAATCATAACTCCCCAGACAATAATGTCTACCACGTCAGCACATGCTTATTTTTCTTTTCTTCTTAAGATATGTTTTCTCCTGATCTGTGGAGCACTTCTAATTTTGATGCACATGCACAAGACATGATATGCGATCTGCAAAATGTTTTCATTTGGTATCCACTACTGCTGATGCAGGACTTTTTTTTTCTCTTTCCGTCGGGCTAGCCTTGCCGTACGTGCAAAGCAGGTCCAAAAATTCAGTTTGGTGTTTTTCCTTTAGCTAACTATCGTTTTTCAAGCACCCATTTCATACAATACAAGAGAAACAAGAGATCAGATCGATGTGTTTTTAAACGTTTGCGAAAGGGGATATCTATTTCCAGTTTTCATTCTTATTTCATCTCCACCTGAGTATTGTCATAATAGTACACGTAAGACTTGGACGCTAGTGTTAGTTTTGTGGGCGTGAGAAGAAACTCTACTCTTTTTTTATGTCTCGGCAAAGGCATTTAGATTTCAGGCATGCTCCAAAGTCCCAAATTCGTCTTGGTTTTAAAGTCTCTATTAATATTAATCTTGTTGACCAAGAGAAGTGGTTTGCATGTGTTATCACGTGCCCTTCTCTGTTGAACTCTGGGTTCATTCATATTCATTGGTACTTGGGTTTCTTAATCTTAACTTTGATTGGATGAAAAGTGCATGCATCATCACTCTCCTCATCTGGCCTTCTGGGGTTCTTAGCTTAGTCCGCTTCTCTTGGGAGGATGTGCTGGAAATTGTACTACACTGCAACTGCGACGCTCGTTTTGATCCTTTCTCTCTCTCTCTCTCTCTCTTGAATGAATGAATGAATGAATGACACACATTCATGCATTTGGATTTCCCAAACAAGTTTTCCTGAATGAATCTGAGTGTGTTCCATGACCTCTCATTGTCTCTCTCACCAAGCATGAAGGGTCTTCTTTTTTATATGGGTGCAATATACGGGAAGGGGGATCGAACTTAGATGCAAGGGAGCGGGCACACTGCTTTGAATAACTGGCCTTAACTCATATATGATGAAGGGTCTTTCTTTTTACCGGTTACTTCTTTTAGAAATAAATTTATAACTATGCACACTTAATGGTTTCATCTTTAGGCTATGACTAAAAGTTAATTATCATACAAGCAACGCGTGTGTGATGTGATGTGCTCGGACAAATATTGATTATAGGGCTATGAGTATTGGTGGTGTTTGTCAACCTAAGGATGTTCATCACCAATTTGACCTATCAATGTGTAGTGTAGGCCTCTCTCTCTCTTTCATGCCTCTCCTTTAACATGCATCGCGTCATTGTCTCTTCGAATGCATTTGGACTAAATTTATCCTCCTTTTCTCCAATTCCCAATCAGCCTTTTCTAATCCTGCACCATTTTGATCCATACTGATATTGCCTGCCAATTGAGCTTTGCTTCCATCTTTTCATTTTGGGGAATGCACACATGATTTCTGCGAGTTAGAGAAAGATTGGTAGCTACTTATGATCGGTGGCAATTGGAACTTCGGATGAATTAGCCCAAGGTAAGGACTAATTAAGCAGCTGGAAACAGAGCAATTAATATATAGAATTCCTTTGTCATCCCCAAGAATCCTGTCCATGAACAACTTCGATAGAATTCTTGTATTTAATTCCAACTCCAACATATTTGTATGGATCCAAAATACTCACTCTCTCAAAGTAAGTATTTTAACTGTTTTGTTTTGTATTTTTTTTATAGGCCTTGTATCATGTGGAAGTGAGTGGTCAGTCTAGTGGTCATTGGCATGGCTGCAGCTTTGCTCACTAAGCTCCACTTGATAGTTTCTCTCTTATTCATCTCACTTCTCGTGTTTGCGGCACTTGGACACAAGTCACAGAACCTGTTAAGCTGCGAGACCACATCTCCTGATGCTTCTGGCTACCACTGCACTTCTGCTGGAACCAATGGATCATCACTACAGAATCAGTGCAGGACGTTTGTGATTCTCCGGACTAACTCATACTACTCGTCTCTTTTCAATCTGAGTGCTTACTTAGGCATCAACCGGTTCGTGATTGCAGAAGCAAACGGATTTTCAGCAGACACAGAGTTTCTTCCAAAAGATGAGCCTTTGTTGATACCAATCGACTGTAAATGCAGCAGCAATGGAGGGTTGTTTCATGCAGAATTGACAAAAACTACCATTAAGGGGGAGAGCTTTTATGGCGTTGCTGAAGCACTTGAAGGCTTGACAACCTGCAAAGCCATCCGAGAGAAGAACCAGGGTGTCTCGCCTTGGGGTCTTGCTGATAAGCTTCAGTTACTCATCCCCTTAAGATGTGCTTGTCCTTCTTCATCTTCACATTCAAGACTCTTGCTGTCTTATCCCGTGAGTGAAGGTGATTCTATTTCTGATTTGGCAATTAAGTTCAATACTACCAAAGAAGCTATCATATCTGAAAATAACAGATCACTAGGAGGAACCTTTAGACCTGAAAGCAGCTTAACACCTTTTACATCTCTTCTGATTCCACTCAATGGCAAACCTATACTTGGCCCCCTAAAGAAACCCCGTGAGCCCAATTTGCATTTTCCAGCAACTAGCATCCCAGCAATTAGTCCGCACAAGAAAAAAGCAAAAATGCACAATATTGGATTGTATGTTGCACTTAGTGGGGTCATTATTGGAGCTAGCGTTGCAATTGCAGCAGCTTTCTTGTTAATTCAGTTGAAGAAAAAGAAACAGAGTTCGCCAAAAGGAGGTGATGTGGAACTGCAACAGCTTAGTTTAAGTGTGAGAACCACAAGTGACAAGAAAGTCTCATTTGAGGGATCTCAGGATACTTTAGACGGTCAGATCATCGATACCACCATGCCCCACAAGGTGCTGGTGGAGACATTTAGCATTGAGGAGCTGAGAAGAGCAACCGAGGACTTCAGTTCGAGCAGCCACATTGAGGGATCTGTATATCACGGCCGTCTCAGTGGGAAGAACTTGGCAATAAAGCGCACACAACTAGATACCATCTCAAGGATTGAGTTTGGGCTATTTCATGATGCAATTCACCATCATCCCAACATAATGAGGTTGTTGGGCACTTGTTTGACTGAGGGTCAAGAATCATTTCTGGTTTTCGAGTATGCTAAGAACGGATCATTGAAGGACTGGCTTCATGGTGGATTGGCAATCAAAAACCAGTTCATTGCCTCCTGCTATTGTTTCTTGACATGGAGCCAAAGGCTGAGGATATGTCTTGATGTGGCCATGGCCTTACAGTATATGCACCACATAATGAACCCAAGTTATGTCCATAGAAATGTGAAGAGCAGAAACATCTTTTTAGATGAAGAGTTCAATGCCAAGATTGGAAACTTTGGTATGGCAAAGTGTGCTGAAAATGACACTGATGACCACCAAGTTTGTTCAACCAGCCCTGCTGCCTCTTGGAGTCTTGGCTATATGGCTCCTGAATATATTCACCAGGGTGTAATTTCTCCAAGCATTGATATATTTGCATATGGGGTGGTGTTGTTGGAAGTCTTGTGTGGGCAAACACCGATAAGCAGGCCAAGTGAGAAGGGAGAAGGGAACTTTTGGCTCTCAGAGAAAATCAAGTCCATATTGCAGTCAGATAATGCAGATGAGCTAAGGGAATGGATGGACAGCGGGTTGGGCGAAAATTACTCGTTCGATGCAGCTGTCATGTTGGCAAATCTTGCGAGGGCTTGTGTAGACGAAGACCCTTGTTTGAGACCAAGTGCAGGAGAAATTGTTGAGAAACTGTCAAGGTTGGTGGAAGAGTCGCTAAGCCAAGAAGGAGAGAATATTTTAATCAGTGAGAGCTCTTGTAAACCTCTAGTGAAGGCAGCAGCAAAAACCAATAGCAATATGTGATGTGAATAAATGGTTCAAGGATCCAAACAAAAGACATGTTGTAGCTATGTTATAAATGTTTTAATTTGTCTTAGGTTTCTCGCCTTGGCGTTTTGGTAAGTAAGGTATACATAATAGTCTTCTTCCTGTATATATATGTAAGCAAGAATCTGATAGGGACACAAAGAGCAGGTTTTCTCCTCTGTATCATTAATCTTTGTTTCCTGAAATAAATAAATTGCATTGCTCTGTACTTAATCGAACCAAACCTAAATTGCGATATGTTGGATTGTATTAATCAACTAGTCTAAAAGGAATCCTAAATAAACTAATAATGAATGAAAAAATTACAAAAGCTATGCAAAAACATAAAACCATACTACATAAATATGGTCGATTATCCAATCTAATCTAATCCCAGATTATCCAATCTAATCTAATCCCATACGCGAAACGTAACCATGGTACTACTGCATGAATCAAAACATCATGACCTTCAACTCATCAAAATTGAGGACCTCATCACCATTGAGATCAAATCTGGAAATCATGACCTTGCAGTCATCAACACTCTTGGACTCTCCAAGTCTACTCAACATCCTCTTAAGAGCATCTCCACCCACAAGGGCTAAGTGAGTCTAAGGCAAGGGCTGCCACTATTCACATAAATAATGTCAACCTTTGCATTTGTGGTTCCACCCATGAGAGCATCTCCAGCGCGAAGCCCAGCCCGGGGGAAAGGCTGCCAGAGGCAGCCCGAGACAGCTCCAGCGCAGGGCCCGTAGCCCGGTTTGGTGGTGGGTCCCACGTGCCCGAGCAAGCCCAAGGGCAAGTCTTGCCCGGGCTGAAGCCCGAGTTGGCTGACGTCAGCGCTGGCGTCACGCTGACGTCAGCGCACAGTAAAATTTTTTCAAAAAAATTCGAAAAAATTCTGAAAAATTCTGAATTTTTTTTTTAAATACCAAAAAATTCTGTATTTTTTCCCTATAAATACCTAACCATTTTATTCACTTTCTACACCAAATCTTCATAAAAACTCATCTCCTTCCAATATTTTTCACTTTCCACATCAAAATCTTGGCGAGGTACGAGGTAAAAAAAAAAAAAAAAAAAAAAAAAAAAAAAAAATACATTTTTTCAATTTAATTCCTTTTTTTATATTTATTATTTCTATGCATTTCCAATTTCTTTTTTTTTTTTTAGATTAGTCAAGGCAAAACCAAAAATGTTATTCGAAAAATTTTATCCAAAAATTTTATTTGAAAATTTTATTCGAAAAATGTTATCTTAAATTTTAAATGAAAATTTTATAATAAATAGTGACACGTGACAACCGAAAATATAATCTAAAAAGCTTATCAAAATTAATAGTTTAAAGTATAAACAAATAGGAAATAAAGTACAATGAATAGTAATTGCCTTAGACTTGCCCTAGACTTTGCCCTCATGGGTGGAACCACAAATGCAAAGGCTGACACTATTCACGTGAATAGTGGCAGCCCTTGCTTGCCCTTGCCTTAGACTTAGCCCTTGTGGGTGGAGATGCTCTGAGGGCAAAGTATAGGGCAAGTCTAAGGCAATTACTATTCATTGTACTTTATTTCCTATTTTTTTATACTTTAAACCATTAATTTTGATAATCTTTTGTAATTAAATTTTCGGATAAGATTTTCACCCTCTAAAATTGTGCCACGTGTCCCATGTTAGATACGATTTTCAGATATTTAAAAAAAAATTATAATCTCATATTTCAGATAAATTTTCAGATATTTTTAAAAAATTATAATCTCATATTTCAGATAAGATTTTCACCCTCTAAAATTCGATGGTCTCAAATTCGATGGGTTCAAGCTTAGTGGAAAAAGGTCTTAACTTGCATATCAATGGTCTCAAATTCGAACCTCTATGGCACCTTGATACTGTGTGTATGAAAAACCCCACTTCCCCCTGTAGTTTAGACTATCACTTGTATTCAAAAAAACATACGAGGGATGATAAGAATCTCTCTCTAATATTAATCAACTAAATCCCTGCAATATTTATCTCTGTCATATCTCTGTCTCAAGTTAGGATTGGCTGAAAAGCAGGTCCTAAAGCCATAAAGGTATCCTAAATAAACTACTAATGAATGAAAAAATTACAAAAGCTAAGCAAAAACATAAAAACATATATATACTACACAAACATAAAAACATATATATACTACACAGACAAGGGAAAGGTAACCATAGTACTACACTACTGCATGGATATCAAAACATCATGACCTTAAACTCATCAAAATTGAGGACCCCATCACCATTGAGATCATATCTGGAAATCATGACCTTGCACTCATCAACGCTCTTGGACTCTCCGAGTCTACTCAGCATCCTCTTAAGGCTCTTGGGTGTAATGCAACCAAACCCACACCCATCATCCATCACGTACATCTTAAATGCCTCCTTCAAATCATTCACCTTCTCTTCTTCTCTTCCGCCGTCAACAAACTTGACAAAGTCATCCAAACACAGCAGCCCATCTCCATCTGAGTCCAGGTGCTCCACTGCCACCTCTGCCTCTGTCAACGACAGCTCTCCGCCGATTGCCCTGACACATTGTTGTAGCTCCAAAGGTGATATTTTGCCATCTCCGTTTGCATCAAAGTGATTGAAAACGCGCTCATATTGTGCCACTTTGTCCATTAATTCACTTGGATCAAATTTTTATTCTATAGGAAGCAAGCACTAGTCTTCTTTTTACAATGCACGTAAGAGCAGAGTTTATATGGCCACAAACAATGCCGCGTGTCGTGGTTGACCAAAGGATGATGTGTAAGTCCCGGGTAGTTTCGTAAATACGTGTGGAAGACCCTACTCTTCTTGACCAACCAAAACCCTTTGTTCTGTTTATAAAAGGAATCTCAGAAACCAGTTTTTCTAGGTAAGGTGTACAAATTAGATTTTAATTACCGACTTCAATTCAAAGTTCTCTCGAAGGGAATAGATGGGCCCACTGCCAGCCAACCGTCAAAACTGCCTCAACCACCGGAAAGAAAAGAACATTAATTCATCATGAAAGTAGCAAGCAACTTCCTTGAAATTATATTCTCTTTGTTTTCGTTTCTGTGTGCCCACTGGCGCCCAAAATATTTGATAAAAATGACTACTCGTTTGGTTTTTTCTTTCCAAACAATTTAAATTTAAATTTGGAAGAATGAAGACAAACCGGCCAGGCCATGGTCGGCAAGTCCGGCAAAGAGTAGTTCCAGATAGATATTAGCAAGGCTGCTGCTGCTGGTTCTACAGAGACTAGAAAATATCTGGCTAGTTTCCAGAATTTTCCAGAGCTTCAGAAATTAAAGACCCTAGACAAACTGGGCGGCATCAAAGCTTATTAAGATTACATATATCCAAGCTTGCTTATTAACCGTTGATAGGGTGAATTGTATATGCGGTCTGCACTAGGGTGAGGACCAGCAGGATAAATGCGGCGATGAAAGAAATGACGGCCCATGGGGTAGAAAAATAGTCACGCTTCAGTTTTTCCCTCCACCTGTTCCAGTCAGTGTTGTAATATTTATTCACATCATTGCAGAGACTTCCGTAGTAAAATCCAATGACAGTTGTGTCATTGTAAAGCTCGTTGAAGAACTGGGCGGCATCTTCAGGGCTCAACCAATTCGCCAATATTTTTTTCTCACGAAGAAGGTCTACATCATTGCTCGTGTCGATGAGGTTGTCCATCAAAACCGCGTACGATGTTATCTTGTGCAGGCGACTGTGGTGGCATTGTTCGAAGGCGATGAGGTTCCTGAACAGAGGCCCTGTCTTCTCGTCAATTCCCAGCGGTGGGATTGTGAATACCCCTTTTTTGAAGTTGAACTCTATGTTCATTATGCAGTCTGGGGTGTTTTTGCTTCTTCTGAACTGAACACCTGCCTCCGAAAGAGTTGTTGCATTTGGGATCCGTTGTGGCAATTCTGGCTCGTTTTTCTGCTCTTCTTGTTCTTCCACATGCCCTTCCTTCTTCTGAGATTCCAAATCCTTGAATGGAACAACGGTCACGGTTCTTATCAGATCGAGTATGTGGAAAATCTCAAATGGGAAGTTGGGGTCCAAAATCCGTTCATCGGTTACAGCTTGTCTGAAGAAGTTGAGCACAAGGTTAATGAGGGAGGCACTTCTTTGGTTAGTGTTATTGGCGGTTAGGTTGTATAAACGCTCCAGCACAAACCAAGGGAGCTGGTTTTTCTAGCAGCAGAAGGTCATGGTACAGATACTCCAGCATACAAGACAGGTTGAAAACGGGGTCGTTTTCATCTTGTAGATCATCCCAAAGTTCCTTTCGGAATAGTTCTAACAAGAAGCAACCATCAAGTATCATCATTGTACGAAGTCTTTTTGACTGAGATGCTCCAATGGGTCTGCATAACAATCACGGGCTCTTCTGCCCAACTCCATGATGCCTTTGATCAAACTATCCAAACTTATATCCGTGCATGATGAGAGAAGGCACTGTAAATACCACCGTTTTACATTTTCCATGAGTTGGAATTTTTGGCCGCAGCCTCGGTGGAATGGCCCGATTGAGACTATGTCAGGTTCATAGGCCGCTGTTTTTTGTCTCCGAATCAACTCGGGAACTCTGAAGATGCAGCAGTGAGCAGGCAAGGGTGAATCGCCAAGAAGATTTTTTGTTATGGTGTTTCTCAATTCTTCAGCAGTGCCATCGTCTATAAGAATCGATGTACTATCACCACCAACGTTACTGTAATTTGCCATGACTACTATAGAATAGATATATGCTCCCAATCTGTGAATATAATTGTCCTGAAATGATTAATGCTAAAACAAAATTGATCCAATAGCGCCATTTAAGCATGCATGAGATGAGAGGATGATGACAGTCAGATTGCATGCATGAGAGGATGGATGTTTGAAAAAGATAACCTTAACCGTCGTATCTAATATATCATTTCATCTCTGATCTAAAGAAGAGATTGAGGTAATTAATCTTATTAAGTATGCTTTGATCTACAAGTTCAGACAGAGACTGGAGCAGACCAAAAACTTGAGATAAAATGGGCATAAGTACCTGGATTTTAAACAAATGCTGCGCTGGACGTTAGAAGAAGATGATTCAGCAGACCCAAAAAGGGCCTTCAGAAAATGAGTACTGCTGCTATTTTCTTTTCTTTTCTTGTGTGAGCACTGAGCATGAAGGAATAGAACACTTGTTCAACATATATATATATATATATATATAATCATCTTCCATTCCATCACTACAACAGAAACAGGGCCAAAGCATAATTAACATTTATCTTTTCATTGCAGAAGCAAAGATAAATTCTCACTCTTTAAGACTCTTTTCTAAAAGCAAAATAATCTCAACCCCACCATAAATAAATCTTTTTTTTATTCTTTTTCGTTTTCAAGGCCCAACAATTTAATTTCGCCGCCAGAGGCCCATAAATATGTTTGGGTATATTAAAAAAAGGCCCATCCATCCATGATCCATTCCATCCTTGTGAAAAAAGGAAGAGAAGCTACCTGTTTCCTTGGTTGTAATCTTGCAACGTCACCACTTCTCTTCTAGTTCTAACTTCTACTCCAAATTCCAATGGGAAGCATTGACAGCAGAGACACCATCCACGTGGCACTCACCACCAACCATCCCCTCCACTATCTGTGGACTACTCCAGCTCAACATTCAACACGTGGGTCTCCGACTTTCGGGCTCTAATTATCTACAACCAGTACCAGCGCAAAGGGCTGGTGACATGTTGACACGTCGATTTTATCATGATGGATTTTCCCTAATTTACCCCCACACTATAATCACAAGGTTAAAAGAGTGGCATCAAACGTAATTAGACCATGCACCAACCAACCGCATTGAGACACTCACATTAACAAAACCCCTCGTCTGTCTCCTCCCCAAAAACCAAAAGCCTCTCTCTTTCTCTCTTTCCCTAAAACCCTAGACAAACTGTGCATTAGCTAGCGCTGCCCGCCACCATGGCCGTACTCAGCCGCCTCCAGCTCGTTGCATCTCAGCTAACGCGCCGCGGCCTCGGCCTTCCGGCCCGGCGAGGCTACGGGTCGGCGGCTGCGGCTCAGCTGCAGTACGATGACGACTATTACTACGAAGATGAGGAAGAAGATCGGAGGACGGCGAGTCGGAATCGAATGTTGGACTCCGACGGGTGGGTCCCGGGGAGAGGGATACAGTGGGTGTTGATAGGGGACAGAGGGGCAAAGAAGCACTTGTACACCGAGAGGCTCTCGAAGCTTCTGGATGTTCCGCACATTTCTATGGGCACCCTCGTCCGCCAGGAGCTCAGCCCTCGCTCTTCTCTCTACAAGCAGGTCCCTTTTTTCTTTTCTTGTTCTTCTTGTTTTTACTACTTTCGTTTAATTGTGTTTTGTTTTTTACTCTTATTTTTCTTTTCTTGCTAAACCCTTCATTATTATTACTATTATGAATTATTGCCTTCTGATATAAACCAAATTAAACACCTTTTGATGGCGTTTATGTTTTTTTTCTTCTTTTTGTTTGTGGTAATTTAGATTGCCAATGCGGTGAATGAAGGAAAGCTTGTTCCGGACGAAGTGATTTTTGCATTGTTGTCAAAGAGGTTGGAAGAAGGATACTACAGAGGTGAAAACGGATTCATTCTTGATGGAATTCCTCGAACAAGAATGCAAGCTGTAAGTTTTAAGTTATAAGAAAATCTGAGTTACGTTCATGGTTTGTGATTGTAATTTCTGTGGGAAGTTTAAAACATTGCAATTTTTGTGAATTTTGGATACTAAATGTGGTTTGTGTTCTCTGAATGCCTTGATTTGTTTCTCTTGGTACAGGAGATTGTTGACCAAATTGTGGATATTGATTTGGTAGTGAATTTCAAATGCGCGAATGAGAACTTGGTGAAGCAGAATCTAGGAACTGAAAGCTCCTCTGCTTGTCAGGAATATCTTAGCTTGAGCAACTCCATCCCCATGCGTAATCTAAATATGCAGTTGCCGGATGAACGACTGAAATCCTCCACTGCTGATGCAGAGCAGGTATCACTATTGTTCTCTTTTTTGGGGCTGAAGATAGTTGTTTTATGGTTTCCACTTTGTTCTGTTTTATATGTTAGTTTATGACCGTTGGAAAATGGAAATGTGAATTGTTGCTAATTGGCCGGTTATCCATTCCTCTCTTATCTCAGAGCAAGTCGTTGGAAGATTACTACAGAAAACAGAACAAACTCATCGATTTTCAAGTCAAAGCTGCGCCCGGAGAAACCTGGAAGGGGCTGTTGGCTGCTTTACATCTCCAGCATATAAATGCTGTCAGTTCTTCCCAGAAGCTAACTGCATGAATTAGGCTTCTTCTGGGTCTTTTTCGGCTTCCTTTTTTTTATGCATTCCGGCAGAGTATAGTAAATATGTAAGATGTGAGAATTACAGAGTTGGTTGAATATTCAACATAGTTTTGAAAGAAATTTTGGTCTTGTAAGTGTTATTTTATCGTGTGGCTTGCAACATTAGGGTGCAAGTTTGTAATGTAGTGAGTGAGAGATGAAAACTGAGAAGCAGAGAAGACCATGATATCATATTATCATCATATAAAAGTAAGCACTCAGCTAGCATAGCAGCTTGTTTTGTTGTATTTGGCGCAACTTATGAAATTTTAAATTTTTATCCATTTGGCTCAGCTTCACTAAAAGACTGATGGATGCTCCAAACCCTAGAAGATCAATTTTAATTGAAAATGGAATTCAACTACATTCAATAAAAATATACATTATTTATTCATCTTTCAGAAAATATACAAATAAGTCCACTGAGGCTGCTAGAATTCACTCAGTCACAAAAACAGTTTGCCATAACTTTTTATTTCTTTATTCTTGGGAAATCATCCTACAGGCACTCCATTATAAAACGTTTCATGAATCTATTAAAATTGCGGCTATTTTGTACAGCGACATCTAGATAGTGATATTGTGACCAAAACCGGAGCACAGATTTACAAACTCCAAAGGGAACAGAACAAATTATTCATCTATATACACGTGGGAACATATATTTCTACATATTAGGGCTACTCGCTATTCATCCACACATCTCGAAGGAGTTCGTATCTGATGGCATTTTGTTGGCTATTTCCCTTTGATACCCAGCTGAGCTTTGTTGCAACTGGTGAAGACCGGGAATAATCTATGAATATTGAGGCCAAGGGTGAATTCAATTCATCAAGCTCATCATCACTGGTGTATGCTTTTCTGAGCACTGAAGACCCACTTCTTCTCAGCTGTGATTGGCCTCCAACCTCTCCAATAATACTCGCAACGGAATTCGTTGAGGGTGGCAAATAGACTGTACCAGCTCCAGTGCAGGGGACGTTTGTGACAGCCTCCTCCCCGACCTCAAGAGTGTCCTATATTAAAACAAAAGCAACCAAATTGGTTTAATTTTACAGAGTCTACAGGTTTTTTGGGCTTATTATAATTATACTACTACAAATTCACCAGAAAACATGCAGCTAGTCTAAAAAATAAAAGATTGTATAGATAGCTGATTAGCTCTGTAGAGACAACAGATTGTATAGATAGCTGATTAGCTCTGTAGAGACAACAGATTGTATAGCTCACTAACCTCGGATTCCAGGGCTTCAAGCACAACGCCAGGAATTGGGTCAGTGCAAAATTCGTCTGGGATAAAAGTGTCGAGAATCCTTTTGATCAGTGGTGCAGCAAATGCAGGGCAAACCTTCAAAACCAAAATTCGAGCACCATGAATAAGAACTGCAAAATACTGACTCTGGAATAGAGAGTCAGAGTCTAATGGAAGGGTCTGAGTTCTTGTGCTAAACCTCTTTTCTGATGGATTTACTTAAGAGCAAGTCCTTTGGAAGCATCATGAGATCGCTCAACGCATTGAGGAGATGGAAAGACTTGAATGATTTATCTTGCCTCTCATCATTGTCATAATCGTCATTCACATCTTCAAGTGAATCATCATCATCATCCATACCAAATAGGTCAGTTAGCCATCTGGACCAGTTCCCAATCTGATAACCATAAGACACGAACGAAGCAAATGTCAGAACTCCTTTCATAACAAAACTTAACATACTGCTTTCGTTCCAATGCTCATAACCATCTGATTTGTAAGGGATGTTCAATCGCAGTAAAAAATTTATGGCACAACACAAGTGTATTCTTTGGTCTCCAGAGATTCATGAGTAATCTAGGTTAAAAAAAGGGAGCATAAGAGATTTTCTATTCACAACATTAGAAAATATTGACGTCTGGCAATTCAAAAACTAGACAGATATAGCAGGATCTTAGAATATATTCATTTATATTATCCATCCCAAAAAATCTGGCATGTCTGGACAAGAAAATCCTAATGTTTAACCCCAGGAAAGAGAAAAAGGCATGGAAGGTGTTCTAGCCACAAAGCATGAGGAATACGATAATGAGTTGACACAAAACCGAGCTTAAAAGACACCTGTTACCTGTAATCATGAGTTAACAGTTGTGATTTGACATATAAAAGATAAAACTTATATCATAAATAGTTTGAGAGATACAATTTGTATAGCTTACCGCACTCTTCAGTTGTGCGCCAGCTCCAAAACTTGATTTCCCAGCTGGAATCGGGAGAACCTTCAAATCACTGATGGGGTCAGACACAGGATCGGTGGGGATCTCATCAGAAGATTCACGAAGAATAGCATTGAACATTGCCACATCTAGTCTAGCCACAGATTGCTCCATTACCTAGACACATAATAGATATCACGCAAATTGCGATGCCGTATTCAAAAGTATTCCATCAATAAAAAAATAAAGAAACAGAAACATCGTGAAACAGATTATTGAATATTTGAGATATTATTTACAAGCATCATATCATTTGGAAAAGAAGATATTTATTAATAACAATATGCAATGATGGAAATATCTGTGTGTATGGATATACCAATCTACCCAACAAAGGCAAGCAGCCACATTCATGTCCCCCAGCTCGTACTGGACAGAGTCTTTCACAAGCATCCCTGAAAGCCTTCTTCCAGAGGTCTAATGAAAAGTTACTTTGTTCTTGATCAATTGAACTAGATGTCCTATAGTTTTTCCTCGACCCAGAGTCAACACCTTCTTCATTAAGTTCCTTTGCAGCAACAGACTGCATATGTGGGGTCAAAGTCTGAAAACATTACAGTGAAAGAATCAGATGCAAGACCTTCATTCAGTAAGATAGTATTGAAATTGTAGATTTGAAGGGAAACTCAACGAGGAAAAACAGAGGAAAACAATTACTCTGACCTGCCACCAGATAGATTCAACTATTCGGGAGAAGATCCACGATTCAATCTTCTCCACTGTAGACATAAATGTATGTGGGTTATCGCAGTCACCGAAACTTCCATTTAAGAGCTTCATTCCTTCTTTCTTCCCAGAAGAGGGAGCCTTCCATTTTATTGGAGATGACACATTATTTTTTACTTTTCCAGCACCATTCCGGTCAATAGAAGACCCTGGAGACAGAAGTAGTTCTGGTTCCCCGGTAACCTGGCTTATTATTGTTCTCAACACAATGGAATTTGACAGCCAATATGTTAGCCTGTAATCAGAGAAAATTAAAATGAATGAGTCCATAAAACAATTATGAAAACTTCACTTAAACAATTAATAGATGCAGTTCTAAACCACAGTAAAATAAGCAGACAAGCTTCTTCCCCACAAGTACAATCACTTGGTTTGGTGCGTCAAGCAGACCATGATTGGGGTAGGACCCTTGAATGGAAGGTCCATGTCCTAAATGTTAGGCTTATGCAGCCAGAAACACATTTTCTTTTTCTTTTTCTTTTTCGGATCCTCATGCAGTAAATACACTTGAAAATTGAAACCTTCCAGCTCCGAAAACTTTTGCTTCAAAACATCAATCTCGAAGGTTGATAAGTTGTAAATAAGACATAAAGAAAATACAGAAAACAAGCATCATTAAAATGTACCTTGGGACATCATTCCCACACGCTTTTGTAACCAAAACTAGTCCTGAAATAATACTTCTAGCTGCACTGGCCCTCCTAGAACGGGAACTTTCTTTGCAAGCATGAAGATACAACCTAGAAAGGCGCCGAGCCGGAGCATGGACCTTACTCATAGAACTTCCATGCTCAGCGACTACTGAATAAAGGGCAGCCTCGACAGCTGCAGCTTCTCTCAATTCTCCCTCAAGCAACTTTATCCTGTGTTCCAGCTGATGAATTTTGCTTTCTAAAATGACACTTCTTGTATCCCTAGGATACACCTTAGCATCTTTTCTTTCCTTCCCTCTGAAGCTTACTGCAACACCTGCACTTTTCTGTGCATCTCCCTGAATACCAGATTCCTTTACTTCTGCATTCTGATCATTCCTGTGTAATGCGTTCTTAGCCGAGTCAATAGCTGACCTAACGGACTTAACATGCTTTATATTTTCCTTCGTTCCGAGTGGATCTTGCTTTCCGTTAGCCTCATGTGCAATGAATGATTCACCTTCCCTCTGAGCTTGCTTTTCCTCATCAACATGTTGTCTTTCATCTCTGTTTTCTTGTTTCTTTCTTTCGCTGTCCTCTGTAGAACTATCATCACTAACTGTAGCCTCCAGGCAATCCCTGCCAATTCCCCAAGCTTTCTCATCATACTTGGTAATCTGTTGAATAACAGCTGTGATTTTACTTCCACCATCAAAAACCTTGTCATTAACCTCGTGAGATAAACGCTCATGGCCATTGCTTCTCATGCTGGTGCGGGACTCCTCAGCCTTTTCATTCAATACGGATGCAGATGGAGAAGGGGCAGTCTCTGAACCAACAGCTTTTAGGATTGTTGAACTTGAGCTGGAAGAGTTAGCTACAGAAGCATTACCATTTACTGGGCTTCCAGGGTCAGAAGATAGGTCGACTGATGATGAGCACGATGAACCTCCCTTCATAAATTCATGTATTAAATTTGGTCTTTCAAGCCCTAGTTTTGAGGCTAAGGCATGCTTTTCATTTTTACCTTCAGTGCTATGAGGCCGTGTCTCTTCTCCAGTCTGCAATTCAGTGCCAAAGTGTTATATTACATATTACTGTCTAAATTATTATAAAAAGGAAGAGAGATCTTGGTTATCTCTCATTTGCAACATACTATACCCATGAGCATGACCAATGCTGGAGTTTGTAAAGACTGTTGCAGTTACAATGACAAGTTTCCATCAAGAAGAGAAAAAATGAAAACTAAGAGAATCATTACCTCTTGTTTTTTAGGAGACAAAGTGCGATTTGTATCTAAAGCAGAAGAAATTGTCTGAGATGAGTGTGAGGAAACATCATCATCCGTAAAAGAGGCAACTTCGGCTTCCTCAACATATTCTTCATTCGTCAAGCCCGAAACAGATTCACCACCGGCTTTGTCCAGTGATGCCCCTCTCGACAAGCTGTCCCCAGATGAGGAGCTAGTACGACCCTTCACAAAAGGCTGAATTTTGATAAACAGAACTGGTTGATCAGTGTTCCTAAAGCTCCTCTTACTGTTCATTGGAGCGCTCACGCTTATTGTCTCTTTCACAACGCCATGGTCAGCCAAATCTACAATGGCAGTCGCCAACAACTGACCTTTCGTCTTGTCCCTCCGAGGCTCATACAAGTGGAACTCTAAGCAATTCTTTTGAAATGCATCACCATCACCACCACCTTTAACAGACATGTCCCTTAGCAGAGTCACAGGTAACCTGAAAGAGTGGTTGAATTCGATTTTCCCCTCACCAACAACAGACCCAAGTGAGGGGACAACAGGGTTGGTAGACCCAGAATTGCGGTCGCCATTTTCCCATTGAATCAACACGGAACGGAGTGATCTGAGTGACTGTGATGGGGGCCAAGGCTTAATCTCATGAATATGGATGAGATAATCAATTTGAACCGTGGGGCCCCTGCGGTTCTTCGCCTTTACTCCTAGACCCATGGTTATGGAAACAAACAACACCCTTCTTCTCCAATGTGTTGATGAATTCTATTCACATTCACAAAGCTTGTACTCGCAGCGCTTGGGATACCCAAAAAAAAACCAGAAAAGCATGTCACTAAGCGATACAATTAGGAACCTCCAGGATTATAAAATACAACACTCGTCACTAAATTGGTAATATCTGACCGAAAGCAAAACTGATTCAAAGTCATTCAAGATCAAACACCGACAGTCGAAAAGATAAAGTAAATAAATTTAAAAGCAAATGTGACTGGAGTTTCAGCTCACAGCAAAGTCGAGCATATGCTAATAATAAATAAGAAGAAATTAGCAAAAGAGAGCTTAAAAATCACAAACTGAGCTCATCAAGACAATCGCCATTAATAGTATGTATGCTTATGCTTAAGCAAGGGAATGCAGAGTTACCAGCTACTAGAATAATACTTGGAATTTGCTTCAAAAGCGTCCGATGCACATATTTCAAGCTCAAAGCAAACAGATTTACCACAATGCATGCAATCAAATTAAACACAAATTGCAGATTAACAGAAAAACAAAAACCAAAAACTCAAAAAGTAGCTGAGTGATAATTTACCAGTAAAATTAGTGGCCCAAAAAGGAGAGAATGCGAGTGAGACGAGAGAAGAATCGTTTTTGTATCGAATGGTGTACACTTTCAGGGACTGAGAGGCTCGGAGGCCGTCACTGAATGTGCGATTAAAATAGTAAAGAGCATTGAAAAAACAAAAAATAAAAAGTTAAGCTGACACAATAGCGATTTCAGAATTTCCATACTAATTTTATAAGAGCGATGAGAAGTGATTTCTCTCTGGACACGACGAAACGGCGTCGTGCTGGGAGAATTTGGTTCGGTGTTTTTATGGTCGATGTCGTCTTGACGTTGGCTGATGGGGACGCCTCGACTGAAATGCTTTCATCTATTTGGAGAGAGTGTGTGGCAGTCGCCGAGTGGGAAGCGAGTGACTCAGTCGGTGACAGTTGGACTCGGGTGCACTGAGCCAACCGACTCGAGTGAGCAGTCCGAGCGTGAAAAGCACGATCGCACGTGGGGGGTGATGATGCTCGTCGCTTTGTTGCTTAGTTGGCTGTGCTCACCGACACATCGCTGTTGTTTTCAGGCACTTGTGTGAGTCAAACTGTCAAACACCACCTCCCGGAGATAGTGGAGCCCACGCCACCATCATCAACATAGCCGTTACATTTTGAGTTTGGGCCACAGCCCACAGCCCACCACCAACCTTCTAGAAATTGGAATTAGAAAGCCCGAGTCATTTTATAGTGAGGGTGTTATATATGACCTTAGGTGATGTGATATCTCTTAACTGTTAGATCATACTAACCAATTTAATCCAATAACTAACCAATTTGATCCAACAATTAAAAAATAGAACATCACTTAAAGGCCATATATAAGACATCATTATAGAATTCTTGTAGAAAGCCCATATTTTATCTACTTTATTTTTAATAAAAAGAAAAGGCCCATTAATTATATAACACACACTAAAATTTAGTTATGAACTCAAATTAGTGAATGTTTATGTGGACCAGGTCTTTAATCAAGACAGTGTGCTCGCTCCTTTACTTCATAGTTTGATTTATCTACTCATATATTAGAGTAGTTTAGGATATCGTTTTGTCAAAGGAAAACATTGAATCTCAATTTTGGCACAATAATTTAAGAATCTAACAAGAAGTGAGGGTTGAGGATCATAGAAGTGGAGCTAGACTTGGACCCTTCACCCGTCGGTCTGTCACCAAACTGCGTACTTGCTGGTATATGAGCTTAAACTCTAAGCATATGTATATTTGTGAAAGAGGAGGTAGGTTGAGCTGTCCACTTCTATCGAAGCAAACAACGGAGGGTTCAAGGTTATGATATTGGAGAGTGGTGTGTTGGTGTTTGGTGTTTGGTGATAAGAAAGAATATTATAATTCAGGTTGGGGAACACGACCAAACTTTGGTTAGATTCTCCTATTTATTTAACCTAATTTTATGCAGAAGGTAACGAGAGAATAAGGAAACGAACACAAAATGTCGACTTGAGCGCAGAAATCAACATTATCAAACAAAACTCTCGCTCTTATTTAATATTTTGGGGTAGGTTTAGGAGGACTTAGGAGGAGTAAGAGATTAAATGAAACCCTTCCCTTGTTTTTTAAGATTTCAATCTGACTTTAATCTATCTAACAACCCAGTAATTTCTTATTTTTGGACAAAACCAACCCTAGTACCCCACCACTATCTAACCAACCAGTGTATATATATATATATATATATATATATATATATATATTATATTTAAAGAGTATAGCCGACCGGCTGTACTTTTAAGTATAATATTCGTATAGTATAGCCGGACGGCTATACTCTTTCATACTGTTTAAATATATACGAATATTTATTTACCAGTATAGCCGGGCGGCTATACAATTTAAATATAATATCCATACAGTTTAAATAAATACGAATGTTTATTTAATAGTATAGCCGAGCGGCTATACTATTTAAATATATTAGAATATTTAAAACGTATAGCCGCACGGCCATACTCTTTAAATATATTCGAATATTTAAAAGGTCTGATCATGGCGCAAAACCAATCGGCGAATGTGGATCTCTTCGATGGGTATTTCCGACGAGCCGATTTGGACCGCGATGGCCGGATTAGTGGCAACGAAGGGGTCGTTCTCTTCCAAGCATCCGGTCCTTGCGCAGGTACTCTCGCTCTTCTTTATATATGTATATATGATATATCTATATCATAGTGTTATGATTGTATATTTATAATTGTAGTGGTTGATCGGGCTTTGATTAGATTGTTTTGAATTTTGAGTTCTTTTTTGGGCTGAAGTAGTTAATGTGAGCTCGGAATGTCCTAGTTCTCTGATCGGAGCTGACCGCTTTCATTTTGTATTAGTGTAAATGCGGAATTGATTTTTATTTTGTTAATTTTCTATAGTATAAGCTATGTAAGATATGAAATGAAACCCTTCCCTTGTTTTTAAAGATTTCAATCTGACTTGACTGGTTTTGCCTCGTCACACAAGTCTGCATATTACTTTATGAAAAAACTATATAGAAAAAGTATAACAACCTTGAACAAGATTTCAACCTAGTTTTTGGCAACAAAACAAGAAAATATTTCAACCTAGTTGTCTTTACAAGCCCACCTCAAGTATCATTCATTTTACAGGCCTTCCTCTTTTTTTCTTCTTTTTTTCTATACAAGCAGGAGGAGGAGGCTTCAGAGAGAATATCAGTTGTCGCATTGCACTTGCAGTCAAATTTACAAGTTAGGACGTAGAATCTGATCTCTGATCAGCATCAGCAGTGGCCTGGACTTGAGCTGCATACTGTAAGTTCCAAAGCACATCCTCAAACGACGGACGAGCTGACACTTCTGGACATGTACATTTTTTGGTGATAGATACCACAATTGATAACGACTCTTGTGAGCAAGTCGTCAATACGATTGGATCTACAATTTTTCTTCGACCATCTTGGCTGCCAAACGATGCCTGCTTGCGGTTCATTTACATTACACCACACATCAAAAATTCAGTGCCAGATGTGATGCAAGACATATGGAGACAAGGATTTTATGTTCAAAGTATTTTGATATATTATTCTACAAAATCAAAATTCATTGCAACAAAAATTTTTGCATACCATTTCATTTAGCAGAAATGTTTCCCCTTTTCCACTTACTATAGGTCCAACGAGTGACTCAAGTAGTATAAATCCAAAGTTGTAAACATCACCCTCCATATTTGTACTGTTCCTGCAACAAAAAAAATTGTACATAACAGAATTAACTATTCATATTTAGCTTTTGACATGTAAAACAGCAGCAATCTTATTCTGAACAGACAAAAAAAATTGCAAACACTTCCACTAGACTAAGTATGGAAGATAACTTAGACTATATAAACATGCTAATGGCATCTACAGTTGTATAAACAAAGAATTCATAACTACTATATAATATTTTAACATACTGGCAGAGGGGATGGGTATCTATCGACATTGACAAAAATAATGGTCCATCCATATTCCATGGTAATAATGCATCTAGTAGAAAGCTATTTAAAAAAAATATAGTTTACATCCATACCATGATTTCGTGCCTTCTCCCTTTGCCTGCAGAACAAGTAGAACGCATCAGAATAACCACTTGGAACCATACTATATGTCGCAAAGTCAAAATTTAATGTAAGTCAAGAAGCATGCCTCAAGTTTTTCACTTTCTTCTGTGATGATGGACATCCCATAGTCACTCAGCTTTGCAATCCGATGCTCATCAAGCAATATATTGTTTGTTTTCAATCGGTTGTTGAAACAACCTGGAATAACCCCAGTATGTAGAAAATGCACGGCCTTCGCAACTCCTATTAGAATTGCCAATCTATCAGACCACTTGAGAACCTTCTCTGGACAGTTTTCTGCAAATATGTTCATAGATGGGTTAGAGTTTGACATAACACACACGCACACATGGTAGTATACACTTCCTAGTGGTAGAATACATGCACAAATAGCCTTGAACATACACTTTCCAGGTATAATGTAACTTTTAAGCTTCTTATAATGTAAATACTGACCTGACAGATAGGTACGATAATTCCCACTGGAAACATATTCATTTATAAGGAAGATTCTGTTGCCACTGGAATCATCTTGTCCACCACTGTCAATGCAATAACCCAAGAGGCCAACCAAGTGAGGATGATGAAGCTTTGAGAGAAAATCCAGCCGAACTTTAAGGTTTTGAATTGAATATTTCTTCAATATAGTGAGAGATCGGATTGCAACATAGGTCCCGTTTTCCAACTTGCCTTTGTAAAGCTGAAATCAAAAGAATGGACATCGTCTTTAATGTGCAAAAAACCAAAAATAAATAAATAAAGACAAAGAAAAAGCAAACTTCAGACATGAATTTGTTCATATCAATTGTAACTCTCGGCATTCTACCTTTGCAAAACTTCAAAGAGATTATAATGAAAGGGAAATGAAAATAACAGGTCAAAAATCTAGAATCAGGAGAGCTTAAGTGATCATGAAAGAAGTCATAACACATTAAACTCCTGCCCTGTACAAATTACTCATAACTTTCGTGCTTGATAATAAAAAATTGGATACTTCACCCAAAAAAAAGTATATTTTTAGGTCTGAAGGATACCTTTCCCATAGAGCCTTCACCCAAAAACATAGACAAATCAAAGTTGTTTGTTGCTTCCTTCAACTGTTCAAGTGAAAATATACGACTTACTGAGGCACCGTGTGTCTCTAATTTCGCTGCTTCAGATATGAATCCTACAAAGGGTAGAGCACATATGTTACCATCTTAAGCTTTCAAAGGTACTAATAGATTTCAGAGCATAAAGTTGACATTATACTTTTATGAAAAATCATGCCTTAGGTTTGGGGCACGAGGAATAATAACAATATAATTTGATTGATTTACAACTTACTGGCATTTGCAATGAGCTCAGAGCAAAAACCATTTGGTGAATTATCTGGCACAGCCTTTGCAAATATGTTGTGCTCAAATGTCCTTGAACGGTATCTTCTACGAAAGGAAAGAACCGCAAATGCCAAAAGTACTAAAACAAGAACAGCTCCGCTGATAACACCAACTACCATAACAGTTTCTCTTCCTCCAGATTGTTTGCTGCTTGCAAGAGCCTCTTTACAATATGAAGCCTGATGCTGGTGTTGAGAATCAATTGAAAAACAATTTCCATTGAACTCAACAACTCTCTCATTTGAAGTACTACTCAGGCAAGAAGGAAGATCACCTGTTAACTTGTTATTAGAGATATCAACAAACCCAAGTTTACCACCACAATTTAGTTGGTCAGGGAATGCTCCACTCAGCATATTAGATGCTAAATTCAGATAACTGATGTTCGGCAAAGAGAACAAAGCAGAGGGTGGTGTTCCGCTGAGATAATTGAATGATAGATCAAGGTGCTGAAGCTGACCCAAATGACCAAATTGTGCAGGAATCTCTCCTGAGAATGAGTTCTTGCTAAGAAGGGCTGTAACCAATCCTTGGGGCATCATTGGTAGTTCAGAATCTATATGATTTTCTCTCAAATCCAATACACGCAGGCTGATTAAAGTATCCATATCGGGTAAATTTCCAGAAAGCTCATTGTTAGACAAGGCAATGACAGTGAGTGTCTTGATTCTGCATATTGAAGAAGGAAACCGACCCTTCAATCGATTGTTCTTCAAGCTCAAAATAGTGAGATTTGATAACGAGTCCAACCAATCAGGGACAGTATCATTGAAATAATTGTCCTCCAGTGTTAGAGTGTGAAGTTTGACCATTGTAGATATTTTTGGCGGAACAGAACCAAATATGAAATTTGAGCTCAAGTCTAAGAATTCAAGTGAAGATAACCGGTGAATCTTATCAGAAAGTGGTCCCCAAATCCCCAAAGACACTAAGCTAAGAACCCTCAAGCTAGGTAGCCTTGACAATGTGGTAACAAAAGAATCAATTGAGAAACTCTCAGACAGAGTATGATTGGGAATTGCAAAACCATTGAAATCATTGACATTAAAAAGCTTATCTCCCATAATTTTCAGCTCAGTGACTGAGTCGTCCTGGCATGAGATGCTCATATGCGCAGAGGAAGACAGGTTACAGAAGTCTCCATAGTAATTTTCCCAAATTTCTAATGAGGAAGGGTACTCTAAATGTTTCCTTAGTTGCAATAAGACTTGGCTCTGAGAGGTTTGTAATTCATGGGTACTTGGAAGACACAAAACCCATGACAGAATTACTGAAATTAACAAGTAAAAAAGTCTCATCGTACAAGTTTCAAGCTCTAACCTCTACTCTCTCTCTTTTTTCATAAAGCTGGAGCCTGGACATAAACAGCTGAACTAAAGCTGGACTATGAACTTCAGGGTAGCGTTAACAATAACAGGCCCATAAATTTTTACGGAGTCTGTGCAAAAGAGAGCTCCATAAAAAAGTTCACCTAGAAAAAAACAGTATTTTGCGGTGAATTTGGACAAGGACCAAGAAGAAATCTCATGAAACCAAGGGATGCATCCTAGCTCTGAACTCCCAAGTCCTCATCAAAGTGTTTTATGAATTTTTCCTTAGTGTCCCAATTCCTCCTTGCAAATTGAACTGGGTACGTTTCCTGGATAATGTAGAATGCTTGAACAAGTTGGTTAAAAGCCCATGACATGGAGAAACAACAACTCTAAGTATTAATCATCCAAAGGATTTTCACAAATAGAAAAAAAGTGGGAGATAAATGCAGATGAGTGAGGTAAGAGACAAACCTTGAAAGGTGGAAGTAAAAACCATTAAGAGCCAAACTATTGTTCTTGGTCAGTGAATGTGTGTGGCAAATTATGACAAGCGGCGCGGCTATTATGGAAGGAAGGAGGAGGTGGTTGGTTGGATGGAAAAGGCCGTACAAGACAGTGTCAGGGCATTTAATTGTGGTTTTTCTGTGGGAGGGGAGAGACTGACAAATGACAATTAATGGGGCCGATTCTCTGAGAGAGACAAATCCAAGTGGGGCAAAGGCTGTATCTTTCTCTCTGTGTGTGTGTGTGTGTGTGTGTGAAGGTTGAAAGTGGAAACAGTGGCAATGGGGAGGCGCTGCGGTGGCCACTGGAGCTGTAAACTTTATAAAAAAAATATTTAAAAATAAAAATAAATAGAGATTTATGGGTTTTGGTTTTTGTTGTTGATGCTCGTGGATTTTCTAACACTCCGCTGGTAATTACGGTATATCGGCGGCATCACATGACACATGGTTTTTCCCTCTCTTGGTGGCTTGGCATGGCATTTGATATATGTTTCATATGACCAAACTGACCCTGCTTCTATGTTCTTTCTGGTTTACTGTATTTCCGTTTAAGAATTATCACCGGTAACAGTCACACAGCTTTTTAGTTCTAACGACTGTAAAGTAAAATAAACAATGGATGTAAAAGAGGGGGGTTGTTGGGAAATGGCTGGTTTTCTGGGCCCGTTTTCAAATCCACAGGCTATTTTGAATGCAAAACCACGTTGCTGCAAAGCTGTACACTTTAGAATCCCATGAAACTCTGATTACAATAATGATTATAATAACATTACTTTATTATTAGCGCAAGAAAGAAGAGGAAGACGAATCACTCACACCCACCCATCACCCATGTACATTACTTGCTTGCTTACTTACTTCAAATGAGAAAATCATAAATCGGAAAAATCAAGAATAAAAAATAAGGGTGTACTATGTACAACAATCAATAATCTAGTTTTTCTTTTTCTTTTTGGGTATTAAATTATAAATTTTAATTTGAAACTTGCATTACATATTCGATATCAGCAGTTGGTGCAGTGGGTAAACAATAAACTTAACAACACCTGCCAATAAGAAGGCAATTCTATGCTTTTCTGCACTGGTCATCCTCTTTGGTTAGCCATGCCCATTAAAGCACCTTGGAGTTTCCACAACAAACAGTCTCAGTCTCTGTCTGTACTCTGTATGTATGGTCGTTTAATTAAAGTCTGATGATTCTCTTAAAGCAGTTCCATGGAAAAGCAAGCCATTGTATGATGTATCTTTACATTTTGGAATAAGACCAACTTTTTAACTTTTGACTAGTTTTTTCTTTTTCTGGTTTGCGCCCGACAATAATCTAAAGCATGATAAACACTTACATTTTGATATTTCCGACCATTTATGTTATGCAACGTATAATAATTTATCCACATGCCAATTATGTCATGATAATTTATCCACCAAACAGTTTGTAATTGACTGAAAATAACAAAACAATGTTATTCCAATTTTTCTACTAAAGCAGAGGATGAATGAATGCCTATAAAAGGAAAATATCAGGGGCTGGCTGGGAATGAAAAAGCCGTGCCCGTGAGAGACAGGACAGCTGCGTGCTTTCGCTTCAGTGAGTGCTTTTCTTCTAGAAAATGAATCTAGGATTTATCAACATTTGGCATCATTAGCATATTAATATGACTTTTCCAAACATTCAATTTGCCTTTGCCACTACCTCTATATCTAGACAAGTTTAATCATATGCATATTATATTAGTCAAAGTAAAAGTAAAGACAGATTGGGTTCCATTATGAGCACAAGTCAGACAGAAACAAACAAGCATAAAAAGGAGTAAGTAAGCTCTTCTTTTCAGGCAACTCCATTGCAAGTTTCAGCACCCACTCCACTCCACTTCCATTTGAGTCAGAGTGAGGAACTGAAGCAACCATTCTATGATTTTGTACAATCAATATGAAAAAGAGGAAGAGAAATGCAACTGTGTGTGACATTTTATGTTGTTTACTGTGTAAACTGGGTCAAACTTAATATTAATTCTCGAGTTAAAATTACGACATAGCAAGAAATTCCCGTAAAAATTCTCTTTTGAAACCAAAAGGACAAGGCACATTTCGACCAAAAAAAAAGAAAAGGACAAGGCACTCTGGGAGACCAGAATGGAAGGCCATTGACGTTGATGAACATACGAAAAGGGGCCAGGAGGATACCCCCATACCAGTACTGACTAAGCCAAATTTTTTGCAACAATTTCTAGGCCCTTCTTTCCCATCCCCACCGCCTTCTCTTTCGTGACAATCATTTAACCCATGCATCAACTGCAACCCTACCAAGTACCAACCATGACTTAGCACTTTCAAGGAGCATTAGGCGCCCATATTTTACTCCAGAAATTAAAAGAAAGAAAACATACCCAAAATAGGTCATAATAGGCAACGATCAACTAGGGATCATGCGTCAACTTCGCAATTCAAAGACTAGCTCCTTCAAATTTGTGGGAAGGGAACCACATTGGCCTTATTAAGAGCAATAATCAACTGGATGTTCAAGCTTAACCACATTGGCCTTATTAAGAGCAATAATCAACTGGACGTTCAAGCTTTCTCTTCTAACTTCTAAAATAAATTGCCCCTCTCACGTTGGACCACAATTGTAAGCCACTGTCACTGCCCAAGGACCACATATAGGCCCTCCAGAAATCAGCGTGCAATGGATATCTACTGAGAAAACATCAAACACACAAAATATAAGACGTCTCTGTACAAGGATGTACTTCTCATTTCCAAAACGATCATCCTTCGTGACGTGTCTTCTCATCTGAAGGAGATTCCAGATAGGAGATTACAAGCTCAGCTGCTTTGCATCCAGAAGCTATTGATTTACCAACCGACAGTCCACCCCTATGGTTACCTGCAATATTCAGAATTTGTACACCACATATACCAAATAAAAAAAGTCAAGAACTATAGGGGGCACCACTCAGCCAGCCGAAGAGTGAAAATCATCACTCATTCAGATCTCTAATTTTTGGTGAGTTATTTACCTGCATAGAAGAACCCAGGAAGATTTTTCTCCATATTCTCAATTGCTTCTATAACTGAATCATAGTCGCGCCCATACAATGGAAATGCTTTGCTCCAGTAGAAATGGCTGCCATTGAGTGTACTTCAAGCTATAAGATAACTATCCAATTTATTGGTAAACACGGGCTCTTAAAATAGAATATATAACAGAAATGATTATATACTTCACAAATGTCGGCTCGCCTTCTGCTCCTAACAAGTGCCTAATGTCAGAGGTAACAATTTGCTTCAATTCATCCCTAGATCAAAAGTCAAAAGAAGAAAAGTATTAGCCACATAACATCTGTGTGTGTGTGTGTGTGTGTGTGTATGTGTGTGCGTATGTGTAAGTGAATAATTTAGTATTAATCGCACAAATATGAAGGACAAAGAACATGGCTGTGGTACAAAATTAAAAGTACTGAAGCTTCCCATACGTTGAAGCTTTTGCAAGTTCCTTGTTTCGACTTCCCCCAACAAAGGTAGTATAAAGATATAGGTCACTGGGTGCACGATCAGGAAACATCATGGAGGAAAAGAGAGTGCCTGTACAGCAGACATACTAACCATATTAGGATAATGTATCAGTTATTCCGTGTCACTGAGCCATAGCCAAGCATTACCAAGAGTTTTTAAGCCGTTTTTCTGCTCTTTAGAGGGAACAAGAACTCCAAACCCCTCAAGGGGTCTCTTAACATTTTCCTTCTTGAAGGTGGTTATGATCACTGATAATGGCATATAAACCACCTGGAATATCGACAGCAAAAAATAAGATATGCTATGACAAGTGCTTGTTCCGCAACTTCTTTGCCAGGCTTAGTGTTGTTCCAAACTTCCAATCATAAATGGAAAGGAAAACGGATATAACCAGCCATGCATACATGTTGAAATTAAATGTCATAAATACCTCAGGAATAAAATCAAGAGGGAAGCGGGTTCCTCTTTTCGTGATCTTCATTTCTTTGACATTGCATAGCGGAGCCTATGACAGAGAAGAAACCTGGACAATTAATATTATATTCCTTCCATAAAGTAATTGTTACATGAAGAATGGAAGGGAAGGCATGTGCTTGCATAGACAAGCCAGAAAGAGCAATTACAGTCCAGCATCTATAAATGAAAATTTTAAAGTTCACTTGTATATTAAATCGTAGGACACAGTGAAATTGAATCCCTTGTGAAATATTTTCTTCTATTGGCAGAACTTGGTCATGCACCCATGCAAGCATGATGCATCTAATAACTTCAATGGAGCAGTTGAAACACATCTGCTGTTTACTCTTCTAGCTCTGCCTTGATTTGTTCCAAAACTTAAATGTTTTCGGATAGTAACCATGCCAGATGCACAAGGCATGCCTTGTTAAGCATGATGACAACCAACATCTGTCCCAATGAGAAAGTAAACAAACCACCAAATTCATGTTCTTAAAATAATAAATAGACTAACCGTCATGATTACAGCATCTACAGATAAACTTTGTGAATGCTTGTCATCATCAGCAACACGGGAAACTGACCAATTTTCTAATGCAGAGTTCCCACCCTGATGGTAAGATAGTGACAAAACCTTTGAGTTCAGTTTAAGCTCATCTTTTTCAAGCTGGTTGCACAAGATATCAGTGAGTGTCTGCACTAAACAGAAAAAGGAAACAAGGGTAAAGCATTTAGTTTTGGAAATAAACAATATGCCATACAGATCTAAACCTAATGTTTTTACAATTAAAGTTCTAGAACATTCTACATAAGGTACCGTCAGGAAAAACATGAAAATTACAAAAAATTGTTATGAACCGTGAGGAAGGAAAGTAGCCCAATAAAATGGCACCTGCATTCCACCATGAAATGAAAATGAACCACGCTGACGCTTCCCTTTTTCTACGGAACCCTTTGTTTCTCCACTTTTTCCCTTGCTGGCAGATAATTTTGATTTAATTGCCCCAGATATAACAGAACCAAACCTGATAAAATAGTGAACTTGTTGGTTATCAACATAGATCAACAGACAAGCATCAACTACTGAATATTTTTAGAAAATTTTAATTGTACTAATCACACCTAGTTCACTATAAATATTAACATAAGCAATGATTCTTCTTTGCTTAAAAAAAACGGAAATATGTGTATAGAACATACCTTTTCTCTATATTCCATATATCTGGAAAAGAATGGCGCATCTGTTTGAAAGATCAGAAGGCAACACAAAAGTATTATTGAAGACATAAAAAAATGATTAAGACCAACAGCTCCATGTTGTAACCCACGAAATGACATATGAAAAAGCACAAAAGCCCAAAATTTCTGGTATTGTGAAAGCAAAGTTCAATTTCTAGGTTTCAACCTTGACCAGACTTGTGAGATAGATACATGGAAACAGCAGAAATACAGATTTTCAGGTTACAACTGATTAGTTAAAAAACAATCATATTAGCTACTCCATGTGAAATATGCACAAGTCACCAAAGACTGAGATATTACTCACAGAAAGAGATTCGGGATCTCCAGCACTTGTTCCAGCAACAAAGGGGTCAATGAGATAATCAACAACCTTACAAGCAAAAGTGACAAAATAGTATTAAGAAAACGCAATAATAATTTCAAGAACAATTACAAGGATTTTTACATTCAAAAGACTTGATGTTTAGTAAAATATTGCAATGCAACATGTACCTCTTCCCCAAAATGACGCTGAAAAAACCCACCCACACTGCAGACGATAAGCAAAACACAAGAAGAATATTAAAAATTAACAAAGAAATAATAGAGAAGGTGGAAATGCAAAGAATTTTAATGAGATAGAGAAGACTACTACCTTTCTTCGGTGTGATCATCAGAAACTCTTTTGTCCTTCCACAAATATGGCTCTAGAATAATTTTCAGCTGCAATACAGAAATGCAGATTGAATTTGATGCATATGCACAAACAAGATATTTTGCATAAAATCTGTTAAGTGCCAAATAGCATTGCAACATGATTAAATAACAAGGAAACTAACTTGTTGGGCATGCCGTACATTGTAGAAAACTAACCTTTGATTGTGCTGAAAGAAAATTGCTCTTGATCAGAGCGATTGGATTGGTAGGTATCTGATGTGAAAAATGGAGCAAAAGTGATGGTCACAGTCAGAAACAGCCAACTATGTAAGGAAGTATAAAAGCAAAAAATAAAAGAAAAAGTATTCATATGCCTTACTAAATAACCATTACAAGATGCAAACTCATGTAGCAATATAGATGAAACAAGCAATACATACATACCAGCACAGGTGATCCATTCCTCACAATATAACGCTTGTTTTGTGAAATTGGCTGTACCATTGGACAACAACCAATTTAATCAATATAGCAATAGAAATATCAGTCACTGCCATCTTTCAAACTAAGTTTGAAGCTACAGCACATTTCTTTATAATTCAAAGCTCTAGCAGTCAAGAGTATTCTAGGTAGCTGAAACTAATGTTACAGGACGCGACACTATTACCACACAAACTACACTATATGTGAAACTACAAATGAAATCAAATCCTTACAAATTGTTGCTTTTCTCGAATTCCAAGATCATCAAGCAAAGTCTGGACCTCCTTTTCACTCTCAGTCTGCAACAGGGCCATAAAACCTCAACGTCAGTATGCAGTCGTCAGTGGCTGATTCAGGATTCGATATCCGGCTGGGCGAAACTTACATTAAAAGCTCAACGTAATGAGTGAATCTCATTAATAAACATAAAAATATACACCTAGTAGGGGGGGACATAATGAGTCTTACCCTCAAATGCATCTCCATACATAAATAAAAGTTTAGCCCCAAAAAAAAACAAACAAACTTTTCTTTTTCTTTTTTCTTTTTTTAAAAAATTCCAAACAAATTCTTTGTTTTCTTAGGGTTCAAATTGTGATCCGACATAACAAAAGATAGTCTATTTAATCCAACATTCCAACAAAAAATCAAATAAATTCTCACAATAGCATCAATGCCTTTAATCAAACAGTAACATACCAACAACAAATCAAACATCTCAACAAAATTCCAAAAATCAAAGACCTAATTAATTTCAACAAAGTCAGCAAATTATAATTCATTCTTAAGTAAACCTTAGAATAGATTAGAACACATAACTTCTAACCTATTTAAAATATATTAGATTCAATGTTGTCATATACAACATCTTAAAATTTGGAGGTAGGTAATTAAAGAGAAGATAATTAAAGAGGAGAGATATTTTAGGTTATGCATGCATGTGGGTTGCTTTTTGGGTGGGCATAGGTTTGTATATTTCACAAGGGTTGGCCTATTACATAAGGGTATTTTTTTCTTTTTGAAAAATTTGGAGTAGGCAGCCGCCTACCTTGCCCTGGGCTTAGGACCGCCCCTGGCAATCATAATAAGCATTCATGGTTGCCCAGCATTGATTGAGCTACAGAGCATAAATGAACCCTTCAGTAAATTACAAGTAACAAAATTCACCATTGTATTTGCTCCTTCATCCCAAATCAGACCATCATGTGAAACACTTCTCAACTTCCCTCCAGCTCTTCCCTCAGCTTCAAATACCGTGACGTCGAAACCGTGTGATTTCAGTTTGTAGGCTGCAGCAAGCCCGCTTGAGGAATTGTAACATAAATTCAAAGTCAAAATTTGGAGGAAAATGGAGAATGACAAAACATATTATACCTGACACGCCTACTTAGTAAAAGCTGCAAAGAAAATATTAAGCAGCATACCTTACACCAGCACCAACAACAGCTACTCTTTTAACAGAGCCTGAAAACCCCACAGAAAATTGTCATTCTCATTACAAGGCTGATAACAAATGCATATAAATTCATTGTAATTTTGCATATGGATTTTTCCTCATAGTGTTCCAGACAGACAGCGAGAGATTACTCTGTTCACCTTCCTTGGTAGTTAATGAGGTCATTTGCACTGCTGCTCCTCTCTCTCTCTGCGACTCGAAACCTTCACAAATGAAATGGTCGGCTCGTTAAGCCGTTATGGTAGAGACGATATAATGTAACTGGAGTGGGCCAGTTGATAGTATTGTAACTAAGGGCAATTACAAGTGGGTCTGGCTATTTCGCCCAATGCTTTTTAATTGGGCTTTCTAAGGGCTTAAAGCTTAATGGACTAAGATAAGACAAACTATAATGGACGTCGGAAGTACAACTAAGCAACCTAACCCAAGAGAATCTTTTTAAGTAAGTTTTTTTTTTTTTTTTTTTTTTTTTTTTATAAAAACAAACAAAAAAAGAAGCCCATAGTAGCAGACAAATTTGTAGAAAACAGAGATAGTACTGTTTTCATATTCCCAATTAATTATAGATTGACACATGAAAAAGTTATTACGCGTGACATGTCGTGATTAGTCGAAAATAACAACATAGTGTTATCCCCATTTCACACAAGTGTTTCTTCCGTAGTAGGGCACCCCAAAGAGAGCAAGTCAGAATTACAAGCTCGAGTCGCAACTGAAAGAAGGGGATGAATCCAAACTTGAATTTACGTTATCCATGTCCACGATAAGCTATAGCATCTGTCATAAACTTGCCTTAGCTTATTATAGAAAGCCTACGTGGTTATTCCTTAATAATAATTAGGAATTGGGAAAACGTCATTGATATGAGAATTTAATAATAATAAAATTAATTTAGGCCAATTGACGAAGGCAACGAGTTCCTTGCATCCAACTAGTAAGGAGCCAATGAAGGCACTAGCCCCCACTGAGTCTTGTTCTACATCTACAAGGGTGCCAAATTTTCATGATATCTTATGTTGAATGGAGGCAAATTGTTTGATAAAATGCCTCAAATAAGGTTAAGGTAGGGCAAGGGGTCAAAGGAATGGCTAAGACTTGGGCTGCATTAGGCAAGACTTTACAGATTGTTGATAGGCCTCATTAGCCAATGTAAGTTAGGCGAGACTTTACAAATTCTTGCCCCTAGAAAGGAATCCGACGGTGCACCCGAGTTCTTTGCTTGCTTTAGATAATTGCATACTTTTGGAACAACACATTCCTTAAGGTTTCCTTGAGTGATCATTAATTTATAACAAACAACAAAAAGTCATCCATTTTCATATGTAACAGTGAAACCCCACTAGAAAATTATACAAAGATCACAATATGGCGTGCCTTTATCAGACATAGGTTTCCCACCAATCTTTATTCCATCATTTCCCCGTGTTTTGAACGATTAATTAATCAAGGATTTCCACTCCTCCAAGCATCCCTCCTTTTGTTAAAAACATGTTTAGCTCTGGACGATTTGGTAATTAAATTTGCTAGAGTTAGTGAACTTTGAACCACAAGCAAAGCAACTTGTAAATAATTGGAGGAGCAGTTAGAGTCTTGAAGCAAACATATAGCTTCAATTCAAGATCTTACTTTATGTATGGCGAATATTTAAATTGCATCGCGCTGTTACCATTCTTTTTCTTGCTCAAAATGTTGGATTAATTAATTAAAGGAAAAGCAACAAGAATTTGAAATTTGAGGTCCACGAAAGTCTTTACAATAACATTTTTTTGTGATTTTTTTTTGGCAACTGAGATATATATATTTACGAATTGGTCCACATAAAATAAATATTTAATTGCCAAAGCTTTGGCGCCGATAATTTTTTTTGAAACCTAATGATTTGATTTCAGTTTTGCGGGGCAGAAATCTGCAATGCGAAAAGTGTTTCTGGCCACTTAGCTTGAGCCTGATTTGTCCAGGGGGCCAGTGGTTAGGATTAATTAGACAAAAAGAAGATTCTGAATTCTGATTAATTAATTAATAACCCAAAAGAATTAGAAAGGAACAAAAGGATTCTGAATCTGAATTGGTAAAGAAGCAAAGGTAGGTGGTGGCTCATATTTCATATTGTCCCCAATTGTGGAAGACAACTTGAGTGATCTCTTCCAGTCTCCACCACCAAGATCTTGAGGGCCCAGTTACTTCAACAAGCCGATTGGAATTCCGAACGACCAGTACGACATTTTGGTGGCCACGGTCCCAAATGAAAGAGAGGTAATATGATGCCATGCTCACGCCAGACTCGAATTTGAAACAAACCAGCTTTGATCCTAAATGAACACAAAAGTGGAGCTACAGTCATTCCTGCACAAACCAAATACGCCAATACTAATATCCACCAACTAAAAGCAGCAGAAGTTTACACCCTAAGTAACGATAATAAAACAAATTTTAAAAGTAGATTTGTTTGGTTTGTGGAAATGAAACTCCCATATCTAATGTTAGGATATGAGAATTGAAGATGTTCATACTCATGAGCAGTGGCGGAGCCAGGAATCCTACCATAAGGAGTCTTAGTGAAAAAGTCCCAATAAAAATTTAGAATGGAAAAAAATACTAAAAGTGAAATTTCACAATAACAATGAGCAAAAACAACAAGAGTAGTTGGAGGAGAAAAAAAGAAAAAAAAAAGGGTTTTAAGGGCTAGTTTGACATTGCTGTGCTTTAAAAAAAGAAACTGCTTATGTTGTGCTGCAAAAATAATCAGCTGTGAAAAAGAACAGTTAGGCGTTTGGTAAACTGTATTTGAAAAACTGTTGTGAGTAGTCAAAGTGTTTGGTAAATTTTTATCAGAAATGCTTTTAGTATGTATAATGACCGAAAAGAGTATGATATTGAAATTAATATATATGTTGTTTTACAATACTTTTATAATTTTTTTATAATCTTAATAATAATATACAATTATTTTTAAAAAAACTTGAGAAGGAAAAAGCCCCTTTTCTCCTTTTCCTTTTTCTCTCATTTTTTTCCTCCTTTTTTCTTTCCTGTCAATCCTTCTTCTCCATTGTTCTCTATTTCTCTCATCAGACTCTTCGCTTTTGGCAAGAAAAATAACTAAAACAGTCCATTATAAATGTAAAAACACCACCCTTTTTTTTTTTTTTTTTTTTTTTTTTTTTTTTTTTTTTTTTTGATATTGAAAAAAAGTTCATTCAATTCACAACCAACCAGCCCAAAGGTACGGCAACAAAAATTAAAACAAATCAGCCCTTTTTTTGTCAGAACTCTTCCTCTTGCTCTCGCCCATCAATTTTCCTGATAAGATTTCATGAATTCTAGAGAAATTCATGAGGCTTGGCGAGCCAACTGTTAGAATGGAGAAATCGGGTCTGTGGAGAGAAGCAGTGGCTAGAGAAGGATACGCTGGTCTTTTTATTATTTTCTTTTTGTTTCATACTTGGCCCAAAACGAAGTCGTTTTGGCCAGGTCATTTAAAAAACCTCCCTGGGCCAAAACGACGTCGTTTTGCCCAAGTTGTTTTCAAAAAAAGAAGTCCCGCGCTTAGCCTTCTTCTTCAGGCTGCAAACCCTTCGTTCTTTCAGTCATTTCGTCGACCACTTGGTGTGCAGCTCCAAGAGGTCGCATCAGCAGCTCCAAGGGACCTCTAAGCTTATTTTCATGGCTTCCAAGAGGTTGTGCGACCCCACTGACCCCATTGTGGCTCCGCCACTGCTCATGAGTCATGCATTCTCATTAGTACATTACCGAATATGGTAATGTAATTTCATTTTCATTTCCAAGCGTTTAAATCTTGAACCAAATAGATAATTAATATCATATTATAGTAATTTTCTTTGAAAGAATACCAAATGCAAGTGGTCATTTAAATAAATATACAAATCTTTTTTTTTAGTATAAGTGATAGGAGGAGGGGAGTTTACACTAATATTAATTAGGTGTATGAGAGTTTCAAACCTCAGGTGGAAGAACTCAACAACTGAGTTATTTCTCATTCATAATAAATATGCATTTATAAGGTGGACATCAAAATGAATGGTTGTTGTTGTATGCTAACACTCTAAAACACCCATCCCATGCAACAAGTTAAGTCTTGTACGCATCCGTACGTACCTTCTAGGAAATTCAGAGGGGAAAAGGAACAATAACATAACAGTATATTGCTTTACTCGCTCGATACAGTCGCCAACTTCTTCTAAGGGTCATTAAAGAGGATCACATGAAAATCTATACATACACCTTGATTTGATTTATTTTTTTTTTGGGTCTGAAACCTTGATTTGATATATTAATTCCTAAACACGTGTATGGTCACATTATATGTCATGTCAACTATCTATGCAATTAAGAGAATTAGTGCTTCACATTTTTCACGCTTTGATATATAATTTTTTATAACAAGTACTCGTAATTTAATAAGAGACTAATTTACTCTCATCAAGGATTTAAATTCAATCTGGATTCTGGATCGAATCGTGCGGCTGAATTGTTGCATATTTGGAGACCCCAAAATTGAGATTTTATAATTATTTACATCTCCATTAACTCTCAGTACGTTGCACTCTACTCTACTGAGTACTGACTCACATTGGAATTTTACTGTTTCAGCATGGGTCGGTTCACTGTGCATGTTAACCCATTCCTTGTATTAATTGACTAAGCTTTTTCCTTTTTCTTTTTATTAGGTCGTTGAATAAGCTTTTATTTAAACGATAAAAAAAAACACTATATTCTGTTCCAAAACCCATAACGCAGCTTTAATATGTTTTGTCAGGGTTATTTTACTTTAAATGAAGGTAATTAATCAAGGGAAGGTGTTACATGGGTTATTTACACGTGAAATGGCTTGGTTTTTGCTGCACGTTCAGCGTGAGTTGCACCCTTCCACGCGCCACCTATTATCTTTTTTTAATTTTTTAATAAAGAGCAAGGGCGGAACCACACTGAGAGTTACAGTGGGCTGTAGCCCAGTGTGGTTTTTTAAGAAAAAAAAATAGAAAACTTATATATTTAACTTATTTTCAATATTAGCCCAGTTAGTGGTGTTGTACAGATTACCTTATTTCCATTTTCAACATTTAAGTAAATTGAGTAATATAAAAATAAATAAAAGTAAAATGACAAAGACATTTACTTAAGTTTACGATGTAAATAAGGAAGTACCCCCCATTTGGATTCAAATAAAAATACTAGAAAATCAAATTCCCACCAAATCAAAATATGAAAAATCGGTTTTAGTGCCAAATACGATTTAGGCTAAAAATGATGGTTCATTAAGTCAATATATACTTCATACTAAAATCCCATAAAATCAAGTTTTCTTATTTGATGTGTGAGGAATAAAAGCCGCCAAAAATTATCTTGAGAAAATGATTATTTCGAAAACCCATTTTTCATACTTAGTCAATATTTTTACATAAAATAATTTTTCATCTATAATATGAATGCATGAAAAAACCTAAGGTCAATCTAGATAAAAAACCTTAGATGTTTAATCCACTATGGTGTTAAACCCTATTTGGTTTGTGTTAAAACTTATTGAAAATTAGTCTATGGAGCTATGAACTAGCTTGGTTTATATGATTTAATGTTTACTTTTATTTCTAGAAAGACTATAGAAATTGTAAGTGCCAAAAAAAAAAAATCACTAAATTTTAAAGCTAATAACTTTAGCTAGCCTACCCGTTGAAAAATTCATGTTCTGCCCTTGATAAAGAGGATATGAAATTAAAGCCTTGATTTAATATATAGTTGGTCCTCCATGATCAACTTCTTCTACGTACCTTAAACTGTTTTGTAATTGACATCAATACCAATGAGGAGGGGGAGGAAGGAGCTTACCTGATATGGGTTGATGTTCGGATTCATTCGTGGAAGCATCTCTTTGTCACAGACTCGAAACCCTAAATTAATTAACAAATTATAATGATCTCAATAAATTAAGATCAGAAAGCGAGATAAAGAGAGCAAGCTTGAAGATCCAACCAAGCAAATACGTGGTGCAAAATTTTATATACAAATTTATAAATAAACCCAATCCTAGACATGTATTTATAAAAAAACCCAAGCACTATTTAAACATAGAAACACACCCAAAATCAACCCCAAAGTCAACTTTTTGGGTGTGTTTATAAATGGGTTTTGAGTGTATGTAATGATGGGTTTTGGGTGTGTTTATATGTTTAAATAGTGCTTGGGTTTTTTTATAATTTCAACCCCTATTTTGGGTGTTTTAATGAAACTCCCAATTTTATACTCGATATGTCGACAGCCACGTATGTCTGGGGTTCTAATTCTCCAATTTTAAAGTACACGTGTCTGCTTCGAATTGAATCTCTCAAAGCTGGCCATAAGATATTACTGTTCTGAATATCTCTGACTCTGATCTCATTTCATTGAAGGCAATAAGAAGAAGGCAGTGAACCAACCAACCATGGATATTCATTTCATTGCAATGGGTAGAAAACTGCTGCAAAAGAAATTACACATCTCAGAACTTGTCAGGTGGAGGTGGGGTGGAGCTAGCTGACGATGCAGCGATGCGAATAATATACACGTAACCTAAGCTTACACTGCAGAGACTGATGATGAGAGTGGATGGCCACTTGATCAACTAGATATGCCTCCTCCATTGTATATGTCCAATTACTATATAATAAAGAATCCATTTTTTTTTTGTTGGTCGAAAATAAAGAATCGATTTTGTAGTTAACATTTTGGCCTTACTTGTCGGTAGACGTATAATTAATGAGTAATTATAATGTAGTATACTTGTTATAGTAGAAAGTAGATATTTTAATCATATCGTTTATTCATATTATAACACGTAAATGAATTATACCACGTAATTGTATTCCGATATCACACGCATAAAAGTATAAAATAAATGTAGTTTTTGTGTATTAATTAGTTAATTAATTTAATCTTTGATGTGGTCTGTTGAGCTGGTTGATAAAGTAAAAATTGTTGGTCAAAGACTGAGAAGCCACTGGCCAGAGAGATGGCTTCTCCAGGACTCGTATTGACTACGGATGAACTACTGGGAAAGAGACAGACAGACATGCAGAACCATGCACATGCAGTAACTTTATTCTACCACCTTTTGCTTTCACTCACTTTAATTATTAATATTATACAGTTTCAGTTTCACAGAGGTACGTAGCTACAGGATCTTGTCATTGGGACTGTGGACTGTTTACTAGCGCTGCTAAAAATCTTTGGGACATTGCATGGGTTCCCTGTGCTAGCTGTGTATCTCTCTATATGTTCCCCATCCCGTCCCGTCCCTTGTATTATGAATGTGTAGCGGTGGTGCTGAGGTTTATGGAGTGTGGCTGTGTCCTGGTATTCCGCGACACAACTTGAGCTATCTGTTATATTATTATTAGTATTCTTCTTTTAATAATTATTTCATTTTTGGCATCTATATTTACAATTCAACTCATTAGCATTGGATACTACTCATACCATGCTCCACCACACCACCAATATTGCATCCTCTTTTTTCTTTTTCTTTTTTAATATTAATTATTGATTAATAAGTTGGGATTTTTAAAATCCCATTGTTCATGTTTCAAGATTTTAAGACAAACAAATTACTATATATATTGGATCTCAATCTTCTTCTGATATATGTTTCCTTGTTGGTCTGGTTTTTTATGTATAGATTCTTATCACTAGGGGAAAGACAGAGATTGTTCCGGATCAACACCATGAAACTCACGACGGAATCTTAAGTATTGCCCTTTAAATTACTTTAATCAAAAGATGTATATTAATTGGTATACAAAGGCTATGTATGTGGCTCACCAAGTGCATTGTGAAATGTTCTCGGTATTGGAGTGATTATAATTCATTGATTCTCATGCTTTTTACTTATACCAATAAAATTATTAAACCTCCGTTTGAATGAAGGAATTGAAAATTATATAGAATTTTAAAATGACGGAATTTAGATTTCCATCATTTCAATTTTTGGCAATCGAAAATTTCAATGTTTGGATTTATGTATGTCAAATTTTGTAAATGATACTATGGAAATTGTGAAATTACGAGTATTTTAGTGGAAATTAAACTCAGAAATTTGATGCCCCAATTTCTACGATTTTTTCCGCGCATCATTTAATAAATTTCGCAGTTAAGTTGCCAAACAAAGAAATTGTCAATTTCTCATATTAAATTCCTGACTTTTAGCTAAATTCCGAATTTTCCCTCATTCAAATGGAAGGTAAAAGAGTAGTTTATTTGATTCTAATTCTTTATTCTTAATACCACATTACAATGTTAACTACAATTGTCAATGTTACATTATATATATTTTCTGCAAGATTCAAGCCGACTCAGGGGTCTGTAAGCCAAAAAAACTTATATATAACGGGGATAACATTGTTTTGTTATCCTCGGCTAATAACACAATGATACGTGAAAATGTTATCCTACACGTCATTGCGTTTTGCTATCCCTGTTACATGAGAGTTTCCCTTCATGTAAGCGCCTATCCATAGTAGAGATTGACGACACTACTGCAATTGACTGCGGACCCCACGCCCTTTGGATAAAATAATAATTTTTTAACCCTCGTCAGAACCCTCAGTCAAATCCTTTTTTAACCCTAGTTAAATCGATTTAAAAGTTAAACGGTCCCGATAAATTTGCAGCCTTCCCTTCCCTCTCTAGCGCTCACTTATTTCAAGTTTCTCTTCTTTCTCTCGAGCCTCGCGTCGCGTCTTCTTTTAGAACAACAGAGTAGAGAAGAGAGAGAGAGAGAGAGAGAGAGAGAGATAACGCATGCGAGCTCTCACCTTAGTTTGCAGCAAAAGACCGCTACTACCGAAGCACAAATTCCTCCACGTGTTCGCCGGAAAATGACGGTATTCTCCGGCAAGCAGGTGTTTCCAGTGGACTATGAGGCCGAGGTTTCTCAACGCCTTCTCGAAGCTTCGCTCTCCGGCGATCTGAAATCGGCGTTGGAGTGTATCGCCGATCCGTTTGTGGACGTCAACTTCGTCGGTGCTGTCTGCCTCAAAACAAAGAAGACCGAGGTGTTATTGCGCGACGAATCGGCGAGCGAAGTCCGCGTCGACTACGGGGAGTTCAAAACCGACGTCACGGCTCTTTTTCTCGCCGTTCATGCTGGAAGTGTAGCTTTGGTGAAGAAACTACTGGTAATGTGATTGAGGCTTTGGTTTTGGTTCGTGTTTTGTCAGATCACTGCGGTTGAAGTTGAGATTTGAAATGTTTTATACACATTGTTGATTCTTCTCCGATTTTGAAAGCATTTTGTGCTCGAATTGATTTTTTTATAAAAAGTATTTATGCTTTTATAAGTTTTTTTTGTTCTCATTGTAGAATTTGAACTGCATTTGAAGTTTTCGTCTACTTTACCGTGGTTTGGCCTATTCACATCTCACATTTTTTGCTGATTTGCAAGCATTTTGTATGTGTTAAGAAAGAGAAATGTTTTGTACGTTTTCTAAGAAATTTTTGATCCATCATTTCCCAATTTTTGTTACAGTATATTGTGGGGAGAACTTCACGGAGTTCTTTGTCTGCTATGCATATTTGCTCGGAAACTCAAAAAATTACTGCTAAACCATTCTTTTAATATTTGAATTATGCTGGAGTACTGATATCAAGAAATTTTTAAAGCCTTTTATGATTTTTTGGTTATTTATTTATTTATACAAGCTTTAAGAATTTTAAATCCCCCTGCTGATTTCAAAGGTTTGGAGGAAAAGAATTAGGATTCGATTTTTTTATTATTTTTTTCTGGGGGAATATTGTGTTCCATAGAAAAGTTGTTGAACTCTTTGATATCAATAATGTGTCATTAACTCATTGAAGTCTTTGAAAGATGTCTGCTACAGTTACAGGGGAATTGTTTGTTTTTTTTTTCACCTTGAAATTCACTTGAACGGAGAAGTCATTAGTTTCTGACCATTCTTTCTCTACGCTTTAGAGCCAAAAGTTTATATTGTTGTGTTATTTGGACCTTTTATTAAAATTATTATTATTATTTTGTCTTTGCTTAGTTGGGCATTTGTGTTTTCTTTGATTCTATATCATAATTAACGACCTGCTAAAAGAAATGAGATACACACGACACGACTGATAAATACATAAGTTTTGGAGATAGCTTAATTAATGGCCTTGAGACCACATATCGAGTTGTCTCAAACTCTCTGTTCCGAGCCTGAGGTAGATAATTATGTGGATATTATAGATCCCCCTTTCCCTCATATTAATGAACTGTTTGTTGAAAGCTCCATGCTTCTTTCCCTATCACGTCAGATTTGTTCCCCCATTTTGTCTGCACGTGTTCCATGACCTTTCGTAATCGATGAAGAAACCAAAATACCTACTAATGTACTAGATTTGATCTCTTCTTCTTGACTTTTGTAAAGATTATGAGGAAATTAAAGTGAAGAAAATAATAGATAGATGGAATAGTATTATGTCATCTCTTCCTTTGCAACTTACAGAGGATTGGTAATTTTCTCAAATTACAGAGCGTTGGAGCTGATGTAAATCAGAAACTCTTCAGAGGCTTCGCGACAACAGCAGCAGTGAGAGAGGGCCACCTTGAGATTCTAGAGATCCTACTGAAAGCTGGAGCATCTCAACCAGCTTGTGAGGAAGCTCTGTTGGAGGCAAGCTGTCATGGACATGCCAGGCTCGTGGAGCTGCTTATAGCTTCTGATTTGATCCGGCCCCATATTACCGTGCATGCTATTGTCACAGCAAGCTGCAGGGGGTTTGTTGATGTGGTGGACACTTTCATGAAGGTAGAACATCATATTCATTTTACCATAATTTGAGACAAGTAGATATTCTGTTGAAGAGTAAATCATAAAATGATTTTCTAGTAATCATATATAGGTGAACTGATCTAATAATGTCCGGATAGGTTTGATGAATGAATAGTGAATTAATCCTATTATGGTTATTTAATCAGTTTTATTAGTACGATAACATTGTTCTTCTTGCTCAACGGCAGTGCGGTGTGGATGCAAGTGCAACTGATCGGATGCTGCTTCAGTCATCTAAGCCGTCGCTGCACACTAATGTTGACTGTAGCGCACTTGTAGCTGCAGTTGTTAGTAGGCAGGTCTCGATTGTTCGTTTGCTGCTACAGGTGACTTGCACTTCAATTTCAGTTTTGCTTAGTTTAAAACAATGTTGGTGCGCAATCAAATATGACCCTGAAAGCCATAAATTAGGAGTAGTAGAAAAGTAAATTTCAATTGAGATTCCAATAAGAGTAGGCCCCTATCCCCAACTTGTGCATTAACTGTGACAGCTGGATTTGTACCTTTCAATAGCGATAGAGTGGTACACATTTCTATGATTGCAATAGGATCTAAACAGAAAATGATTTTGATTCTGTGTATCTTCTGTCAGGACAATAGTATTGTTACTGTTCTATCTTCTAAAATTACTATTGTACGTATCTTTTTCTTTTCACACCACATGACTAACAGCCCTCGTTTGTTCTTTGTTTCAAAATGGAAACAATAGGCTGGTGCGAGGACAGATGCGACAGTGAGGCTGGGAGCATGGTCATGGGACACAGCCACAGGGGAAGAATTGCGGGTAGGGGCAGGACTGGCAGAGCCTTATCCCATTACCTGGTGTGCAGTGGAGTATTTTGAAGCAAGTGGTTCTATCTTGCACATGCTCCTCCAACATATTTCCACTGATACCCCTCATTGTGGAAGAACTCTCCTGCACCATGCTATCCTATGTGGTAATGTAGGAGCCGTTCGTGCGCTCTTACGTTGTGGTGCCAATGTAGAATCACCTGTTAAAACAACTGGAAAGACCATGTTTAATCCAATACACATGGCTGCCCGGCTTGGCTTGTCAACAATTGTTCACTGTTTAATCGACTCTGGATGTGATATAAACTCCAAGACAGATTCTGGTGAGACAGCTCTAATGATCTGTGCAAAATATAAGCATGAAGAGTGTCTCAGAGTATTGGCCATGGCTGGTGCTGATTTTGGCTTGGTTAATGTTGCTGGTCAGTCCGTCAGCTCAATTGCAGGGACAAATCGCTGGTCCCTTGGTTTTCAGCAAGCGTTGATACTTGTTATAAGAGCTGGAAAGATACCAAGGTCCAGCAACTTTTCTGTGTTCTCTTCCCTAATGTTTGCAGCTCAAGCCGGTGACATGGAGGCCTTGAAAGCTGTAGTTGGTTCAGGAGAATTTGACATTGATTATCAGGATGATAAAGGTTTCTCGGCAGTCATGATCACTGCTTTGAAGGGTTACGTGGAAGCATTCCGGTTGCTGGTTTATGCAGGGGCTGATGTAAAGTTGTGTAACAAGTCTGGTGAGACTGCAATTACGCTATCTGAATTAAGCCAAAACCGTGACCTATTTGAGAAGGTAATGCTCGAATATGCACTAGAAAAGGGCAATCGCTATGCTGGAGGGTTCTATGCTCTGCATTGTGCAGCACGTCGTGGGGACATTGATGCGGTCAAATTGTTAACAAGTAGAGGCTACGATGTGAATGTCCCTGATGGAGATGGTTACACTCCACTCATGTTAGCGGCTAGGGAAGGCTATGGTCCCATGTGTGAACTCTTGATCTCTCATGGGGCAAATTTGGATGAGAAGAATGCCAAAGGCGAAACACCACTCTCACTAGCAAGGAAGAGTGGTTGCGGTACCAAAAATGACACGGAGTGTGTGATACTGGATGAGCTTGCTCGCAGGGTGGTGCTAGGTGGAGCCCATGTTTGGAAGCATACCAAGGGAGGGAAAGGAAGCCCTCATGGGAAAGAGATGAGAATGGTGGGAGCCATAGGGGTGCTGCGGTGGGGGAAGTCGAACCGGAGAAATGTGATATGCCGGGATGCAGAGGTGGGGCCCAGCCCAGCTTTTAGGAGGAATAGGAGGAGCAAGAGTGATGCGGATGAAGCTGGAGTGTTTAGGGTGGTGACTACGAAGAACAAGGAGGTGCATTTTGTGTGTGAAGGTGGGGTTGAAACCGCTGAGCTTTGGGTGAGGGGCATAAAGCTTGTGACAAAGGAGGCTATTTTGGGTAATAAGAGGGAGTCATGAATGGTGGTGACTGGTGAGAGGATAGCGTCAGAGAAGCAGTAGGGTGTATAAATGTTTTCTAGAATACTTCGTCTTGAAGTATTTAGAAGTAGAGTCGTTTCTGGTTATTGTAAATGTTTTGATCCCTCAGTTGTAAATGAGTTAACTTCTCGTCGTAAGGGACAATGGATATCTAGCATCCGATAGATTTCGCTTGTTCACTAAATGGCTTCCCCTTTAACTTCCAGCGAGTCAATGAGTGTCCAAAGGTTTTCAAATTTCAAACTAACGACGCCATAAATCTTTAATAGAGATCTAAAGATAAAAATATTATTATGGTAGCGAGATTGAAGAACCAAGATGTAAGCAAACCAAAATAATTGAGACGAGGCTATGTTCTGATTTCGAATGGCAACTTCTACACTGAGAATACGTTGGATCCTTTATGCATGGCGGCTAAATCTCCGAAACCGTTTAAATGAGCTCACTTTATCATAAGTTGAAACATCAATATCGCATAATAATAATTATCATGAGTTGAAACATCAATATCGCATAATAATAATTATCATGAGTTGAAACATCTATGTTCTGATTTTGAATGCCAACTTCTAAAGGACTCTTCTACAAAAACAAATTGAGGTATAGCTCTTCCGGAATGGAGGTGGGGCCTTCCGCCAATTAATATTAAAAAACACAGACAAAATACCACCTTTTAGCCCGCACTGATCTCCTTCTCCTTTGCCTTGCACAAGTCCTCTGCTGTCTTCACAAACTTTTTAGTCAACTCCTCAACCTGGAAAATGTAGCCATTTCGAAGAACCAATGAGCAATAAAAGTCGCATAATATTAACTTAGGAGCAGTTAGCTTATAATTTAGGGCTCACCTCTTTCTCCAATCTTTTTAAGTCGTCCTTTGGGTATCTTGAATACAACTTTTTTATTGTATCCATTGCCTGTAATAGAAACCAACAATCTATTTAGTCACACAGCCGGAAAGCTGCAAACACATAGAATTCGCTCGTACTCACATATCAAGGGTAATCCTTTTGCAACCCCTAACATTGTTTTGGTCCTCAATACTACAAATGACACATTTCTTCATGGAACCACCAGACTAGAGAGCAGGAAACTAAAGATTTAATCATAACTACGGGGAAGTGTCATATCTTTCAAAGGCATCTTTTTTGCTACTGCTATATGCTTCTAGGATTGAGAGATTCCAGATACTGAATGTGTGAAAAGTATTGCTATACTTCTCTGTCTTGATGCTTGGTGAATATCAAAATAACAAAGAAGAATCTCGCAGTCACCTCAATTGCAATATTTTTTACCTAGAAATGATTTGAACCTGCCAAAAATGTATTAGCAGAAAGAAGAAAAATTAAGTTACCTTTTGGCGAGCTCTTCTTATACTTAGTCTGCCATCTTCACAGGACTTGGTAACCACTTTACATACAGCCTGGTAGAATATGTTCAATGATAAGACACAGCAGTTATCAGACACGACAAAAAACAGAGAGGGCAAAAGCAGTTAAAAGTCACCTGAACATGCTCTTTGGTCAATCTGGCCATCACAAAAATTAGAAAAAGATACATTAGTCAAGCAATCAAACAATTGGCCAAGAACAACTTAGCTTGGAGAATATGAAAACTAAAAGAAAACATCAAGTGTATTTCTTAAGGTTTTTCACCAGCCTTTATAAGAAGATGTGCACTGAAAATTCATAACACCATGAGTTACAATGAGATGTGTGCTTACGGAGGAATAGCTGCAATCAATCGATCCCCATCCACTTTAGGATTTAACCCCAAGGCAGATTCAACAATGGCAGTCTCCAACTTCTGTAAGGCCTGCAAGCTCATGTTTGGAGCCAAATATAAATATTTGAGAAACAAACTGCAATTAAGATATAGCAAGTTCACAATATAAACTATAACAGAAAGTTATAAAAAACGCATCCCCTCATTACATTTGGATCAAAAGGGTTTATTGATAATGTTTTCGAATCCAGGACTGAAACAACGGCTATCTGACTCAGGGGCAGCTTGACGCCACCGGTTTCCACAATAATGTGGTCAAGCATTCCTGCATAAACATTTCAGACAACTAAGATAAGTAGCAAACCGAAGTGAGCACACGAATAGCGATTTGACAACCGGGAAATTGAGAATGTACCCGGAGATGCTCTTCCAGTTCGTAGTTTGCTTAATTCTGCTGACAATGCTGTAATTGCCGCCTCCATTTGCGACGTCGTGTTTGCCTTAATGGTTGGCCCCATATTTGGCAAAACTTCAATTGTGCCCGCAGCCGAGTCATCTTCTAAAAATGTGAAAATCATAGAAAAGGAGTGAAATTTAGAAGGTTGCATATGAAAAAATATATAATTTTTGTGCCGCTAAACCAAACAGTATCTTCGATTCTTAGATATCATATATGTGGTTTTGTACAGTAAGAGAGAGAGAAAAAGAGAGTACTTGATTTATTGCGGCCTTTGGCAAAGCCTCTGCGACTTTCTTTGACGAATTCAAGAGCGGAATGAGACAGAATTCTCTGCGGTGCCTCGGATTTGCACTGGAAGAGCTCACGACCGACAATCGCAGAGCTTCGAAGGAGAAGGACGTTTCGGAATGAGAGTGCGCGTCTCAGAAAGATCGCCATGGCTGTAGCTCTCTAGGGTTTTAGATTTGATAAACCCCGCGCAGTGAGGCCTGAGATTTTGGGCCTCCAGGCCTTGGTTTTGGTTTCGGACTTTAGAATATTACACGATACGACGACGTTTTATCCGTTAAATTTAGGATAATCAGGCGTTTAAGCTAATTGCAGCAGAATTTGCACGTGGTACCCTGTGGAACAACACACACTGACTCGCTCACACACACACAGCATATCCAAACACAAGAGAGGCCAAGACCCACTCTTCGCCCTCGCTCTTCTTCTCTTCAGCCCAAGACTCAAAATTTAATAAGATTTTGGTTGTTTTTTGGCTGAGTTCGAGCTGAAAATGGAAGCTTTCTGTGCCATTCACCCTGCCTACTTCGCGGATCCACTGAAAGTAGATTTCAGCACCACCAGGTACTTTCCTCTCCCTTAAGTCTCAAGTTCTCAACTGAATTAATTGGCGAAGAACATACTGGCAAACTGTCTTTACCAATTGGAATATGTAAATGGTGCAATTTCCATGGTTCAAGCTTCAAGTTGACGTATCACTATCCTCTAAAGTTTGTGAGGTTAAAGCTGATATTTTTGTTCATAATATTATATGAATAGAGATTTTCAAGACATTTTCAAGTTGATTATATAATGGGATTGTGATAATATTATAGTTAAAAGGAGGACTAGGGGGCTGGTTAGTATATTGGCTACAGCAGACAGAGATGTAGTAGGCACGCTGAGGATAGATGGGTAGAAAAATGAAATATGTACTGGTCATTGGTGGCTTGGTGCACCAATAAACTTGTATATGGTGGAAAGTAGACTAAGGATTCAAATCATTTCGTTTTTGTGATCGGGATCTTTCGGGATTGCAAGCTTGAAGGGTCCAATGTGATTAGGTGGATTTTGATAGACTCGAATTATGGTGTTATTTGTTAGCTACTTCCTGCCAAACCACAAGCCGTTGAGAGACTCAGCACTGAATATGTGCTATCTCTTTCTATCTTCCCCCAATTTCTCTTTTTGTTTCACTATCTTTTTTATTAGTCATGAGACGGAAATTGATTTCGATCCATTTTTTTTCAGGACTAGAATTACTTTCCCCCAGAAACTCTTTTTCTGTCGAGCGAAGTTTGGTAAGCAATTGGTAAAACGTTTCTCTAATACAACTTTAGTAGTACAATGTCAACTACAACTTTTGCACACAATTGATCTATTTTTCTTGAAAATTTGACAAATATCTTTCAACACTTGTACAGCTGACTCAGGGATAGATGGCTCATTTAGCTTAAAACTGGTATCTCCAGCCCTTTTAGCAGCTGAAAAAGAAGAAGCTAGGGCTGTCCTAACCTTGTTCTTGAAGAAACAAGGCCTCAGCCATACAGTTGCTGCAAGAACCATAAACAAGTCAGACCTTTTTGTGGAGCACCTGATCTCTAGGCTTCATGCTGTTCATAAATCCCGGTATCTAGTAGGTTCGAATTCAACATATTACTGCTTCTCTCTGGACCTAGCTTACATATTTATTGTAAGCTCTAAATTGTTTAATCAAATCTTCTTGCAGGACGAGAGCTAACAACTCTTGAGATTAGGGAGGCTCTAATCCCTTACCTCGAATCCCTTCTTGATGAGCATGGAGTTTTTCTGGTAGATTTGGTGGAAAGCTTTCCAAATGCACCTGTAAAAGAAAAGCCAGTTGCACCAGTTACTAAATCTCAATCGTCTGTGGATTTAAAGAAGCTAAAGGCCATATCTCGAGTAAGTGAAATTGGCCCAGCTGGGAAGCTCCCACCTCACATTCTCTACCTTTTAGAGCTTGGCATGGATCTTGATCAAATCAAGGGAATTGCGCGCAGATTTCCATCTTTTGCCTATTATAGTTTAGAGGGGAAGATAAAGCCAATTGTTGAGTTTCTTCTCGAACTTGGGGTGCCAAAATCTGATATTCCTACAATCCTTAATAAGAGGCCTCAGCTGTGCGGAATCAGTCTATCTGAAAATATCATACCTACCATGAATTTCTTAGAAGATCTGGGTGTGGACAAGAAACAATGGGCAAAAGTGATATACCGGTTTCCAGCGCTTCTCACTTATAGTAGGCCGAAGGTGAAGATGACCATAGATTTTCTATATGAAATGGGCCTTTCAGCCGAGCTCATAGGTAAGGTTTTGACACGCTGCCCAAACATTATAAGTTACAGTGTAGAGGACAAGTTACGGCCAACAGCTGAGTACTTTCTCTCATTGGGGGTGGATGTTGCTGTTCTGCTCCATCGTTCTCCCACGCTTTTTGGTCTCAGTATTGAAGCCAACTTGAAGCCTGTAACAGAATTTTTCTATGAGAGGGGATACAGTATGGAGGAAGTTGGGATCATGCTTTCAAGATATGGAGCATTATATACTTTCAGCTTGGCAGAGAATTTGATACCAAAATGGAAGTTCTTTTTGACCATGGATTATTCAAAATCAGAGTTGGTTAAATTCCCTCAATATTTTGGCTATAGTTTGGAAGAAAGGATTAAACCAAGGTATGCACTAATGAAGGAATGTGGGGTGAGGCTGCTGCTGAACCAGTTATTATCTCTATCAACTGGTAACTTTGATAAGGCTCTCAACAAGAAAATAAAGAAATTGTCTGCTGGAAAAGATCCAAATATCAGCAGTGATGATCTTACATCGGAGGTTGAACAATGAAAGTTCTGAGCAAATATTGTAACAATACAGGACGCGCATGCACAATATGAGCACTGGTGCAGTACAGGTGCCACATTGAAGCTAAAAATGGATGTGCTTTCACTGGGGAATAGAGTCAATGTATCGTTTCGAAAGTTGGATAATGTATGTGATTCTTCTCACCTGCGCGTGCAGACAGTAGATATTCGATTGTTGTCAAATTTTCTTCAAGCTTCAGGAGGGAGTTGTATCTGTTGCTACTTGCCGAGTGACGTCCTCCAAATGAATGAAGAATCATCTGCCATCCTAACTCTTTTGCCTGGTTGACCTCTTTTATGACTCTTTGTATTTGCCAGGTTTTTCTATTCTAAGCTCCTGGGTTTGGAAAGCTGGTAGAAACTTGCTCTGTCCTGTTACAATTTTTTTGTACGTTGTAGTTCGGATTATTATTACTTTTTAGATCCAATCCAGTTACTCTAATCTTAGTTTTATGTTTCCTTGTAAATGAATACCATTGTCTAGAGAGAAGCTTTCATATTCTGTCTGGGCGGTTCCCTTTTGGTTTTGAAAGTGCATTTGCACATAAATCATAGTTAATATGTTTGCTCATTTCGTTTGGCCAATGGGTGCAGCCTTGGTCTTTGCATGATGGTCTGGTTTTAGTTGAGGGTGGGTTGACACGTCGTTTGGTTCTTTTACTCGTGTCAGTATAATGATTTATGGTGGATTAAAATTTGAATATATGCATGTGGATGTGGGGTGGCATTTTACTGCCAGTTAATTCACAATCTTTATCTTCTTGGTCTTTGACATATCTCATATGTGTTGTCTTTTCCCATTTTGGCATAAACCAAAGTTTTAACTTTTTAACAAATTCAAGTTCATTGCATACTTGTGCTTTAAATGTGTAATTACACCATACCCAAAAAAGAAAATAACACAATTTTTAAATGAATAATACTACTATTATCATATTTGTATACCACATTTTCATACTACCTTATATGGCAGATAAGATGTACAATCACGTCAATTAAAAAATAACTCTATACAATGTATTTCCCTTCAAAAGTCCAATACTATTACTGAATTACAAAAATAATAATAGTAAGTCATACAAATTTGGTACCCCACCAAATAAATATGGGAAATAGACTGTCACCTACCAAAGAAGCCAAAATGAAAAGTAATTAATTAACATCATCTAATTTTTCATGGACTAAAATAAGTTTATAATCCTTGTACTTTTTATTTTTAAAATAAGTGTTCTTTCTAGAATACGGAAGTGGTATTACGAGTTCGCTTAAATTATAAAAAATATTAACACCTCTATACACGTTATATAGCTAAATTTAAATTAAATTTATAAATATTAAGCAGACATACGATGTAACATTACCATCCTAAAAATAAGTTTTAGGTAGTCTAGTATGAAAATTTGACATAAACCATTCATAGAAAAGATATTTGCTATAATCATATCTTTATCATTAACTTCCATCTTTTCTTTTCTGATACAGTTTGTTTTTCAATCCGCTTGATTTGTAATCTCTAAAAATATGACGTGGGTTGAATTGAATGTGCCTAAATTTCTAAATTGGGCCTGGGAAAAAAAGAAAAGAAAAAGGTTTTGCCTAATTTGTTTACTTATATTTTTGTTTTGTTTTTTTCGGTCTGAGACTTACAGGGCACACTACACTACAGCAATCGACCGTTTCTTGTTATTTCTTAAGGACCTCCTTCCCTCCCGTGGACCCTGGCATTTGTTTGCAGTTAGCAGTTCGTGCGTTTCTTTTCCTTTTATCTCCGAAATAAGTGAGAAGAGGAACCAAATCACAGAGAGAGTGAAAAAAGCTAAAGAAAGCCAATTGGAAAAAGGGCATGTTCTACTCACAGTGCCTCCTATCAAGGAAGGGGCCTTTGGGCGCCATTTGGGTTGCCGCTTACTCTTTCAAAAAGCTCAAGAAGGCGCAGGTCACTCAGACTGACATCTCCTCCTCTGTTGGTTCGTTTCCTTTTCTCTTCGCTGTCTTTCTCATGGTTTGCTTGCCTTTGGTTGACATTTGAAAAAAATGAGGGGAAAATCACAACAAAACCATAAATTTTTGCAACGGGGTTTTTTTCTTACAATATTTGAGCACACACTGTTTGCTAACTTTTCTCTGATTGTTTCTCCAAAAACCAAACAGTGTTTCTCTTATTTTTTTTTCTCTTTGGGGCTTCTCTGTTTCTTTCGTTTTTAATAAAAATATTCATGTGCGGGCAGCGGGTGTTGTTAGAAGAGTGCTAGGAAGATTTTATTTTTCTATTATGGAAAGGGATTTTCGCTTCACGGGTATTCATATTTGGTGGCTTAATTACGTTGTATTTGCTCTGAAATACATTAATTTTGTAACCTGGTTTCTGGGTTTGCCATTAGTTACTGTTATCAACCATCTAGCCATTTGTTGGATCCGCTTAGTTGCTCCATAATTCAGGTTTCTGGTCATTGGCTGTTTTGCATAAGAAGTTGTAAGAAGAAGACAGAATTTTCTGTGAAAATGTTATTCTTTTGCTGGTTACCAGGAATACCTCTTCATGTTATTTGACATTGAGCCTGAAATATCTTTAAACCCTATTCTCTTGGTGCAGATAAAATTTTGCAAGATGAATGGGATGTTGTTGCATACAGGGTTCTCGCCTACCTTCTTCTTGGTGTCGTTCGAATATACTCGAAAAAGGTTGAATATCTGTTCAATGATTGCAACGAAGTGCTGATTAAAATCAACAAATTTGTGGTTAGTACAAAAAAGAATGCAGATGCAGACAAGCTGCGGGTGCCTTATTACTCTGTTACTCTACCGGATAGATTTGAACTTGATGCTTTTGATCTGGGGATCCTTGAAGTTGAAGATGTCAGTGGGTAAGCTGTGTAGCTTAAAAAACCTTATGAGGATATTACCGTATGTAGTTCTCATATTTAACATGTTTGCTTCCCTTACTTCCCAGATGCAATGTGGTGTCCCATGAAGATATCACACTTAAAGGTATTAAATGTTTGGTCCTTAATACTATTCACTTAATTTTATTTGTATAATTTTACACGATTCGGCATGATATGAAACAGATTGTGCAAAGGGGAATGGAATTGGACAGTTTTATTCAGAAATGGTATGTCACATAGTCATTCTAATGTTTATCTATTTTGTCAGTTTTTTTAGCCTAATATGCATTCTTTCTTTTCTTGTTCTGCTGAACTTTTCATGGTATTAACTTATCTCCTTTCAGACCCTAAGAGACATTCATTTTCTTATGACAATTAGTTCTTAATGATTTTCCAAATTTCCTGCCTCATAAGAATTTTCATAGGTTTGATTAAGTTTCGTCCAGAATATGCACCTGAGGTGTCAGTTTGTGTTTGTGCAGTATGGTTATGAGGAATTTGGTGTCTGTGACAATATTTCGTCAGCTGATTTCACCCCAATCAAAGAGTACGTATAACCATTCAAGATGCTCGAACTTTTCGAATACTTTCCTTTAATCTTATTTTTGACAAGTATTTCTTATTTCAGTGTACTTTCATCTTACATGTTGGACTTTGACATGGAGTTCAGAACATCAAGTAATGGAGCCAACTCAGAAGCATTTATGGAGAAGCTTCAAGAGAATAGGTTCTCTCAAGAAGAATGCGCAGACCTAGAAACATTTTGGGAAGTTCAGGAAGAACCTCCAAACCAAGTTGTTTCATATGGAGAAGATCAAGAAACTAATAGAGAGCAGATAAAGGCTCCAGATATAGCACCGTCTGAAGATGGAATTCAAGGAGAATCAAGCATGGAAAAGCCTCGAGACCTTACGTTGTCTCAGGAAGGTTTGAACCTTGAGACAGTCTATGGGACTGAGAGAGAACCTTCCTACTATGTTAGATCATCCAGTGAAGATCATCAAATTGATCGTGAGGAGATTATGGAACCAGAGTTGGTGCAACCAGAAAATCAGATGTGTCAGGTTATAAGACAAGACAATAATCTAATTGCCTCAGAAGCTAATATGGAAAAACTGCTAAGATGTACAGTTTCTCAAGAAGAGTACATGGACCTTGATATGTTTCTTGGGGCGAAGCAATCTCGAGAACTTGTTTGTTCATCTGGTGAAGAGAATCATATTGACAGAGAGCCAATAAAATTGCCAGAGACGAGTTCGCCAAAAAGTATAGAACACCAAATTATTGTGCAAGAAGATCCAGATCCTCTCTCTGTTGAATATGATGGAACTCCTGCTGCCAAGTTCCCCAGTGCCTTAGGTGCATACTTCTCAACAAAGGAATTTAATGTTATGTTTCTTTTTACCTCTTAAGTATTCAATTCCTATAGTTGTTTAGGACTTTAAAAAGAGTTGCTTTAGCACCTTATATACAGAGTTGGACGTTAGTTTTTCTTAGTCAAATACTGTTCTGAGTTCCATCTTTTGCTTTGCAATATATATATATATATATATAAAATCAAAATTTCATGTATGCTTAACAAGTTTGTCCTAAATTATTTATCATAATGCAGGTGTTACTACACCAAAGTTGATGGTTATTCGTACACCGGCTACTAAGGAATCTGCTCGAATTTCTAGGAAAAGAAAATGTGTCATTGATGATATGACAGTGCTGCCTAATGAGTACGTGATGGTTTACTGTCCCTTTACATGTGTTAAATTGAAGTGTTCCTGTTGTATCTATTTGTAGAAATCTAGGCTAGAAATTATTTCTAATTTTATCCATAAAAGTTAAAATGACATTTGGAGCATCCATCGTTATATTTGAAATAACATCCTTTCGGACACTTTGGATTTTAATTATGTTTCAATGGATTATAAGTTGACCAAGGAATAAGAAACTGTAACATAAAATTTCACAGGGTAATCCGGCGAAGCATACATGATGCAGGTGACCTGGTTTCTAAAAGAAGAAAAGTTCCTCAAACTGCCCTTGCTGTTTGGAAAGCCTGTCAAATTGGAATTCTAACCCATGATTTCTCAGAGCCATTGCTACCTGGTAATTTCCTATCGTTATTTACTTTCTGGTTCATCAGTTGTGGAACCGCTGCTAACCGCATTTGCAGCTGGTGTTTCACAAGAACTTAAATCCCTGTCCTGCAAAAGGAAATTAAAGATTATAGAACCTGCTGAAACTGTTGGAACTCCAGAAAAGTTAGATGTGTTGGAATCTCCAAGTGTTGGTAGGTCAGAGCAAATAGAAATTGCACCAGAAACACCTGTTCGTTGCTCACAATCAATGAAATCATTTGAGAGTCCAAACAGCCCTGAAGCTCATGATGTGGATATAGTAAGACCTGAGCCATCTGGAAGGATAGAGGAAGAGCCATGCCTGAGCAGGGAGCAAGCTGACCCACCTGAAAGTTTAGAAGAAGTACCATTTCTGGACAGGGATATATTAGGACCTGGGCCATCTGGAAGGATAGAGAAAGAGCCATCCCTGGGCAGGGAGCAAGCTGACCCGTCTGGAACTGTAGAAGAAGTACCATTTCTGGGCAGGGATCAAGAACATGATTTCAATCTGCTGAATGAGGTAAAGTAATGATTACTACGGAATTTTATTGTAAGAAAAGCATCTACAAGAAACGATTAGATGCTTTTCTCAGATACTACCTGTTGATAGACATGTAGATAAGTCAATGTTAGTAACTTAGTATAGAGCTTAGCCATCCTGGAAATCTTTCTATTTGTGGTACTCAGACAAGTGAATGCACATGACAAGCTCGCTTTTACTATTAAAGGTCTGAAACAAGCATGTATGATATTGATGCTGCTACATCATATTATTTTGTTTCTCATTTGTTCTGGAAATGATTATGTCTCTTTAATTCTTTTTAATCTTGCCTCAGGAGATTGCTTTATGCGAAGGAGTTAACCCTGAAGTTGGTAAGAGGCTCAAATTGATTTCATTAAGCTAGCTTTTGTTTGATTTGCATTTTTTTTTCGCAATCCTGAACTCTGAAACTTATTTTTGTTGTAGATGGATGGTCAGGAAGAACCAGGTATGGTGGATTTGCCCTCTTGAAATTCTTTTGGCATAAATGTCAGGGCTAATATTTTTTCTTGTACCAAATTTTTCTTTAATAACAACTTGTGCATACAGAGTAGTTGCAAGGTACTTGCAGAGACACTTTCCGAATCGTAAAAAACAAGGAGAGGAGGAAGTGAACTTGTTGCAGGTTTCAGAAGGAAGAACTAAGAGAGAAAGTGCAAGGCTATTTTATGAGATACTGGTATGATCTATCTGTACTATGTGGTTTAGAATCTTCATTTGGCTTCGTCATGAGTTTGGGTCATTTTATGGTGCATCTTCCAAATTCATGAGCCAGCTGCTTCTTTCTTCTTTTAATGTTGCTGTACAGAAACTTATCCAATGAACCCCAAAATTCTTACGTCCAAACATGCAGATCAAAACCTGATAGTCCCGTGTGTAATACATTATTGAATTTTTTTCATTTATTTATTTTTGCAGGTGTTGAAAACTAAAGGGTACGTGGATGTGAAGCAAGATGATGCGTATGGTGATATTCTGATCTGGAAACGCCCCATCTGGGACCAAACGTGGGGAGACGATATGGTTAACAGAGGCGCCTCTAAAACTATGTATTTATGCGCATAGAATTTTCTGTGCTGCATAAATTGTATACCACCAGAGTAGGTTTTTTTTGTAGAAAGTTAATTAGTCGTGTAAAGTTTAGCTTCTATTTTGAGTGGCTTTTCCTTGGAACAATGTCAGAAAGACGGGCATGTGATAATGCCCCCAACAAAATAAAGTTTCAAAACTTTAATCTTTTTTGAAGCTCCAATTCTATAACCCATCACCATTTTTTTTCTTCAGATTTTCACAAATAAATATGTCCAACGGTAGATGTTTGAAATTTTACCAGTGCTTTATTTATACTTCAGTGGTGCCAATGGAGTTCATGTTTTTTTCTTTTTTTGGTAGACAAAAACACCGAATGGCTATTTTCCATATGGATTTGGTGGATTTCACAAATTAGGTGCAACTCAATTACAAGCACTTTTTACCACATCAGAATCAGCCACTCACGTTAACACATGAGAATCATAATCTTTCACAAAAACAATGGGAAAAGCAAAAAGGTTGTGCAAGAACTGGAAAGACGCACAAACAAGAGTCATTTGATTCATCTGAACTCAAACTCTTACAGAAGAAACCCAATATAAAGTCTAATCACTTGAAGATCCATCGTCATCATTTTCATGCTCAGTCACAACTTTCTCTATAAACCTCTTGCGAACCCCGTCGATCACAGCTTTCCTTGACCGGCCATTTCCACTCTGCCCATCGTTGAGCACAGGATCTGATTGGCAGAGAACTAATGCCACACCTGATAATATTCAGTAAAAATTCATTAAAAACAGTTTGTGAACATGGTGTTCAAGTTTATGCTCCACTTCTCCACAGTCAATGTGCTAAAAAAGACCCAACTGAGGGTCAAAGTGAAAATACCTTCAGGTGTGCATCTCCGGCCAAAGCTTTGCAAGCCGACGTGATTTGCTTTGACAGCACCACTGTTGTACACCAAAACAGTGGGAACGTTACGATCTGGGTAATTTGGGATGCAGTCGGTGGATATTATCTTCACAAATTTGGTAGCTGGGTATTTCGCAGCCAAATCTTCCAAGCATTGCATCAGCACCCCACATTCCGCAATTCCTTCTTTGTACAGAATCACAACCACCCAAACATCAGCCGGAGCTTGCGAAACCTCTCGCACGAAATCTGATCCCGAAATCGGCACAACCGATCCAAACCTCGCTACCTTAGCTGTTTCTCTCAACTCAGCCAGCCTCTTCTTCCTATATTCTTCGAGGAAGCGATCGTCGTCGAGATCGGGATTGTCTTCGAGGTCTTCGAGGTCCTGCTCGGTCTTTTCATCGATCCAGGACTTGTCTTTAGGAAGAGAGGCTTGATCACTGGCCGGAGTGAAAGGTGCTGGCTTGAACGCCGGTGGTTTCGCTGGTAGGTTCCCTAGCTTTCTCTGTATGTCATCCCACTGCGTCGATGCTCCTTCCACGTCCTTGTACACAAAGTGATAGTCCGCCATTCTCTCTCTCTCTCTCTGTGGAATTTTCCTTCACGTTTACAGGATTAAAACTAGGGACATTTTAGAAAAAGCAAAAGGAGAGAGAAAAATTTTAAAAGAAGCAAAAATGGACAAAAATGCCCTTATTTATTTTTAGATTTCATAAGGAATCCAATACATTTGCATGTCTTTGATTTGAAAGTTGAGCTGTTTTTTTGTCTTTTTAAAAAAAGCTTTGACTTTTTCCAAAAGTGAAATTTTTTTTATGTCTACAACCTAAAAAGCCTTTAAAACTACGGTGACTAAAGTTGTAAAATAGGTGAACTACGTATCCCAAAAATGACTTTTTACCCTTATTATTATTATTATCCTAATCGAACCGGACACTCAGCTCAGCGAAAGCGACGAGTCGATCCCCGTCCGTTCTTTGCGTTTTTAAAGCGACTCGTATATACACCAAAGCCAGAACGAGCTCTCGAAGCTTTTTCTCTCTTCTCTGCTCCCGGTACGTAGAAATAGAAAGCTCGACCTAAAACCATGGACGCTGTACAAGCTCTGGTGGCGAATATCCAAGGGCTATCGAGCGCTGGGGACATCTCGCACCTTCATGTTGTTCTGAAGCAGGCGCCGGACTCGCTCTACGCCGAATCGACTCGATTACTTCCTGTTCTGGACCAGCTTGACCCCTCCAAACACTCTCTCGGATACCTCTACATCCTGTGAGCCTCTTCTTCACTCTAACAATACCCTTTTTTTCTAATTTCATTCATGTATTTTTCTTTTTCAATGATCGGTTTCCTAGGGTTTAGTCGGACGGCTTTGTACACAATGTCTTAGGGTTTCATTATCGGGTGAGAGTGCGAGCTCTAATCCACATAGATTGAAGTTATATCTGCGTTGCGTTTAAAAGAATTCTGGAAAATCCTTAATCTAATTCTACATAATCTGCACTAAGAATTCTGGCATTGGATGAAATTGCATTTGAGTTTAGAAATTTGATTGTCAAAAGCATTTTTAGTGTGCTGTTCTTTTGTATAAGATTCTGCCAAGTTAGTATTCACGAGCATTTGAAAATCGGTGGAAATTGACTCTCTGTAATGGGTATATGTGTTGTCAGAGAGGCATGCACTTCTGGTTCGATTTCAAAGGAGCAAGGAAGTGCGTTGGTTTTGCCTATTGCCACGTTTATCAATTCCTGTGATACGGAGCAGATTCGTTTGGCACCTGATAAATGTATTATTCTTTACTCTTTTATATTGGACTTGTGTAAATGTTGTTAGATTGCACCTCTGATTCCTACTCTTGTTGATTTGTTCTGTTTGTAGTCCTATCTGTTTGTAAGAGGTTCAAAGATCAAGTTATGGTTCTTGAAGAACCACTGCGGGGAGTGGCACCAATGTTGACAGCAATTAGGAAAATTCAGACTTCCTCAGAACATTTGACTTCCTTGCATCCAGAGTTTCTTCTTCTTTGTTTGTTGTCAAAATGCTATAAAGCTGGATTGTCCATTTTAGGTGATGACATTTTTGAGGTTGATCAGCCAAGGGATCTTTTTCTCTATTGCTATTACGGGTGGGTGGCTCTTTCTACAGAGTATTATCTATTTCAGTTTGACACATTTTCTTTCATTTAAGTTAACTGGTTTTTAATTATTGAGAAAATTATGTTTGGTAGTGTTCTTTTTTTCATCTGACATTTCTTACTTCTATGTTTTATATGCTCTTGCATCTAGGAAACGCTCCTGGAATTCTTGTTTTAGAGTAGGCATTCTGTCATATTGTTAGAGCCAACTGATAGGATTTCATAATCCTATGTTTTGAGAATGAAATTTTTATTACCATTAACCATGATTTTCAGGGTTTGTAGTTTATTTGGTAATAGAATTTTAGTAAGAGAGTGAATTATAAATATCCATTTTAAGAGTATTGAAATGTCATATTTCTCTTTTGGTTCTTTGGACCATTAGAAATTTAAATATAATTAATTACTTTTAATTAATTAATTAAGTCAAGTAAGATAACACATTCTTGTTTTAAGAGTGTTATTCTGTTTCATTTGTTGTGGTTATTTACATTTCATAGCCTTACATTTTACTTGATTATTTATATGGAATATAGTTACTGATTAATTGTAAAACACTTATATTTCATTTTGAAAAGAAGACTGGAACTGATCCATTGTGTGCTAGGTGACAGAATCCACTTGAATAAGTTGAAGATTCATCAGTTTGATGATTAATGTGGAATGTCATTAGTCTTTAGAAGGCTTGTTAATGCTTCTAGCTTTGAGGATTTGGTGTTGCTAAGGAAGTTTTCTTACAATATTTCACCTGTCACATCACTGTAGGGGGATGATATGCATCGGACAAAAGCGTTTTCAGAAAGCATTGGAGCTTCTACACAATGTCTGTCATCTATATTCTATGTTTACCTCCTTATACTTTCTAAATTATCTACTGTATTTTGAATTTTATATACTTGTCCATCCTAATCGCTAAACATATTTTCCAGGTTGTAACAGCTCCAATGACTGTTATTAATGCAATAGCTGTTGAAGCATACAAAAAGTACATATTGGCTTCACTCATTCACCATGGGCAGGTATGGATTTTCTTCGCATGGATCCCTCCACTTGAAGTTTAATTTGATTTTGTAAGTCAATTCACACAACAGGGATACTATGGTTCGAAAGAGTGAAGTTGCTTGGTTTTGACTTGACACGTTCATCTATTTATGCTGTTAATAAATTTGAGGATAATCTAATGATTGCTTTATTCATGGTGACAGTTCTCTACCAGTCTCCCTAAATACACGTCATCAGTAGCTCAGAGGAATCTGAAGAACTTTTGTCAGGTTAAGTTAAAGTTGAGCATGGCGCTTCACTATAGATCTATTTTCTTTTATAGGTTGCTTGGCCTTTGTGATATCTACATATTTAAGTTCTGATAATGTTAGGCTAGCACTTGAGCTGTAGTTTACCAGCTCCACTGACTTCATTTGGTTTTCAATCCTCTATTGTGCAGCCCTACATTGAATTGGCAAATAGCTATAGCACTGGAAAAATTGAAGAATTGGAGACATGTGTGCAGAAGTACAAGGAAAAGTTTGAAAACGTGAGTTCTTTATAATAGTTTCATCCTGTTGGTTTTATTGACAAATTGGATGCAATATGATTCTCTCTTTCATGAAATCTTTAACCTTCTTAACAAGGCTTTTGTATTGTGTTTTCCCTCAGGACAACAATCTTGGACTGGTGAAGCAGGTTATATCTTCCATGTATAAGCGAAACATTCAGAGATTGACTCAGACTTACTTGACTCTCTCCCTCCAAGATATCGCCAACAGTGTTCAACTAAACAGCGCCAAGGAGGCAGAAATGCATGTGCTACAAATGGTAAATGCAGAGTACTAGCAGTAGAGTATTGGTATTCCAAATATTAGTATTGTACCCTAACTTTTTTTCTTTTGTCAATGTACAGATCCAAGATGGTGAGATATTTGCCACAATTAACCAGAAAGATGGAATGGTTAGATTTCTTGAGGATCCTGAACAGTATAAAACCTGTCAGATGATTGAACATATTGACTCATCAATACAGAGGTAAATTGTTTGGTTATCAATTTATATGTTGGATTATTGCCCTTTTTTTTGGGTGGGGGGCAGTGGCGGGTGGAGAGAGAGAGAGAGAGGGAGATAATCGTGAATACTTGTAGTTTATTAATGCTAACATAGCACTCTAATTCTTCATGATGCGATATCATTTAGATAGATGAAAGGAATATTTTTCCAGTGAAATATTACCTCCACATGTCAACTACAGTTAGTGACATGTTTTTTTTTCTTTTTCTTCTTTCGATTTTGAATTTATTTATTTCCTCTCCAACCAGGATAATGGCACTGTCAAGGAAGCTGACTGCTATGGATGAAAACATCTCGTCTGATGCTTTGTTCTTAGGAAAGGTGAGTGTTGTTTCCACATTGTAGCAGAACTGGTTGTAAAGCTATTGATCATGTTAATCAAACAATCATCTGCATTAATGTTCAGGTTGGAAGAGAACGACAGAGATTTGACTTCGATGATTTTGACACTGTTCCTCAGAAATTTAACATATGAATTAAGCAGGATCACGCTGTATATCGACCTATCTACGTGAACTTGAGAATTGTGATGGCAAAAATGCTGGACCACTTGATGTCTTTTCGGCTCCTTATCGTGCAAAGAGATGAAAAAATTTCAGTGATTTTCTCCCAATTGAGAAGAAGATATACTGTCTAGTTATAGAATTAGTTTTGGTCATGTTTTGTATTAGCTTTTGTTTTGCTTTATTTTTTTATTGTTTCTTACAACGGTTATTTAAATAGCATGTCCAGAAAGATGCATTAGAGAGAGCTGAGCCTATGCATGTGCAGTGGTAAGAAAATTAACAAGGGTATTGGCCTGCTCGGCATATGGATCGACATTCGAGGCTTTACACCAGGAACATTTGTTATGTCAAACTATCTGGTTCGACAGACCCCGAAATTTCTTCCTCTTTGGGCTTAACCTTTTTAACACCACTGGGCCTTGTAATGTTGGACTCGGGATTGTATGCTACAGTGTTTTGGCCCATAAACTCTGGGCTTCTTTGGGCCCCACTTCGTGCCAATAATTATGAGCCATATCCTGGACCCACTATTTTCACATGCTTTTAATAGTTTTTTCTAGGGCCGAAACATGCTAATTTTCAGCCCAAATTAGATTTAATAGGCCCATTCTGGTCCTACTTCTGGCCCCATTTTACTTTATTGGACCGACTCCTGGCCCTTTTTTAAATAACTGCAAAATTTGGGCCCCTTTTTAGTTTATTGGGCCAGCATTGGGCTGCTTTTCTCGTTATGGGCAGCATTTGGGCCTTCTTTCACATTATTGGGCCGACTTTGGGCCGCCTTTGCTCCTGTTTTCACGTTATTGGGCCGATTTTGGGTCTGTTTTCCCGTTATTGGGCCGCTTTTGTGCCTGTTTCCAAGTTATTGGGCCGCTTTTGGGCCTGTTTTCTAGTTATTGGGCCGTTTTGGGGCCTGTTTCCATGTTATTGGGCCTTTTTGGGCGGTTTTCACGTTATTGGGCCGACTATGGGCCAGTTTTCATCTTATTCGGCCAGTTTTCAAGTTATTGGGCCGCTTTTGGACCTGTTTTCATTTTATTGGGCCTCCTTTGGGCCTGGTTTCATGTTTTTGGGTCTATTTTCACGTTATTGGGCCCACTTTGGGCCTGTTTTCACGTAATTGGGTCATCTTTGGGCCTGTTTTCAGATTATTGGGCCAACTTTGGGCCTGTTTTCACAATACTGGCCACAATTTGGGCCTGTTTTCAAGTTATTGGGCCTATTTTGGGCCTGTTTCACGTTTTTGGGCTACTTTTGAGTCTGTTTTCAGCTTATTGGGCCACTTTTGGGCCTGTTTTCACGTTATTGGGCCTCCTTTGGGCCGTCTTGGGGCCTGTTTTCACATTATTGGGCCGCCGTTGGGCCTATTTTCACTTTATAGGGCCGACATTTATTTAATTGGGCCGACGTATGTATGTTATTGGGCTGACTTTATGCCTATTTTCCTGTTATTGGGCCGATTTCTGGGCCTATATCCAAATTATTGAGCCGTGGGTAGGACCAGGGCGCAATATTTTGGGCCTACATTCTCAATATTTCCTCTATTCCGTCGTTCTGCCATCTCCAAAATTTCTCTTTTGCTTTTTTTTTTTTTTTTTTTTTTTTTTTCTTCCTCTCCTCCTTATCATCATCAGTCTTCAGTCTCTCACCTTCTTCATCGTCCTCCCTTCACCATGAAAAAGAAAAAGTATAACACTCATTCTTCACTAACAGATTACACCGAAAAACAAGATGCATTGCAAAAGCAGACAGGCAGGCAAAGGGAACGAAGAATGAACGCATTACGGCTGAGGAGACAAAGTTGTGAAACAGAGTTGCAAACTGGAGATTTACTTGAGGAAAGACAACAATAATGCACCAGAAAACCTAACTCTGAATATCAACATTCCTTTTTTTGACATAACTCTGGATACATTTTCAAACAGGTTATGTTATGCTTTTTAAAACAAAAAAATACAGCTAAAGCTTATGTGATTTGACATAACCAACCAACAACAGTACTAGATTCAGTAATGTAACGCTCCCGACGGTAATTTGACATAACCAATGAACGGAAATTGACTACTAGCAGGCCTCACCCCTAATTCACCCCTAATTTTTCCATAATTTCATTATGTTTTCAGTGGACAGAGATGAAAACCGATATGTTTTCCCAAATCAACAATAATGCACCAGAAAACCTAACTCTGAATATCAACATTCCTTCTTTGACAATGAAGCACAGATACATTTTCAAACAGGTTATGTTATGTGTTTTAAAACAAAAAAGCAAAGCTAAAGCTTATGTGATTTAACATAACCAACGAACAACAGTAGATTCAGTAATGTAACGCCCCTGACGGTAATTTGACATAACCAATGAACGGAAATTGACTACTAGCAGGCCTCACCCCTAATTCACCCTTAATTTTTCCATAATTTCATTATGTTTTCAGCGGACAGAGATGAAAACTGATATGTTTTCCCAAATCAACAATAATGCACCAGAAAACCTGACTCTGAATATCAACATTCCTTTTTTGACAATGAAGCACAGATACATTTTCAAACAGGTTATGTTATGTGTTTTAAAACAAAAAATCAAAGCTAAAGCTTATGTGATTTAACATAACCAACGAACAACAGTAGATTCAGTAATGTATCGCCCCTGACGGTAATTTGACATAACCAATGAACGGAAATTGACTACTCAACCCTAATTTTTCCATAATTTCATTATGTTTCCAACGGACAGAGATGAAAACTGATATGTTTTCCCAAATCAACAAAATAAGATGAAGAATACCTGCATTATGAAGATCGACAACTGCACCAATTGCAAAACCACAAATGAAGCTCCCGCGCGAACCTCTCCCCATTGCTATCCGCAACCGTCCCACTGAAACCACCAAACAACTTGGATGCCTCAGACGAACTCGAGGCCACGGCCCACAGATTTTCTCCATTGCAATAACCAAATCACCTCGCCATCAACGAGTTCCGCATCTTCCTGAAGACGGAGAGAATCGAATTCCTAGATATCCTCTTGCAATCGAACTCCTAAAACTTCTGGCCCATTCGACTCGAACGCCATCTTCGAAACTGCGTCAGATCTGTCGATCATCTTCTGGCCGATACGGTACCAACAATTGGAAACCCTAACGAGTTTCGCAAAGCGAGACGAGCTCGTCTCGGTGATTGAGATTCGTAGATCATCGATCGGCGACTCCACGCAACTGTTGATTTCTTTCTTGAAGCTGGTGATGAGCTCCGAGAAACGCTAGGAGTAGGTAGCGGAGAGGATTTAGTCATTGAGATGAGCAAAGAGCGTCGTTGTAGTGCAGGTCGGTTCGGATCTTGATGAGCAGAGCAGAGAATACTGTTCAGCACACTAAAATGCAATACGCGCTCCTTTTGGTTTTAATCGAGGAATATGAAGGTGGCTTGGCAGTCTGCATGGCCCGGGACAGGCCCAATATTAGGGCGTGTTTACTAAACAAAAATGGGAATGCTCATTTGTTTACCGAGGCTGGAATGAAAACATTGTGGTGCGGGATCCGATTACGAAAGGGGAGGTAGGATTGGAGAAGTGTGAAACGAAATCAACATTGTAATATAGCAAGGTAAGATGAAATAACCTCCAAACAGTTGATCAAAATACAATAACTTTTACGAGAGATTATGAAGCCAGTAATGTACAAGGGTAACACAATTGGATAAAGTCTGGTCGGTCAATCTTTACATCATTTACAGAGAATGACCCAGATTACATCAGCTACCAAAATTATCAGAGGCTTCATCCTTCATACCAATTCTTTCTTTTCTCTCTCTCTTTCTTTTTTTCTTTTTTTCTTTTGGTTCTTTTCCCTTTGAAAGCAGTTCTCTGTCCCATGAAATAGTCACATCATCTGAAGAAAGCAAGACATGAATCGGGGGGAATATATGTTGGAAAGTGTTGCGGGATTCATATCGTATGCTGACAAACAAGTGGAAAGAAATTCACAGTTTACTCTGAGTACAAATGCCCCATTATCTCCTCTTTGATGCCTGCTAGATTCCTTGCTTGCCTTATGCATAGCACACTTCTTTCTTGGATCTACCTGCAAAAATAAATATTTTTTCTGAAAATCATGGATTTGGTACATATTGATCTGTAAAACTGAAGTGGTCTGCATCTGATCAACTACGAAACCTTTTTCATTCTGAATGATCAACTATCCTTAAACAAAATTTTAAACTATGAACCAGGTTAGTGTTTACATATGTAAAACCATCCATGAAAAAATCAAAGCAAAATATTTAGTTTAGATGTTTCAAGCTAACTATCATGAAATCACATGGAGTATTAGCTTTTGGCAACACGTTTTCTTGGAAGGACACATTTTGGCAACATGTGTCCGGTATAAACCCAAATTTACAGTTCATACAAGCAAAAGAAAAACAAGAGCACAGTTCAAACAAAAGACGTAGTTTCGTAGGTTTACAAAATTCTCTTCTGACTTCGTTCCATATTGTATTATAACCACTAAATCCAATACTTGAATTTATTAGATTTCCCATAATTTTGTAACATTCATTCCAACACCCTCTTCTCTTGCTTTGCCATATCCTAACAGATTCATGAAATTTCAATCAACTTACCTGCATTATGTTCTCCAATTTGAACTAAGAAACCCCAACTATTGCAGAGAAGTTCTGCAAGCAGTTCATCCCAATCAAGTATGAATGCAAATAACAAATAAGCAACACGCACATGAAAGGAACTTACAAGAGGATACCTTTTTATTTCAACGAAGGGGCATAAGGGGCTGGGCATGGAGATACAGTGTGATCTGGTAACTGGTTTATCAGATCAACTGCCACCTTCAGACATACATGGAGCATTTTCTTTTCTAACCTAATAAGCTGTGTAGCAACTCGCTTCTTTGGATTCAAATTTGCATCTGCCAACTACAGAAGAGAGAATATTAATTGAAATTCAGTTAGCCATACGTTGGATCCCAACTAATTTCTAAGAGACAAGATTACCAAAGACTCATCTTCACTCAATGTAGTTGGATAGCCAGCCAGCCGTGTTCTAAAATAATCAGCAAGTTGGTCCAACACTGCTCGTTCCATACAAGGACTCACCTATAAGTTTATATCATAAAGTAAATGTTACCATAAAATTTTAATGTCAATAAAGACGAGAGACATTCACCAGTTAATCAAGTAAATTCCACATGGTTAGTTGAATCATTTTGAATTCCACGTGGTCTATAGACTATATGTCAATCACCAAATACCAGATACATAACCTCTGTAATTACATGATATAATACTGAATTGAAGATGATGGCCTTTGGCATGTTTGTTAAACCTTATCAAGGTTCTCAAACATTCTACAGTTTCATTCTCTTTTGGAGTAGTGCCATTAAATTCTTTTTTATGAAAATCATTTGCTCTTAGCCTAAAAATGAACTTACCGGACAAATTGGGCCTTGAGAAGAGATTACAGACTGCATCTCTGAAGGATCTGAAACATAGCCCAGTCGCAGATATGGAAGCATATCAAAGACCGTTTCTTTTTCCTTTCCCACATTTACCTGGAGCATGGGGCAGATTAAGTAACTAATGCAGGACAATCACGTAATAATTTTTTTTGAGTAAAATAGTTTCATGTACACACCTGAAAAGCTTGCACTGATAATTTTCCATTTCTTTGAGCAACCATTCTTTTATCTTGATATTGAGGATCCTCTGTATTCAAAGATGCCTGGAACACATAGGACATGTCGCATACTTAACACATAGAATAGAACACTTTATTTGACATGAACAGAAACATCAAGCTTGTAATAGAAAATTTCCAGATTTTACCTCAACCACCAAACGGTCATAAGAATTATCTTCATCAACAAAACCATAGTTTATAAGCAATTTTGAATTAGGCTGTGGTCCACACCTGCAATGTTTTACCAAATTATGATTAAAGATACTACATTGCAGTAACATGATAAAAAAAAATGTTCAAAAAATCATTTCATAGTTGTGGTAGCTATATACTTTTGAGAAATTTTAATAACATACCAAACACATATAGATTCCCCTGCCTTATATGGCCGATCAACCACTAGCTGAACAGCACCATCAGTAGCCGTCAACATTGCCTTGCAGTTGCTTCTGTAGGCTAACAATGGGGGCCCAAGAGGAACCAAAGCAAATCTCTGAGCCAAGCTAACTTTCTGCGTTCAAAAGGGGAGAAAAATGTAATGAATCCAGATGCTTTGATTTAGAAAGACGTGGCACAAAGAGAAAAGGGAGGACAGGGAGCACTTACAAAAATACTTACAATATTTTCTTATCTTGCACAAGTTAATTGTAAGAAGAAAACATACTACCAAATGGAATGAAAAAACTTACCTGTAAATGTACTACGCATGACTGAACTGCAACAAAAGCTTGTTTGAATATCTCAAATGGGAAGGCCTCGGTAGGACTATCATATGGATATTGCTGCAAAATTCAAATAAAGACAGCACATTAAGTCATATTATTGGCTACAGCTCTAATGCTGGTCAAATAAACTCGAGTATGACCTGAAATAGGGACCCAGCCATAAACCAGACAGTGTCAAGTTCATTATATTCCCTTTTAATTCCTTCAGCCCTTTCATGAACTTCAGCCTGATTCATCACCGCAATAATATATGGTTAAAACATTTTGAATTACTATGTATTCCATCAACTTACTTGACAGAAGAATGAACAGCAATCGTTGTAGGAATGATTTTACAACGGTTAAAGGAAAACAAGCATAAGATTACCTTTGTGGGGCTGCCTGTAAGATAAGCCAGTTCAGCTTCTGACCACAAAAGGGGAGATTCCACTGCTAACTGACCCCTCCCTCGCTGACGATCAAGCTCTCTTATATATGGATACCAAAAAGAATTCTTTCCTTGTTTCTTCTCATACATCAGATACAATGCCAAGCATGCCAATTCCGATAATTTGTTTGTAGTTAATAATTCCGCTGCATAGAGAATTAAGCAGAAAATAAAAATTGGTCCTAGATGTTCATTGAAATTAATCACGGTATGACATGCCAAGTAAGCGACTTTCTCACACAGAGGCATAGAAGAAAATACACATAAATGCATGCCCATGTGCCATGTATTATGAACATTCATCTTAAGCAGCTGAACGAGTTCGTAATGGTCTGGCCAAACTTAATGAGAAAGTCAACAAAGAGTAACAATAAAAACAATGTACATTACCAATTGTTTCGTTTCCTAACACTCTCTTAAGCGTTACGACCAAGGAATCCGGCACGGAAAATGCAACATCGCCAACCTTGAGAAAACCAAAGAAAAAACAATTAAGTTCCATCAAGAGACTCGAAGAACAAAAGAAGCTAAAACCAATGAATTAAAGAACTGCAAATCCAGACTTCGTTCACCTGAAGATCTTCACTGGCAGCTACGTAATGAATGGGCCTGTGTTTCTCATTATGCGAAGGCTTTTCTTTGAGCACGACTTTGCAAGGAGGTAGCCCATTCTTGTGCATCCAAGATTTCAAGTCTTCCTCCTCTTCTTTCTTGCTGACAACCTGACTGTGCTTGCCGTCCTCTTTACGCGACCCAATCAAGGTCTCCGAGCTCGAAGCCGAGCACAAATTTCTTCGGCGAGTCGATCTAAACGAAGGTACAAGCCCGGGGCTCTTGCTCTTCCGAGCTGAAAGTGAAACGAGGAGAGGGCGGTGCGAGGACGAAGAACGAACTGGCGACGACCAAATGCATCGATTATGCAGAGGACTGACCTCCATGGCACAGTGGTGGATTTTAGGGTTGGGATTTGAGACTTGCTATTTGAGGTTGAAGAATAATTCACAGAGAGAGTGAGGGGAAGTCCGCTGTGAATGTACAAGGCTAGGTTTCGACAGTTGTCGGGAAATGGGAGGTGAGGTGGGAATTTCAGATTTTTTCTGAGTGATTATTATGTGCGAGAGATAAGAGTCTGAGAGCGCCAAGGGGCTGAAAGGGAATTGACACCGTGAGTTCGATTGGGGGGAAACAAACGATACTTTCTTGTGGACCGACTGACCTACAACCTCAAACTATAAGCTGGAGAAAGAATTTGATTTCACGTCAGTGTTGTATTTATTTCTCCCTTCTTACCAATCCACTTATCTAAGTAATATGCATTAAAGATCTCAAAATCTTCTCGTCTAATTAAAATGATTAAGAACATTCGAACTTGGACGAGCTTCCAACATAAAAAAAACATGTATTAGTCACAGACAGTTGCCCCTTTATCAACGTGCAATCAGAATGAAAAATGAACGGCAAATTTGATTTTCTCGCAGCTTTCATATATTGTGTACACAAGTGTACAAGTAAAATATCTCTTCAAGTTTCAACTATCTAGGTAAAGCGAAGAAAAGAAGAAAAAAATAAACAAAATCGACCCGATTTAAATACTAAGAAGGTGAATGAGAATCTAAAATAATTATAAAACTGGTTGACGAGACAAAATTTGACTACAAATTCAGCTTGGTTCTAAACATATCTCCGATGACGTGTCTTGGCTGTGGATTATCTGGTCCTCTGTCCCGCTGCCCAGATGTAAAATACAAGTAACCGTTCCAGAAACCGGTTAATGTCGTTTTCACTCGGTAGGGAAGCCTTCCGATCACCGACCAAGTCTGTGTAGCAAATAAGTTGTTCACAAGTAAGATAAACACACTGTAATAGCACAATGCAAGCTTTAAAGATAAGTTGTAAATTAAGACAACACAATGCATGTTCCTTTCTGATTTTTAAAGTATTCTACTGATAGGGGTAAGGGAAGACTAATACCATGGAGTCCACTTGGAACCGGAAAACCTCCCCAACAAGGATCATCCTTTTGGTCACTGGGTTCTTTTCTGTTGTACCTCCAGCAATGATAATTGAATTGTTGACAATTACCCAAGAACATTCTATGTGAGAGTTGGGTTTTGGCATGGGAGGCAACACTTTCCATTTCATTCCACCATCCAGCATATAAGCATCCCCGTAAACCACCTGAAAACAGAACAACTGAGGCTATAAGAGACCATGTGAATAATTATTGCCACTTCTTCTGTTCATCATGCCAAAGTAACTGTCGCTATGGTGACTAATAGATCAAGTACAATCGGAGATTGTGTTCTAATGAAAACACAATAATACCTCATGCCTACGTGAACATTTGAAAATTGGTGACCCAGGCTTGGGCATAAAATCACCCTCTTGACCACCAATAAGAAAGAGGCGATCATTCATCACAACACAAGCCCTGTTAGAAGATTGACCCTCACGGTGAGAAAACATTAAAACAAACCCACAGGATTTCAAGTTGCCGAGAGGAAATTTTTCAAGTGAATGAAATTGATGGTAAGACAAACAAACCTATGTGGTCCCCCACGGAGAATGGGTGCTTCTTTCCGCCACTCTTTCTCCAATGCTTTGCCATCCTTCACAGCAATACTCCAGTGATCCACACTAGGCGTATGGCGGTTTTCTTTGCTGCCACCCATCACATGGAGTCTGCCTCTCCACAATTGAGTTGCTGGAGCATACCTGCAAATTATCATGTTAAATCCTATCATCTAATATAGCTGTCAAATATATGGATTACTTCACATAAATTTCAGCCACTAATATAACTCTAATGCAACTTCATTAGATCAACAGTTTGAGAGTCAAAGGAAGAGCATTCTTGACTCTACTCTTAACTCTTTTAAGCACGTCAAAGAAAAGATTTGTTTCTTTCCCAACTTTTACAGCTACCAACAGTAGAGCACAAGGAATAACGTCAATAAGAAAATAGCAATTTCTGGAGTTTACATGGTCTGCAAAGTTATTTGATAGAAGGTAACCATGCAGATAAGAGAAGATATCATCTGACTCAGTAAACCAAGTTAAGGACTAGCATGTTAAGAGTAGGTTGAGTAAAGAAAGATGAAGCAAGAGGTATAATGTATTTGTACAGTGTAACGTGCAACACGAATAACACAAAACCTAACCAAATTAGATACCTGGGGGAAGGTAATGGAAGCATACTGCTCCATTTCTTTGTCTCTGTGTCCAGCACAAATATACGAGCTGTAGGCCCTCTGCATTGGGGACCATATTGTCCTGATACCACATATATGTATCTTCCATCAGTGGCCACTCCTAAATGCGAATGCGCCATCTCTTTTGGGATATCCAATCTTCCCCCCCATGTATTGTCAGTGAAATTGTATATATCAACATGAGAGTGCACCTATAACACAAATGCATAAGTGAAATAGTGAAAGTAAGATCACATTCAAACTATTGAATTGGTTTAACTTCATAAAGCATTCCAACATCTTATGACCACCAGTTATTAATCTAAAAGAAGAGCGCAATAAGTAAAATACAAAACTTCAAGCAAAATAGATGAAGGTGTTAATAACACCCTGCTCCAAAGTGCTCCAAACTCAAATTATACATGAATATCAGACAAGCAAAAAAGATAGACAAAGATCCTCACATGGTCAATTGTGCCATATCCTGCAAACACGTAAAATATATTCTTAATCTGTATTGAAGAGCCATCGAGACGAGGCACCGGTGCGGGCCTCATTTTCTCCCATGTTAACTCAGGTGCAGCTATATCAGCAAAAGTTCCAGATAATAATCTCACCGAAGCATGTTCCTTTTTGTCTTTGAAACTTCCTTTCTACATATAAGAAGAAAGTTCGTAAATCATAATTCATAACCAACCAGCAACTACCAAAATGCCAAACAAGAAATGCATTTGAATTCTCAATATTTCAATTACTTTGGGCTGAGAAAACAACATTCCCCCTTAACTGGATTGAAAAACGATATTCTGATAAGTTTTCTAACTTTCCGAAATCCAAAATAACATAAAGTATAAGAGTAAACAACAAGTTATCCATTTTTTCTTAAAAATTTCCTGCTAACCCAGAGATTCCATAGGAAACAATATGCTTATATCCCCAACAACAAAAAAACAAATTTCATAGAAAAACACCAACACAAATGGGAATTTTAAAAAATGGGCATTACCTGGTCAGCTTCATTGGCGGTGACATTTGGTACAACCAAGGTCCCAGATTTGTCAAGCGCCAAATTGGAAGAAATGAAGGAATAGGCAGAAGAAGAATAGGAAGAAGAAGCCCAAAGAAAATCTGCAACGAGGGCACCTCCGAGCAGACATGCACAAGATGTGAGAAATACCCATTTTGCAGCAGAAGAAGAATGAGTGTGATGTTGGGTAAACCTGGACATTTTTCATCCAAACCCATAACGCGGGGTAAACCATTTATAAAGATAAGAGAGTGCTTGAAATTGAGAGAGAAGAAAATAGTTGCACTGGAATTCAGAGGAGCAAAAGAGTTGGGCGCCAATGGTTTCCATTCACTTTCGCTCCATGTGCCTTAGCTTACTGTTTTCTGGCTTTCCTTTTCTAAATTAAAATTAATATTTGTATGGTATGTTTGCTATTTCCGATGGGTTTTTCTATAACTTCGACGCCCAACTGTCAAGAAATAAAATCAAGGGCAGGGCTTTGATAAAAAAAAAGATCAAGGGCAGGGCAGGGCAGTACTCCTGCATATGCCAACTGTTGTCTGCTCATGGACGCGTTTAGCTCCGCACCGCGTCCATATTGGGCCCACACTGTACCACAGGCCTCGGTTCGGTCCAACTGTCTAGTCCTTTGTTCGACAATGGCCAAGCCCAATTTTGATAAATAAGCGAAGAGGGAAAAAAAAAACATCAAGGCACAATAAGGGCAAATCAGAACACGACCTTCCGGTTGACAAATAAATCAGAACGGAAAACCATTTTAGTAAAAAAATTCATTGTTTTGTCCTAAAAAACATATAAATATGATATCTTAATCACCTGAACTACAAGTGTTTTACAATAATAAAAAAAATATTCGCTATCCATTACATACAAAATCTTAAGGTGAGCCCGAAACTAGCACATTATATATTGCAAATTTGCAACTGGGTGATTGGTATTTGATGCTACTGTTAAATAAAATTTCTAGTACTTTATACCAATGGGATTGAAATGGAATAGTTTTGTTTCAGTTGGCTAATTGGCTAATGGAAACAAACAAATTAATAATTAATCAGACTTAGAAAAGTAATGATTTTCAATCGAACAGTGAATAATTTGCTTATCAGCCGGAGAAGGACAAGTCACACAAGTGGTCCTTTTTTACACACACCCCGAAGATTTTGTTAAGAGACACAGACAGTTGTGTGGTATATATCTTTCCATGGTCCGGGATAAACGCCGGTGCATTTAGAAAGAAGACTGATGAAGTCTGCTTCGAGAAGATCATAAAGCAAAAGTTGAAAAGCTAGAGGTGAACTTCCAATGATCCTAGAACCAATGTCTTATTTTCTCCATCATATGATTACAAAGTTGATCAGTGATTGAAAGTGCCTATCTTTGTCATGAAAAACAGGTGAAGAGAATGGCCCTTTTATAGCATTAGTTCAGCAATCAAAGAAACATGTGAGCTTACATGTGCAATGTAAGTGCCACTGCTGGGAAAGACATTTATCTCCTCCCTGCTTCCTCATGTGACACCCGAGCATCTTTACAGAAAAAGAGAATAAATTAATGGAGATTCTTCGTTGAACATGTCAAGATGTTGCATGACGGTTGGGAATTCAAGTGATTGCCGAGTATCCACTGCATGTTTGTAAATGCTGCATTGCTCAGGCTTTAGGTGCCCAAAATTGTGGGACTGTATCCATGTCTCCAATAAAGAAGGAAGATATAGAACTCGTATTTTTTTCATAAATCATATACGGGATGGCAACTTTTGTGTCTGCGTGCGTGTGTGTAAACCTTTCACCCGGGGATGCGTATAATGTCAAACAATTAGTAGTGCTTTAGCAAAGCATGTGAAAGTATTGTATATAGTGGCTGTTCCTGGAAAATATAAGCATCAGTTTTGCTCACTGCTATATGTCGATTACTGCAGGGTTGTCTAAGCACCTGCCATGTTCCATTACAGGTAATGGTTAGATGATCACGGCTATATAGTTTCTAGGAACATCTGGAAACCGCTTCAGCTAATGGAGATTCTACAGTTGATTCATTTTTATTCTATTGTACAGAGAATTGTTTATTCTTTGTTCCTTTTGTTGCAGCCTCGACAGAGAATTGTTAAATTTCTGACAACAAACCACTTGTTCAAATCTACATCAAGATGTACTCAACTAACTAGGATTAGGTCCAGTACGTAGTACATTGAGATCAAAATCATAATCGTAAAACGCTAGATTGAGTTACGTGAGTATCCAAGCATAATAGAGTAATAAGTGCCCTAATAGGCTTACGTTCGAGGCTTGAGAAAGGTTTTTGGAACAAGTTTGGAAGTTAGGGTTTTTGGTTTGAGACTTGGATTTTGGGTTTGGGGGCTAAAATAAATTTTTGGAATACTAAAATAGTTTTTCAAGTCCATAAAATAATTTAATACGATTTATTAAGTAATTTCTGAAATTAATTAAAATATTTAAACTAATTATTCACTAAATAAATAATAACTAAAAACTAATTACTAATTAAAGTAATTAAATAAGACTAATATATTACTTAAGTACAAATTTTTTTAAAAAAAGTAAACAAAAATTAATTTAAATATTTAAATACTAATTATTCACTACATAAAAATAACATAGGTATATTCAAATATATTAAAAACGGTATAGCCGAGCGCCTATACAATTTAAATATTCGAATTTGCTTAAGAGTATAGCCGTGCGGCTATACTATTTAGATATAATAATTAAAACGTATAGCCGGTCGGCTGTACTATTTTAATATAATATTTAATGCCGCACGGCTGGACTGTAAGCTATAGCCGCGCGGCTGTACTATTTGAATATAATATTTAGTGCGTATAGCCGCCTGGCCGTACAATTAAATATAATAATTAAATAATACAGCCGCGACTATGGCCATTTCCCCAAGTGCTTAAGAGCATCCACAATGGGCTCCCTAAATCACCTATTTAGACAAATTTTAGGAAGGGATCGTAAAAATGCAACTCCAATCATGCTCCCTATCCACCTAAAATAAGGAGTCCTCTAGGAGCTCCTAAATATGAGGAGAGAGAAAGGACTCCTAGTGGCTCCCTATAATTTAATGCTGCTTTATTTAATAAGTATTTCAAACCTTTATTTAATGCTAACTATTTTTTATTTTATTTTTTAATAGAGATGGACCAATCAAAAAAGAGTTATAGCATTTATGACTCTCCAAATTATGGAGTATGGTTGGAGTTGAAATTTTTTAGAGAGCTCCTAAAATAGATTTCTTATATTCTTAGCCAAATTTTAGCTAAGAAATAGAGAGCATCATTGTGGATGCTCTAAGGCATGGAAGAAATTTCCAGTGGAAAAACAGATGCAACAATAACTCACCAGGTTTCTTTGCGGACTTCCCAGTTTCCCTTTCACCTGTACAACCGTTGGTTGGCTCTGCTTTTGCAGAATGATTAGAACCTCCATGGTCCTGGGAACAAAAACAAATGCAACAGCGAAAAAAAGAATTGAAGAATAAGTTTCTAAAACAATTGGTCGAAAATGAAAAGATAAACTGATTGGTACCATGGCATCCGAAACCGTCTCTCTGCTTCTTTTATGTTCTTAGCAGCTACAGACTCTGCAATGTAGACACCTTGCTCACTGGAAAGCAAGCCTTCAGCAGTACGAAAAATCTGAGACAACATAAGTGGAAATTTTGTATAAGATCAGTTATTGATGACCACACATTTGTTTTTCTGATAAGAGAAAGGAGTAAAGGATATATGGCCAACAGACAAAAGGAGATAAACAAAACGAACGTACTGTGAAAATTTTCTATTTATAGGATAGCCGAATGGCTATACTGTTACAATATTCTCTCCATTTATAGCCCTGTACTGTGAAAGTATTCTATTTAAACGGTATCGCCGCGCGGCTGTACTGCTAAAAGATTCTATTTATGGCATATATCCGGTGGCACTACGTTTAAATATTCTATTATAGAGTTTAGCCGACCGGCTATACTGTTTATTTAACGAGTATAGCCGAGCGAGTATACTATTTAAATATTCGAATTTATTTAAAGATTACAGCCGCGCGGCTGCACTATTTGAATATAATATTTAATGAGTATAGCCAATCTGCGGTACCATTTAAATATAATAATTAAATAATACAGCCGCGAATATACTCTTCAAATATTAGAATGGCCATTTCCCCAAGTGCTTAAAGCATGGAAGATAGCTTTTTCAGTATTTCTCGGACCTTCACACGTTTGGATGCCTCCTTTATCTAGCACATCAAAATGATTGTAATGCGACTAATAAATTCATAAAAGTAAAAAACAAAAAGAAATTTTCAGTGGAAAAACAGATGCAACGATAACTCACCAGTTCCCCTTTCACCTGTACAACCATTGGCTGGCAATACTTTTGCAGAATGATTAGAACCACCATGGTCCTAGGAACAAAAACAAATGCAACAGCCAAAAAAAATTGAAGAATAAGTTTCTAAAACAATTAGTCCAAAATGAATAAGTTAAACACAATGTGAATTGATAATGTAACTGGTTCAAATGCATTCCTGGAAATTAATGAAGTCCTACCAGTAGGGATAACAGACAAGTCCAAATAAGGAAGTGATCTGCCTAAATGAGGGGTTTCTGTTGCTTTAGGATCAGCAATTGATAAAACTTGAGCTTCATCTCTTATCAATGCATGGGTTTTTCCTGGTTTACATAGAGTTGCAGCTTCAGAAGAGGAGTCTCTAGTATCTCTACTTTTTCTTAAATGATCCATGCAAAGAACTTCAACATCCATTACTTTGAGCACTCTGGCACTTCTCCAGCCTGTTGCAAGGTGTCACTGCCTGTCTTTTCCTCATCATGAAGTTGTTCTTCTTCGTGCATCAAACTGTCTCGATGAATGAAGTAAGCAATTAAAATATAAGAAACCAATAAGTTCTGAAGTTAATGTGAACCAACAGTTTAGTTCAGCGGCAGCAGATCCAGCACAAGCATATGTAAAATCAATGATCCGTAGCAAAGAAATTAGATTGGTGATTACAAATTACATATACAGAAATGAAGTATCAGGTTAAGAATGCACATAATAGTGGAGCCAGTCAGCCACTCGAGGGCAACTAAGCACTAACAATTATGTACCTTTTATTCTGACCTTGTTTTTATACATATGTATTATTATAGAATACATGTAAATGAGAATGTATTTTCCATGTCGCATCTTATTTTCTATTTCTCATTTCACATGATTGTGTTTGTGCTCATAGGCAGATACATTATTTCCAAATTGACAAAAGATAGGCTTCATATTACATACCTCTCTGGAGTGCTTCAAATCTGCTTCATGATCTACTGAGCAGTTTTCAGGGGAAGTTTCTTCATAAGAACTGGTATTAGTACAAACAGAATTATTCAATTTGGTTATCAATGAGCAGCTATTTTCCACGTGCGGTGATTTCATTTGTATATTAGACTCATCCATATCCTTTTTTCTTTTATTCCTTCGGCAGAAAGTAATCAATGGGGTGGTCAACTTGTTTCACGCAAGCTGAATCACCATCTAATTTATCTAACTTATTTCTAGAGAATGAATCAGTGTCTTCTAAGTTTAATGTATTCAATCTTGGCGAGCTACCATCACATCCAGAGCTGCTTTTTCTTTCAAATGCTGCTGCTGCTGATGATGATTTTTGTCTTACAAAATCAGCAATAATTACAGCGGAATTCATCACCAATTGAGAAACTAACCTCCCTCCAACATTACTATCATCAACCAATGCTCCAGCATTAGCATTTGAAGATGAGCCTACTTTCTTGCCACTAGACTCATTCCCATATGCATCCCTTTGGGAAGGAACCTCATCAAGACTTGTCGGAATGGTTTTAATTGGTATTTGTCTTGTGCCGGACACTTCAATGTGTTTCTTTTCCTTATGGGGCTTATCTAGGCATTGGAGATGATACGACTGAAGGCATTTTCCACAGTGCTTCAGGTTACCCCCAACACAGCACACAAAACAACATGGCATACCTGCAAGAAAAAGAGGCACGTAAGACAGAATTATGGCAATGACCTTAAAAATAAATTATAGGTCTAAGACAACTAAGAGAAGATCTTCATAGAAACCTAAATTAAAGAACCAAATCTAAATGCTCATCTCAACTAGATACGCTTTCAAGGGTCGGTTGAATAGGGCACATTCTGGTGGTATCTGGTAATCCCTTAAAACCTTTTTCTTTTCAGTATTTTTTTTCAAGAACAAAATTATTAGAGGAAAAATAGGGAAGGATGGATTATTAAATTATCTACATAAAGATGATTGACATACAACATATGTCCCTATGAAACAAACTACAAAAAGTGAACAGGTTCCAACTTTCTAAAATCTCACCGCAGAATTTCTGTTGTAATTTTCTGAGGTACGCTTAACAATCGAATGAACTTGCAAATCTGGTGGTTTGCTTAAAGAAGTATCATCGGGAGCAACAAAAAGTGAATTACGGCACTCATGTCCCTGTACAGGATCTGTTCTTGATTGCCGCTTTCGCTTATACGTTAGCAACACTTTGACTCCTGTCCTGACATTTAAGCTTTCAAAAAGAAATCTTGCTGCAATTCCAAACACTTGGACCGCGTTTTTCACATGAAATTTGTACTTATTCCACTATATGTTCAGTCTCATTTCAACACAGAAAAACCTGCAACTGTTACGAGGAATGCGGCAACACAATGATAGCTGAAGGGCAAAAGACGGATTTCGACTACTCTGAAATAGTGAATCACTATTACGAGGAATGCGGCAAACAAAAATTATACTAACATTCTCCACCTAAAACACAGGCAGTGAGGTACAAGCATAAATGCCATTTGCATATTAAAGAATAAGCAAAGCAAGAGAAGCTAAACGCATGCCATTCACAGAAATGTTTAAACTTCAGAATCAATTTGAATTCAAGTAGCCTAATGCATGCCATTCACAGAACCTTGTTATTGGCAAGGCCATAGAAACTCCATGATAGGACAACTTCATCATTTCCTTCCACAGAAGACAGACACCAAATCAGCAAATGTTGTATTTTTTTCTTCTGCGCCATGTCGTCAGTGCCAAGAGAGAAGAATATAAGGCGCGAAACAGGGAGGGGAATGGAATTGGATGAATTACGAGTCACATGATCTCTTCTTCTGTGGACCTCACTTGCGCTTCACTCCTTCGGCTTCCCAATCTCAAGCTTAAATTTGCAGCTAAATTTTTTCAATTTCGGGTTTCAGACTTTCAGTCAATCGCAGTGTTTGAAAAGTCGGCCTAGGCGGGCAGCTAGGCGGCTAGGTGGTAGCTAGGCGGGCGCTAGGCGGCTAGGCGGTGGCTAGGCAGGCACTAGGCGGCTAGGTGGTCCCTAGGCGGCAAGGTAGTAGCTAGGTGTGATACTAATAATAGATTTTTCTGTATTTCTCGGACCTTCTCACGTTTGGATGCCTCCTCTTTTGCAGTCCTTCCTTTATCTAGCGCATCAAAATGATTGTAATGTGACTATTAAATTCATAAAGTACAAAACAAAAAGAAATTTCCAGTGGAAAAACAGATGCAACAATAACTCACCAAGTTTCTTTGCAGACTTCCCAGTTTCCCTTTCACCTGTACAACCATTGGCTGGCTCTACTTTTGCAGAATGATTAGAACCACCATGATCCTGGGAACAAAAACAAATGCAACAGCCAAAAAAAATTGAACAATAAGTTTCTATAACAATTAGTCCAAATGAATAAAAGAGAAACTGATTGGTACTGTGGCATCCTCATACATCCGAAAACGGCTCTTCGCTTGTTTCATGTTCTTAGCAGCGATAGACTCTGTAATGTAGGCACCTTGCTTACTGGAAAGCAAGCCTTCATGAAATCTGAAACAACATAAGTGGAAAAAAAAATTGAAACAAGTCATAGAACCAAAATAAAAACTTAAGTACACTAATATATCCTAAACAAGATACGTAAATGGAGCATAGTTATCAGGAAAATTTAAATCTCCATCGATCCTGTTACAGCCCAAGAAAACTCAAAGATAAGCAAACAGATTACTGACATTTTTCCAAGACCCAAAAGATGCAAAAAGGGCCATCATATTACGCAGGAGCATAGCCTAACAACAAATGATATACCTTATCTTTGCAAGCATCTAGAACAAATGAACACATCTAGAATAGAGGAGAACGGGAAGATTCAGGAACATCAAGGTTACCAAAAAAGAACAGAATTCCATTTTATTTCTGTCTTTGACCTCTCTACTGTTTTTACATGTGAATTGGGCTTTTTAAACAAACTAAATACCGAAGGATTGAACCTTCAAAACGTACGTATTGCAATTTCCGAAACAAAAAAATAAACAAATGAATAAAGATCTAAATGTTCATGTCCACTTCTTGGGATTGGTATATTTTGGATTTTATAACTGTCAAAATTGTTTAGTAATCATAGCATTAGCACTGACAAGACCTTCTTATGGAGCCATTAGCCCCTCAGTCAGCTTTGAGAAGCAGTGTTTGCATCACATTGTACCTGGGATCAAGTTTCCGCTGCCATCCCTGCAAAACATAACCAGTGATGAGATTTGTATAAGATCAGTTAATTGATGACCACACCAATGATAATATAAATTGGAGCAAATTGCCTCTCAGATTTGTATAAGATATCAGTAATTGTCTATTTCTGCTACTCATGGTAAACCTATTATATAATACAAAAAACTATCATATTTGTTTTTTCTGAGACAATTAAATTAAATTTATAAAGAGAAGAGAAAGGAGTAAAGGATATATGGCCAACAGAAAAAAGCAGAAAAACAAATAAAGAAAAGACAACTTAATAATCTACGTGTGCTTTAATTTAATGTCTTTGTGCTTATAAATTTCACATGCCTATATTGCGAAGATTACAGAATTTCATAAGAGAATTTCCATGCCTTGGCTGCAATAGATAAAGGAAAAAGAAATTACCTCAAGAACCAAAGTGGTTACCATGACAGTACAGACATTGCCATCGACATTGACTCTATGACGCCTAACTGTCTCTGGTAACTGCTGCATACACTCAGCAGGATGGACCAGATCACCTTCTGGAGTACCCCAGAAATCGAATGCCTCCTCCACTTGCTGTAAAAAGAAGATTAGACTAAAATCAAATACATAATGTAGATTATTAAGGAGGGAAACTTGTAACAGAAGCTTCCTGAGTTCATAATATCATTGAGGAACTGCATTTTGTCTACAACCATAACACACACAGTGATGAATAAACGAAAAAAGGAGTGAATACTACACACACACACATATATATATATATATATCACATATTTCAATTGTGCTTGACAAAATTCAGGCTTTGAGACAAGAAAGTATTACCAAACAAACTTGCAACTTATTTAATAAGGAACACCCAAACAAGATGAATGCAACGGATCTCCAGAACTGTTAAGGAAAAACTAATAAGGCAAAACCTTTGAAGGTGAATTACTTGCCCATTTTTAGAGAGGAGATGGTGGAAGATAGAACAATAAGGTATATCAACTGATATAATTCACAAACTTCAAGACACAACAAGATACTTAAAAGACTTAAACACAATTCAATCAAAATAGTCCAATAGCATAAATGCATTGCAAGTAACATCAAAGGTATATATATGTTACCAGGTCCAGGAGCATCTTCAAAAGTGCGTGCGTCACAATGTGAGCAAGCGCAGATTGAATCCGATCATCCCCTTCAAGATCATCGACACATTCCTCTTGTTCATAAGTTTCCACCAAAACAGCAGGATCCACAAACGGGGCAGCTTCCCTTGCAATCTCAAGCTCAAATTTGCAGCTAAATTTTTTCAATTTCGGGTTTCAGACTTTCAGTCAATCGCAGTGTTTGAAAAGTCGGCCCAGGCGGTAGCTAGGCGGCTAGGCTGTGGCTAGGCGGCTAGGCGGTCCCTAGGCGGTGGCTAGGCGGCTAGGCGGTCCCTAGGCGGCTAGGTAGTAGCTAGGCGGGCGCCTAGGCGGGTTGGGTTCGGCGCCGAACCCGGAGGACGAAGCAGGGACTGCGAGAAAGTTCCGTCCACTGCGGGTGCAAGCTTCGTGTTGGTTGGAATATATTTGAAGCGTATAGCCGAACGGCTATACGTTTAAATTATTCGAATCTAATTAGAAAGTATAGCCGTACGGCTGTACGTCTATAATTTCTATTTATACAGTCGAGCCTTGCGGCTATAACACTGATAACGTTGCAGAAGCCTCAGCAATGTGATTTGATATGTCCTCATTATAGAGTATAGCTCATTATAGAGTATAGCCGTTTGTGCATGTATTAAATAAATAAATAAATAAAAGGTGTGATACTAATAATAAGATCTAGGAAATAAATTATTCTTTCTTCATCTTTTTTTACCACTCCCTAAATTTAGGGTTCATGGGAAGTGGCTTGTTACTTGGGCCTTAATTTTTGCTCCCACACTGATAATGTTGCAGAAGCCTCAGGAATATGATTTGATGTGGTAGAAATAAACCAGCTTGACCAAATGAGAATACAGTATGCTGATTATTTGCTGATATGCTCTACGTTTTACTTGTTTGGCAGATTGGGGACCGAAGGTTGATGTTGTTGTTTTTTTTTTCTTGACCTTGCTTCAAATTATGAAGCCCCAAACTGATTGGTACCGTGGCATCCTCATACATCCAAAAACAGCCCTTCGCTTGTTTTGATGTTCTTAGCAGCGGCTGACTCTGCAATGTAGACACCTTGCTCACTGGAAAGCAAGCCTTCAGGAAATCTGAAACAACATAAGTGGAAAAAAATTTGAAACAAGTTACATAACAAAAAAAAACACATTAAAAAAGCTAATATGTCCTAAACAAATTATAAAACGTAAATGGAGCACCGTTATCAGGAAAATTTAAATCTCCATAGATCCTGTTACAGCCCAAGAAAACTCAAAGATAAGCACAAAGGAACATAGCTTAACAACAAATACAGGAAAATTTAAAACAAAAATAGGAGTATGGCCGCGCGGCTATACTATTTAAAAAAAATAAAATAAAACGGTACAGCCGATCAGCCATACTATTTTCAAAAAATTAAAAAAGGTTATAGCCGCGCGGCTATACTATTTATTTTTGAAAAAACAGTTGTACCCCTGGCGATCAGGCACCCCACGTGTCAAAAATAAAGTATAGCCGCACGGCTATACCATTTTTAAAAGAAAACCCAGAGTAAATCCTGACGGCTATACTCTTTAAGTACATTATATTTGAAAGGTATAGCCGCCCTGCTATACTATTTATTACAAAAAAAAAAAGTTTGCCCCTAGCGATTAGGCGCCTACATGTCAAAATATGTATAGCCGTGCGGCTAGACTATTTTTTAAAGAAAACCGGCGTGGAGCCGCTTGGCTATACTATTCAATGAAAAAAAATTAAAAACCGAGTATAGGCGACCGGCTCTACCTTCAGGAATGAAGTTTGAAATTTTTGCTACCAGATTGATTATAGCAAAATCTCTCCCAATCGATTCACAAACACCAGACAACTACTATGGGCTTCACCTGTTGACCAGCTCCACGCACTTGAGCAATACTTCCAGATGCTACTGGTTTCTCTTCAAAATCATCAAAACTCTCCGGGAGCTTGCGGCCAAATGCTCGTTCAATAGTTTTCTTCATGTAGGCAAAGCTATGAGAGCTTGGTGCATAAAGAAAGAGCACCAACTATAAACAATTACGCGAATTCCAATGCCACAAATCAAAAGCGATTGAATCATCATAAAATAAATAAATAATTAATTAAAAAATCCGCCTAGGCGTCTAGGCGGGTCTGGGCGTTTTTTTTTTCTTTTAGATTTTTATTTTGCTGACTTAGGTTAAATTTTTAATGCTTTTGTAACCCCCCGTAGTAGATTAAAAATAATGTATATTTCTTTAAATGATATTCCTTGTTGAAAACATCTATTTTCTATTTAGTGGCAATTTCTGACATGACCCGATACACGACTCGAAACCAGCATTATTAAATTTTGTAGAGCATAATGTGTCCAAATCCCCTCCTCCCCGTATGTTTTTCTTTGCCATTCAGATCCTCTCCCCGTTGATAAACACAGAAAAAGGAAGTTGGGAAAACAGGCAATACAAATGCCTAGCCAGCACTAAACATAATATTCAAAGATGTAAGATGAAAAGGCAAAATAATTTGAAGCACAGTCACTGACATGTCATATATGGTTAACATTCATATATTGTTTTAGAAAATAAGAACCACCTTAGCAAAGCACATATGCAAAAGTTCTCTCTTTAAACTCCTAACAATTATCCGACGGCAAGTTGCGGCCATCAAATAAGGGTCAGAATCAGCACAATCTTAAAGATAGGGAGTTGCTCTCATCAATTTACAGAACTCATGTGATTCATGTCACAGTTTCAGCCACTTTGGCTTAACAGGTTTTTTCTCCGCAGGCTTCTTCTCTTGAACAACAGGAGGTGATGCCTCTGGTATTGTTTCTGGTGCAGACTCAACAGGCTCTGCATGTTTAGTGAGGAGTTCCAAACCTTTCAAAGACACGATCTCTTCCTGAAGGAAGGGACCTGACTTGGCATCTGAAGCATCATCTGCTGGACATGACAATACAATAATCAAACATTTCACATTAGCCATTGCTATTTACAATCAAAAGATATATTTCATTACATCAGTGAAATAATTTTCGGGTAAAAGTTCTGATTCCTCTGCCATCACCGCAGACGGGCAACCCCATAATCATATAGAAGAGTGTCTCCATTGAGAATATTTCATTTTAAGTTATGAGACCAAAAAGCATGTGCTAACCTTTTGGCATATTATATGAAAAATACACAATTGCACCAGGAACAAAGTCAGCAGAGTAAAAATCCTGTGACGTGTCTTTTATCTGCTTCTTAGGAGTTGTAGTATCTGCATCAGTAAATGTTAGAATCTATTGCATAATCATACATGGAAAATTCAATATTTTGATTTACTCTGCATACATATGTAGAATGGTAATTCTGGTCGAGCAACTACTTTCGTGAGGAGATCAACCAAGCTCTGAACTGTTTCTGATGGATGAAAAGTGGCCTCTAATGTGTGATTATCAGGAAATCGAACCCTGATCACAGTCTGCATACATCACACATGAACTTAACAATTAGATAAAAAGCGATTATACGACTAATTAAGATTTGGAAAAGGTTATGCATCCGATGATGATGGGACAGAATTGATCCTATACAAACTACAATAGAAACAATCACTATAACAAGTAGAAAAGAAAGCAACCACCTTTGTCATCCTTGACCTGCGGGCTGCCTGTTCTGCCTCTTTAAGCTTTCGTGTTTTAGAACCTTATCTGTTCATATTGCATTAATGAAATATAGTAAGTATAAATACCATAAGAATACCTCCAATTGCATGTATCAGTATAAGTCTTTGAATGTGTAATTAAATTCCCAATAGTTTATCAAATTTCGTTCATGTTATTAAGTTTTTTAGAATAAAATACTTGAAGATTATGTTTCCCATTAAAATATTCGCTAGCATATTATCGAACTTGAACACCGGCCGCTACACGGGAAAGATTATGTTTCCCTAAAATTATAAATGATATGGTTTCTGTCAATTACCTTCCTTTTTGGCATTCATAATCCGATAATAATCCTCTGCTGTAAACTCAAAAAATTCATCTGTCTCCTCTGCAAAACTAAAAATGATGAAAATAAAAAAATTTCTATCAGGCATCTCAGTGTGCTTGCTTCCACAGATAATCCAAAATATAAAAAGCTATAAGCTGAATGGTTTGGCCTAGCATAGTTGAATTGCTTCATACCAGTAATAGACTCTTCCGAGTGCGAAGAAGAAGCAGCTGACGTTTCAAAAACATGAATTTCTCTCCCGAACTTTTCTTTTGCTGCTGTGAGCTTGGCCTGAACTTTCAGTCAATCGCACAGTGTTTGAAAAGTCGACCTAGGAGGGCGGCTAGGGTGCTAGGCGGGTGCTAGGCGGCTAGGCGGTCGCTAGGCGGGCGCTAGGCGGCTAGGCGGTCGCTAGGCGGCTAGGTAGTAGCTAGGCCGGCTCCTAGGCGGGTTGGGTCTTTTTTCGGCGCCGAACCCGGAGGACGAAGCAGTGACTGCCAGAGAAAGTTCCGTCCACTGCGACTCTGCGAGTGCAAGCTTCGTGTTCGTTCGAATAATATTTAAAGAGTCTAGCCGAACGGCTGTACGTTTAAAATCTTCGAATCTAATTAGAAAGTATAGCCGTCCGGCTGTACGTTTATAATTTCTATTTATACAGTCGACCCTTGCGGCTATAATGGTAAAATATTGAATTTAAAGCTGATCGGCTATACTGTTAATATATTGTATTTAGATAGTATAGCCGGTCGGCTATACTGTTATAGTATCTATTTCTGCGTGTACTAAAATAAATAAAAGGTGTGATACTAATAATACATTTTTCTGTATTTCTCGGACCTTCTCGCGTTTGGATGTCTCCTCTTTTGCAGTCCTTCCTTTATCTAGCACATCAAAATGATTGTAATGCGACTAATAAATTCATAAAGTAAAAAACAAAAAGAAATTTCCAGTGGAAAAACAGATGCAACAATAACTCACCAAGTTTCTTTGCAGACTTCCCAGTTCCCCTTTCACCTGTACAACCATTGGCTGGCCATACTTTTGCAGAATGATTAGAACCACCATGGTCCTAGGAACAAAAACAAATGCAACAGCCAAAAAAATTGAAGAATAAGTTTCTAAAACAATTAGTCCAAAATGAATAAGTTAAACACAATGTGAATTGATAATGTTACTGGTTCAAATGCATTCCTGGAAATTAATGAAGTCCTACCAGTAGGGATAACAGACAAGTCCAAATAAGGAAGTGATCTGCCTAAATGAGGGGTTTCTGTTACTTTAGGATCAACAATTGATAAAACTTGAGCTTCATCTCTTATCAATGCATGGGTTTTTCCTGGTTTACATAGAGTTGCAGCTTCAGAAGAGGAGTCTCTAGTTCACTTCTTTTTCTTAAATGATCCATGCAAAGAACTTCAACATCCATTGCACTTTGAGCACTCTGGCCAAGTACTTCTCCAGCTTGTTGCAAGGCGTCACTGCCTGTCTTTTCCTCATCATGAAGTTGTTCTTCTTCATGCATCAAACTGTCCTGATGAATGAAGTAAGCAATTAAAATATAAGAAACCAATAAGTTCTGAAGTTAATGTGAACCAACAGTTTAGTTCAGCGGCAGCAGATCCAGCACAAGCATATGTAAAATCAATGATCCGTAGCAAAGAAATTAGATCGGTGATTACAAATTACATATACAGAAATGAAGTATCAGGTTAAGAATGCACATAATAGTGGAGTCAGTCAGCCACCCGAGGGCAACTAAGCACTAACAATTATGTACCTTTTATTCTGACCTTGTTTTTATACATATGTATTATTATAGAATACATGTAAATGAGAATGTATTTTCCATGTTGCATCTTATTTTCTATTTCTCATTTCACATGATTGTGTTTGTGCTCATAGGCAGATACATTATTTCCAAATTGACAAAAGATAGGGTTCAAATGACATACCTCTCTGGAGTGCTTCAAATCTGCTTCATGATCTACTGAGCAGTTTTCAGGGGAAGTTTCTTCATAAGAACTGGTATTAGTACAAACAGAATTATTCAATTTGGTTATCAATGAGCAGCTATTTTCCACGTGCGGTGGTTTCATTTGTATATTAGACTCATCCATATCCTTTTTCTTTTATTCCTTCGGCAGAAAGTAATCAATGGGGTGGTCAACTTGTTTCACGCAAGCTGAATCACCACCTAATTTATCTAACTTATTTCTAGAGAATGAATCAGTGTCTTCTAAGTTTAATGTATTCAATCTTGGCGAGCTACCATCACATTCAGAGCTGCTTTTTCTTTCAAATACTGCTGCTGCTGCTGATGATATTTGTCTTACAAAATCAGCAATAATTACAGCGGAATTCATCACCAATTGAGAAACTAACCTCCCTCCAACATTATTATCGTCAACCAATGCTCCAGCATTAGCATTTGAAGATGAGCCTAATTTCTTGCCACTAGACTCATTCCCATATGCATCCCTTTGGGAAGGAACCTCATCAAGACTTGTCGGAACGGTTTTAATTGGTATTTGTCTTGTGCCGGACACTTCAATGTGTCTCTTTTCCTTATGGGGCTTATCTAGGCATTGGAGATGATACGACTGAAGGAATTTTCCACAGTGCTTCAGGTTACCCCCAACACAGCACACAAAACAACATGGCATACCTGCAAGAAAAAGAGGCAGGTAAGACAGAATATAGCAATGACCTTAAAAATAAATTATAGGTCTAAGAAAACTAAGAGAAGATCTTCATAGAAACCTAAATTAAAGAACCAAATCTAAATCCTCATCTCAACTAGATACGCTTTCAAGGGTTGGTTGAATAGGCCACATTTTGGTGGTATCTGGTAATCCCTTAAAACCTTTTTCTTTTCAGTATTTTTTTCAAGAACAAAATTATTAGAGGAAAAATAGGGAAGGATGGATTATTAAATTATCTACATAAAGATGATTGACATACAACATATGTCCCTATGAAACAAACTACAAAAAGTGAATAGGTTCTTACTTTCTAAAATCTCACCGCAGAATTTCTGTTGTAATTTTCTGAGTAACGCTTATCAATCAAATGAACTTGCAAGTCTGGTGGTTTGCTTAAAGAAGTATCATTGGGAGCAACAAAAAGTGAATTACGGCACTCATGTCCCTGTACAGGATCTGTTCTTGATTGCCTCTTTCGCTTATACGTTAGAAACACTTTGCTTCCTGACATTTAAGCTTTCAAAAAGAAATCTTGCTGCAATTCCAAACACTTGGACCGCATTTTTCACATGAAATTTGTACTTATTCTACTATATGTGCAGTCTCATTTCAACACAGAAATCCCTGCAACTGTTAAGGAAGAATATCCAATTAACTAAACAGCAAGTCACGACTCATTTAGTTAATACAGTTATGAGTAGCAACACAATGATAGCTGAAGGGCAAAAGACGGATTTCGACTACTCTGAAATAGTGAATCACTATTACGAGGAATGCGGCAAACAAAATTGTACTAACATTCTCCACATAAAATACAGGCAGTGAGGTACAAGCATAAATGCCATTTGCATATTAAAGAATAAGCAAAGCAAGAGAAGCTAAACGCATGCCATTCACAGAACCTGGTTATTGGCAAGACCATAGAAACTCCATGATAGGACAACTTCATCATTTCCTTCCACAGAAGACAGACACCAAGTCAGCAAATTTTGTATTTTTTTCTTTTGCGCCATGTCGTCAGTGTGAAGAGAGAAGAATATTTTTTTTTTTTTTTTTTTTTTTTTTTTTTTTTTTTTTTTTTTTTTTTTTTTTTTTTTTTTTTTTTTTTTTTTTTTTTTTTTTTTTTTTTTTTTTTTTTTTTTTTTTTTTTTTTTTTTTTTTTTTTTTTTTTTTTTTTTTTTTTTTTTTTTTTTTTTTTTTTTTTTTTTTTTTTTTTTTTTTTTTTTTTTTTTTTTTTTTTTTTTTTTTTTTTTTTTTTTTTTTTTTTTTTTTTTTTTTTTTTTTTTTTTTTTTTTTTTTTTTTTTTTTTTTTTTTTTTTTTTTTTTTTTTTTTTTTTTTTTTTTTTTTTTTTTTTTTTTTTTTTTTTTTTTTTTTTTTTTTTTTTTTTTTTTTTTTTTTTTTTTTTTTTTTTTTTTTTTTTTTTTTTTTTCTCTCCCCATTCCTTGCATCCGAGATAATGATGAATTCCTCATATGAGGATATGAACCTTCTCTTTCTTCACATAGCGACAAAGTAAAACTTCTGTCAGGTATGTACTTAAAATAAACGCTTTAACTGCTTTCTTCTCATGTTCAATACAAAAACTAAAAATCTTAATAATACAAACTAAACCAAACTACACATTTGTAACTATTTTTAGGTCCACAAAATTGGTTGAATTGGCCCCCAAATTTTGCGCCATTCAAATTTTCATCCAATTAAACTTTGCATTAATAATCTTTTGAACTCAAAGCAATGTGTAAGAAACTTCTTTCCCTTTTCAGGTTTCTTCAAATCACCCGAGGAGATATACCCTTGTATTGGGATTTTGTTTTTCCTCAAACCAAATTTGCGGCAAACGCCATGGGGAGGAAGTGTCATATTCTGGTTGAAATTAGTTTGTTCATATTCTAAGTGATCTAACATCCATTTCTTTAATGTCTTGAACTTATGCAGTATTTTTGGTGAGCTGAGATTAGGATCAAATTTTGAAACATCCAAAATACATATAAAGCTTCGAATGCTTCTTCCCATGCAAATTGAGCTTAAGTTGTTAGATAAAACCGGCATTCATATGTTCCAGTGCCCGAGGGGCACATTCATTGGGAATTTTAATAGGTTCATGCTATTAATTATCTTTGGAATTTCCCAGGTTACTGCATGTATGTTATAACTTGTCACTTTACTAATGTATATTTTATTAGGATCAACCTGTTGAGCAGAAAGATCATTCAGCAATTACAAAATTTTCTTAGGGAATTAACCTTGTTTAAGCTTTGTTTTTCATCTCTCTCGTTTTCTCTGTTAAGTCTTGGTTGTTCTAAGTTATGCTTGTCCTTATCCCCACATCACACGTATTGGAAAAGAATCTTGCCTTAATTGCAACTAGTCTCTAATTTCATATGTATTTCTGTACTACTTGTTGGTTGGAAATTAGTTTTGAGACAGTTGGGGTAACTAGAGAAATTAGTTTGTTCATATTCTAAGATGAATCTAACGATCCAAATTCTTAATGTCTTGAACTTAGGAGTATCTTGTTGAGCTGAGATATGCATGAAAATGGAAAGCAATCGGTTAAAATCTAGTTAATGTTTTGAGTGTTTTGAACGAAGTCACAGAAGGAGAAAAGGAGAAGAAGCAAGAAGAATTGCAGAATACTACTCTGCTATACATGTAGCAGAGAGAATGTTCATTTCATTCAGTCTCTCTCTCTCTCTTACAACCTCACTCACTTAGAGTGAGGGAATATTACCGTTAGGCACTGTAGCTGGATCCGTTACATCACAAGGTGATCTCAGCCATTCATCTGAGCATCCAATGAGATCCTTACACTTGGCTTATAAAACTTAAAGAAACGAAAAACTAAAATTAACTAACTCTAACTTAAGGCTTCTATAATTCAACACTCCCCTTTAAGTCTTGAGCTGATTTAACTCCAAGCATACTCCTGAGATAGTTGAACCGATCCTTAGCCAATGGTTTGGTGAAAATGTCAACAAGTTGTTCCTTAGTAGGGCAGTACACCAAATCAATGATGCCTTCTCGTAGTGCATCTTTGATGAAGTCGTTTGGGCCTAAAAAGAATTCGCACGCCAGCCCACTTCTCACAAAGAAGCCCAGGAACAGGAAATAGAAGACTGGGCCTTGACTCCAAAAAGAAAAGCCCAATCCACGCCAGAGGTCCATGATTTTTTACGAAGTAGTAGAAATGTAAAAATACAAAGCAAATCAGTAAAAAATTGCCAAAATAGAATGGCAAAATAGACCCACCAAGCATATCGTTTAAAAATCTAGAATTGGTTTGGGCCCAACTTCTAAAAGCCTAACCATTCTCTCGAAAGCCCAGGAACACTTTGGCAATTTTTATGGAAAAAACCTATTCTCAAAAGAAACCCACGTGACTACCTGACCTTGAAAAGTCAACAATTTCAACTAGCCACGAAGGAATTTGACAGGAGGTTAGTGAAGGCACTCTTGCAGAAAGATTTCCTTAGTCTGTCACAGACAGAGAAGAAGATCAAATCCTTTTTCTACATACAGAAAATTCGGCAGACATCATTTCCAAGGGATAAGCAGGCTATATTTTCTAAAGGAGATAAGCAGGAAACAAGGAGTTGTTCAAAAATGAAAAATCAAACTAACCATCACAGTTTTTGAGCTCTTACAAAAGCAGTTGAAATTAAAGAAGGCTAGCTTTTCTTTCAAGAAAAACAGGGAAGTGATTGCCTTAGGAACTGACTATTGAGAGTTTATCTGCCATAAATGATAAAACCTCCCTTTCTTTTGCATTTAAAAATTGGAAGATCTTTTGAGAGTTTTGCCGCCCATTATTAAAAGAATTAGAAACCCCACTCCAAAACATTTCTTATAAATATAGGAGAGGGTGAACAGAGCAAAGACACTCAATAATCAATCAAACAACCAAAATCAACCAAAGACAAAAACTCAAAATGATCACTTGATCTCTGAGAATCTTCAAACAAACTGAAGCAACCAAAAGCTCATTAAGCCACAAGAAAGAAGCCAGTTACAAATCGAAACTTCTAGTTTCAGACTTAGAAAAAGTAATTCAAAACGAGATTTCTCTCGTTACAAATTTGGTTCAGCAAAATTCAAAGCAAGTAGAGTTTGAGTTTTTCCAAATATGAAAACCTCAACAAATTTATGGAGAGCCCTGACCAAACAGAACAGGTACCACAGTGCAGTTCCAGCTCAGTAATCCTCAAGTGCAGCCACTTCTACCCCTTTTAGACTGAAGAGGCCGCAATTCTGCCGTTTCAAAAAGCCTTCCAAGGCTTGAAATAGATTAAAGCTCTGTCAAACTCAAACTTTGGTATCGATTTACAGCTGAAGCTTAGCAGTTGAAGTTGTTGACAGTCCAGTCCAGCATAGGCATACCTAGTCCAGCCCGGATCAGAAGCTTCTATCCAGGCAGAAATGGAATTCCAGCCTTCTTTTTGTCTCTCTAGAGTTGATTTTTTACTATTGAGTTTTGTAAAAGTTAGTTCCACCTGAAAATAGTTCATTTTCTTACTATTTATTATGGCCAAAACTACCAACATTGTACTATGAAAAATTATGAAGTCCTCTCACCAGTCTGAGGCAGGAAAAGAACTTACTCGGGAGATATTCCTCACCCAAATTCGCATTCGCTTGTTTAGAAATCAGTAACTTGGGGCGCAAGTTATCTATTTTCAAAGTCTGCTAGGATTTTTCATTGCTAGCAGCGGCACGTTCGCACATTAAAGAAATTTGACTTGCTGACCAGTCAATGGTTTTCAAGGCAATGGGGAACTTTACCCTACCATCATAGGAACAAACATCAAACGGATGAACAGAAGTGATATCTTTGATCAATATGCTTTGTCTTCTGATGAAACACAGGGTTTTTAGTGATGGAAATTGCAGATGTATTGTCACACTACAATGGAGTTGCTTTAGTTTGAAGCTCTCCAAATTCTTCTAGCACAAATCTAAGCCAAATAGCATGTGCAGTAGCCTCAGATGCACTTATATACTCTGCTTCTGTAGTGGACAATGCCACACAATTCTGCTTGACTGAAGCCCAAGAGAAAACACCACTTCCAAAAGAGAATGCATATCCAGATGTGCTTTTACTATCATTAACTGATCCACCTCAGTCACTATCACAGAAGCCAATCAACATTGCATCCTTGCCTTTCACATACTCTAAACCATAGTCTAGAGTCCCCTTGATGTACCTGAGCACTCGTTTAGCAATTCCATAATGTTTGATTGTGGGACAATGCATGAATCTAGCAAGCAGACTAGAAGCATACATAATGTCTAGTTTGGTGGCAGTTAGATACAAGAGACTACTTACAATGCTTCTGTATTGCTCTTCACTTGTCGCTCCACTTCCATCATCTTTAACTAGTTTTTCAGTTACTACAAGAGGTGTAGTTACAGTCTTGCACTCATTTAGACCAAATTTGTTCAATAGAGAACTTGCATATTTCTTCTAATGAATGAATATGCTAGAGTTTGTTTGAACCACTCCCATACCAAGAAAATGATGTAGAAGGCCCAAGTCTATCATCTCATATTTCATCTTCATGTCCTCTTTGAATTCTTCCAACAATTCCTTGCTACTCCCTGTATACAAAATGACATCAACATAAGTAGAGACAATTAGAATATCTCTGTCTCCCCTTGTCTTTGTATACAAGGTAGTTTCACTTAGACTTTTCTCAAAGCCACACTGCATGAAGTAGGTGTCTATCTCTCCATACCAAGCTCTAGGTGCCTGTTTTAACACACAGAGAGCTTTGTGCAGTCTATACACTTTGTCTTCCTTGCCTTTTACCACAAATCCCTCTGGTTGGTGTATATAGACTTCTTCTTGCAACACACCATTTAGAAAGGCTGATTTTACATCAAGCTGATATAGCTTCCTTTCTTTCTGAACAACAAGGGCAATGAGAGTTATAATGATGTCCAATCTATCGACAGAAGCATGGGTTTCATTGTAGTCCAATCTAGGTTTTTGAGCATACCCTTTGGCAACTAACCTTGCCTTATTATTTTGGACAAAACCATCCAAGTTTAGCTTGGTTTTGTAAACCCACTTGACTCCAACAACTGGTTTCTTAGTTGGTCTGGCCACCAGTTCCCGTGTACCATTTTTCTCAATCATTTGTAGTTATCTTCCATAGCTTTCAGACATGAACTATCTTGAGCTACTCTGCATATTTCTCTGGTTTAATGATACATAGATTGCACTGTGCAAGCACATCATCTAGTCTTCTCCATTTCAATGGGGAGTGATCATAAGCTTGAGTGTTCCTTTCTTCACTGCTTATGTCACTTGGGATGTGTTGTGATGGTGCTTGAGAAGATAGTGGACTCCTTTCATATGTCTAATTTGAGTTTGAGGTGTTAGTCCATGTGCACTGAGTGATACTAGCCTTCATAACCCAATTGGTTTTTAGCTAGAAGGGGTAAAGGATAACATCTGTTTCTCTTCATTGGAACCTTGATGATGAGACAGTTCATTGAAAAGTCATCAAACACTTTACACATGCCTTCTCCAAACACCAAGAAGTATCCATGCTCATCCATATGCCCAACACTCAGCAGATTTTCCTTCAATCCTGGAAGATACATCACTTCTCTAATGTATTTTCTCCCTCTGGTCGTATCAGTAACTAGTTAGCCCATGCCAGCCACATTCACCAACACATTAGTTGGCATTTGCACATTTCCAGCCACATTTGTTGTAATTCCCAGTCATGTGATTGCTACAGCCACTGTCAATGTACCATTCCCCATTTGTTTTTGTCTCAATGGTTGCACAATTTGCGTAGAACAAATTTCCAGTCACCTCCATTTGGTTTGCACAATTTGCACAAATTTTCTTGCAGTGCACTCTCTAGCCAAGTGACCAAATCTGTCACAATTGTAACATTTTGGCTTGCCTTTATACCTACATTCTCCAAAATGGTACTTTGAGCACACTTTGCACTGAGGCTTTACAGTTTCTTGATTTACTGGCTGTGATGAACTAAAGTTGTAATTTGATGCAGGATTGTTCTGTTGAGGCTTTTCTTTTGACTCCCATGATTTCCCCTTAGGATTCCAATTCTTTTGAGACTTGGATGAACCAGATTGCACTACATTCTTGTTCTGGCCTTTTGGACTCACAATGAATGAGGCAAAAACCTTCTTAGTTGCATCAGCATTGTGCAACTCAAATCGTTTTTCTTGACTTTTTAGAATGACAATCACTTCTTGTAATTCCACAGTTCTCTACACTCTTAGTGTTCTCAATCACCAAACAGATCGGGTCATATACCTTGCTTAGACTAATCAAGACCTTTTGAACAAGCCTCTCATTTGAGAGCAATTCACCATACGTTTTCATTTGATTAATCAAACCATTCAGTCTAGTAAGGTAAGTAGACAAAGACTCATTATCATGCATTCTCGTATATTCAAATTCACGTATGAGATTTTGAAGTTTTACCGATCTAACATGATCTCCACCATGATGTTCTCCATGCAACAGCTCCCAAGCTGCTTTGGTAGAGTCTTGCGTTTGCAATTTGTGGGAAAATTTGATCTGAGACTGCATTTTGGATAATACAGAGAGCTTTTGCATCCTTCATGAGGATTGCAGCTGCTTTCTCATCGACTTCTTCTTCTTAGGTTTCCTCAGATGCCTTCTTCTTCTTTGGATTGGAGATTGGAATCCCCTTTTCTACTAGATTCTATAGCTCATACGATTTGAATATGGTCACCATTAATCCTCCAAAACTCATAGTTTTCGCCAGAGAAAATCCGGGTTCTCACATCAGAGCTTCCAGATCCAGCCATGTCTGATTTCAGATGCTTCTGGAAAACGAGTTGTTTTCAAATTTGGAGAGAAATTGAGCTCAAATAGCTTCGTGAGCTTTGAATGAGCTTCAGAATATCCTGATCTTTTCTTCACAGTTTGAACGCGCAGCTTTAGATGATTGAACCTAGCTCTGAGGCCATGTTAATGTTTTGAGTTTTTTGAATGAAGAAATCACAGAAGGAGAAAAGGAGAAGAAGCAAGAAGAATTGCAGAATACTACTATGCTATACGTGTAGCAAGAGAATGTTCATTTCATTCAATCTCTCTCTCTTACAACCTCACGCACTTAGAGTGAGGGAATATTACCATTAGGCACAGTAGCTGGATCCCTTACATCACAAGGTGATCTCAGCCATTCATCTGAGCATCCAAGGAGATCCTTAAACTTGGCTTATAAAACTTAAAGAAACGAAAAACTAAAAATTAACTAACTCTTAAGTCAGCTTAAGGCTTATAATTCAACATATGAAGGTAAAATTCTGTTGATCCTTTTCTGTGCCTTTCACTTCCGTAAGGTTTGCTTTCTGAAATTATTTGATGCCTTGTCATCTGATTTACTCATCTGCCATAGTGGGGAGGAATGAAGACCAAAAGGCTGGTGTCCAGACTTTCCTCATCTCAAGGAGTTGACTTTGAACATGTGTCTGAAGCTAAGAGGAAGAACGACCCTATCATCTTCCAACATACTCAAGAACACTGCATGCTACGATGAGTTGAAGTTGAAGATTTAGAGAGAATGAAAGCTGTAACAGAAAACATAGGGCTGAGATCTCTCCAAGGTATTGCCCCACTCTCCCACAATCTCTGTTCCTTGTATTATGAAGCTTACATGATTACTCATTTAATGACATCATCACATGATCTTGTACGTGATTGTGGAGAGGTTTGCCAATTGACCTTAGTGAAATCGAAAAAGAAAAAGTTTGCCTTTTGATATTTGAAAGTAGGCACCTTTATATTCTTAGCACAAGACCATTGCTCCGAACCACCCCCAAAAAATGAAAAAACCAATCTCTTAGTTACCATAATAATATGCCATTCATCTAAAATTTGAGAATTCACAAGGTCCCTTGAACTCACTTCTCTTCAACAGATACATATTTATGGCTGTCTGAGTCTCCAATTCCTGCCACAAGACTCTTTCTTTTCTGAGCATCTCCAGTTGTTCAACATTTCACTCTCAAGTAGGTCCCTTGCCATTATTCCGTTTTATCTTGTCTAATAATTGGATTATCATTTGTTAGATTTATTTTTATGAAGCTGCAATAATTAGATTTGATTAAAGCCAGTAGAATTAATTTCTCCTTTGGATTTAGGAGCATCTTGTTGAGCTGAGGTATGCATGGGAAGTGAAAGCACTCAAGTAAACGTCCATAATAAAAAGCTATTAGAAGAAGCAGGCTTTTCAAAATTTGATATGACAAATAAAGGTAAGGCTTGTCTGTGTTCTTTCTCTGCCCTTTTAACTTCTGAAGGACTCTTAAACGTTACTTGCTCAAAATGGAACGAAAATTATAGTTCATTAGCATTTTCTTTTTATGTAAAAAAGAATCTTGCCTTGAATCGCAAATTTGATTTTATTGGTATTAAACTTGATAAATTCTGATAATTCTGTCACATTTTTTCTCACTGGGGCTGGTCCTTAGCGGTATCCAAGAGCATGCTGATCACAACTTATGTCTGTCTAGTCTCAAATGCTGAGTTGTTAGTCACTCTGCGCGATAACATGCCTTCTCATAAACAGTTCTCATTTGCAGGTTTCTTTCATGTCACAGCCCGAGGAGAGTTTACCGTTGTACATAGATTTTTGTTTTCCACAAACAAATTGTGGCAAACAAAGGGGAAGGAAATCTTCTCCAGGTGGAGCTCTAGCAACAGACCAGCATTTGGACAATGTGGTGAAGAGATCTGAATCTAGCATAACAAGCATAACATATCCATCCATTCATGATTCGGTAAACTTTCATCATAAAATTCCTTTCTGTAGGTAATAATTTGAAAACGTCATTTATGAATTTAATTTGAGATGGATGAAAATGTATACACATACTTGTTGGTTGGAAATTAGTTTTCCAAAGCTACATGAGTTGGGATTAACTAGAGAAATTAGTTTGTTCATATCCTAAGATGAATCTAACGATCCAATTCTTAATGTCTTAAACTTCAGAGTATCTTATTGAGCTGAGATATGCACGAAAATGGAAAGCAATCGAGTTGAAATCCTCATTGTATAGCTATTAGACTTGGCTTTTCAAAATTTGACGAGTAACAAAAGTATGAGAAAACACATGAAGGTAAAATTCTGTTGATCCTTTTCTGTGCCTTTCACTTCCAAACCAATGTTTTCAAAGGCGAGGTGTATAAGCGAGGCGTTTTTAGTAACGCTACGCGAGGCGTAAGCCTTGAAGTGTTGAGGCGTAAGCCTTTTGAACATTAATTTATTTTAATAAGAAAAATGTAGGAATAATACAACTAGTATATTTTTTAAAAAATTGAAAAAAAAATATACGGAACTTGAAATTACAGTTGCGAAGAATTAGAGAGAAAAATAAAATGACTTACTTGCAGTCGAAAGATTAAGAGAATTCTTGAAATAGATGGAGATTATCGGGTAAGGGTAGAAATTAGGGATGTACATGTACTATACAATATATATATATATATATAAGTCCATGTGTTAATATATTAATTTAGAAAAGAAAAAAAAAAGGTAAGTAGAAAAGCGCCGGCTGGAGTTAGAAAAGGCAAGAAGAATGCCTTAAGTTTATTACAACAAAGGTAAGGGGGGAAAAAAAAACTGGCGGTTTTTTTTTCAACACACTCCAAGTGAAACGACGTTGTTTCACTTTAAATTGTTTTTAAAACACTACAATCAAAACGACGTCGTTTCAATAACCTAAAAAAAAACAAAAGCAGGTCGTCTTCCTCGCGAAGTCTTCTTCCGTGCAGACAATTTGCAGACGAGCAGAATTCTTCCGATTCAGAAGTTTCCAGATCTGCACGTCTTGCTCCGCCTTGCTACGCCTCGCTACGCCTTGCAACGCCTTCTTACGCCTTCCCAGTGCTAAACGTGCAACTCGCGAAACAGCCGACCGCCTTGGGCATTTTCTTGCCGCCTCGCGCCGACGCGCGCTCCGCTGGCGTGTGAAGGCATGCCTTTGAAAACACTGTTCCAAACTACAGTTCCATTTCATTAGAATTGTTTTCTTTGTTGTATCTCTAGACTCTCTGCGTAAGATTCCCAATGGGAACTACCCCAACTTGACCCAATTTGGCATGCATTGTGTATTTTGAGATTTCAAGGTAACTGCTGCTAATGGAAGAAAACTAAAGCCTATTGCATGCTCTTTTAAGTAGAATGACCTTATCATCTTCCAACAAACTCAAGAAATGCATGCTCTGATGAGTTGAGGTTGAAGATTTCGAGAAATAATGAAAGCTGTAGCAGAAAACATAGGGCTGAGATCTCTCCAAGGTATTGCTCCACTCTCTGACAATCTCTGTTGTATTATGAAGCTTACAGGATTACTCATTGCTGACCATCATCACATGATCTTGCAGGTGATTGTGGAGAGGTTTGCCAATTGACCTTAGTGAAATCAAAAAACAAAAGTTTGCTTTTTTATATTTGAAAGTTGGCAGCTTTGTTTATATTCTTAGCACTAGACCGTTGCTCGGAACGACCCACAAATAGAACAAAAACAATCTCATAGTTGTCATAATAATATGCTTTCTATTAGCTCTTTGTTTGTACGTACCCAATTTTGGTAAATGGACCAAAAATGGTCTCAAGTTTTAAAAAAAGAATATCTTTTTTTTTAAAGATAAAGCCAGGCCCATCAGTATTTGTCTTTTCTTAAGGTCATCCTTTTCCCAACTGGGCCTCTCTTAATAATAAAAAAAATAAAATAAAAAAAAGGCCCAAATCATGAGAGTCAGACTTTTATCTCACATTACAAGTTAAAAGATTGGTAAGCGTGTTTTTTAAGCCCACATTGGAGGCTGAAAGGGATTACCACATTTAACGACGACTTGACCTCCTTCTCTCCCAGCAGATCAACACCAAGGCGTACTGAAGCCCCCAGAACCAGAAAAGATCAAAATTGCCAGCCAAGTTTTCAAGTACAAAGAATTCAAATCAAGAGAACTCCACGAAGAAAACCGACGGTTCCCACCAGAAGTCCTCCATCATTCCTTCTATAAACTAGTTAAGATCAGCGAACTAGCAGCTGACCTTGAACCACAAGCCAAAGGTCTTGTCTCAGTTTTTATCATTACAAGTTCCCTCCACCTCTATAAATAATGAAAGTCTACTTCAGAAGAAGATGACTCTCTCTCCACACCAGATCTATTGGGCTGGTTATATACTCAATAGTAGCATGCCTACGCAACAAAAGGAATCAATACTAAGAAGAAGTTGATAGACAGGGCCTTGATCGGGCCCGTCCGCTTTGGGCAAACTGATTCAACTTTCAATTTTGTTCAGAAATTGAAGGAGTTCTCTCTCTGATCGGGGCATTGGTGTTGATCTGCGAAATTCCTCTTCGTTCCTCAGGGCGAAGCTGATCCCTGTGGTTGGTAAAAAGGGACGAAAGTCTGAAAAAAGGACCAACATAATTTTGGCACGCCCAGTGGGACTTTTCTCCGTGTATGGTGAGAAGGACCAGAAAGAAAGTATACATGGCTGATTCCACCCAGGCCAACTACGAGAAGAACAAAGAAGTAGCAGAATCCGATTCTATAGAATCATCTTATGAGGTTCCTTTCGAACTACTCGAAAAAGTCATGAGAGAAGGTTTCCATGCAATGACCAACTCCATGAATCACCTATCTCAAAGCGTTGTTCAGACCGTTGAGAAAGGACATCTAAATGGAACCCAACAAGGGAACGAGATGAGGGCATATTCAGGCTACCTCTTCGAGCGAGTCATTCAGGCAGAACAAGAAGATAGAATGGTCCGAAAAGAAGATGAGATGCCACCAAATGCCAAAACACCCTTAGAAATACAAGGGTATTCCACAGGGCAAACTAGTGGTCATGCCCATTCATCGTCTCCGGAAATGGTAATCAGAGATTCACTCAGATCATCCCTTCAGGTAGATCAACCAATGGGATTCGATATCACCTCGGTGGCGCCACATATGCCCAAGGTGATCAGCCCTCCCAAGGACACTGCCAGTCAGCATCTCGCTCCGTTCGAAACTCTATCCAAATACCAGGCTTCAAAAACTGGTGAAGCAGCTCTACCTCTAGAGCCAGTTCGAAGAAACATGCACGCTGATAGGTGGTGACAACCGGCAGGGTTTAACATGCATATCGCCCATAACAATGGCAATAACGGACGAAATAGACGGGGAAGACGAAACAATTCAAGGATACCTGAGCAAATCCAGGAATTTGATGACGAAGAAGAGGTAGGACAGGCCCCCCCAACTGGTGCCGAACCTGTACCTGGAATCCACCCAAAGATGGATATTTGTAATGAAATGGAAGTATTAAGGCAACTCGTTTATAATGGTCAGGCCGGTATCAGAAGACCAGCCCGACCTACATACCAAAAGCCTTATCCTGCTTATATTGACGAATTACCTTTCCCAAGAGGCTTCAAAGTCCCAATTTTTAGCCTGTTTGATAGAGAAGACTTATACGCATCAGCGTTGGAGCACATAGCCCAATGTGTAGCAATAGAAACTTAGCCCCTCCCAAAGTTGACGTTGTTGGGTAATTCTTTGTCAGGCCAGGCTTTCACTTGGTATTCCAACCTCAGTCCGAATTCCATCCAAGGATGGGCTGAGAAGGAAAGAGCTTTCATGGAGTAGTATTATAGGCCCGAACCTGAGATTACCATCAACGATCTCACTGACATGAAACAGGGGGACCATGTGACCGTGCCAGATTTCATCACAGGTTTCAAAAAGCTCAAAATGAAATGCAAAATTCCTATGGATGAAAAACATTTCATAAAAATGCCACAGAATGCTCTCAGACTATCACTTCAGAAAAAGTTTGATGATATAGAATTCATGGATTTGCAGGATGTGGCCTAGCGAGCTGGCAAATATGAATTACTGCTCAAGGAAGAAATACAAAGAAAGAACAACTCCAACCAACATATTACAAAAACCCAATTCATCAGGTAGAAGTAATGGACGCATCGGAGGAAGAAGTTGAAGAAGATGTCAGCCCCAAAGTGGCATTAGCTGAAATCATCCAAATAAAAACTCCAATCACATGCAAAGCGGTAGTAAGGCTGGGGAAGGAGTAGCGAAACACCCCTGCCCCAACTGGAGGATTTATTCCATACAAGCAACAACATAAATCATATTCTTCCGATTTGTCAAAAGCCAAAAATATCTTTGATGAATTGTTACGAGGAAAGGCAATCAAGCTCGATGAAAAGCACGTATTTCCAAAACCAGAAGAGATGAAGAGCAAAATGTTCTGTAAGTGGCATAATTCATTCTCACATGCTATTAACAACTGTATTCAATTTAGAGATGTCATTCAGGATCTCATCATTGAAGGCAAGATCCTCGTAGACAAGCCAACAACCATGAGAGTGGACAATGAGCCTTTTCCTGCACATATGATTGGCGTCAATTGGCTTGAAAGATGTAACAAAAGGAAGAATGTTGTGGATGTCGGGGAAGAGGGGCCCAGGAAAGTTACTATCGTGGCATCGGAGAAATTGAAAGCCACCATTACAACTGGCGTAATGTGTAGCAGGTGCAAATGCTAATGTGAGTTGGAAATACCCGCTAGAGGAGCAAAGATCAATGAACAATTAATCCAAAAGAGGAGAGAAACTGAGCGACATCTCAGTAGGATGGCGACCCGATCGTATAGACCTTTCAGCCCAAGAGAGGGCCCGAACAAGTCTTACGAGACATTCCGAAAGATAGACAAGAGGGCTACAGATGAAGACTCCCCTCAAAGGACTTTTGAGTCCACAAGATTGGAAGAAAGAGACAAGTGGCGAACAAGAGTGAAATAGCACGAATCTAGGGATTTTCCATCACATCCAAGGGAAGCGATCGGATGCAGCAAGCCGTCTACCACCTCTAATTCGACCAATGTTAGGCCACCTAGCTCGATAAAACCAGCATTGATTCAAGATGGGAAGTGGTATCTGGTGGGGAAAAGAGGCAAGCCAGGGAGAGAACTAACCAATACCCAGGCCCGACGGATCAAAAGGCAATATGGGAAGGCCATAAGAGACATGGAGAATCAGACAGCTCAATCAAGTCCACAGAGGACCCAAGGACATACTAGGTACGAGTCTCATAATAAAGGAAGATCAACAATAGGAATGCTCAGACCTAAGGGTTCACACGTATTCACCACCCAATCAAAGATGACTGAACTAAGGCCATTTTTGGAAAATAAAAAAGCAACAGAAGAAAAGGAACATGGACTACCTTACCAGTCGCGCTAGGGATTACAACCATCCTGTTCAAAAATGCCAAGACTAGGAATAGACAAAACTATTCTGAAGCGCCCAGCGCTGATAGATGGCCAGAAAGGTTCCACTGAGAAGCATAACAAGGCAAAGATACCAGAGTTTGAGGGAGGGTCATCTCGACCCAGCTTGCAAGTCATGATGCCGCAAAAACTGTAATAGGTTGGTTTAGGCATAGAAGAGGAAGAATTAGATAACATGTCTGAACTATGAACTCAACCATGAAGAATTCAAAGCAGCCTTGGGATTGAGAGCCAAAGACGAAGATGGTCAAACATTCGAAGAAAGGCATCATAATCACGTCCCAGCCATTATATTCGGGACCTTAGAAGAAATTGATGAATCAACAATCGTAAAACCAGGTGTGGCGACCATAGAATTTAGGTCTGTGCGGTTAGAATCTAGGTGTGGCACCATAATCACGTTCCAACTGTTTGTTTCGGGCGGTAAACCGCATTGACAGGAAAGTCAACGGCGGTAAACCGCATTGACAGAAAAGTCAACGGCGGTTCGATTTTTATTATCGAGCCAAAGGGTCTCGGGCACGGAAGCGGTCTCAAGTTTCTCCAAACCGCCGGTTATCGACCTATCCGATACATATATATTATTTATTAATTATTATTTAAATTACACGTGTCATCATTTGATTGGTTATAATGGAAAGTTGTATGGGATTATACTAGAATCGTCTACGTAGAATAACCCGAATTCTTCTTCTTCGCCAAACCCTTCGATCTCTCTCTCATTTTCAGCTCATTTTAGCCAAACCTTTCGAACCCTCTCTTCTTCGGTCGTTCTTTTCTCTCCTCTGTTCTCGTCCGGTGACATCTTCGCCTCTCGCCTCCTCTTGTTATCGTCTCCTCTCCTCTAATCCGATATCTGGTAAGAAAAAAAAAACTATTGGATTGCCTCTGTAACACCCCGACTCCAAATTTATCTCCTATTTTAATTAATTTGAGCGAAATTAAGAATTTACCCGTGGGATAGGGGTATTCTAGTCATTTTCTTACCCCGGAAGGAATTTGGGAATTCCGGATGTACCGTTGCGTAGAGCACGACGAGATGGGTTCGTAGACACGTAGTGGGCTCGAATCGGAGCTATAACGAAGAAGTTACGGGCAAAACATCACCAGTGGCAAAATCGTGAATATTTTGAAAGAGGTTTTTGGTTAAAAAGACGGAACTGCCCCCGTCTCTCACACACTCTCTCTCCCGCGCGTCCCTCTCTCTCTCTCTCCTCTGGTTCGCGACGGCTGAAACAGCCGGCCACGTTTTGGCCGGCTGTGCTCTCGTTCAGCCACCGAAGTCGACGGGGCCGGTACCAAAATGACCGAGCCGCCGTCCTCTTCCTACCCTGGCTAGGTCCCGCCGCCAACCGTCCAGATTTCGCCGGAAAATCGAAGAGAAAAGCTCGGTTTAGGCCGAAACTTCGCCGGCTTCGTTCTCCGTTGTCCGGTCACCGATTCCGGCAAATGAGGTATGGTTTCTCACCTATTTTCCGAGCTCTAGCTGCCTGTTGGGTAGGAATTGATCGATTTGTAGTGTAGGCAACTCGATTTACGAATTGGGTTTCGGCCGGATTTCGAGGGGAGATTCCGGCCACTTCCGGTCAGATTTTGGGGTACGTCCAAGAACAAAAGTGACTCCAAATAGGGTGTTATACCTGGAGTAGGAGTCTTGAGCAGTGATTTGTGGTTTTTCCGGCGATGGATTATCGCTTTGGACACCCACGCACTACCGTCGCGTGGGCGGCGCGTGGGCACTGTAGCTGAGGGCACTTTTGTCCCAATGTGATCCTCTCGATGTCACAAGCGCGTAGGTGTGCTCGGATTTCAATTTGGATACCGTTAGAGTCCCGAACGGATATCGCATATCGCGTATTTTCCGGGTTCGCTAGGTTTGGACTGTTGGATGGTCCTGAAGTTATAATATGTTGATCTAGGTATTACCAGGATTGTATAGGATTCGACGGATTGTAAAACGGAGTCCCGGATACTCCAGAAATGCCAACCCTGGGGTTAGGGTTTTAGTAACCGTCCGATCTTATGATCGTGAGCGATCCAACCGTCCGATCTGGACCAAACTTGCAGGACATGTGGCCTAGAGCCTGTAGAACCTATAGGAACTTTCGGATCAGAATTTGGAGGTGGTGGGCCCCGCAGGCCCGTTTGACATAGTTTGACTGTGAGACTTCCGAGATAGTCTTACCTTTATTTGAGGGTTAGAATGACCTTAGTGACAGGTCTTGAGCGTTGTTGAGTAAAATGGATATTGTGGGTTTAGGATATAAATTGGTGAATTTAAATGGGGGAGTTTATGGAATGTTTTATTGGTTGATGTTATTGGTTGAGTATATGATATATAAAGAGATTGAATGTTTGTTTACAGTGCTATACGCACTACCCCACGTACCCCCCCCATATTGTGATTATGTAGCCAGGCCCAAGTAAACAATATGATGGCTGGTGAGAATGTAGCCAGGCCCAAGTGACAGTATGATGGCTGGTGAGAATGTAGCCAGGCCCAGTGTGAGGTCGCACGCGTCTTTGGATTAGCCGGTGTGTTGACAGACCCCATACGTGGCCGGATGCGTCCCGACGTATGAGGGGAGATATGATTGTGTGATGGCTGGTGAGAATGTAGCCAGGCCAGGGCTGGTGAGAATGTAGCCAGGCCCAGTGTGAGGTCGCACGTGTCTTTGGATTAGCCGGCGTGTTGACAGACCCCATACGTGGCCGGGTGCATCCCGACGTATGAGGGGACATATGATTGTGTGAGGGCTGGTAACAAATGTATCCAGGCCCAGTGTGAGGTCGCACGCGTCTTTGGATTAGCCGGCATGTTGACAGACCCCATACGTGGCCGGGTGCGTCCCGACGTATGAGGGGAGATATGATTGTGTGATGGCTGGTGAGAATGTAGCCAGGCCAGGGCTGGTGAGAATGTAGCCAGGCCCAGTGTGAGGTCGCACGCGTCTTTGGATTAGCCGGCGTGTTGACAGACCCCATACGTGGCCGGGTGCGTCCCGACGTATGAGGGGAGATATGATTGTGTGATGGCTGGTGAGAATGTAGCCAGGCCCAGTGTGAGGTCGCACGCGTCTTTGGATTAGCCGGCGTGTTGACAGACCCCATACGTGGCCGGGTGCGTCCCGACGTATGAGGGGAGATATGATTGTATGCGGGCTGGTGAGAATGTAGGGCTGGTGAGAATGTAGCCAGGCCCAGTGTGAGGTCGCACGCGTCTTTGGATTAGCCGGCGTGTTGACAGACCCCATACGTGGCCGGGTACGTCCCGACGTATGAGGGGAGATATGATTGTGTGAGGGCTGGTGAGAATGTAGCCAGGCCCAGGGTTGAGGTTGCACGCGTCTTTGGATTAGCCGGCGTGTAGACAGACCCCATACGAGGCCGGGTGCGTCCCGTCGTATGAGGGGTGCTATGTGATTGTGTTTGGTGTGTTGTGATGGATATCCTAGAATGTATGAATTTATATGGATGTAATGGTTTATTTGATATTAGGAACCAGGATAGATACGAAAGAGCTACGTGTGGCTTGATCCCTTAGTAGGGTACGTAGGCAGCCTGGGATAGCGCTTAGGTGCAGCCACGGCCTAGACACCACTTAGGTGGTTTTATCGTGTATGATGCGGACCTCGTGGTTGGTCCCGAAACTTGGTTGAATTGAGACTTGTCCGTTGGACTGAGTGAGCGAAGGTGTGCATAGATAGATTTTGAATTGGTTATGTGCATGTTTGATGCATGAAGTTATTTTAAAAACAGTGTAGACAGTTTTGCTAGAATCTTTTGAAGGCCGAAGGCCATTTATGTAAATTGCATGAGATGATATTGTGCGTGCTGCTGGTTGGGTTATAAAATGTGTTTTATGCATGTGGAAATTTTGGGGAATGTTCAATTTACAGGGGAGACTCTGCCGAAATTTCGGCAGAAAGTCTCGTGCCCTTAATCCTCTTTGGTAAAAGAGGACATAGTTTTAAGGAGTGAACCCGGCATGGGTGTGATGCCGAGGTCTCCGCAGGATTCGTCTCGAGTTCTGGGAAATTCGGGGCGGGTCCTGTCAGCCTCTCTCTCTATCTCTATCTCTTTTTCTCTTCTTTGTTATCGCCTTTCTCTTTCTCTCTTTATGTTTATATATCTGGAATTGCTAATTTGTTAGTTTGTAAAGGATAAAATTAATTAGGGTTTTATTTAGGGTTTGTTTAGTTTATGAATTGGGGATTTTCGAATAGGGGTTTATGTTAATTGGGGGTTTCGATATTTAGGGTTTATGTTAGAGTTTTTAGAGGGTTATGTAATCTGTATTAGGGTTTTATTTTTTTTGGTACTTACTGTATGTTTCTGTTAATTGTGGACAGATAGCTAGTGTGAGCTGCTGGTTTTTGTGTTGGTGTGAGCTGATAATTATGGACAAAACTTAAATTCAGGTATAAATCAAAATCAGAATTGAAGCATAATTTGAAATTGAATGAATCTGGTTTTGTTTTGATTTGAAGCTGCTGGTGTTTTATTTATTTATTTGTTTTCTATTTTTGTAGCTGCCGATTGGTTAGGTTTTGTATGAATATATTGGTTTGAGAACATGTTGTTGTAACTGCTGGTTGGTTAGGTTTTGTATAAATATATTGGTGTGTTTTTATGTTTTTGTAGCTGCTGGTTGGTTAGGTTGTTATTGTGTTTTCTGTGTGTAGTCTGCTGGTTGGTTAGGTTGTGTGTGATTGTTTTTCGTTATGGTGTCTTTTGTTTATAGGATAAGATGGAGTCTAGCCAATCTAACACTAATGCCTCAGGAAGTGCACCTTCCATTCAACCCCAATCTCAATCCCCAACAGAAACAGAAACTGAAACCCAATCACAAGTAGACTCAGGTACTGTGGGAGGGAAGAGGAAACCCCCAAAATCTGTGGTGTGGCAACACTGCAAGAAAGTCCAGAAGAAAGATGATAATGGGATCGATAAGGTACTTGCAGTTTGCAACTATTGCAAATTAGAGATGCCGGGTGATTCTAGGAAAAATGGGACAACCGGTATAAGAAATCACCTAGAGAAGAGATGCAAGCTCTCTCATCTTTTTGAGAGTGGAGATAGAACTCAATCGATCTTGACAAATTTCAGTATGGGCGGTCAAGCTCAATTGGTTCCCTACACCTTTAATCAACAAAGGTGTGAAGCCAAATGTGTGAGGTATGTCATTAGGGATGAGATCCCTTTTAGGCATGTTGAGGGTGGAGGGTTTAAGGAGTTTGTGTATTAGTTAAACCCTAAATTCAAGATCCCTGATAGACAAAAGATAGCTGCTGGAGTATGGGATATGTTTTTAGTTGAGAAGGCTAAAATAATGAGTGTGATAGGTAATCACTGGACAAGTATCACAACTAATACTTGGACTTTGATCCAAAACATCAACTACATGGTAGTCACAGCCCATTTCATGGACAGTGAGTGGAATTTGCATAAAAGGATTATCAATTTCATAAAGATCACCAGTCACAAGGGTATTGACATAGGCAAGACTTTATGTGCATGCTTGAACGCTTGGGGGATTGAAAAATTATTTAGCATTACGGTTGACAATGCTTCGAAAAATGATGGGGCGGTTGTGTATGTGGGAAATAGGATGAAGGATTTTAATAACTTTTTACTTGATGGGAAGTATTTGCAGTTGAGGTGTGCATGTCATATCCTTAACTTGATTGTTAAGGATGGGTTGAATGAGCTTCTTAGCTCAATCGAGGGGATAACGAATTGTGTAAAATATATTTACTCATCCTCATCAAGGTTAGATTCTTTTAGGGACCATGCCTTGAAGATGAGGATGGATGGGATAGCAAATGTGCCAATGGATGTGGTGACAAGGTGGAATTCAACTTATAAAATGTTTTATTGTGCTTTCAAGTACAAGATAGTGTTCAATAGGATGGCGGTGGAAAATGTAGCTTTTCAAGCTTACTTTGAGGAGATAGATAAGGATGGGATGAAGAGAGTGGGTCTTCCGAGTAATGAAGATTGGGAGAAGTCAATCTCATTTGTTCACTTTCTTAAGAAATTGTATGACACAACCTTGAAAATAAGTGCAACCAAAATCGTTACATCCAATATATTTTTCCATGAATTGGTTAGTTTACAAGTTGAGATTGAACTCAAAATGAGTGATCCTAGAGATCCGGTCTTGCAAAGGGTGGCTTCATCAATGAAGAAGAAGTTTGACAAGTATTTGGGGAGTTTTGAAAGTGTGAACAAGATGATTTCTGTACCATTAGTGTTAGACCCAAGATTCAAACTTCAAATGCTTAAGATAAGCTTCCAAAATCTCAAGGCCGAAGAAAACAAGATAGATGAGGTTGTACGTGAAGTGAGAACATGCTTGTTCAATTTGTATAATGAGTATAGAGGGGCGGATGGCTTAGTGAGCCAACAAATGAATAAAGGCGAAGATGAGAATGTTGGAAATGATCTTGAAGGCTATGATGATGTTCAAACCAAAATGTTTCATCAACTTGTGCAACAAAGGAAGGAGGAACAACTTGTGGAAATATCCAATGAAGTGGATAAATACTTGACCGACCCTTTTGAAAGCCCTTTTACTAAGGGTTTCAAACTCTTGAATTGGTGGAAAGGCAATGAGAGTAGATATCCAATTCTTTCAAAGATTGCCAAAGATATCTTTGCAATCCCAAGCTCAACCATTGCTAGTGAGAATGCCTTTAGCCTAGGCAAGAGGATTGTTGATCCTTTTAGAAGTTCATTGACACCTAAAATGGTAGAGGCATTAGTGTGTACTAGTGATTGGCTTAGGGTGGATGAATTTGCTTCTACAAGGAACCAACGGATAAAGAGCTTGCATTCTATAAAGAACTTGAAGCACTTGAAGCAAGTAAGACATAATTTACTATTTTGTTTTAAATAAATTATGTTTCTATCTTTTTTTTTAACATTCATGTTTGTTTTTTCAACATAATTTACTTGTTTTACTTGTTTTTTGACTAGCTGTGGCCGGTACTCAAACTTCTACAACACTACCTCCTCGATTTGATTCCACATCGTCATTACCTACTATTTGAGACTCATCAAGTTTTGAGTTGTGAGAGACACACCATGGTTTGTTTTGTTCCACAAACTTTGTTGTATTATAATTTCTAATTTGTAACAATTCAAGTTTTCATTGCACATTTCATATTTGGGTTGTAATTAATTTTACAACTACGGGCACCAACTTGTTTACCAACTTTTGGATACCAACACATGTGGCACATGACATGGCAACCCATGTCATCTTCCATCTCATCTATTTTAATTACATAATTTGTTATATAAATAAAAGAATTTCTCACCGAAAAAAGATATAATTAAATTAAAAAAACCCATTTAATATTTAGTTCCCTTCCGTCTTCCTCCTTGCCCCTCCCCCCCTTCTTGAAAAACCCTAGAAATTCAACAATCCTCCATGATAGCCAATATTTCTAAGGTGGATATCAATATGGGAATCAAAGTCAGAATTCAAGCCAAAATATATGTTTGCACGATAATCTAGGTGCAAGTGTCGTGGACGTGGGTTTTTCATATTGTAACTATAGTTGGGTGGACAATTCCAATCAAAGGATTCAGCATCCTCCCTTTCAACCGCCACTAGTTGAAACTTCTGAAATTCAAAGCACCGAGCCTTTGTGGTTTAGCGTTAAACCTCCTTCTTCCTCTCTGAAAAACCCTAAAAATTCAGCAGTCCTTCCATTGAAGAATTGAAGCTCTCATCACACCATTCTATACAGCCACAATAACATCGTCGATAGGTACGTACTTGAGCAATTTTTTATCACTTGGGTTTTAGTGTTCTAATACTCATATTTTATGGATTATCATCAGTTAAGGAAAATATTGCCCTTGTGGAATTTCTAGTATATGAAGATGTCAAAGTTTGGGAATGTAGTAAACGTGTTATTTTCAAGGTAATCTTGAATGAGGAAGCAAATGAGGTGAAATGCAATTGTCGGCTATTTGAGTTTAGGGGAATATTATGTCGGCATATAATTTTGGTACTGATTGAAAAGCAAATTTTTCATATTTCTGAAAAGTATATTTTCAGGCGATGGAGAAAGGATGTAAAAAGATGTCATACAAAAGTGAAAGTGAGTTATGCTGATTGGAGTTCCAAACCTGAAGCACATCGCTTTGAGAAGATGTGTAACTTGTTTTATGAGGTAGCAGACATAGCAACAAAGAGTGATGAAAAATGTAATACAGTGATGGGATTCGTAAATGATTTGAAATTGAAGCTTACATCGAATGAAGTGGTCTATGAAAGTAATCAACATGAGACCAATGTGAATGATGGCGCTACACAAGTTGACAAGCTTGAGGATACTTCAAATGAGGGTTGCAAAATTCTTAGTCCAAGAGTTGTCCGAGGTAAAGGTCGTCCCCCATCAAAACGGTTACAGTCAAAAGTTGAGAAGGTTATTCAAAAAAGAAAAGCAAGGAATATACAAATGAAGTCTAATGAGAAAAAACTGGAAAAGGTTAGTTGATATATTGTTCTTGTTAAATTCGTTAAGTTTTTTTTTTCTTTTTTCTATTACTAATTCATATTTACATGTTGAAGGATTTTGGGAGAACAAAAAGTTTAGGCGATGCTTTTGAAGCAAAAGACAACATTGTTCCTACGGTATTGATTAAGTAATTTTTTTTTACTAAATTCTTTGCATTGCTTACAGGACAATCTAAATTTGCATGGAAATGACAGAAGTAATACATTCCACCAAAGATGGCACAACTAATGTATGGCTGCTCATAATGCTGGTGGATTTTTTTCAAGTGTTGGTTGATGAAGTATTCCAGAGGACATGTACTGTGATTATGAGTTCACTAAGAATTTGAGAGTGAATACACCATTTTGTTAATCAAGTTTGTATTGGCGAAGTTGAAGTATGTTTGTTCTTGTCAATTAAGTGTTTTGGCAAACTTGATACACGTGAATGAAGCATATTGAATGTTTTATATGAATCGTATTCTAATTTTCCTTATGAATTTTCATTGTGCTTTTTCTTTTCCTCCACTTTCTGATGTACAAATGAGAGGTCATATTGACACATCTGGATGCCATAAGAAGTAGACTTCATATTTGTACAGCAATCCCATCCCCAACATGTACATTATCATTATTCTCAAACAATTGCAATCTCTCCATGTGATAAGTATATATCATACATGTGATGAACAAAGAATCCTATAAGACTCAATAAAGTCCAGCATTAAATCTTTACCCGATAAGACTGCTCCAAAAGAAAAACAGCTGTGGAGGGTAAGCAGTCCGAAACCAAAACATGCATCAGAACCTGCGGTAGCCTATTGGCCAAACTATTTAGTTCAACAGCTCTATATCTTATATCGGCGCCGCTAAATGAGCACGATTAGCACTCCTGTACACCCACTTCCATTCAACATCATGGAATCTCTTGCTAATATCACTGATTTCTTCCGGCGGGGGGAAGATGGTCCAGGCTCGATTTCTTAAGTTACCTTTCACCCCATGGATGAAATGGCACAGAATCATTTGTTAATGTTGGAACAGATTGGTTTTCCAGTACCCAGGCTTCAAATTGACTTTCCAAACTGAAATTAGCAATTTCATTAGACTGCTCATTCATGAGAGATGGCCCATATATAGGCTTGGTGCTTTGAATTTGAGAAGTTTGGCGGTTGAAAGGAATGAGCTGAATGCTTTGATTGGAATTGTCCACCCAACTATAGTTACAATATGAAAAACCCACATCCACGACACTTGCACCTAGATTATCTTGCAAACATATATTTTGACTTGAATTCTGACTTTGATTCCCATACTGATATCCACCTTGAATGGCATCCTTGCCTTGATTCCCATACTGAGAGAAATATTGGCTATCATGGAGGACTGTTGAATTTCTAGGGTTTTTCAAGAAGGGGGGGAAGGCCAAGGAGGAAGACGGAAGGGACCTAAATATTAAATGAGTTTTTTAAATTTAATTATATCTTTTTTTGGTGAGAAATTCTTTTATTTATATAACAAATTATGTAATTAAAATAGATGAGATGGAAGATGACATGGGTTGCCATGTCATGTGCCACATGTGTTGGTATCCAAAACTTGGTAAACAAGTTGGTGCCCGTAGCGTTATTGTTAATTTTAAATATTCTCATTGCACATTAATCATTTCATATTTGGGTTGTAATTTAATTTTAAATACGTTTTCATTGCACTTCATTTTCTATTTGGGTTGTAACTTTTTAAAGTTTTCATTGCACTTCAATTTGTATTTGAGAGTTGTAACTTCTTACTAAGTTTTACTTATGCATTTTGATGATATGATATGATGCTTGAAAATCAAAAGTTGTGAATGACAAAAGTTAGGTGGCCTAAAACTAGTATAAACAAAGGCTTGAAAGTTGAAACAAATGGCCTGAAACTGAAGCAAAATATGCAAAACAGGGCTTGAACAAATGGCCTAAAATTGAAGCAAAATATGCAAAACAGGGCTTGAACAAATGGCCTAAAACTGAAGCAAAATCTGCAAAATGGGCTTGAAATTGAAAACGAACTGGGCTTCACAGTAAGCCCACACCCTAACCGAACCGACCGGTATTGCGGTTCAACCACAGTGCGGTAAACCGCAGCCTGCAGAACCGGTTGTGGTAGCCAATCCAACCATTCCGAAGGTTGTCGGACGGTAACCGGTTGACGTTGATCGGTGCGGTAACCGAACCGAAAACAACACTAATAGAATCAACAATTCAACCTGGACCAGTGGAAGCAAATCTTGAAAAGGAGTCCTCAAAAGATCAGGTGATAGAAACTAAAGAAAAAACTATGCCGCAGAATATTGTGCCAATAAATATGGTATACATCCTCCCGCCCTTTTTACATATCAATAGAAGGGCAACCATGCAGTGTAGAGGGTGATATTCTGATTGAAGGTCATGCCACGATATTAATTGGGATACCAGACGACCACGAGGAAAGACCCAACATTCTGCATATTAATGATTCGGGCCTAATCGGCAGAGGTCTAGAATCCCCAAAAAGAGATACCCCTCAGGAGTTCTTTACTAGACCAACCAAGTCAATAACACGGCATTTGAGACTTTTGTTCATTTTCGCCAGAATCAATGAAGTACCCTTCAAGAAAGTTCTGATTGATGGAGGGGCAGCTGTCAACATTCTTCCTTTTAAAAGATTGGAAAAGCTAGGAAAGGATAAATTTGATCTTATTCTCACCGAGTTAACCGTCTCAAATTTCGCAAGGACTATCACTGCAACACAAGGAATTTTAATTGCTGAGTTTGAAGTCGGCTAGAAAAATTTGATGGTATCTTATTTGGTGGTTGACAACACATCTTCTTATCATGCACTAATGGGTAGAGATTGGATACATCAAAGCATGTCCATACCCTCTTCTCCCCAACAGGAATTGTTAATGTGGGATGAGGAAAAATAAGACTATGAAATGGTCAAGGCCGATCCAAAGCCTTTCCTACCATTGGCCAACAATATTGATGCAAGATTCTATAACAAGGATATTGCTCCCCTCACTGTACCCAAACTGATTAAGAATGGCCACTCTCCAGTAGTGATGGCCCAGAAGTTCCTCCAACAGGGCCTAACATTCTCATCTGAAGAATGGGAAAGGCCCCAAATCTCTTTTGCTCAGTATCATGATTAAAGAAGACCTACAGGGAAAAGGAGAGTTTCTGCTAATCGATACCCTGGCAGAAAAAGTACAGGAGAAGGAATAGAGGAGCAAATGTCAGAAGCAAACTTCGCCAATTATATGGCAGAATTCATTTCGAAACAAGCTTGGACCAAAACAATCGGAATGGAAGAAGAGATTCAACTTGCACCCGCCAAGTTAAGTCAAACCCCTCCAGAAGTTCAAGATCCTCTCGAAGAAGTCAATTTAGGAACTGAGGATGATCCAAGACCCATATTTATAAGCGGTCTTCTCGAGCAATTCATGCGAACAGAGCTGATCTTTTTATTGAAGGAATTCAAGGATTGTTTTGCATGGCACTACCACGAGATGCCAGGACTAGATAGAAGTCTGGTGGAGCACAGATTGCCCATAAATGAGGGCTACAAACAGGTAAAACAGTTGAAGCGAAGAATGTCTATCGAGCAGAACTCAAAGTAAAGGAGGAAATCGAATGACTACTGAAAGCAGGATTCATCAGGCCAGCCCGATACGTCAAGTGGCTAGCAAATATAGTTCCTGTTTTGAAGAAGGTCACTAAAGCTGAAAGGGTCTGTGTGGATTACGTAAACCTCAATGAAGCCAACCCAAAGGACGAATACCCAATGTCCATGGTCGACACGCTGATTGACGGTGCAACACACAATAAGATCTTGTCATTCATGGATGGCAACGCAGGATATAACCAAATCATGGTTGCTGAAGCAGATATTCATAAAAAACATTCAGAATGCAGGTGCTACTACGAATACATTGTTATGCCCTTCAGGCTAAAGAATGCAGGTGCTACGTACCAAAGTGAGATGAATACTATATTTCATGATATGATCGGGCCTACTCTGGAAGTATATATTGACGACGTGGTCATCAAATCTCAAGAACAACAGACGCATATCGAAGACCTGCGCAAGGCTTTCATCAGAATACGCTAGCATCAATTAAAAATGAACTCGAAAAAATGTGTCTTCGACGCCCCAGTACCTTGCAACAAAAAGGAGCTACAGAGCCTCCATGGAAAGATTAACTTCCTAAGGAGATTTATAGCCAATTCAGCAGGAAAAGTCAACCGTTCTCCTCCTTATTGAAGATAAAAGAAGGAGACCCATTTGCGTGGGGCCCGATTCAGTAAGAAGCGTTTGATCAGATAAAGCAGTATTTGAGTAAACCACCAGTTCTCATGCCTCCAAGAAAGGGTATACCATTGAAATTGTATATCTCGGCTTCAGAAAATTCAATTGGTAGTTTACTTGCCCAAGATAATATAGAGGGCAAGGAACAAGCTGTATTTTATTTAAGTCGAATTTTACAAGATGTGGAAACCCGTTATTCATCTATTGAAAAGCTTTGCCTTGCTCTTTGTTTCACAGCAGTAAAACTTCGGCATTATATGCTCCCATTTACTATCCATATCATAGCAAAAACGGACCTTATTAAATACATGCTTAATTGACCCGTGCTTAGGGGACGATTAGGAAAATGGATACTCGCTCCATCCGAATTCAGTTTTAGATATGTTCCCCAAAAAGTGGTCAGAGGGCAAGCTATTGCAGATTTTCTGGCAGCCCACCCTTATGTCAAAATTGAAGATTTGAATACTATGGAAATTGCCAACTTAGGTTTTTCACCCAATCAAATGACGCCAAAGTTTGAATTCAAAAGCGTACTCGATAATTTACCGGATAAGCAAGGCCAGGTTCAAATATCAGTCAAAACAGTACAAATCAAACCATGGAAATTGTACTTTGACGAATCTAAGACAGAATCAGCCGCCAGAGTAGGCATTGTCATAGAAGAACCATTAGGGACTAAGTATGCTTACTCTTTTCAGCTTGACTTTGATAGCACTAATAACAGAGTCGAATATGAAGCTTTGATTATTGGCTTGGGAATGGTACTGGAGCTTGGCGTAAAGCACTTGGAGGTGTTCAGAGACTCTCAGTTGGTAATCAAGCAGCTGACCAACGAATACAAATGCAGAGACCCGAATATGGCAGCATATTACGTGGCGGCTCGCAACCTGAGTTCTATGTTCAAAACCATATCAATCAAATATATCCCAAGAGATAAAAATTTGGCTGCTAACGAAATGGCACAAATCGCTTCTGGCATCTAAATACAGGAATGTCAGTCCGAAAGAACCATTACAGTGCAAAAAAGGTTCCTACCTTCTATCCTCAGTAGAGGAATGAACCTTGAAGTAAATGCCAATGAAATAGAAGCCGGAGACTGGAGAAAGCCATTACTTGATTACTTAACCAACCCGATTCCCAGAGTAAATAAGAAAACCAAATATCAGGCTACAAAGTTTGTTGTTATAAATAACGAACTATTTAGACGGTCCACGGAGGAAGTTCTGTTGAGATGCCTCGGACTCCAAGAATCGATGCGCATTATAGGCGAAATTCACATGGGAACTTGTGGGGCACATCAATTTGGGAAAAAGATGTGCTGGCTTATCAAAAGATTTGGCTACTTCTAGCCAACCATGGAGAAAGATTGTATTGATTATGCTAAAGGATGTGAAGATTGCCAGCGGACCGGCCCAATTCAGCATATTCCAGCAACCCCTTTAGATCCAATCATAAAGCCTCAACCTTTCAGAGGCTGGGCTATGGATTTTGTGGGAAAAATTGTACCAAGCTCCAACAATGAACATACATTCATCATTGTAGCCACTGACTATTTCACGAAATGGGTAGAGGCTAAAGCTTTGAAATCCATCACCTCAACTGCAGTGATCACCTTTATCAAACAACAAATCATTCATCGATTTGGAATTCCATAGAGCATCACCACATATAGAGGCACTTCTTTCATCTCAAAATAAATCCAGGCCTTCGCTGAAGGATATAACATAAAGTTTGTTTAGTCTAGCCTTTACTTTCCACATGCCAATGGTCAGGCGAAGTCTACTAACAAAGTCCTGATCAACATCATCAAGAAAATGGCTGATAACAATTCTAGAGATTGGATGAAAGGTTATCTAATGCTCTCTGGGCAAATCGAACTTCCAAAAAGACTGCTATAGGCACAACACCTTTCGCTCTCACATACGGACATGACGCGGTATTACCAATTGAGATCAATGTACAATCCTTACAAATCGAAAGACAGCCTGAAATGGACGAAGAGGAATACACCAAGGCCATGATGAAGGAATTAGAATAGCTCAGTTCGATTCGGGCCAAGGCTCTGAATCATCTAATGATTGGAAAGCAAGCAGTGGCTCGGGCCTATAACAGGCGAGTTCAAGGAAAAACTTTTGAAGAAGGGGAACTAGTTCGGCGAGCTATCCTACAACTGGGAACCCATGTATCAAGATTAGCTAAATGGAGCCCTACCTGGGAAAGCCCTTTCATGGTTAACAAGATTCTAGGAAAAGGAGCCTACTTGCTACAAGATAGAGATGGAACAGTGCACCAACATCCAATAAATGGACAATGGCTAAAAAAGTTCATACCTTCTTTGTGGGAATTGACATGCTTAGATTTAAGTAGCCCATGATATGTACATCTCTGTTGGTATAAGAATCTAAAGCAATTTTTGTATCAAAATATCCAACATAAGGGTTAAGGAAATGCAGACAAGATTTTATAAGAAACCATCATATGGTTTTTTCATGTCTACAGGTTCAAATACCACAAGCATGAATGCCAAAGTAAATATTGTTAGAAGCAGTTTAAGATTACACAAGAAAATCCAATAAAGTTTTTATCTTTTCGGCAAAATGTCGCGTATCCACGCGAATCTTGTCAAGACGAATCTTTCTCAACTTTTCGTGCCATAGTTCCACACCGACTTCCACGTCAGCCTTGTTTATATCTTCTTTGGTAGCTGATAGGAGCATATTTATGCGACTTTGATATCTTATTTTTTTGCATTTACTTAGTTAATTCCCATTTATTAGAGTGATTTAGCTTATTTTCGTACTATTGTAGGTCCAGATGGCAAGAAAGGGCATTTTGGAGCATTTTAGAGCAGTTTTGGACTTGGAATGGATAGCATATGCATGGGCCAAGATGGATAGACGTTTTTGAAGTTCAAAGAGGCTAGGAATGTGCTAAGAACATATGTTCTTTTGCATCTACCCAATCAGCCCAAGGAAGGAAACCTCGGGAAGAGGCACGTCAGGTTTCAAACCCAATCGCTCCAAGTTCGCATCCCACGACCCCCAGTCGATGTCCTCCAAACCATAGGAAAATGGAGCTCGAACCAAACGAGTGTCCAAAGCCAGCAAATTTTTGGGCTTAGCTTGATGATAATGAGGACCCAAGAGTGGAGTTCTGTAGGGACCTCTCAGCGTCAATGTGAGTGAACAATATAGCCTCGCCAAACTCGCCGACTGTTCTTGCACAAGAACAACCTGAAATTCAGAAGCATGCTTTGTTGCCTCTTCTTCCGACATCCAGCTAGGAGTTTCAATGGAAACCTTAGTAGTCTTCGAGCGTTTAGGAGCCATAACAGGGTCTTTGAGAAAATGAAAGGTAACGGCGGCGGAAAAAGAAGAAGAAATCTGCGTGGTAGTCTTTTAAAAAAAAAGAGTTCGAAAAATGAGAAGTTGGGAAGTTTTCTTTTGACAGACAGAATTAATTGCCAAACGTAGGAAGATAGTTGATGTCTCACCACCACTAATATGGCGCGTATCTTTCAAAAATTATTGCCATCATGATGTGATGTATTCGTAAGAAGCTAGAAGGTCTAATTTTGATAGACTTGACCCAAGCCCATCAAAACTAGGGAGCAATGTTTGTACCCAATTTTGGCAAACGGGCCAAAAATGGTCTCAAGTTTTAAAGAAATTTTTTTTTTTTTTTTTTTTTTTTTTTTTTATTAATGACAGGCCCATCAACATTTGTCTTTTCTTAAGGTCATCCTTTTCCCAACTAGGCATCTCTTAATAAATAAAAAAAAAAAAAAAAAAAAAAAAAAAAAAAAAAAATCAAAATAACGCCAAGTCAAAGGACTTTTATCTCGCTTACTACAAGTTAAAAGATTGCTAAGCGTGTTTTCTAAGCCTACGTGGGAGGCCGAAGGGGATTATCACATTTAATGACGACTTGACCTCCTTCTCTCCTAGCAAGAAAACAAGTCATACTGAAGCCCCCAAAACTAGAAAAGATCAAAATTGCCAACCAGGTTTTCAAGTACAAAGAAGTCAAATCAAGAGAACTCCACAAAGAAAACCGATGATTCCTACCAGAAGTCCTCCATCATTCCTCCTATAAACTAGTTAAGATCAGTGAACTAGCTGTTGACCTTGAACCACAAGCCAAAGGTCTTGTCTCAGTTTTTATCATTACAAGTTCCCTCCACCTCTATAAATAATGAAAGTCTACTTCAGAAGAACATGACTCTCTTTCCAAAACCAGACGCAACGTCTCAAAAAACACTTGAAAAACTTCCAAGATAACAATCTGCTACTTTTTTCTTTAGATAACCAGTTGACAACTCCTGTGCTTATCTCTCGTAGCTCTGCCATATCCATGGTATGATTTTTCTTTTAAGATGTATTTTGTTTCAATTCATGTAATCGTTTGACTGGATTGAGAAATCTCCAGTATCTTTTCCTTTACTCTATAATTCAAATTCAAGGATAATTGATGGATTAATTAAAGAATCTTCTGTTATTTAGTTTAAGGCTCAAATTAAATATAAGTTGCAGAAGAATCTATATAGATAAAATTCACTTAATTATCTAAAGAACGGATTATGGATTATTCTGATGCATAAAATTGGATTTCCGACCTTTTACCCCTCAAACAGTCCAGAAAAACTAGCATTCGGGCCCGGAAGGGGATAGGGACTCGAAAGGAACAGTAAAAGAAAGGGACAAGAAGTTAAGTTAGGCCCGAAATTGCACCAATGGGCCCGAATTAACTATTGATTTAGTTTGAAAATGAGAAAATATTGAAGCAGGTTAATAAAACCCAGGCAGGGTTTTTGCTAACCACGAACTTGGTCTTGTTCTGTTGCCTATTTAGGTGCTGCTCATACTTGTCAGGGCGATACTCACGAAGGAAAGAATATTGAAGTCCTCTTAATTGAGGCATAGAAAAGAATCGATCTAGGCCAATACCCCCCTGGAGCAGAATGGCTTGGTAAGAAGTCTAGAAAGGAGGCGCAAGCTCCCTCGGCATTAATCATTCATATCCACACACCAGATCTATTAGGCTGGTTATATAGTCCATAGTGGCACGCCTACGCAACAAGAGGGATCAGTACTAAGAAGAAGTTGACAGACAGGGCCTTGATCGGGCCCGTCCGCTTTGGGCAAACTGATTCAACTTTCAATTTTGTTCAGAAATGGAAGGAGCTCTCTCTGCGAGCCAAGAGACACCATCCAATCGGGCATTGGGGTTGATCTGCCAAATTTCTCTTCGTTCCTCAGAGCAAAGCTGACCCCTGTGGTTGGTAAAAAGGGACGAAGGACGATAAAAAGGACCAACACTCTTTGATTGGAGCTATATTGTCCTGCAATCATTTGTGTTTGGAGGGGCGGCCAGTTTGTTGGCCTTTGTCTATGAATCCTTCAAAGACAGCCATGGATTGTGTATTTAAACCTGTTAAAGCTCGTATTGTTGAAGTTCAATTTCCCCTTGTCCCGCATTGAAGGATTATAGCTTTTTCTATGAATCCTTCAGGACAGCCAGTTTGATACTAATTGTTGTTTCCAACAAAAGCATTGTCTCTACACATTATAGCTTATTCGTCGAATGTTACATATATTCAATGTTTGCACACATTTCAAGAATTTTGTCAAGCAAACGGTCGTTGAAGTTCAATATGAAATCTTCTCAGGTTGTCTATGCTATGGGATGAGCTGCTCATGTTACCATTATTCCATGTTCTGTTTTCAAAGATTGTTATGACCCTTCTCTTCCTTGTTCCCATGACAATCACAATAGTTTGCCTCCACTCAAGCAAATTACAAGACACTTTGGAGTTGGCATATTAAGAGTAGAATGCTACATGCACAACTGATTATAACATTCTCTTAAAAAAATTTAGTGTTAACAAGTAAATAAACATGCACTCACATTTTATTTGCACTTAAAAATTAAAATTGTTGTGCATGGAACTAAATTGACACTGATTTTATTTTATACATTCTCTTTCTTATTTCCATGAGGGATTGTGATTGTATGTTTTGTTTGCTAACGCTCAACAATTTTAAGACAAATGCCATATGATTATGCCTCATTTTTAATTTGTCATCTTAATTTTTCAAAATCCATGATTTTTCTTTAACACCATCCAATTTTCCATATATTTTAAGGGTATTTTAGTCTTTATTTCTGGGTATTTTAAACATGGAAAATTCATTATAACACAAATTGTATATCTTTTAAACAATTAAAATTGGAAAGAAAAAAAAATCGCCTTCCCCCATCCTTTGTGTGCCACCGGCAACTCCAAAACCTTGTCCACCTTGAAATCCATTCACCCTTCCCTCTTCACAGCCCCTTCCTCCATTCCCCCTTCCCTCTACCCCTTCCTCCTCCTCTCTCTACTATGGCACACCTACCTTCTACACACAAATTCCCTCAACCCACCCAAACCAAGTCCACACCTTCTTCGTTTTTTCTTTTTAAAAATTTTAGACATGCTCAATGCGCACCATAAAAAAATTTAGAGAGAGAGAGAGAGAGAGAAAGAGACGGGAGTGGGAGGAGAGAGATGGAGAGACGGGGGAGGGTTTAGGCAGAGGGAGAGAGAGAGAGAGATGAGAGAGGGAGGAGATAGAGAGCGTGGAGAGAGGGAGGAGAGAGATTTAAAAAAAAACTATAAAATTAAATATATATATATATATATTTTTTTAATAATTGGGAGTTTTTGAGTTTTTTAAAATGGACCTACCAAATGGGCTTTTGTGGCTTTAGATTTAAAATTTATTTTTCAATTTATAGAATTGGATCCAAATAAGATACCAAACATATCCTAAACATGTCATAAGTTTATTTTTCCTAACAACAAGAATGTTTTTTTTTGGGAGTTTCACTAAAACACCCAAAATGGGGGTTGAAATTATAAAAAAACCCAACACCCAAAATACTTTATAAACACACCCAAAACCCATCATTACACACACTCAAAACCCATTTATAAACACACCCAAAAAATATACAATTGTTGATTTTGGGGTTGATTTTGGGTGTGTTTCTATGTTTAAATAGTGCTTGGGTTTTTTTATAAATACATGTCTAGGATTGGGTTTATTTATAAATTTGTATTTTTTTTTGGGGTTGGGTTTTTTATTTTTATTATTGTTTGCTTACGAACTACGCTTGAATTAAAGAAAAAGAAAAGTAGGAAAAAGAAAACAAAAGCTTAGGCCATGTTTGGTATCCTATTCAAAAATAAAAAAACTAAAAAACTGTGATTCTTTTTAAAAACATGAGTTTTCAAATAGTGATTTTAAGATCTAAAAAAAATTGAGAGAGAGAGAGAGAGAGAGAGGAGAGAGAGAGAGAGAGAGAAAGAGGGAGGAGAGAAAGAAAAAAATTCTAAAACCTTTTTGTTGGAGCATGAAATTTTGGGTCCTCCAACAAGTGATTTATATTCTATGTTGAGAAGCCGGACACCATCTTCGATTGCCACCAATAAGAGGGAAGTACCTGCAAGAAAACACTCCGACGCTCAAGTCAGTGTTCGTTCAGGAATATTGCGTATAGTAAGAATAATCTCATATCTCTCCCCCCTTAAGATGGGGGATTAGTTAGCCTTTTATAGGCATTGAACCCTTGGACTGCAAGTCCCATATCCCTTACTTATCTCCATGCTCAATGGTAGTGGATATCATGTTATTTAATTCCCTCCACTCCCTAAATGTAGGGTTCATGGGAAGTGGCTTGTTACTTGGGCCTTAATTTTTGCTCCCACATCTGCCCCCTTTTCTCTCTCTGGACACGTGTCTTGGACCCTTTTTCTCTCTCTGGACACGTGTCTCGGAGAAAATATTCTTTGTGGGAATTCACTGTGTGTAGAATTTTATGTGGTGACTTGACTTGTACGATCTTCGATCATAAACATGTGGAGTTTCACGAGTATGGATTTCAACTATGAATATAATCTTCGATCACGAATTCGGCCTTCAGCCATTAGTGTGGTCTTCGACCATGAATATGATCTTCGATCACGCTTTTGAGTTGGGCTTCGGTCGTATAGTCTTCAACTATGTATTTGACTTTCAGTCACAACTATGGCCTTCAGCCACATGAGCTTGAATTTCTTTCACAATCATGGTCTTCGACCACTTGAATTTGACTTTCAGTCACAAGCATCAATTGAGTATTGGCATGCCACCCATTGTTTTAGAATGCATCTGTTTACTAACTACACATTGTGGCTCTCGTTCAGCCTCTGTTTATGTTGATTTTGTGGTTAGTTGGGCTTCATAAATTGCCATATAGAAATAGGCTTTATAGCTTATCTTGAGTGGTGCAGTAGCTGCCTCCACCACGCAAATGTTTTCATCAACAAAAATCAGTTTCAATGTACAGTAAAGTTTCTCCATGTACGAATCAATATGTAGGCTTAGTAGGTATCTAGATATTGAGCAGCATATGACTAGATTCAAATTCAGGCGTTTTATAGAGCCATACATGCAACTGTTCTCATCTCCCAAAATGCGAGAGGAATAAGTAAAATACATTGGCATGTGTCAAATGTATATAATCAATTTAAAAGCTTCTGATCATACGCCTCCTGAGGCCATGACTTCACCAACAATAAAAAAAATTAGCTGTTTGTAAAATCGCACTAGACATACCATAAGCTCATGAGTCATAAGACCAAGATCATCATTCTTTATCACTCAAATGCTAATAGCTTCGCTATTGGCTTGTTGCAAATCACGCAACTCGCTGTTGAATTCCGATGGGGACAATGTTTGAGCCCAATGCCAGTCACCTTCGCTGGCCTTAATAAATATGCATTTGAACATTCTATATAAGAATCAAGGGAGTTTCACTAAAACACCCAAAATGGAGGTTGAAATTATAAAAAAACCCAACACCCAAAACACTTTATAAACACACCAAAAACTCATCATTACACACTTAAAACCCATTTATAAACACACCCAAAAAGTTGACTTTGATGTTGATTTTGGATGTTTTTCTATATTTAAATAGTGCTTGGGTTTTTTTATAAATACATGTCTAGGATTGGGTTTATTTATAAATTTGTAAAGAATCAATGACGTTAGTGCGGGAAAAACCATGTGCCAAGTAGTAATTTCAAAAGACATATATCATGTCCAAGCAAGCTACAAGTGGACAACAATAGCATGTCATACTGTCGAGAAAAACCATCATATGTGACTCTCTTGGTTCTCTATTCATTGTAACAATTAGAAAAACCATTTTAGTCACAACTAGGTGGAGCTTAGATGCCCCCAGCACTTCACTGTGTGCCTTCACTTGCTCCAAATACACAAGGTGTATCAGACAATGAATTATTGAATGTAATTAAATTTATAATACTCATGGCTATGATTGTCAAGAAAATAACAATAAGAATTCATTTTGTTACCATGGGAACATACTTTTAATCAAATAAGTATGAAAATCAAACCATTGAAGTACGGGTACCATGTATTCCACAAATTCTTGCATACAAGGGCATCACCCCGATTCATTCCACTTTTAGTCTGGACCGGATCACAATCATGTGCCAGCCTTGTTTATGTAGGATCAATTTAGAGACTCAATCACAAAGTTATTGCTTTTGCACAAGTGGAATACGGCTGCATATGCTCTAGTTAAAATTTGGATACCAATCTCTATAAAATTGTAAAATTCGACCCATCAAGGATCATTGCAACCCATTCTCATCTACGGAATAAATATATATGCTATGAATCTATGATAAACTTTAGAAAGGCATGAAGATATGCATTGATAAAAGATGTAAGCATGTTCCATGCCATAATTCGTGGATCCTAAAAGAGAGTAGAAAAACTTATCTGTTTGCAGTATAGCCCTTGACCGCATAGAAATTGGTTCGTTAGCCAATTCCAAATTCATCAGTTTTTGATTTCTTCACCCACATAATATGATTGCGTCCCGCAAAAGCACCATTGTGAAACTACAAAAGCGGGTAGTGGAGAGGTTCACTATTTGGGGCAATAATTCGTGCCCCCATTGTTGTTTCTATGGGCAAATGTGTCCATCCCCTTTCATTGGTTTGTTTCAGAATAACTTCGATTAGCGAGTGATAAAATTTCATATTGTATGTCAATTCGTGAAATCCTAAAGAAGAGAGTTAAGAAATTCTTTTCTGTTGGGGGATTTAATTCATGCCTCCATTGTAGCTTCCAAGGAAAGAGTGTATCCACGGCTTCTCATCATGACTTTTTATATGGTTCCCACAGACGGCGCTAACTGTTGGAGCATGAAATTTCGGGTATTCCAACAAGTGATTTATATTCTATGTTGAGAAGTTGGAAACCATCTTCGATTGCCACCAATGAGAGGGGAGTACCTGCAAAAAAACACTTCAACGCTCAAGTCAGTGTTTGTTCAGGAATATTACATATAGTAAGAATAATCTCATATCTCTCCCCCCTTATGCTGGGGGATTACTTAGCCTTTTATAGGCGTTGAACCCTTGGACTGCAAGTCCCATACCCCTTATTTATCTCCATGCTGGTAGTGAATATCATGTCATTTAATTCCTTCCACTCCCTAAATGTAGGGTTCATGGGAAGTGGTTTGTTATTTGGGCCTAAATTTTTGCTCTCACAATTATTTTAATTTTTTTTTAATAATAGGGGTGTTTTTGAATTTTTTTAGGTTTGGATTTTTAAAAAGGGAGTTTCACTAAAACACCCAAAATGGGGGCTAAAATTATAAAAAAACCCAACACCCAAAACACTTTATAAACACACCCAAAACTCATCATTACACACACTCAAAACCCATTTATAAACACACCCAAAAAATATACAATTGTTGATTTTGAGGTTGATTTTGGGTATGTTTCTATGTTTAAATAGTGCTTGGGTTTTTTTTATAAATACATGTCTAGGATTGGGTTTATTTATAAATTTGTATTTTAAAAATGGGCATACCAAACAGGTTTTTGGGACAAATCTGTTTTTGAATTTAAAAAATTGGATCCAAATCGGATACCAAACAGGTCTTACCAACTAAAGATAAATACTCAAAGCAACACGTGTATGACACGTATACAAAAAGACTCCGGGCAGGGAAAGAGATAAATTCCCATCTGTCCTACAAGTGTCCTACAGCGGAATTGAAATCGAAATCTTCTTCTTCTTCCTCCTTGCGTCTGTTTATGCAACTCAACCTCTTCGTCCTCTTACCTTTCCTCGCATCCTCATCCTTGGCAGAAGAATCAAATCCCTCCCAACTCCAAAACATGGCCACTCTCGGCTGAGTCCACGAATCCCATGCCTCCCAGAACAGCCTCGAAACTGAAGACCTCGCTCGCTTTGCCGTCCAAGACCACAACAACACGGAGGTCTTTACTCTTTTTTGCCTTTTAATTTCTTCAATATTATGCTGGAATTTTAATTAATTAGATTATTAAGCAGTTAATTGAAGTTCTTGCAGAATGCTCTGCTTGAGTTTGCTGGAACTCTACACCATCTGACGATCGAGGCCATCGATGCCGGAAAGAAGAAGCTTTACGAAGCAAAAGTCTGGATGAAGCCATGGCCATGGATGGGCTTTAAGGAAGTGCAGGAGTTCAAGCACGCTGGTCAGTGCGAGAAATTAATTTGCTGATATTCTAAGATCAACCTAACATTCCAATTCTTAATTTCTTCATCCTTGAATTTAGTAGTATCTTGTGTTGAGCTGAGATATGCATGAACATGGAATGCACTCGAGTAGCTATTAGAACTGGCTTTTCAAAATCTGACGCGGAACAGAAGTATGAGAAAACACATGAAGGTAAACCTCTGTTTATCCTTTTAACTTCAAAGCTGGACTCTGTCTTAAAGACAGCCATGGATTGTGACCTTAAACCTATTAAAGTTGTTTACACCATAATTAACCAAGCGTGACTAAAACACCAAGGTAGACATGCCTTCCTTCCTGCCAAAGGGAGATGCTCTTCCGAAGGGACAACCACCTGCCGAAGCTCCAAACTGCCAAACCTTAAACACAGGAGACACGTGTCATCATCACAGCAACTTGCACAAAGTCCCACATCGGAACTTTGTGCAAACCTCCTACTTTTACTTCCCTATAAATAGGAACAGTAACCAAGAAAAAGGGTAACTTCTCTCTCACTATTACTGTTACTTTGCAATAGTCACTACCCCTAGCTGACTCAAGCATCGGAGAGCCTTCGGGAGGCACCACACCGGTGTCCGAAGCTTCACGACTGCTTCTCCCATCTTTGTCTTCTGCAGGCTAGCCCTCTACTGAAGGCCCAGGCCCTTCTCTTGCTAAAGACAATCCCCTATCTCTAAGTTGACCCTCTCCGAAAAAGAGCATCAACAGCTTGGCACTGTCTGTGGGAATCCAATACTTAAAACCCATTTTTCTCTACCAGCCCAGCTGGCTCCTTCACCTATCCGGCCCCATCGCCTCTTCTTCACTCCACACTCAGCCATGCCTACTGAGGATAGCCGCGATGCCCAGCGCAATACCCCCCAGGAGGGTACCTCCCAAAGGGGACCGTCGGCGGAGGTCAATCTCCAGGCCGAGGTGGAGCTCCTTCGCGCCGGTGTCGTCAAGATGTCCGAGAGGTGTGACCATCTTCACTACAGGAATGTTGAGCTGGAACACGACTACCGCATCCTGAAGCGAAACTGGGAACGGAACCAAGCCCAGGGCTCCCAACGCAGCCTTACCCAGGAACCTGAGCGCACACAGCCAAACCAGCCGGAGCATTCCCACCATAGCCCTCCAATCCAGCCTAGGCCCAGCAAGGGTAAGGACCCCCTCCATCCGGAGACAACCAAGTCGCGCCTTCTCCGTATCTCCCCGCCGAGGAACTGGCCTCATGAACCAACAAAGGTCTACAGGGATTGCAGGGACCGTATCCTGGACCGTCAAACGGGACCCCTTCTTATCCCCGTTAATCTCCAAGACCCAAAGGTGACACATCTAGGCCCCCCACCAAAACCAACCCATGTGCCTACAGGAGAGGGTATGGGGGACTCGGATGACTGGGGGCATGATTACTCAGAAGAGCACGAGTCTTATCACACCGAAGGCTGAGCCCCCGCACCATCAATAAGTTTGACAGTCTGAAGCAGGCTTTTCTGGACCATTTCATGATCCAGACTGATCGCCTCTACTCTGCGGACGACCTGTACATGCTTAGGCAGGGTGAGGATGAGCCCCTTCGGGAGTATGCAGCCAGGTTCAGCCACGAGTACTCCCGTTGCCCAGAGACCGATGATCGTGCCGCCTTTGGTGCTTTCAAGAGTGGCCTCCGAGAGTCTAACTTTCGGTACCTTGTCCACAACAACTCTTGGAACACGTATGCTAAATTAATGAAGCAGGCAGCAGTGCATGCCAAAGCTGAGTATTTCAACTCCAAGCGTGGCCCGGCCCCCCCGGCACATCATCCTTTCGCTGATCCCCCACCTGCTTCAGCACCCACCTCAGCCCCGCCTCAACATTCTACTCCCGCCCCAAGTACCCAGGGTACCCAGCACCCCAAGCGGAAGGATAACTACCAGCATACCTTCAACAATAACAAACGGGGCAGACATAACAACCACCACCAGTCCAGCGGGGTCAACTCGCACAGGGCAGGTGATCGGGCTCCACTCCCCTTCTCACCCAAGCCTAGATTCGAGGTCTTCACCATCCTGAACACCACCTACGAAAATGTTCTGGTGCACGAGGCACCTATCATACACAAGCCTCCCCCCCCAGAGACCGGGCAGCAAGCCCATGCCCAACACGGGTGTCTTCTGTCGCTTCCATCAGTTCGGTGGACACGACACCGAATCTTGTGTTGCCTTGCGCAACATCATTGAAGGACTTATTCGCGATGGGAAACTGGATAAATATGTGCACAATCTCCCACCCCCACCTAACCCTCACCAACGGCAGATAAACATGATCTCAACTATCAGTGGTGGTCCCACCCTGGCTGGAACCTCCAACAACTCCATCAAACATTATGTCTGCTCCACCTATGCTCACCAGGTCTTCAGCGCTGAGCAGGGACGCTTGCCGAAGACCCATAAATCAGGCTGGGCTCCCATTACCTTCTGTGAGGAGGAAGAGCGCGGTGTTATCCTCCCCCACAATGACCCAATCATTATTCGTGCTGACATTTCTAACTTTGATGTGGGGCGTATTCTGGTGGACACTGGCAGTTCAGTCAGCGTGATGTTTGCTGAGGCCTTCAACGAGCTCCAGGTCCCATATCACCTGCTCGACCGAAGCATCACACCCTTAGTGAGCTTCTCTGGTGAGGTGGTCCAGCCCATTGGAAGCATTCATCTCCCAATCTCTATTGGATCGGCACCCCAGCGGAGGACAATCACCACTCCCTTCCTCATTATTGACTGCCCACAGCTTACAATGTCATCCTCGGCCGCCCCGCCATGGCCCAAATGAAGGTCTTCATCTCCACCCATATGCTGCTGCTCAAGTTTCCTACGCCTCATGGCACAGGCACGGTGCGCGGAGACCAACTTGGCGCCCGAAGCTGCTACGCTTCGGCAGTAAGGTCCACCAACCGCCAACATCGGGGCGAGGCCCTCGTAGTAACCCAAGCTCCAGCACCGGTTCAGGCTGGCACCGAGCGTCCAGAGGACCCTAGGAAGGAATCTGTCACCCCACAGGCCGAACCTGTGGAAGACCTTGAGCTGGTTACTCTTGATGAAAACATCCCGGACCGGCAGGTCAGGATCGGCACCTCTCTCTCACAGGAGCTTCGTTCTGATCTTGTCGCCTTCCTTCGCCTTAATTCTGAGGTCTTCGCCTGGTCGTACAATGACATGCCAGGCATATCACCTGAGATCATATCCCACCGGCTAAGCATTAATCTTGCCGTTCGACAGAAGCGTCGTGCTTATGACCCAGAGCTATATGAGGCCATGAGGGCAGAGGTGGACAAGCTAACTAGCATTGGATTTATCAAAGAGGTGGACTATCCCACCTGGCTGGCCAATGTGGTGATGGTTCGAAAGGGCATAAAGGGCTGGCGCATGTGTGTAGACTACACCAACCTCAATCGGGCCTGCCCGAAAGATAGCTTCCCCCTACCCCGCATCGACCAGTTAGTTGATGCCACAGCTGGCCACGACCTTCTCAGCTTCATGGATGCTTACTCGGGGTACAACCAGATTTTCATGCATCCTAAGGACCAGGCACACACCTCCTTCATCACGGATCGTGGCCTTTACTGCTACAAAGTCATGCCCTTCGGCCTCAAGAATGCCGGGGCCACATATCAGCGTCTGGTGAACGCCATCTTCGCTCCCCTAATTGGCAACACCATGGAGGTTTATGTTGATGACATGCTCGTCAAGAGTCGCACTACTGACCAGCACATCCCCAACCTCTCAGCCATGTTCACCATTCTGAAGCAGTATAAGATGAGGCTCAACCCCACCAAGTGCGCATTTGGGGTGGCTTCAGGCAAATTCCTTGGCTTCATGATCAGCCAGAGGGGTATTGAGGCCAATCCAGAGAAGATCAAGGCCATATTAGACATGACAATACCCAGGACAATCAAGGACATCCAGAGCCTTACCGGGCGGGTCGCAGCCCTGACTAGATTCATCTCCAAGGCCACTGATCGCTGCGCCCCCTTCTTCAAGGCACTTGAGGGTAGCAAGCGGAGTATTACCTGGACCGCTGAATGCAACAAAGCTTTCAACGAGCTCCTCATGATCTATCTCTCCATCTCGGCTACAGCGGTCAGTTCTGTGCTCATCCAGACAAAGAACGGTGCTGAGCACCCAGTGCATTACGTCAGCAAAGCGTTACAGGACGCCGAGGTTCGGTACCCGGACATCGAGAAATTGGCATTCGCCCTGGTGGTTTCGGCTCGGCGCCTCAGGCCGTACTTTCAGGCTCATACCATTCATGTCTTAACCAATCAACCACTTCGGCAAGTGTTGCTGAAGCCGGAGACTTCTGGGAGACTAGTCAAGTGGGCCATTGAGCTTGGCGAATTCGATATCCACTACAAACCCCGCCTAGCCATGAAGGGCCAGGCCGTGGCTGACTTTATATCTGAATTCACCGAACACCATGCCGTGGCCAGTCCACAGATTACGATGGATCCCACTCCTACCCCGAGCCAGGCCCACGTCGCCAGCAACGGCACCCTAGACTTGACACAACCCTTATGGACTTTGTATGTGGATGGCTCTTCCAACGCTCAGGGATGCGGAGCTGGCCTTGTTCTCATCTCTCCGGACAAAGCCGTCCTTGAGTACGCCCCTTGTTTCCAATTCCACGCCTCCAACAATGAGGCCAAATACGAAGCACTCTTAGCTGGCCTCCGGTTAGCCAAAGAGATGGGCGCTAGGCAAATTCAGATTTTCAGCGATTCACAGCTCGTTGTCCACCAAGTCAACCAGGACTTCACTGCCAAGGACGTGTCCATGACAGCCTACCTCCAACATACCCGCCATTTGCTTACAACCTTCAACGCTTATTTCATAAGCCAGGTACCGCGCTCAGAGAATAGCCATGCTGATGCCCTAGCTAGACTAGCCTCAGCCATAGAGCAGGGTCTTGGCCGCAATATCCACATGGAAATATTGGATTAGCTAAGCACACAGACACCACTCATCTGCGCCATCGATCACAGCCCAACATGGATGGACCCCATCCTCCAATTTTTGCAGAACCAGACGCTACCCGCTGACCCTGCTGAGGCGCAGCGTGTTCGCTATCGCTCTGCCCGATACCTGATCATTAATGGCGCCCTGTACAAGCGCGGATTCAGCTTACCCTACCTTCGATGCCTGACCCCAGAGGAAGGCCACTATGTCCTTCGGGAAATCCACGAAGGCATCTGTGGTAGTCATTCAGGCGCCCGCTCCCTTGCGCATAAGGTCATTAGGCAAGGATACTTCTGGCCCTCACTTCACACTGACGCCCAAGCCTTCACCCAGAAGTGCGACAAGTGTCAGCGGTTTGCCAATATCCCTCAACTCCCAGCTGAACCTTTAACAGCAATGGTCAGCCCTTGGCCATTCGCCCAGTGGGGACTTGACCTCATTGGACCTATGCCCGAGGGCAAAGGCCAGGTCAAGTACGCAGTCGTGGCCGTCGACTACTTCACTAAGTGGGCTGAGGCTGAGGCCCTAGCCATCATCACCGCTGCTCGCATTGAGGCGTTCGTCTGGCAAAATATCGTGTGCCGCTTCGGCATCCCCAACGCCATCGTCACGGACAACGGCCGGCAATTTGACAACGCAAAATTTAGGCAGTTTTGTTCCAACCTCAAGATAAAACTTTGCTTCGTTCTCCAACCCATCCTCAATCCAATGGCCAGGTCGAAGCCGTGAACAAAATTATCAAGAAGACCCTGAAGACCAAGCTTGACAAAGCCAAGGGTTGCTGGCCAGAGCTACTCCCAGAGGTTCTTTGGGCTTACCGCACCACCTTTCGTACCTCAACGGGAGAAACACCATTTTCCCTTTCCTTTGGTACCGAAGCAGTGGCACCAGTGGAGATTGGCCAGCCAACATACCGAACCTCCACTTACGAGGCCGAGGCCAATAACGAGCAGTTGGCCCTCAACCTCGACTTCATCGACGAGCTTCGTGACCAGTCCAACATGCGCAACGTCGCGTACAAACAGCGTATTGCCAAGTACTACAACTCCAGAGTTAAACCCCGAGCTTTCACAACTGGGGACTGGGTCATGCGCAAGGTTTCCTTGGCCACTAAGAATCCTAATGAGGGTACCCTGGGCCCTACGTGGGAAGGTCCATATGAGATCACCAAGGTATGCCGCCCCGGGACTTATCAGCTTCGGGATCCCAAGGGCAAAACGTTGCCTCACCCTAGGAACGCCGACCATCTCAAGTACTACTACAAGTAAACATACCTAGACCCTAGGACATTATGTTTTCTTATACTTCGGTCTTGAGCCTTGACTCAAGCCCACCATTGTACTTTCTGCCCTTCGGCACCTATCTAATAGAAGCACCCAATTGGGCCCCATTTCTACTCATTCACACTTCAGAACTTGGCAGAATGCATAAGGCAAAAGGGTACCAAGCTATCATAAAAATCAAAGTAACCCTGCCTTAGGGCAGGGCAATATCCATACATGTCAAAAGACTACGTCTACCACAACTGGGTACATCATAACAAAAAATATAAACAAGCCCTCAAGCATCAGCATGATCGTCCGCCTCCTCCTCGGCAGCTATGTCAGGATCCACGGTCGACTCCCCTCCGCTAGCATTGGCACCTCCTCGCATCTCAGCCTCCGAAGGACTCGTAGCCTCGGCGACGGAGTGGCTGCAAACAGTGACTCCCAACCGGAAGGAATGGGAGGGGGAACACCACTGGTGTCGAAGTTTATATCCAACTCTGGATTAAACCTCGCAACCAGTATCTCCCACCCATACTGCTCCTCGACCATCGTGTCCAGGACATGACTCTTGAACCTGTCCGAGCCCTGATACTCCTCTACAGCCTCGGCACGACCCACGCTCAGCTCTTCGGTCCTCCTCCTCTCAGACTCGAGCCTAGCCTCCTCTACCGCCTCTAGCCGCAGGGTCGTCTCCTTTAGCTCCCGCTCCAGCCTCCCCACCTTCAGCTGCAGCACGTTCCTCTCCCGGATGGCAGCCTGAGCCTCGGCGGTAGCAGCCTTGGCTGTCTTAGAATGGGGTCTAGCCAAGTCCACCTCTCTCTCCGCCCTGGCTAGGGTGAGGTACATATCCCCAAAAGCCTGCAATAAATGTATGTTCATAAGCTAGATCATAATTGCACTATTAGAAAGTTAAAGGCACATGACTACTTACATTGGCGATAGAGAGCACCGTCTTCTGGACCCGATTGGAGAAGTCCGTGACCTTGGTCCGAGCGAGCTCCCCAGCATCAATCTTTACCCCAGTCAGGAAGGCGTTGACAAGAGGCACTTCCTGGCGATGCATGGTCAGGGTTACCTCCTTCGCCTCTCATCGAACCGAGGCAAAGTCTATATCCTCGGTACCTGTAAGGAATAGCTCCTCCATCTCGAGCGGCAGCCTGGGTGGGGGATCTAGGTCGAACGGCGGCAGCACTGTTCCACCCATGACATCATGGATCGAAGACTCAAGTCCCCTCCGCTTCTTCTCCAGCTCCGTCAACAGCTCATCCTCCTCCATTCGAGGCCGCTTCCCAGCAGCCCGGGCTGCTGTCCCCTTGGCGGTACTGGGCGCCCCCTTTGCCTGCTTCTTGGCCCTATTGGCCCTATCTTTCTCTCTTCTCTCTTGCAACTTTCGTTGCCTCTCCTCCGGATCCACCACTACCTTCGGTGACGACTCAACCACGGTCACCACCTTCTTCGGCACCTCAGCCACTGCAAAAACCAAACCGAAGCAAAGGTGAGCAGATAATACAAAACAAACATATAAAAGAGAGGGAGTGGGCCAATACTTACTTCCTTGAAGCAACCCCGACTGTAGAAGAAGAGCTGGTGTCACAATATTCTTCAGCTCACACGCTTCCTGGGGCACCTGTCTCCTCACCAGCTCTATCTCTTCCTCTTCCTCCCTGGACATTGGCCTACACTTCACAGAACCTGCACATGGACAAAGGCGTTAGTTTTCCCAAGCTTCGGACGACAATACATATTCATACCAACACATTCAACACAAAGACAGGAGTTATAACCAAAGACCTATAGATTGAAAGTGGGTAGGCACATGTTTGCTGACAGTCGACCCAGGCCAGCACTCCCAATCACCAAAGGCAAAGAACCACCGATTTCGCCACGTCTTCTGCGACGATGGTGGTTGCCCTATAAAGTATCCTCTCTCCTTCGCCTTTCAACAGTTGACCTGCACCCAGCCAAAGTTGCCATGTTGCCTGGACACTGAGTACAGATGCATGAACTGCTCAAAGGAGGGCTCCCCTCGTTTCGCCAACCACCATGCTATGTACACCCCGTGCAGTATACACCAGAAGTTGGGATTATACTACCCAGGGGCATAGCCCAATCTGGAAAGCATCATTTGCACCCAAGGATGCAATGGTAACCTCAACCCATGTTTGTACATGGCTGAGAACACCATAACGCAACCCTCGGGAGGATACCTAGCCGCTTCAGTAGGTATGGGCAACCTCAGCCCCACACAATCAGGTATTGCATAATCTACCTTCAGTGACTCTAGATCATACAGACTCATCATATTTTTCTTCGGTAGTGGAACCCCTATTGGAACGCCCACATCGGCGGATGCTACTACCACCGTACCACACCCCGATGGCCCAGCCCGCCCACTTGCACTAGCCTCTGGTGCCTGGGTTATCCCCAACACCCGGTTTGCACAAGCTTCTAGGGTCACATAGTTCCTTTGCATCTCCCTATAAGCTTCCCCCCCAGAACTCCTTGACTGCTCCCCTCCCCCAACCCTATTTCCCTCCGCTATCAGCCCCTCCACCACACATTCAGACCCAGTACTTTCCCCATCAGTACCCATGTCTTCATTATGGCTACCACTCTCAAACTCTTCCCCACTGAAGGCATGGGGACTTGGAGAGCTTTGACTTTCTCTTTCAGAATTATCAGACATCTACAAACACAAAAAGGGAAACTAAGGAGCATGCGAAGATTGAAAACAAGAGCCTAGGCATGTTCTTAATATTTTCATGGAAGTTCATCTACGTTCATACCAAATTCATAAAAAACTCAAGCAAAAAAGGCATTTCAATCCAGAAAGGGAGAAGGAATACAAGGCATACCTTGTTATCACCACCGTCCACGGTTGCCGGAAATCGCCTAGCTTACGAAGGTACCTTTTCCCGCCTTGCCGGAAATCGCTCCGCTACCTGAATCCTATCGAAAATCGCCCGGAAATCGCTCCGCTACCTGAATCCTATCGAAAATCGCCCTTTCTCGTCTACTAAAATCTTTCGAAAACTCCAAGTGCTCATTCCTTCAGCCCTCCACAATCTTTGAAAGGCATACGAAGGACCCCTCGATTCTTGCTCCAAGCAATAACTCATCATACCGTTGGGACGCCTCGATTTCCACGCTCAGATGTTTCTATGCCACTGCCATATGGAACCGATGACGTCACACCTTCCCTTCGGAGGGCTACCTTCCGAAGCTTGGAAGGACCCCTCGCGACACGCAATGATGTCACACCTTCCCTTCGGAAGGCTCACACCTTCCCTTTGGAAGGCACCCTTCCGAAGCTCGGATGGACCCCTCGCGACACGCAATGACGTCACACCTTCCCTTCGGAGCGCTCCCTTCCGAAGCTTGGAAGGACCCCTCGCGACAAGCGATGACGTCACACCTTCCCTTCGGAAGGCACCCTTCCGAAGCTTGGAAGGACCCCTCGCGACACGCGATGACGTCACACCTTCCCTTCGAAAGGCACGATGACGTCACACCTTCCCTTCGGAAGGCTCCCTTCCGAAGCTCGGAATGACCCCTCGCGACATGCGATGATGTCACACCTTCCCTTCGGAAGGCACGATGACGTCACACCTTCCCTTCGGAAGGCTCCCTTCCGAAGCTTGGAAGGACCCCTCGCGACACGCTATGACGTCACACCTTCCCTTCGGAAGGCACGATGACGTCACACCTTCCCTTCGGAAGGCTCCCTTCCGAAGCTTGGAAGGACCCCTCGCGACATGCTATGACGTCACACCTTCCCTTCGGAAGGCACGATGACGTCACACCTTCCCTTCGGAAGGCTCCCTTCCGAAGCTTGGAAGGAGACCTCACGATGACGTCACACCTTCCCTTCGAAGGCATGATGACGTCACACCTTCCCTTCGAAAGGCTCCCTTCCAAAGCTTGGAAGGAGACCTCATGATGACGTCACACCTTCCCTTCGAAAGGCATGATGGCGTCACACCTTCCCTTCGAAAGGCTCCCTTCCGAAGCTTGGAAGGAGACCTCGCGGTGACGTCACACCTTCCCTTCGGAAGGTACCCGTGACGTCATACCTTCCCTTCGGAAGGCCACCTTCGGCTTTGACCGAAGCCCAAACAAAAAAAAAAAAAAAAAAAGAAGAAGTGTGTCTCTAGTTTTCAAACTTGGGGGACTAGGGGACTACCTTCAGCACTCGCCATGCCGACACGCTTGGTTGAATTACACAAACTCTTCACAAGTTCCCAAACCAGAAGCCACTTCTTGATTGACAACTTGGGGGACTACTGTTTACACCATAATTAACCAAGCGTGACTAAAACACCAAGGTAGACATGCCTTCTTTCCTGCCAAAGGGAGATGCTCTTCCGAAGGGACAACCACCTACCGAAGCTCCAAACTGCCAAACCTTAAACACAGGAGACACGTGTCATCATCACAGCAACTTACACAAAGTCCCACATCGGAACTTTGTGCAAACCTCCTACTTTTACTTCCCTACCCTAGCTGACTCAAGCATCGGAGAGCCTTCGGCCGGCACCACACCGGTGTCCGAAGCTTAACGACTGCTTCTTCCATCTTTGTCTTCTGCAGGCTAGCCCTCTACTGAAGGCCCAGGCCCTTCTCTTGCTAAAGACAATCCCCTATCTCTAAGTTGACCCTCTCCGAAAAAGAGCATCAACAAAAGTTTGTATAGAAATTCAATTTCCTCTTGTCCTGCATTGAAAGATTATAGTTTTAGGGACTAACTGTCCAGAATTGAATTCATTTCCAGAACAAATATTTGCCCTCAATTCTACATTCATTTTAAATCTATGTGATCCGAAGTTGCTCGTGTGAGTCTACATGAAAGTATAAATCCTTGTTACATCTTTGTAAACAAAAATATAAAAAATATGTTCAGTCAAATTTCATTCAGTACTAAGGAGTACCAGTATCTGTTAACAACACGTACCGTATTCATCCAGATTGATGAAAACAATTGTTTAAATAAAAATCTCCTTAAGTATCATTCCAGATTTGGATGTTTTTCTCATAGTTTCCTTCATCCTACTGTTTCATGGGAGCAATGTATATCTGGGAGGGAGGGATTTTGTAATCTGTGAATCCTTGCTGACTGTTGAGGCCCAAAAAATCCATGGATTGGGCCCAAGCAATTATCAGCCCGATACAATATTCCATAAGGGAAAAAGAAAGGAAAAAGGGTCTATCACATGCAAGTTATAATCCACATGCCGTGCTAAATAAACAAATTATCATGCTATGATTCGCGATAAAAATATATATATATATATATATATGATTAACTCATGCTAAGATTAAAACAATTCTTCCCAAGGGCGATAAATTAAAATATGCTAAGCAACATGCCATGCCGTTATCTCGCACCCAACCACGCTACAAGCCTAGGTGGGCCCAAGCCACTCAAAAAACCCGGGGCTTGCTTGAGTGGGTTGTGGCATGGATGGTGATAAATCAACATGAGACCCATTGATGGACCGAGAAATGGAAAGTCTCGGGTTGCTTGGGAGCCTCGAGACTCAAGCCCATTTCTTAGGCCCAAACATGTGGGTAAGCACAAGAGAGAAAAAATAGCCCAAAAGCCCAAGCAAAATAACCTAGCCAAGAGATAACCCAACCAAAAAATAATAAGCCCAAATCAAGAAGCCCAACAAGCCCATTTGCTTAGAAAGCCATCTTGGCCCTTAGAAAAAAAACCCAAAATAGCCCACAAGAGCTTTAGCCCTTTTGAAAAACAGAGAACACATGAAGGAGTAGATGGCAGGCTCCTTAAGCAAAGCTGCTGGAAACCAGTCCCAAGCCAAAGACATCCAAAGAACCGATGAATACCATCCCGCATGCTGTCAGAAGCATCCCTTGGACCAGCATACATTTGCACCTCTTTTCCTTCATCAGATTCAGCCAAGGAAGAGGAAAGAAAAGAAGAAAAAACAGCAAACCAAGAGTGGAAACTCTCGTTGCACAACCGCGGGAAAGGAGGATGTTGAGCCCCCAAATCCCCTGAATTCATGAAAATAGACAGAAGCAATCTTTGCCAAGAAAGGGAAGTCAGAGAAGGGGAGGAGAAAGGAAGAAAAGCTCAGCCAAAGTAAGTAGAAGCCATTAGGGTTTCTTGAAAAATGGTGATTTCCGGCAGCTATAAATTGAGCCTTCCTCTACCCAAAAAACTCAACCCACAACCTGCAGAGAGCAAGCTTTTCTCTCTACCTTGCAAAACCCAGATTCGTGCACTGTTCATCTCCTTCTCCAATTTGTTTTTCTGGCAGCTGCTGGAAGAACCCTGCCTTTCCTTTTCTCTTTCTCTAGTCAAAATCCCCCACAAAGCACCCCATTCCTTACTTAAACAATTTCATTTCTCATAAACCAAGCCTAATCTCTCTCTTAGTGCTAAACCCATGTTGATTTTGCTCCCCATGCCTCATGCCACTCATGCTGAGCTGAAAGACCATCTGTAAGCATGCCAAAACTACCTGCAAGTCACCATTATTCTCGTTGGTGAAGATTATCCAAAATATCTCCTAAGGTTTTGCTGCCCTTTCGAGGTATTTTGGGGCTTAATTTTCGAACCTAAACGAAAAGGGGCAATCTCCTCAGTCTGCCTTTTGCAACAAGCCTAGCCCATTTGCTGCTGGAAGGAAAAAGCTCCTACACTGACGAATGTTCTTATTAAATTGATTCATTACAAATTGTCAGATCCTTGCTGAGGAATTAGTTTCTTCTTACCTGTTGGTTTGTGAATCATAGTCCATTTTATGATTTCATTGAAAGTACTGCACTATTACTTTAAGTCTTGTTTTTTTATAACTTTAGTAGCCCTCCTCCTGTATTACAATTTGGTACAACTGTGCCAAAGAACTGTATTTTCTATCCACGAGATGGATTCATGCCGCCCTATGAATTAATAACATAACTGAATTTGTGGCTTAAATGGAAAACAAGAAGCATCTGCATGCTTAAATTGGATATGAAACAATATTTATCCAAGAAGAGAAGAAATTGTGATGTTATTTCAGTTATTTCTTTCTTCCCTTTGTTTATTTGTTTGTCCTTAGAGGTGTATATTGACTATTTTTTTTTCAATTTATGCCATAAATATGTCTTGTAAGTCTAATGTTTGAATGTTATGATATTACAGATAAAGCTCCAGAGAGCAGCTGAGAATAATCCAAAACCAAACAACTGTGTTTTTCAGCATCCTTCTAGTTCACAGCTCGTTTTTGTAAAAAGGGACAGCAGAAAAGTCTGTTGTGGATAAGATGTTTTGTTACTGTCATATGTTTTGGCATTCCGCTGCGGTCAGTTACAGGAAGACTTCTCCTGTCAACATTTTCCGCTCATTAGCTATGAAAGTAGAGGATGTTACAGAGTGAGTTTCATGGCTCATGTTTTTTCCCTCTGTTTTTAAATTAACCCAGGTGCTGGTTTTATTGCCAAGACTGTTCTAAAATAGTTTTTGAAGCACTGGGGCAATCATTGTGGCTGAGCCTTGTGGTTTTCCCCGTCTTGAATTTGTAACTTCATCTTTTATCTTGAACTGTTTCCTCTTCCAAAACGAAGTTTATCTTGTAATCTTTATCTTAATTAGCTTAGAGCGATACACCCCTAATGTATTCTTTATATGTAGTTGTAGGTTGCTTCGTTAAATAGAAGTTGTGTAATAAAAAATTGCCTTCCACTTCTTGTTATTCTGGGTGGCTTTTAGATTTGGTTAAACTCGAGTGAATCAGGAGTTTCTGCTAGAGTTTTGCCAGCTTGTGGTGACTCTTTATTTTTCCGTTGTAATTAAACTATTCAAGCAGTTTTTAGCTCCAATCTTAGGACAATTCTCCATGGGGAGAGTAGATATAGGAGGGAGATTAATGTCTGGAGAAATAGGAGGGAGATTAATGTCTGGAGAAATTATAGGGAGATACTGGAATACCGCGTGGCAGTTGCCAGGTATCATGGTATCTAGACACATGGTATTATACCTATTAAAAGGAAAACGAACGGGGCCTAGTAATTGAAAATCTACCTTACACGAAAGAGAGAGAGGCACTCATGTAATGGGGATATCACTTTTTACTATCTCCGATTAATAATACGTAGGATAATTTTTTTTTATGTGTCATTGTGTTATTGACCGGGACAATAAAACAATGACATCCTTGTTACATGTGAGTTTTTAATTACAAGAGATGAAATTGCTTTCCTGTAACTTATAGAAAATGAGAATGCAATTTCATACCAATTTCCAAACCGCGGATATTCCAACCATATGTCATATGCCTGTCAATTTGAGTTCAGCACCACAATAACTAGCCTACTACAATCACTTTTGATAAAGTCCACCGACACTAAAACAAAAATAAAAAGAAGAACTTAAAACCATGACCGCATAAAAATTTAGAGATTTTCTATTTAAACCCCACACTTCTCTTAGTTCACCTCATGTTCTAAGTTCACCCCAACTTTTAATTTAAATTCTCACAATTTCTAAGTAAACCCCACTATCTTCCCAAACTACCCTTACATACACCCCAAGCTGAAAAAATAAGAAATAAAAAAGATTTTCTATTTAAACCCCACAAGCTACCTTTAGAGCCATGTCAATAAACTCTACAGTCCACACTAACACGGTAAAACAACTCCAGAGATAAATTCATTTGACTCTTCCCTTATAAATTGGGACTGGTGTCTGAGCTTTTTATTCAGTTCTCCACAAATCTTTTGCATCATGGGTTGGTGAGAATATGTATAATTTCTGGCGTAGCCTATGGGTGTTATGGAATTGATTTTAATTTCCTCTTATGCCTGGGTTTATCTGCATTGAGATCTTTATGATTGGAGAATGAATATTTTTTGTCTTTGTTTAGATATGCATCAAGTCAATATAACCAGTGTTTATTTCTTCTTTTGTCAATCTTCTAAATTGTTTCCCTTCAATGCGTTCCTATCATAATATCGTCAGTGTCTTCTGCAGGTAATTGGTGTTCTAGATGTAAGTAGAAGTAAGGAGAAGGGATATGAGACGATTGTAAAAGATGATTTCTGTGATGAGGTTTGGCATAAGTCCCAAATTCCCATTCTTAATTGTCGAATCAGAATGCTTATTTGCCTTGTGCATCATCTCATCATTGTTGTTCTTGTTGTTTTTAATTTTCTTTTTTACATTTTGTTTATGAGGCTAGTGTGGTGTGGCGTTTCTGTTAGTTCAATATTGAGATGGTAGAGTTTATTTTGTGACTTTAATGCGTCTTGATAGATCTGTACAGCTGCCTGCGTCTTGATAGATCTGTACAGCTGCCTATTGTCTGAATTTAAGTTATTTCTAATGTTAAATTGACAAATCATTCCCTCATCTTCTTGTATAGTTAGATGAGCTAAGGCAAATATATGAGGAATTGCCTGAATTTCTGGAAGAGGTAACTGTTATACAATTCATTTATACATCTAATTAGAAAGTAGATTGAAGTCTAATGAAAATAAAAGTTTATAAAAGTTTATAAAAGTTTACAAAACCCAGTAAGTCAAATGAAAATAAAACTATTGTGACAAAACATCTAATAGTAAGGAATCAATATACTTCAAGATGTACATCAAATGAACCAGTAAGCTCTTTCCAATTGTCAATGCGATCTCGATATGGACTATACCAATCAAATGCTTTGAGGTTGGAAATATCAAGCCAACGATTGATAACAGGTGGCATAGGATGGTGTGGTTGCAAGTGTAGCTGTCAAAATAAAATAAAGTTATCAAATGTATAGTTAAAACAACAAATAACTTTCACAAGGCAAAACTGGCAGCTATAAATAGAAAAAATTTACACACACAGCTGCATCAATATCAAAAGTGTGCAGGACCTTTTCAGACTCAAAGTACTGTACCAAATTGTGCACAATTGCGTCAATATCAAAACACAATTGTATCAAAAACAAAAAAAAAAACCAAAACCACAGTTGCATCAATATCACAACACAGTTGTATCAATATCAATATAGGATAGGACCATGAACTCAATTTTACTGATTACGTGAAATGAAGGCTACACCTACAATGTAATGTATGCATATATAATCATAATGGATCTTGTCGTTGGTTCCTTTTTAATAAAGAAGTGGGCTTTTATCTTTTGGATTTCATGCTTTGACTTTTCGACTTGCACAGGCAGACTTATGTAATGTATAGTACCAAAAACCCAACTTAACAATATTCCCATAAATCTCTTGGTTTCGTGCCTTTTGAATGTGTATGTCAATTAATATAATATGAAGAAAAATTCAAGTTACCCCATACTTTCTAGAGAAAGAGAACAGTTTTACCAAAACATCTTGTATAAATTTTAAATCAAAAATCAAAACAATCAAGCAATCAACCAGCCAAGCAAAAAAAAAAAAAAAAAAAAAAAAAAAAAAAAAAACAAAGAAGAAAAAAAAAGAAGAAGAATCATTACAGATGACAACATCATCAACAAGTCTTTCCATCAGCTTTTCGCGCAGATTTCAAGAGTGGTAGGCTCGTCAATGTTCAACGTCTTTAAAATAGAAAAGCAATCTGGCATAGGATGTAGAAGAGTTTGTATTTTTTTTAAACTTAATTTGAAGAGTTGTGGGGTGTGTGGGGTGTGTTGGGGTGTGTGTATAGATGTATTAGGGTTAAGTATTAAGTTGAATGACCTTTTTTGTCTTTTTACACAATAATAAAACTTACAACTTAATGATTTAAATATTGGGGTGAACTAAGAGAAGTATGGGGGTTTAAATAGAAAACATCAAAATTTATTGGGAAATGACCTCCAATGCCACCCATTTACTAATTTTAACTAAAAATACCATCCTTTCCTAATTTTTGTACAACTACAACCTATAAATATAAAATTATTGTCCCCTTATTGTACCCATATCAGTTTTTCAGAAATTGCTCTCTCTCTCTCTCTCTAACTCGCTCTATCTCTTCGACCGTCTCTCTCCCTCGTGTACCTCTCTCTCTTCGACGACAATCATCTTTCTCCCTCTACAGTGGCTGTCTGCGTTCTCTCTTCCTCTCTCAGCGTTTTATCTCTCCACCGTCGCTCCATGACCACCACCACTCTGTTTCTCCCACTCTCGCGAAATCCATCTCTGTGTCAATTTCTCAACAAAAAAACTCAATCTTTATCCCCTATCTAGGGTTATCTGGTCTTACAAGGCCAACCCAGAAAAATAAAAGCTTAGCCACTCCCTCAGCCATCCAAGCTTAACTCCATAGTTCACATCCACAAGGTACTGTTCACGTTCCTTTTCTTAGAAATTTGGGGTTTTTGTGAATTTAGTTTATAGTGTATAGATTTGTATGAAATTGGTTTAGGGGTTTCTTCCAAATTGGTTTAGGGTTTTAGGGTTTAGAGGTTGCTTTGAAATTGGTTAGGATTTGTTTTGTGCCCAGAAGATTGTGACTTTGTTGAAAGTTTGTAAATGGAAAAGGCACTGTTCACAGAAATCAAATGCAAAAGATTGTGACTTTGTTGAAAGTTTGTGCCCAGAAGATTTGTGCATTTGTGCTTTCTCTGTTTGAAAGCATGGTTTTATCTATTTTTTTTATTTCCGGGATTGTTATCTAATTTCTTTATACACCATCTGCTGCTCGAAACATCATAATGCAGATGAAGCATCTCAGGGAAACTCTTTACTCAGTTCTTCTTTTCCAAGTTTGTGTTTCATTTAGTAATTGCAACAATTGGGTGTGCCAATTGTCAACAAATTTATTTAAAGCAATGTTGACTTGCTTGATCTCCGATTTTATTCAATTCTGTACTCTATTTTGGTGTAATCTTTGATGTAGGATATATCCTTTTTTGACAGAGAAGCAGTTGGTGATTTGACAAGCAGACTTGGGGCAGATTGTCAACGATTATCTCTTGTTATTGCGAATGATATTAGTTTGATCTTACGCAATGTTCTTCAGGTTGTGGTTCTTACCCTTCCCCTCCCCCAAAATGTGCATTTGATTTTTTTAATAGTCTAGTCTAAGTTACAGTTTTTCTATATTCAGGGGATAGGTGCACTGATCAATTTGCTGATATTATCTCGGCCTCTCGCATTATCAACATTGTTTATCTGCTGTGTGTTATCTATGATTTTTCTTCTTTATGGATAGTAAGCTTCTTTACCTTCTTTCTACTTTATATCTGATTTGGATTTTTCGAAGCTTGAGGTTATTTATACCGCAAAGTTCTGCTATAACAATAAATGAAGAAGTGATATATTTGATTATTTTATATTTTATAACAATATATAGGTACCAAAAGAAAGCTGCAAAGTTAGTCCAAGACTTCACTGCTGGTGCCAATGAAGTATAGACAGACTATAGATCCAAAATGCTCCAAAATTTATGTTAATCTTCTTTGGTTGATCACTTTCCTATTTGAATGTAGGCTGCGCAAGAAACATTTTCCTTGATGAGAACTGTCCGGGTTTATGGAACTGAAAGAAAAGAATTTGGAAGGTGTATATTTTACTATTAATTTCCTGTTAGGCATTTTCTTTTTACTGCCGTCTTTCTAATAAACATAGCACAAGAAAATCTGAGAATTCTGACACCTAAAGCATGCATCCTATGTGATATTAGGTTCAAGCAATGGCTAGTCAAAGTTGCTTTTGTAAACATTCGAGAGAGTGTGGCTTATGGATTCTGGTGTGTGAGTTTCAGTACTCTTTATCGTTCAACGCAGGTTTGGCTCTTTTTTAGTTAACTATCATAAGGTATTGGGCTTAAGTTGTTGGTTTTCTGAAGTGAGAAAGGAAAATGTCTCAAGTTATTACATTTAAATGAAAATCTATTATTTGACTCCGCTTTGTCAAATCACACCTACAGATTATTGCAGTGGTGTTGGGAGGAATTTCAATTATGAGTGGTCATGTATCAGTTGAGCAACTAAGTATGTACTGTATTGTGAGTGGTTAATTTATGCAACTTGGAGGGTCACAGAAAATTCATTTCTCCAAACATATGAAAGCTGCAGTTTTTCTTGAAGTTTACTAAAGATACTATTTTGTTTCGATTAAGCTACTTTTACTTTGAAGTATGGATAATCACAATGATTTAGAGGAAAAGAAAAGAAAAAATAAAAAGAGGAAGGGATATGACAATGAAAAGTGAGAGGAAAAGGAAGAAAGTGACTAATCTATAATGTAAAGTTTTTCCTTATATACTTATGTTCTGGTTTTTAAAAGCTTGGCTTTATGGTATAAGTTGCACAATGACCTTGCATCTACACTGGTATGTATAGAAAAGACTAAGTTTATTTATTTATTATCAACAAAACGGACAATTTTACCCGGTATTTAATTTGAAGCTATTTGTTTCCTCCAGGAACAGCGTGCTATACTTGAGAATGAAATGTTGCGCAGACAGGTAAACAACATTCTTCTTGCTAATGAAAATTTGATCAGTTTCTGACATTTACTTCCCTGTGAGTGATTTGTATATTATGTAATGTATCTGTTATGGCCTATACTTATATTGTAGGATGAGGAGCTTCGGTGTTTATTTCCACAAACTGACCGTGCAGTCCCATCCTATCTGGAATATTATCCGGTGGAAAAAGAGAAATCCCTTGTAAACCATGGTTTCACAAACCCAGATTTGGTCAGCAATTTTGCATTTGAGAATGGAGATTCTGACATCACCCTGCATTTAGGGTACTATTCTGTCCTTATTAACGAAATCACCTTCAAATAAACTGCAAAACTGTTGTTGCTTATTGTTTCTTGTGCATCCTAGGCTACTTAATAGATTTAGATAATATTTCCGAGTTGCCTAGCCCATTGCTCAGCGGTGGCAGAGCATGGAAAATTTTAGGGAGAGGTAGAGGGAAGCAAAGTAAAGTGTTAAAAGTTTATTACTGGTGAAATAAGTATATAGTACTTATCCATACTGCGAGTAAAATTGATTACTACTAGAAAACTCATCTATGATAAACAGTCATATTGTTTGGCTGATTACAGGGTGGACTAATCTGGCTCCCACAGGAGGGATTCTGTTCCTTCTTTTGCAACTACTGCCTTTTCACAGGACCTTACAGGGCTCCCTAGCTATAGGTTCACTTGATTTTGTAGCCTTTTATTTTGCTATGATCTTATTTAGCTTCTCTAAGAGAGACATAGAGCTGCGATAGACAGATACCAAAGAGAAAGAGAGATGTGCCAGAGAGAGAGAGAGAGAGAGCTGAGTGAGCTAAGAGAGAACAAAATTTCTGAACATGTCAAAAATCAGCAATAAGTGGACAATAATTATATTTTTATAGGTGATATTGTAATACTATTGCTATTGTATTGTGGTTATATTGCTCTAATATTGCCTCTATAGTGTACATATATTGGCCTAATATTGCTATTATATCGTATGTCAATGGCCATTTGGTCTAATAACAGAGTCTCCACTTCATTGAAAGTAATCCTGAATTCAAATCTCATGGACACAACAATTGTTATCCATCCTTATATTAGCATGAATTGATGTTGACCTTTGAAATGATGGTTGGAGTTGGACATCGATTCATATTCAAAAGGAACGTAATTCTCTCCCTCAATGAATCTGATAGTATGCGGGTCCTATATTTTCGTTTTCACCATTGGCCATCCATACACGGAATCTGTTAGCCGATCCAAGATGCACACTTGTAGTGTAGGTTAGTATTTTATATGCATGTTTAGCTTAAATATGTGTATGGTAGACAATAGAGAAGAGTTTAGTGTAAATATTTTTGTAAATAATTATTCTTTGTTTGGTACAGGTCTGGTGGATAAGTTTCTTTTAGTATATCAGCATGGTTGAAGTTTCCAGGTATTTTTTTATTCTTCTATTTTTAATTCTTGACTTTATCTTCAATATTAACTTTCAGCTGCTCTATCTCTCTTTGTCTCTCATGAATTTTTCTTTTTGTTTAATGGTTCTCTCTTTCTTTTTGCTGTAGATAACCTGTTGTTGCTGATATTGTTACACGGGAGGAGAATAGAACAGCTTGGAAAAAGTGCAAGAAGGGAGAGCTAACTCATACAACGAAGAACAAATTGATGAAGTTAAGATCAAATTAGTAGAATTTGTGAGCTCTCCATTATTTATAATTATAGGTAGGAAGTATGTATGTAATAGAGCAAAGATTGGTTGACTATGTAATAACAATTGAATTTTCAAGTTTTATGAAAGAAATAATTTTTACTTCGCAGGATAGTATTGTTAGGGTTCGGTGGCGATTTATTTTCCATGTCTAAATTGTAGTCTGTAATGGATGTGTGTGTATTGTATGTAGATTGACTTAATATTTCTGTCTTATTGCATGTGTATTGTACTAATATTGCCTATGTATTGTATACATATTGTATGCATATTGCCACCGTATTGCATGTATATTGTGATGCTATTGCTGTCGTATTGCGATTATATTGCCCTAATATTGATTCTCTAATGTATGTATATTGGCCTAATATTGCTATTATATTGTATGTATATTGACTACAGCTCATCAATGGGTTTACAGTTTAAGCCATACTTCATTCAAAAGAAGAAGAGGAGGAGAAAGAAACAACATGCCTTTCAAAAACAGGCAGTCAGGTGCATCATAATTGCACCATAAGACATTGTAAGAAATTATTTTAAAAAATAATAACAACTGAAAAATAATTTACAAAAAAAGGAAGGTATGAATAAAGAGATAGAGAGCAAGAGAGCGAATAGGGGGAGAAAAAGACAGAACGAAGCTAGAGAGAGAGGCAGAGAGAGAAAGAGCTGCGCTGTAGAAAGAGAGCAAAGAGAGAGACAGAGAGTTGCACTACAGAGAGATAGAGAGATAGCCAAGAGAGAGAAAGAGCTGCGAGGGTATTTTGACGATGTAGGAGTGTAAAATGTGATTCCATTAAGGACGTCGTGTCCTTTTTGTAATATGTTATAGATTATGAATATATAGTGGGAATGTGGAGTTTTTGTATTGCCTTTGGATTGCTCCCCTATTGTATTTGTATTGTTATCGTATTGCCATTGTAGTGTCATGGTATTGCCTGGTTATTGCACTGATATTTCTTTCTTATCACCTGTTTTTTCAAGTCTATCTTGTGAAGGAACTTATAAGGATATTTTGTAAAAGAAAACGCTTGATTGTATTAGTTTATTTTGTAAAGGAAAATGTTAGATCATTATTCTTTATCATATAAATAAGGTATAACAAGCACCGTATATGTATCTCTTCAATATGATTGATTCATGTTCAGCTATTGGTGTAAGAATGTGATTCCATTATTGCTTTTTTATTGATTATTTATTATTGTAAGATTGTGATTCCATTAAGGACGTCACGTCCTTTGTATAAATCAAACTCATAGTTGCTTTCCCTGCAACAAATTATATTAATTAAGAAAACCAACCAAAAAGCAATAAACGAAAACCATATGAAAGTAATGGCACGTAGATTATTAAGTAGTAACAGACATGCAATACAAAAGCAATACGATAGCAATAAACAAGCAATAAAGTGGCAATAGACACGCAATAAAAACGCAATACAAATACAATAAGCAAGTTGGGCGTGGCTTTTCTTTTTCTTGTGTAATCTGAAAAGAAAAGGGGGAAAGAAACATAAATTGTCAAGACGAAACTGCAGAAAGAAATAGAAAGTGATTATATCAGACATTTCCCCTTACATTTTTCCTGCCAATGATATACATACCCTATGAAATTGGAGACATTGTTGACACTGAAAGTAGCTGAGGCATGCATCATTTTGCAAACACAATGATGAGATTGAGATATGATGCACATTTCACATTTTCCACCTTATTATAATGGAATTTTAAATTATAAATACAAATTCTATACTGATAATGATAACCACCCCAAGCTAAGGACGGCTCGACGTAAATTAATACAACTTCAGTTAGACTATGGCATTATATACATCCCTTCAAATACAATATACAAATTGCTTTTGTTTATTGTTTTTTGGTTGGTTTTCTTAATTAACATAATTTGTTGCAGGGAAAGCAACTATAAGTTTGATTTATACAAAAGACGTGACGTCCTTAATGGAATCACATTCTTACAGCAATAGCTAAACACGAATCAATCATATTGAAGAGATACATATACGGTGCTTGTTATACCTTATTTATATGATAATGAATAATGATCTAACATTTTCCTTTACAAAATAAACTAATACAATCAAGCGTTTTCTTTTACAAAATATCCTTATAAGTTCCTTCACAAGATAGACTTGAAAAAACAGGTGATAAGAAAGAAATATAAGTGCAATAACCAGTCAATACCACGACACTACAATGGCAATACTATGACAATACAAATACAATAGGGGAGCAATCCAAAGGCAATACAAAAACTCCACATTCCCACTATATATTCATAATCTACAACATATTACAAAAAGGACACGACGTCCTTAATGGAATCACATTTTACACTCCTACATCGTCAAAATACCCTCGAGCAAGGAATGGGCGGAGAGGCTTCTGTAAAAGTTGAGGATGTAAAAGATGTTCTTGACTTGAAGGTGGATTAGTTACTGGCCAAAGGCTTCTTAGGAATTATTTTCCTTTCGCAACTCTCCAAGAGCTAATCCAGCCTGAGGGAAAAAACAGAGTCAGAGATACATAATTTGTTACAATGAAATTGGTTGGATGAGAATCGCATATGTGCTTCTTCAAAGGTGCATGCTTGTGCTATCTACAAACTTATATAAATTTGATGAACAATTCTTGCAAACTGGGAAAAAAATTCCTACTCAGGCGAAAGTACAATTATGAGTACTTCCCAAAACTTATAAGTCCTAAGCACCATCCAGAAGGAAGAATATATAAATAGACAAAATATCTTCTTCTAACATGTAAACAGAAAATTAGAAATTATCAAGTACAAGATTTCTCAAGAAAAGTCATTAACATGAATATTCAAGAACCGTGATAGGACTAATATTGGTATAAAACCTACTTTACTTTACATAGTGCATCACAGATAAATTCTAGCAATATATACACTGCACAAAATAGTGACTTCTTCTATTAAACTAAAATCCTAGTTATCATTTTTACCTCCCAAAGGGATTTGAAGCTAGGATGAGTACTTCACTAATTTGTTGTTCCTATAAAACATCCAATACTTGCTTGGACAAGGTCAGCCAAAGAGTGTAAAGACTCAAAAACGATCATATACTTTTCTTGTTCAAGTAGGACATGCATTCTTTCAAGGGCCATATGAAAATTTAGTCAAACCTTCTTTCCCTTTTGAATTTCTCGTACGAAATTATAGGGTTCATAGAAATAGCCAAAATTAATTGCAAACAAGCAACCTAAAACAGAGCCCAAAATATCCAATCAGAAAAACGATCCAAATACACAAAACCAATGAAACCCATTTGAGTTCTTACACTTGAGTTTGTTGGTGACCTAAAAACAATTAGATATTGCCAAAGTTAAAAGAGATTATTCTATTTCTCCATCTCATATACTCAATCTTCAAGAGTTTCTCGTATTAAAGCATATAAAGAACTTCAAAGAAGTAAAATATTTAAGCAATATCTGAGTGATACACAAACCAACATCTACATGAATGTCAGCACCTTCTCTACGAAGACTGATACTCCTAACCTGCAAACAAATTTAATGCGTACATATATTAGACAAAAGCATTATACATCCTAAGGTATCAATAATGAGGAAAAAAAAAAAGCAAGGACATCATCAGGATGAAGGACTTATGCAGGACCAAACTGATTTCCATCAGGATTAGCCCCACTAATTACAAAAACAAGCAGATATAGTAGTACCAACATTTGTAATCTGACCTATGTTGTAAATGATGATTCATGATTATTTTAATAAAACGAGCAAATTTATTACCATCATCAAAGTCAAAAGCTTTGGATTTAAAATTTACACTATCCCACCACAACAACTGCCACGACCAAAAGGAAAGTAAAGAACTTAACTTATTAAATTGTATATGGCAATCCAAAATCCAAAGCACCACAACAAGCTTGAAAGGGATGAAAACTAAGTTTACCTACTTTTTGGTTTGCTGAAGTTTTAAGATTGACAATAAGGTCACACTTGTTCTGCTGACTCGCACTTCATCATCCTTGTTATCAAAAACCAGTGAAAAAACTAGAGTACCGAGTTATCAGAATAAAAATAAAAAGTAATAAAATCCTAACTAAATCTAAATGGAATTTTCCTTGGAAGGAGGCTTTATCAGCATCTAGTGTGAGAGATACAAAGGCAAACCAAACCAGAAACTGTCCTACTCAAGGTCTCAAAAATGAAAATCATATGGTTCATAGAAATAACTGAAATTAATGGCAAAATAAGAATCCATAACAGCACCCACAATATCCAATCAGAAAAACAACTTGAGATATATAAAAGAATGAAGTGTCAACTAAGGCCCATTTTCTTGTAGTGAAAGTAGAATATAGACATGCCGACATAAATATTTACACTAGACAGAGAAGAAACTAAACAATGCAAATTTAACCCTTTGGTAATTACTCTTGAGGTGTTCTAGGTTTCTTCTTTCCTTGGTCCATGAAAATATTGGCGAACTCAGAATAGTACAGAAGATTGTTAACCTATTTGTTACAACATTTTACCGATCACAAGTTAACTTCTAAAATATCTCAGTCTAACCCATTATTTCACATTAAATGGGTTGCAACAGGTGTAATAAACCACAAACAGAGAAATAAATTGGAAAAAAGTGTAACATGTTTTCAGAAAATAAACAATTTAAGTGGAGACACTGTAACAGCAGGCATTTTAGTCATGGGCTATGTCAGGCAGTGGCACTTTTTCAAGCCATCAGACAAATTGTAAAGCATGAGAATTATCAAACAAGCCTAATAATACTGAATGAAAACCATTACCGATCAATACAAGATTTATGAGAATCACAAAGTAACAAAATTGTGCTACATGTCTGACCTTTCTTGTTTATTTGGAAATAGTGAAAAGATATTAATATAAGGAAAGAAAGGAAACAGTGCATAAGGGATTTAAAAGAAAAAAAGTGGCAAGGAAGGACAACTTTTGTGACCACAAATAGATGCATGTGTCTAAATCTTTTTGCAATGATCGTGCCTTACAATTTCAGCCAGCAATACCATCAAGGATTAAATTTGCAATAAGAAGGCTCAACATAGAAATAAAAAAATACAAAAAGACAAAACCTAGAACAGAAAATTATTCACCTAGATCAGATACACACCTTGGCCTGCCCGAGATGCTAGTTCGTACATCTGGAGTAAAAATTTAAAGAACGCCTTCAAACATGGCAGGGCTAAAAGGCCTACCAGTCTCAAGAACACTTGCATCTTTGTTCTTTGAACTTGAACCACTAGGCATGTCAAATTCAGAGACGAACTCTGCAAATGCACCCAATCTATATAAATTCAAATTCAAATGGACAACATATTAGTTAAGTGATTAGCCACAAAAAGAACAAGCATAGGCAAGGTAGCTTCCTATTTTCTGAGATCAGCAATCTATATCAATTTTGTTATTTGCAAATTGCAATTCTACTAAAACCACGTAAATGCAAAGTAATCGAATAAACAAAAGAAACCTTAGGCACTTTGCGAGTTCTCAATTCCTGCAGAAGCTGAACAAAAGGAGAACAGGATAGAAGAGCCTGTAGCGTTGCGTTGAGAAAGCACAGATTCCCTGAATTGATTAAACCACGAGGCAACAAGACCGTAGCAACTGTAACAGGCTCATTCAAACACTTATGTAGTTCCCCCTTTACCTTAGAAGCTGATAAATCATCAACCCGACCATTCTGCTCTCTGTTATGCAATTCCAGACTTGGAAATTGATTGGAGAGGCTACATCAATAGAGCAAAATCAATCAGACCAATAGAAGTTTCATCCAAGCATGAAGTAACTCACAGTTAAAATACAGAAATTTCCAATATCTCTAATTACTAAACTTCACAAAATCAGTCACAGGTTAGTGAAATTATCCTTCTCAAATGAAAACCATACAAAAAGACAAACTAGTCAATAACAAATACAAAACCTACCTTAGAATCACTCGTTTTGCGCACATAACCAAATTGGAAATCCCAGAAACACCTAAAGAAAAGCACGAATTTTGTCTGAGAGGATTGAGAATGAGGAGGAAGTATGTGAAAAAAGTCAGAATCGAAACCAAGAATTAGGGTTTTTTGAGGCCCTGAAGGAGCAGAGGAGAAGAGAAAGACGTCGATTGAAGACATGAAAAGAGAGGGAATTGAGAGATTGTTGAAGGGAGAGAGCATTTAACGAAGAAACCCTCTCTTTCACCTTCAAGAACCCCCTCAACAAACCCTAACAGAGAGAAAGAGAGTGTTGTTTAGGTTTTTGCGACAGAGGGAGAAAGAGAGTGGTGGTGGTCGATGGAGAGAGAAAGCGCTGAGAGAGGAAGAGAGAACTGTGAGAGAGAGCTGAGAGAGAGAGAGAGAGAGAGCAAGCGAACGCAGAGAGAGTGAATAGGGAGCTGAGAGGGACCAAAATTTCTGTAACAGTGATATCTGTGCAATAAGTGGACAATAAATATATATTTATAGGTGATAGTTTTACAATTTTTGAGAATGGGTGGTATTTTCACTTAAAATTATGAAAAGGGTGGCATAGAAGGCCATTTCCCAAATTTATTTACCAATCAAAAATCTTCCAACACAATAAGTCCACCATAAAAATCTTCCAACACTAAAAACAAACGGGAAAGTCTATACTACACCCGGCGCACTGGTGCACCACTTTTTTTAAACTGCCCCAACAGGTAGTAGGTAAATATTATATATTTCATTTTTCAAAAAGAAAGAAAAAGAAAAGATTATGGTGGGCCTTTCCACACCATAGTATCTCTCCATCTCAACCCTAATTCCTCATCTCATTTGAGATTTTTTCATAAACAGACAACCCATCTCACACGTTGACGACGACCAACAACCCATCTCACACGTTGACTCCTCTATTTCTTCACGGGCAGTGACTGAGTCTTCCTCTCATATACAGATTGATAAGCTCTCCTCTCTCTCAACAGTGACAAAGGCTTGACGCAAACTGCGTGCGGCATCTTCGATCTCATCTCAGCCCAGCTATAATGTCTTACTGTTGTATATTCGAATCTTGAACCCCATCTCATCACAGATTTGAGATTCACTGAAAACCCCACCCATCAGCAACAATTATTTTCCTTGGTTTTGATTTTTATATATATATATATATATATTTTTTAATTCTCTTCCATTTCTTGTTTAGCCTAATATTTTCTGGGTTTTATGTTGTTCAGGTTTTTTGTTGAATATTTTTGGCATTTCAAGTTATGCCCGGGAATAAATATTTTCATAATTTTTTTTTTTTAATGTTAATAATTTTTTTTTTTTTTTTTTTTTTTGAATATGAATGGCGCTCCTCAAGTTCATATTATATGTTGAAATTTCCATTCATATTTTTCATATCGTTAATAATAAGTTTGGTGGTGATTTTGGTGGCTTTTTTATTTTAATAATGTACTTGTGTATGATATGGATAATGAGTGAATTTATTTGGGGTTGCTGCTTTTCCTATGACATGCACAAAACAAATGCTTGCATGTAGGATTTTGTTTAAGACCATAAATAGTGTCACTGGCAAAAAGAACGGAAATTGTGTTGTAGCTTGTGATCTAAATAATAACACAATTCATGCAATGCATACTAATATTTCTAATTCTGGTAGTCATAGAAAATAATTTAGCGATGCAATTTTTGTTAGAAATCAATTAAAGGCCAACTTTTGGCAGTTAATTACATTTCTCGTGTTGCATTTAGTTTTTTTTCTGTTTGTCAATTGCATTACTATTGTTTATACCCAAAATGGGCAGCCTATGAAAACCAGACACGTGGATGGAATTGAACTTAACCATGGTTGCCTTCGGCACCCTCCCTACCGATCCGATGATTAGGGCAACATCTTTCTCAAGACACATGGCAGACCCACAATTGGCGTCCACAGTCCCACATCGAAATTCCAACCAAAGTGCACACCTCCCAAGGTCTATAAAAGAGGACAACTATCCCAAAATGGAGGTAATCAGAACTTACGGCATATGCCTATTGATCTGTCAGTTCAAGTTTACTAAATACATACTTACTTAAGCATCGGAGAGCCTTCGGCCGGTACCACATCGATGCCTTAGGTCTTACCGAGTGTTTGTTGTCTTACAGATCACGCGTTCTACCGAGGCCCCGAGCACACCGAAGGCCCAACATCACTAAGTTGAGCGGGAAAGTTACCGAACTATTTTTCCTCGTCAACAGTTTGGCGCCATCTGTGGGAAACGATATAAATCGACCCATTCTTTCACCCAAAATACATGGGGACCACTTCAGTACCAACATTCTTATCGGAGGATGGATTGCCGTTAGGTAGGCAAGGGGGAGCAAGCCCACACTGCCTCCCTGCACTCCCATCGGTAATCCACCAGTGATTCAAACCACAGCTGAAGCCAAGCTTCTAGCCCAAATCGCTTCCCTTCGAAAGGATATGGCCAAGCTCCAAGAGCACAACAACCTCCTCTCGTCCAAAGTAGACGAAACCCAGCAATTGCTCAATCAGCAGCATACGCAGAACATTCAAACAACTCAATCATCCCAGAGCTTGCAGACTCCCAGTCGGCAGAAGAACGGTAAGAAGGGGCAAAGGCAATGCCTGCGCCCTCCAAGCAGCTGGTGGTTCCGGCACCCAGGACCAGCCACACATACCGAAGAAGGTTTACACCGACTGTCCCCATTGGATCAACGATAAGGAAGCCGAAAGGCAGAGATCTCCGATTAGGATCGATGCCCGCCTACGGGACTCAAGGATGAAGGTCTTGGGAAACAAATCACCCATTCGGAAGGTTCGAGGGTTGGAATCAGAAGTAGAATCTGACGCCACAAACACAACCTGCCGAAGAGCTGGAAACTGTGGTACTGAATGAAGGGCAACCCGATCCGTGTGTCAAAATCGGCACCGCACTCACCCCACAACTCTGAGCGCAATTCATTGAGTTCTTATGGCATCATTCGGAGGTGTTCGCTTGGTCTTATGATGACATGTCAGGCATCTCCCCAGATATCATTAGCCATTCGCTCAGCATCTCCCCCGTCTATAAACCGTAAGGCAGAAGCGCCGTTCGTATGATGCCGAACGATATGAGGCCATGCGCACCGAAGTTGACAAGCTAAAAGCCATCAGCTTTGTTAGGGAAGCTACGTACCCTGTCTGGCTTACCAACTCAGTAATGGTTCGGAAGTCCAAGGGTGGATGGCGAATGTGTCAAGACTATACTAACCTGAACAAGGCCTGTTCGAAGGATAGCTTCCCGTTGCCTAGGATCGACCAGCTCGTCGATGTGACTACTGGTCACGAGCTGCTCAGCTTTATGGACGCTTATTCAAGATACAACCAGATTTTCATGAACCCTGCCGATAGCGAACATACGACATTCATCACTGACCATGGATTGTACTGTTACAATGTAATGCCGTTCGGCCTGAAAAACGGGGGGGAGGGGGGCAACATATCAAAAGCTTGTTAACCAAATTTTCGCTAAACATATCGGCAGCATTATGGAGGTGTATGTCGACGATATGTTGGTGAAAAGCCGAACGGCATGGGAACATCTAGAAAACTTGGCCCTTATGTTCGGTATACTGAAGGACTACCGAATGAGGGTAAGTTTCTCGGCTTCATGATCAGTCAGAGAGGGATCGAAGCAAATCCCGAGAAAATCAAGGCCATAATTGACATGGAGAAGCCAAAAACGCAGAAGGACATTCAGAGCCTTACTGGACGTATCGCTACCTTAACACATTTCATTTCCAAGGCTACCGATAAATGCGTACCGTTCTTTGGAGCCTTGAAAGGGGGAAACAGCATATCGCATGGATTGCCGAATGCGACAAGGCATTTCAAGACCTAAAGAACTACATGAGCAAGGCATCGCTATTGGCAAAACCACTTCCTGGAGAAGTTCTTCTTCTCTACCTTTCCTTATCCATCATTGCAGTTAGCTCAGTGTTGATATGGAAGCCAGAGAAGGCAGAACTACTGATCTTCTATGTTAGCAAGGCGCTGCAGAGCGTAGAGCTTTGGTATCCCCCCTTGGAACAGCTAGCACTAGTCCTCGTCTTCTCAGCTCGAAGGCTCCGCCCATACTTCCAAGTGCACAAGATCACGGTTCTGACCAATCAACCCCTTCGGCATGTACTCCAAAAGCCAGAAACCTCTGGCCGATTGGTCAAATGGGTGATTGAGCTCGGAGAATTTGACATACAATCCAGGCCTATGCCTGTAGAGAAGGGTCAGGCTGTTGCCGATTTCATTTCTGAGCTTACACCTACGGTACCACCAAAACCAGCCAGTCCAGACGCTGATACCGGAGAACTAGAAAGGCAGATTACCGAACGCCTTGATTCTTCCATTCCTGTATGGATTCTGCATGTTGATGGTTCGGCAAATCAATAAGGTTGTTGAGCTGGTCTGGTGTTGACTACTCCAGACGAAGCCAAGGTCGAGTATGCCCTCCGATTCAACTTCAGAACCTCCAACAACGAGGCAGAGTATGAGGCTCTCTTGGTCGGCCTTCGGCTAGCCAAGGGCATGAGCCCAAAACAAATCAGCATTCACAGTGACACCCAGCTCATAGTGAATCAGATAACGGCAGACTTCGCAGCCATGGATGCCTACATGTCGGCTTACCTATTGCCAGCCCACCAACTCCTCTAAAAATTCCAGGCCTACGAGATTCGGCAAATCCCTAGATCAGAAAACAGCCATGCCGATGCACTCTCATGGCTAGCTTCGGCAATAAACGACAAAGTCAGGAGAAAGGTGCTGGTGGAAATCCTATCCCAGCTGAGCACGACAACTTTCGAAGTGTGTACTATACGATACGAAAACACATGGATGTCTCCTATCTACGCCTTCTTAACAAACGGTACCCTTCCCATCGACAAATCTCAAGCCCGAAAATTACGTTACCGTTCGGCGCGATACACAATCATCAACGATGTCTTGTACAAGCGAGGCTATATCACGCCATATCTAAAATGCATCACTGCCTAACAGGGGGACTATGTCCTTCGGGAAATCCACAGCAGAGTCTGCGGTGACCATTCAGGGTCCCAATCGTTGGCACATAAGGCTTTTCAGCAAGGGTATTACTGGCCAACTACGCACCAAGATGCGAATATGCTAGTGAAGAAGTGCGACAAATGCCAACGGTTCGGCAATGTGCCTCACATCCCTACAGAGCCTCTCTCACCAATCGTAAGCCCATGGCCTTTCGCCCAATGGGGACTGGACTTGATCGGTCCGATGCTGCAAGGCAAGGGTCAGGTCAAGTATGTTGTTGTTGCCGTGGATTATTTCACCAAATGGGTAGAAGTCGAAGCTCTAGCAACTATAACGGCAGCTAGAATGGAAGACTTCATTTGGACGAACAATTGCTGCCGATTCGGTATCCCCTATGCAATCATCATCGATAACGGCAGGCAATTTGATTCGGAAATCTTTAGGTAGTTCTGCACTCGCCTAAAGATCAACCTGTTCTTCGCTTCGCCAGGTCACCCACAGTCGAATGGTCAAGTCGAAGCAATAAATAAAATCATCAAGAAGCTACTAAAATGGCAGCTTGACAACGCCAAGGGAGCTTGGCTAGAGAAGCTTCCAGAAGCATTGTGGGCCATTCGGACATCCTACCTAACGGCAACCGGGGGAAACCCCTTTCTCTCTCGCCTTCGTTTCAGAAGCGGTAGTCCTCGTGGAGATCGGCGAACCCACTTACCGAACGGAAACCTTGGCTCCGAAGGCGAATGAGAAGGTGCTTGCATTGAGCCTCGGCCTAATTCAAGAACGCCAAGTGCAAGCCAACCTTCGGAATGAAGCATACAAACAGTGCGTCTCTCGGTATTACGACTCAAGAGTCAGACCCCGCTCTTTCTGAATCGGTGACTGGGTTAGGCGAAAAGTTTCTCTGGCAACTAAGAATCCCACAGAAGGAACCCTCGGACCTTCCTGGGAAGAACCTTACGAGATCATCAGCATCCTTCGATCAAGAACCTATCGGCTCAAAGACTCCAGCGGCAAGACCCTCGTCATTCTTGGAACGTCGAACATTTGAAGTATTTTTATAGTAGTTCCCTAGCTTACGGTAGGTTGTAATTGTAAAACGAACTCCGAATGTATCTTTGCCTTCGGCAATATTTAATGAAAAAGCCTTCGGCTTGTATATTCGCAACCTTTGGTGTGTTTATTTATTTCGTTAATTAAAAAGATGCGGTAGAGACCATCGGTCACAATATACTACTCTTATAAACACTTTTATTAGCCTTCGGCTATTAAGGTACTGAGCTCAAATCTCCTGCCAGTTTAAGGTTTATTTCGGACGGTAGCCGTTGATTAGCCTTCGGCAATTAAAACACTTAAGTCCAGTGCCTTACCGATTAAAGGTTCACTTGGGAGTTTGTTCTTTAACTAGCCTTCGGCAATTAATCCATTATTTAGCCCTCGGCAAGTATAATGATTAGTTTCTAAGTCCCTTACCGATCAGAGATCCACTCGGCAGTTAGTCCTTTATTTGCTTTCGGTAATTAAAGATGAGTAAGTCTAGATACTCTACTATTAAATATTTTATTGGCCTTAGGCAGTAAAATGTTTTGAATTAGCTTATTACCGATTGGAAGTTCACTTAATATTAACTTTTTATTTAGCCCTCGACATTTAAAATGATTAAACCAGAAAATCTATCGATAGTGTGGTCACTTTGTAGTTGGACAAACAGTTGAGCAAAATTACAACATAAATTAAAAAGATGCCCTTGACATCAATGTGTTCAGAAGAGCTGCCTTAAGGCAGATACAAAACAAAAGTAAATAAAACTTACAAAGCTAATGCTAAGCTCAAGCAGCGGCTTCCTCGCCATCGTCATCGGCACCCTCATTGGTAGCAGAGCCCTCGGCGACAAAGGCTTCACCAGGAGCGTCCTCCCCTTCATAGTCTTCAATGATCTCCTCAGTCATGCCTTCCGGAAGGGGAGGAGGATTGGCAATGAAGTTGAGGTTGAGCTTTTGTCCGGGGTTGTACCGTTTGAATCGGTAGAGCAGATCCACCATCTCAGAGCCTACTTCCTTATCCAGCAAGATAGAGAACTCTGTCGATGAACGGTAGCTCCTTATCGCCTCCCGAACGGAAGCTTCAATCTCTGAAGCCTTGGCTTGCTCCGACTCCTCCAAGGCCACCTACACTACCTCCTTTGCTTACTCGGCATCCTTTGCTGCTGACTGCGCAGACTCCAGACCACCGTCATCTCTGCTAGCTTGGCCTCCGAAGCCTGAACTTGTTGTTCGGCAGCTTGCTTGTCCTTCAGCAGATGAGCGTGGTCCTGAAGGGCTTTGCCAGTCTCGGCAACTCTTGCACGGCCGTCCTCGTACGCCTTCTTGGCACGCTCGGCGGCAGTGATGGCTCGCTTCACGCACAGCCACATGTTCATTGAAGCTTGAAAGACCAAGAAAAGTGTCAGTATAGGAACGAACAGTAAAGAAACCAAAGAAAAAAAAAGACTTACCAAGGCCTGGAGACGGAAGGCGCGCCCAGCCTCCTCCCGTAGAAGCTTCTTCGGCAGCTCCTCAATCTCGGACAACTCCATTTGTGAACCAATCGTGATTGGCTTCGCCGGGTTATCGTCATCCTCGGCAGCAAGGATCGCCATTGGCACCACACCCTGCCGACTGCGCTTGGGTGCCGGCTCCGCCTCTAGATCCACCGTCACCAGCCTTTTGCCAATACCCTTGGAAGAGGTGGCTTCGGTAGTCTGCCCCCGCTTCGGCTTAGAGCCAGCCACTATAGCACTAGCAGACCTCGTCTCGGCGTTGAGTTGCTGCAGGCGGTCGGCAAGGGTTTGATCTACCGGATCAACCCCTGCCGACGGAACTGGAGCCGTCTCCGCCTGCCGTTTCGCTTTCTTCCCTTGCAGGCCCATCATCAGGTGCCTCTTGGAAGATTCGTTCATCCTTTTTGCCTTGGCAACTCTTTTCCCGTCCATCACTGCAAAAGAAAAAGATTGGTAAGGCAATGACTTGATATAAATACACAAAGAAAGTGAAGCCCACTTACTCTCAGCAGGGTCTGCAAGTTGGGCTTTGATGAGGTTTGAAGGAAAACAGAAACTTGGGGTAAACCCTCTCGACGGCAGGGACCTTCAACCTTACTCTGTCGACCTGCCGGATCTCTGATTGGTTAGGGCTCGGTTGCTTCAGTTTGCCTACAAAAAAACAAACAAACTATGGTCAGGATCTCAAGAAAGACACAACGATAGACCTACCGAACAGCATGTTCACCTACTGGCTATTTGGAATGTTGTAGGGATGTGGAACCGAACGGGCTGTCCTGATGGCGATTCCCAGTCTCTAGACAAGAGCACTCGCCGATTCCTCCACGCTTTCTGGGAGGTCGGCACTGCACTGACAAAGTGCCCCCGTTTGGAAGCCTTAAGGCAGTTAGCCTGAACCTAGCCTCCATGGTCGGCAGACTTGGACTTCGTGATGCTGTACAGGTAGGAGAACTGCTCATAGGAAGGCTCCCCTTCCCCCGAAATACCGAACGCCACGACCACGGCCATCAGGGCCATCCAAAAGTTGGGATTGAATTGGCCCGAAGCATAGCCGATTTGAGCCAATATCCTCTGAACTGCTAGTTACAGCGGCAACCGAACTCCCTGAGGAAGTACATCGGTAAAAAAGACGAGTTCACTGTCCTTCGGCTTGCTGAGGGATTCGGTAGGACCCGGGATCCTCATCCTCACCGAATCTAGGATGCGTACTCAGCACGGTACTTGGCTATCTCCCGTTCAGTTATCTTGTTCGGCTCCAAGTAATTGACACCGAACAAATGCTCATTCAGCACTCCTACGGGTACCCTAGGATTGCTAGGGTATACTACCGACACCTTAGGGCGAGGAGAGGGTCCAACGGCAGTCTCTCCACGACCGGAAGTAGAGGCTTCCGATTGGTAACCGGTAGGATCCTCTGGCACCCGAGAATCCTCCATCTAGAACTTATAGTGCTGGTCACCGCCAACATACCTGCCCTCACTGTATACCACAGCCAATGGCATGGGGTGCTGGGTCATAAGCCCCTTCTCAATGCTGTGGGTAGGAACGGAGCTTGGGCCTTCACCGAGTATCTCAACATCGGTATCTTCTCCGTCCTCAGCATCGAGGCTTACGGCCTCACTATTTGAATCGAACAGACCGTCCGATGACTCCCCCTCGAAAGCATTGGGCTCACTCTCGAACGGTGACTCGCTATCAGATATCTACAAAACAGATAAAAGGAAAATAAGGCCCATGCAGAAGAGCTAGACTACCAATTCCTACATTGCTACCTATGGCGACTAGACTACCGAATGGAACCCTATGGTCAGTCTAGTTCACGCCAAGGAAGGACGTGCGACATACAATTATATTAGAAGAGGGTGCCGAACGGTACCTTATCTCGTGTTGTTATGATTCTTGACTACCGATCGCCTTGGTCGGAAATCGCCTTTGTTGCCGTTTCCTATGCCGGGAATCGCCTTGATTGCCGTTAACATTGGTCGGAAATCGCCTCAACAGAGCTCTCACTTCTCTCGTAAATGCAAAGTGAATTCATCTCCAGAGTCGCAAATGCATATATAGTATGTGAAACATGTTCAAATTTCTCTAAGGCCTTTATAAGTTTATGGAATTTTTGCGTCCAAAGCATTGTAATATGAGCCCTTATTGTTGTAAACCGTTGAGTTTACAAGAATAAGGACCAAGTTTACATCTCCAAGGTCTACCATTGCCTTAATATTGTAATGGATATCCTTTCTATTGTAAATTACGATATTACAAGTTTATGAATACACTTTATAAGTTTATGGAACTTTGTCGTCCAAGTAATTGTAAAAGGAGTCTTTAATATTGTAAACCATTGTGTTTACAAGAATAAGGACTACATTTACTTCTCCAAGGTCCATCCTTACCTTAACATTGTAAGAGAGATCCTTTCTAATGTAAATTATAGTATTATAAGATTATGGATTATAAGGAACCTTAACGTTGTCATTATTGTGCAAAAATGCATAAATGGGAACCCAAATATTGTAATATACCATATTAAGGATCCATTTTATAAGTATATGAAACGTTTACATCCAAACCATTGTAATACGAGCCCTTATTGTTGTAAACCGTTGAGTTTACAAGAATAAGGACCAAGTTTACATCTCCAGGGTCCACCCTTGCCTTAATATTGTAATGGATATCCTTTTGTAGGGGCTTTTTTCTTCCGACAGCTACAAATAGGCTGGGTTGCCGTAAGGAGGAAACTGAAGAAATCGTCCCTTGTGTCTAAGATCGAAAATTAAGCCCCAAAAATGCTTCGAAAGGCAGTAGAGCCTTAGGAAGCATCTTGGTCACCTTCACCGACTAAAATAACAGTAACTTACAGATAAATTATGCATGCTTACAGATAAAATTTTGAGCTTGGCATGAGAAGCATGTGGCATGGAAGCAAAATCAACATGAGTTTAGCACTAAGAGGAAATTTAGGCTTGCTTTGAGGGAAAAGGAAGTGTAAGGGTAAGAAAGGGGAAGTTTTGTGAGAGATTTGGCTAAGAAAGAGGGCATAGAGAACAGATTTCTTCCGGCAGCTTGACAGATGCTCTGTTTGCCAGAAGAGAAGAATGGAGAAGAAAGGTGAATATTGCACGAGGTTGTTGAGTTTTTCCAAGGAAGAGAGGAAGCTTGCTCTCCAAATGTGAGTTGGATTTGTTAGGTAGGAGAAGCCTCAATTTATAGCCGCTGGAAACCACCAATTTTCAAGAAACCCTAATGGCTTCTACCCATTTTGGCTAAGCTTTTCCCTCATTTCTATCTCCTCCCATGGTTTTTCCCATTTGATGAAATCTCTTCTATCTATTTGCATCAGATCAGAGTTTTTGAAGCTCAAGGCCCCTTTTTCCCGCAGCTGTCTCAATGGCAGATTTCCATTCCCAGCCATCTCTTTTGTTGCTTTCTTCTCTTTTTTCCATGGCCAAGTCTAATGGGAAAAGGAGTTGGGATAAATATGTTGGTTCGAAGGGTGCTTCTGGCAGCTCACAGGCTAATATCCCTTGGTTCCTTAATGTTTCTTGCTTGGAACTTGCTCCCACCATGTGCTGGAACCTCCAACAGCTTTGTTCAATGAACCCTCTGACCCTCTCTTCGTGACTTCCTTTTTTTTTCTAGCAAGGGCAGAGGTTTTTTGTGGCTTATTGTAGAGTTTTGCATGGGCCAAGGTGGTTCATTAAACAAGTGGGCTATTTTGTTAAACATTGGGCTATTTTGTTAAACATTGGGCTTTTGAGTCAATACGTTATTTGGGGCTATTTGGGCTATTTCTTTTTCCTCTTGTGCTCACTCACATGTTTGGGCCTAATAAATGGGCTTGAGTCCCAAGGCTCCCAAGCAACCCGAGACTTTCCATTTCTCGGCCCATCAATGGGCCTCATGTTGATTCCTTACCATCCATACCACAACCCACTCAAGCAAGCCACAGGTATTTGAGCGGCTTGGGCCCGCTTAGGCTTGTAGCATGGTTGGGTGTGGAATAATAATTCCTTGCTTGGCATGGCATGTCGCTTGGCGCGCTTCAATTTTATCATCCTTGAAGAGGGACACGGTGCTTAGTTTAGCATGGGCTTGTATTTTATAATATTATTTCAATCCTTAGCATGACATATCGCTTGGCATGCTTTTAATTATTATGCTTGATGGAATAATTAGCATGGATTTGCAAAGATAATGCATTTTATAATCTTAATATCGATTCCTAGCATGACGGACAATTTATTTGGCATGGCGCGTGGAGTGTGACTCGTGCATGGCGGATTTTTGTGTGCTCCAAGTCGGGTTTTTTCTCAATAAGGTATTGCGCTGGGCCAAGAATTCATTTGGGCCAAGCCGTGGATTTTTTGGGCCTCAACATTAGCCATCTTAATTATTAGGGCCATGGGTAAGTGCTGGAATGGGCCGAATAATTAAACCCGACCCAAAAATCAAATTTATAAGTTCCAGCAGCCATTTGTGGTTTCCCATATACCAACTTCCTCCTTTATTATTTCTTCCTTCTTCTCCTTCTTCTTTATGCGTACCTTGAGTAATCCTTTCCCCATCACCTTCATCTTATTTTCCTTTTTCTTCCTCCAACGAATTCAGAGTGAGAGAGAGAGAGAGAGAGCGTGAGATCGGGCAACAACCACCCGTTTTTAGTTGCTGGAAGGGAGTTCGAGCCGAATCCAACTCCGTCATCTTCCTGTACGAAGAAATTCGCTTGCTGTTGCTGAAAAGACTGTCTCTGTGCAGAATTTTTTGCAAAATTCCCAATTCCTTCTTTCCTGGTGCATCTGAGGCTATCATTTGAAGGGATTAACAAGGTATGCCCTTTTTCTCTTGCAATTTCTTGAATCTATTAAGGGATTTGTTGGGTTCCTCATACCCATGGGTTTTGCTATTTGTTTTCGCAGCCAAGCATCCACTCCTTTTGACCCATCCTATTTTTTTGTTGGAGTAATCGTTTAGCAAGGAGGAGTTTGAGTCAGATTTTGAGATTATTCCCCCTTTTGATTTCTTTCTTTTTGCACGCTGCCAGAAAAGTGTGAACTTTGTGCGAATAAATCGTTGGTGTAGATTGCATCCTTTTCTTTTCTCCATTTTTCTTCCCCCTTTTTATCATGCGGTAAAAGGCTAAATTTTGCATGATGCTTTTTTTCTATGTAGGTGTATACGTCTCTGGCACAGGCAGGGGAAGGTGAGTGCTGGAAGCTTTGACGTTTTTGCTGCTGGAACCCTCGAATCTTCCAGCCTTCTAACTTGTTTATTTTTTGGGCTTCTGTTTTAGTCTTTCGATAAGTGACTCTGCCAATTTGAGTATTTGAGGAATAAGGATAGACTGGTGTTTGGCCTAGGCTTACTCCCGTTGCGAACATATGCTTGATTAATTGTAGAGTTTGTTCTTGGCCGTGAGAAGTAGAAGTTGACAAGATGCATGTCTTGCAATGCTTGATTTTTGTTTTGAGAGAGAATTTGCTTGGCATGCTTATTGATTCACAAGATGAGAACTTTGTTTGTCCCAAACTTGGGTCATAAATTGCATATTGGCTTGAACTCCTTTTTTTTTATTGAACTATATGCATCACGAGCACATGCTTGTAACCGCATGATTAATACATAGGGTTAGAGGCTGTTGAAAGCTTGAGGAAAGCACCATTGGTTTTCTTTTTCAGAGCTTGGACATGGATAACTATTTATTTTTTGGCTTTATAGGGATAGATATAAACATGTGCATGATAGGTCTGCAAGAATGTCGGGTAACTCATAGGGATTTTTTTTGTTTTTGTGAAAAAGGTTACTAGGAGGTAAGTGGTGTCCAGTTTGTAGCACTTGCTTTGTGAAAGGGTCTGCTGGAGTGATTGATTGAGCATGGAATGGGGAACTTTGCTTGTCATAAGCTCGAGTAATAGATTGCATGATGCTTCAAATTTTTTTGTTTATGCATTTCGCTTGGCATGAGATAGCTTGCTTTGCTTGGCTTGTAAAGTTCATATGGCTTGCATGCTAGTGTGAAGATTTCTTGGCTTTAACACAGAGATGCTTTTCCCTTTTGCAGCATATTCTTTGTTGGCAATTCTTGCAGGAATTCACATAATAAGTTATAATGACTTCTGTGATTAGTGGTGGCTTATTTCCCCTTGCACGACGGGGATATCCTTTCTATTGTAAATTATGATATTACAAGTTTATGAATATACTTTATAAGTTCATGGAACTTTGACGTCCAAGTAATTATAAATGGGTCCTTAATACTATAAAGCCTAGTGTTTACAAGAATAAGTTTCACAATTACTTCTTTAAGGTCTACATTTACCTTAATGTTGTAAAGGGGATCATTTTCTTTGTAAATAAGTATTACATTGTTATGGATTAGGATTCACCTTAATGTTGTAACGGAGGTGCAAAGTCTCGTAAATGCGAAACCAAATATTGTAATGTACAAACTTAAGGATATGATTTTACAAGCTTTTGGAAATGCATATGTCCATGATAGTGTAAAAGTGGTCCTTAATGATTTAAACTCTTGTATTTACAAGCCTAAGGACCCAATTTTACTTCTTCAATGTCTACTCTTACCTTAGCATTGTACTATGGGTCCTTTTCTCTGTAAAAAAAATTAAGGTATAATATATATATATATATATATATTTCATTTAATATTTATTTATAATTCTATATTATTAATACAGAATTATTATATTGATTATTTTTATTATATATACATATTAAAAAAAAAAAAAAAAAAAAAAAAAAAAAAAAAAAAAAAAAAAAAAAATGAAGAAAAAAAATTCGATTAGTAATTGGTTGATTTTGCAGAGAAGTATTTATATGATCATATGCTTGTGTATGATAGTGTTCTTTTGCTTAGCAATAATATTTTATATTACATGCAAATATAGACTATACTTTAAATTAAGAATCAATTTTATAAAAATCTATATTCTTAGATTTTAATATTTGGTGGAATAACATTTATATATATTTTTATGTATTTTATGCACACAAAATTGTCAATGAACGAGATATATATTTTATAAATGGTAATCAAGATGTTATCATGATTACTTAAAATTGAAATTTAACATAACCACAAATAAATAAATATTTGAAACGTTAGATCATTCTATTATTTTTCCTGATTTTGGTCATACCTAATATTTTTATATTTTACTAAAATATTTGGTTTTTTATTTATAGAAATCATTCACATATGCTAGTTACTGGTGTGAGTAATAGAGAAATAATAGAAGTGAGATTAGTGGAAGGAAACATGGAACAAATTTTTTTAATGCCTATTATTATTATTTTAATTTAAATATATTTAACTTTTTCTGTTTATTGTAATTTTCTTTTAATTTCTATTGGTTTGCATTTTCTCTTTCTTCTTTCACCAGTTGTACAGGTTGGTGGGATTCATTTTCAGTGTTTATTAAGAGCCATAGATTCAAACTGATCTACGGCACTGAAAGCACCACAAATCTTAACTCAAGTTCTCATTAGCCTTCAAAACTAGCTGCCCACAAATCATACTTGGTCCAAATCCTTTGCAAAGAATCGAAACATGGCTTTGGTTGGAGAGGCTATTCTCTCAGCTTCCGTGCAGGTGCTGTTTGACAAGATTGGCTCCCGCGAGTTCATCGACTTGTTCCGGAGAAAGAAACTAGAGTCGCTTGTGAAGAAACTGGAGATAACGTTGTTGAGCCTTAATGCGGTGCTTAATGACGCGGAGGAGAAGCAATTCCTGAACAGCTACGTGAAGGAGTGGCTCAATAAGCTTCAAGATGGTGTCTTTGATGCGGATGACCTTCTGGATGAGATCAATGCTAAAGTTTTGCGATGCAAGGTGGAAGCTGAATTTCAAATCGTCACGAATAAGGTGCGGGACTTCCTCCCTACTTTTCTTAATCATAATTATCAAGGCATGAAGGGTAGGATACATAAGTTGCTTGAAAGGTTAGAGCACCTTGCAAAGCAAAGGGAATTCCTTGGGCTGAGAGAAGGTGTTGTTGGGGGGAAGATTTCACAAAGAACTCCAACAACTTCCTTGGTGGATGAATCTTGTGTGTACGGTAGAGATGGAGATAAAGAAAAACTGATGAACCTCTTGTTATCTGATGAAGCAAGCAACAAGGATGTATCTGTCATCACCATAGTGGGAATGGGCGGGGTTGGCAAGACAACCCTCGCTCAGCTCCTTTATAATGATGACAAAGTGAAAGAGCATTTTAATCTTAGAACTTGGGCTTATGTTTCGGAAGATTTTGATGTTACTAGGGTAACTAAAACCCTACTTGAGTCATTCAATTCAAAAGCTTACGATAATAAAAACCTGAGTTTTCTTCAAGTTGAGCTAGGACAACAAATAAAGGGCAAGAAATTTTTATTTGTGTTGGATGACCTATGGAATGAGAACTATGGTGATTTGAGTGTCTTGCAACGTCCTTTTGCATCCGGGGCAAGTGGAAGTTGGGTCATTGTGACAACACGTAACGAAAGTGTTGCAGCTCGCATACGCACCGTTCCAATTCACTTTTTGGAACAGCTGTCCGATGAGGATTGTTGGTTGTTACTTTCAAAACATGCCTTTGAAAATGGAAACTCGAGTGCACGTCTATATCTGGAAGAAGTTGGTAAGAAAATTGCTACTAAGTGCAATGGTTTACCTTTAGCTGCAGAAACACTTGGAGGCCTCTTGCGTTTCAACACAAATTATGAGGAATGGAATAGCATACTAAATAGCAATATTTGGGAGCTGCCTCCTGAAAAATGTAATACAATTCCAGCTCTAAGATTGAGTTACCGTTATCTCCCAACTCATTTAAAACGATGTTTTGCTTATTGCTCAATTTTTCCGAAGGGCTATGAATTCCAAAAGGAAGATATAGTTCTACTATGGGTGGCAGAAAGTTTAATTCCACAAGCTGAGAGTGAGAAAAGAATGGAAGAGCTCACTACGAAATATTTTGATGACTTATTGTCACGATCATTTTTTCAAAGATCAAGAAATGGGAAATCACATTTCACAATGCATGATCTCATTAATGACTTAGCTATGTCTGTGTCAAAGGAATCCTGTTTGAGATGGGAAGGGGGCGAATCACATGAAGTTTTGAAAAGAGTTCGGCATTTGTCGTATGCTAGAGGGCAATTTGATTGTGCTGTGAAATTTGAGCCATTATATGAGGTTAAGCATTTGCGAACCTTCCTACCTCTTAGAAGAGAATGTTATGAAAATTATGTAAGTAAAAGGGTTTTACATGAGTTATTGCCAAAATTAACATGTTTACGAGTGCTAACGTTGTCAGAATATGGTAATATTGTTGAGTTACCTAATTCTCTTGGTAAACTCATTCATTTGCGCTACTTGGATCTCTCTAATACTGGAATCGAAAGGTTACCTGTCACAGTTTGCACTCTCTATAGTCTACAAACATTACTATTGGCAGGTTGTTGGTCTCTTTTTGAATTGCCTACTGACATGAGAAAATTGATTAACTTGAGGCATCTTGATTGTAGTGGAACTCAAATTGAAGAGATGCCGGTGCAAATGGGTAGACTAAAAAGTTTGAGAATATTGACTACTTTTGTTGTGGGGAAATCTACTGGGTCGACTATTGGAGAATTGAGGGAGTTGTCTGATCTTGGAGGAAAACTTTCTATTTTGAAGCTTAATAATGTTGTTGACGGTACGGATGCCTTGCAAGCCAATTTGAAGAACAAGAAAGATCTTAAGGAGTTAGAGTTGGCATGGGGCTCCAAAGATGCTGATCATTCCGAAAAGGTGAGAGATGTACTTGACAAGCTCCAACCTTGCATGAATTTGGAGAAATTGACCGTCAAACTTTATGGCGGGACCAGCTTCCCAAACTGGTTGGGAGACTCTGCCTTCAATAAAATAAAAGTTATGCGCCTTGTAGGCTGTCATTATTGCTTCGAGTTGCCACCGCTTGGACAGCTACCTGCTCTTAAGGAGCTCTTCATATGTGAGATGAAATTTCTTAGGACGATAGGTCCTGAGTTGTATGGTCAGCCATTTCAATCTTTTCAATCACTGGAGAAGCTAGAGTTTGAGGAGATGCCAGAGTGGGAGGAATGGGTATCAAGTGTAAGTGGAGGTCCAGACTTTCCTCGTCTCCAGGAGCTGATTCTAGAAAAGTGTCCAAAGCTAAGGGGAAGCTTGCCTTGTGATCTGCCTTGCTTGAAGAAGCTTAGCGTGAAAGGGTGTGGGGTTTTACATGATCAAAGGGCCACTGCTACTACTAGTACTAGTACTAGTACTAGTACTAGTCTCAACTACAACTCTCTTAAAGGATTGAAAATAGAAGATGGATGCCAAACAGGTCTGTTATCATTACTAGAGACAAAGCTCCTGTCCCAACTTGACATTCGACATTTTAATGACATACAGTGCTTGCCCAACATCAATCGTCTTCAAAGTTTGACTCTCGGGCATTGTCCAACGCTGTTGTCATTCCCTGAAGATAGCCTACCCACTTTGTTGACTTCACTTCAGATATACAGGTGTAGGAGATTAGAATTCCTACCTCAGACGTTGGTTCAATTAACATCGCTCCGCTATTTGAGTTTAGAGAATAGCTGTGATTCAATGAGGTCCTTCCCATTGGGCATTTTTCCCAAATTGATGTCGCTTAATATTGGGAATTGTGAGAACTTGGAATCACTATCCTTGATTGAAGAAGAAGGAGTTGATGAGAATCGCAGTCATCTCAATAGATTGACTATCTCAGGCTGTCCAAATCTGGTGTGTTTTCCCCAGGGAGGATTGCCCACCCCCAAACTGACTTCGCTGCAAGTTAATAGATGCGACAAGTTGAGGTCATTACCTGAATGCATTCACACACTCACAGCCCTTCGATATTTGATTATAAAGAATCTTCCAAATCTGGAGTCAATTGCAGAAGATGGGGTTTTGCCTCCCAACCTCCAACATTTTAGTATTGAGAATTGTGAGAGACTGAGGGCTTCATCTTCATCAGTGGGAGACTACTGTAACTGGGGTTTGCAAGCACTTGTCTCCCTTAAATACCTTATTATTGGTGGCAGGGGAAGTGATGAAATCTTGGAGACGTTGCTCAAGCAAAAGCTGCTCCCTACCACTCTTCACATTCTCCGCATCGAGGAACTTTCAACTCTGAAATGTTTGGATGGAAAGGGACTTGCACACCTTACTTTTCTTCGAAGTCTATCTATTTTTAGTTGCAAAAGTCTGGAATTCTTGCCAGGAGAGGCACTTCAACACCTCACTTCTCTTCAAGAGCTATATATTTATGACTGTCCGAGTCTCCAATTCCTGCCAGAAGAGGGTCTGCCGCCATCTCTTTCTTATCTGAGAATCTACAAATGTTCCGGCCTGGAGAAAAGGTATCAGAATAAGAAAGATCATTGGGCCAGCATGTCTCACATTCCATGCATCGAGATAAATGATGAAGTCATCTTAAGAGAATAAAACAAACAAGGTATGTACTTCAAATAACCGCTTTAACTGCTTTTCTTCTAATTCAATACAAAAACTGAAATTCAAATAAACCGAAATACACATTTTTGTGTTTTTTTGTTCTCCATTAATATTTCATCTCATTTCTAATTGCATGCATTCCCAGCTTTTTGTGAATTACATTGTCACTGCTGCTTACTGGTCTCATGATATTTTCTGATCCAATTTCTATTATTATTATTTTTCTCTCCTTCTATTTACTCAATTTCTTCGCAGTAAGTCTCAAATGCTGAATAATTAATACTCTTTTTGCAGGACAGCACTCTCTTGGAAAGCTTTTCATTTGCAAGGTTCATAGACTTTTGTTTTTCTACAGATAGGCATCAAATGTCCCACATCTTTAGGTACTCTTTCATAATAAAAATGTATTCAATGTCTATGGATAACCTGTGAGCTTAAGTTGTTAGATAAAACTGGCAGTATATTATTGCTGTCATCTTGTTGAAGATGCGAGCATGATATTTATCATTCATATTGTTCCAGTGCCCGGGGGGGCACATTCATTGGGAATTTTAATAGGTTCATGTCATTAATTTATCTTTGGAATTTTCCAGGTACTTCATGTATGTTATAAACGTTGTCACTTTACTAATAATGTATATTTTCTTAGTATCAACCGGTGGTCTTTGGTTGAGCAGAAAGATCATTCAGCAATTACAAAATTTTCTTAGGGAGTGTTTAAGCTTTGTTTATCATCTCTCTCCTTTTCTCTGTTAAGTCTTGGTTGTTCTAAGTTATGCCTGATCCTCATCCCCCACATCACACATATTGGAAAAGAATCTTGCCTTAAATTGCAAATTTGATTTTATTTACTATACTTGATAAATTCTGATTTTGTCACTTTGTTTCTCGCTGGGGTGGTCATTATCGGTATCCAAGAGCATGCTGATCACAACTTATGTCTGTCTGAAGTCCCAAATGCTGAGTTATTAGTCACTCTTCAGGATGACAAGTCTTCTCGTCAACATTTCTTCTTTTGCAGGTTTCTTTCAAGTCACTGCCCGAGGAGAGTTTGCCATTGTATATGGATTTTTGTTTTTCTACAAACAAATTGCAGCAAAGAAGGGGAAGGAAATGTTCTCCAGGTGGAGCTCTAGCAAGGAAATGTTCTCAATCTAACATAACAAGCATCACGTGTCCATTCATGATTAGGTAATCTTTCATCATAAAATTCCTTTCCCTACGTAATAACTTGAAAATGTCATTTATGAGTTTCCTTTGAGATGGATGAAAATGTGTACATATGTATGAATAACCTGTGAGAGCTCAAGTTCTAGGACAGACAATGTTGAGGAAACTCTATGCTTGGTCTTGCACACTTCATTAATGACTTGTTTATCTAGAAGAAACATTTGTTTATTGAGAAAAGATAGTAAAATACCACAGAAGTGAACAAGTACTCGTCCACCACAGAACAGGAACAGAGCTTATCTTAAGAGAAATACAACTATAAGAGCTTTAACAAAGAAATTATCCTTGAGCTGCCTTCCATCCCTGAATTGTGAATAAACCAATGCTCAAGGTGAAGATAGGAACCACACCCTATTCAGAAGCTCTTCCATCCCCAACCCCTTATAATTGTCGAATACCGTCCTATTCCTTCCCTTCTGATGTTAGCCAACTCACTCCAGCCTTCCTGAATAATACATCCCTCAAATTTGAGATACTGGCAGCCCTCAAATAATACATCCGTATTGGCGTATCGTATCGTATCGTATCGTATCACCATACCCGTATCCGTATCGGTGCAATGTAGCTGGGCAATAAACAAACAATTGGACGGCACTCTCCCTTTTCATCTTACACAAAATGAACCAACTTGAAGAAATATAGGAATTAGGTCTCCTTTACGCAGCAAATCACACGTATTCACCCTCTTGTGAGCCACAAGCCACACCAAAATCTTCAACTTTGTGGGAACCTTTGACACACAATTAATTTCCCTATTCATGTTTTGTTCCTGGCTAGTCCCTTTACATGATAATTTTTATAGATGCAAAGGCTTCTTAGGTGCTGTTGTCAAGTGAAAGTATATTATTTTATATTATTTTTTGTTATTAAACTATCAATATTATTATTATTAGTGTCCTTATTTATTTTGCTTCCCCATTGTTGTAATAGATAACATGCATGCCTTCTCATCTGATTTACTCATTTGCCAGAGTGGGAGGAACGAAGACCAGAAGGCCGGTGTCCAGATTTTCCTCATCTCAAGGAGCTGACTTTAGACAAAGTGTCTGAAGCTAAGAGGAAGCTTGCCTTCTCATCTTACTTGCTTGAAAGACTTAGCTTGTCGTCCGGGTGTGGGGTTCTACATCATGAAAGGGCCACTACTACTCGTAACATGGACTACTTATCTCTTGAAAGAATTAGAAATATATGATGGATGCCCAGGTCTGTTCTCGTTACTAGAGACAAAGCTCCTGTTCATGTTCCTATTTGATACGATGCCATTTCCAATACAAAAACTTTTCAGGTAGGTTGAGAAACTTTTTAGCGTATCAACTAGTCTCTTTCATATCTATTTTCTTGTACATACTTGTTGGTTGGAAATTAGTTTTCAGAAGCTACACAAGTTGGGGTTAACTAGAGAAATTAGTTTGTTCATATTCTAAGATGAATCTAACGATCCAATTCTTAATGTCTTGGGAGTATCCTGTTGGGCTGAGATATGCATGAAAATGGAAAGCAATCGAGTTGAAATCGAAAAAGAAAAAAGTTTGGGTTTTGATATTTGAAAGTAGGCACCTTTATATTCTTAGCACTAGACCGTTGCTCCGAACCACCCCACAAACAACCCCCAAAAAATGAAAAAAACCAATCTCGTAGTTACCATAATAATATGCCATTCATCTGAAATTTGAGAATTCACAAGGTCCCTTGAACTCACTTCTCTTCAACAGATACATATTTATGGCTGTCTGAGTCTCCAGTTGTGCTGCCCTGGAGTAAAGGTATGAGAATAATAGGGGAGAAGATTGGGCTAAGATATCTCACATTCCTTGCATCTTCATAAGCCAAGAAGTGATCATATGATATGAGCTCGTTATCGAACAAAGTTTTTGCTTTTCGACATTTCACTCTCAAGTCAAAGTCAGGCACATAGCATCAAGTAGGTCCCTTGTCATTATTCCATGTTTATCTTGTCTAATAATTGGATTATCATTTATTAGATTTATTTTTATGAGCTGCAATAATTAGATTTAATTAAAGCCAGTAGAATTAATTTCTCCTTTGGATTTAGGAGCATCTTGTTGAGCTGAGGTATGCACGGGAAGTGAAAGCACTCAAGTAAACATCCATATTAAAAAGCTATTAGAGAAAGCAGGCTTTTCAAAATTTGATCTGGAACAGAGTGGGAGAAAACAAATGAAGGTAAGGCTTGTCTGTGTTCTTTCTCTGCGCCTTTAACTTCTGAAGGACTCTAAAACGTTACTTGCTCAAAATGGAACAACAGCTATAGTTCATTAGCATTTTCTTTTTCTGTAAAAAAGAATCTTGCCTTGAATTGCAAATTTGATTTTATTGGTATTAAACTTGATAAATTCTGATAATTCTGTCACTTTGTTTCTCACTGGGGCTGGTCCTTATGTCTGTCTAGTCTCAAATGCTGAGTTATTAGTCACTCAACTCTGCACGATAACATGCCTTCTCATAAACAGTTCCCATTTGCAGGTTTCTTTCATGTCACTGCCTGAGGAGAGTTTACTGTTGTTTATAGATTTTTGTTTTTCTACAAACAAATTGTGGCAAACAAAGGGGAAAGAAATCTTCTCCAGGTGGCGCTCTAGCAACAGACCAGCATTTGGACAATGTGGTGTAGACGTCATTTATGATTAGATAATCTTTCATCATAAAATTCCTTTCTGTAGGTAATAACTTGTAAACGTCATTTATGAATTTAATTTGAGATGGATGAAAATGTATACATACTTGTTGGTTGGAAATTAGTTTTCAGAAGCTACATGAGTTGGGGTTAACTAGAGAAATTAGTTTGTTCATATTCTAAGATGAATCTAGTGATCCAATTCTTAATGTCTTGAACTTAGGAGTATCTATTGAGCTGAGATATGCATGAAAGTAGAAAGCAATCGAGTTGAAATCCTCATTGTATAGCTATTAGACTTGGCTTTTCAAAATCTGATGAGGGCCAAAAGTATGAGAAAACACGTGAAGGTAAAATTCTGTTGATCCTTACCGTGCCTTTCACTTCGGAACTACAGTTCCATTTCATTAGAATTGTTTTCTTTGTTGTATCGCTGGACTCTCTACGCAAGATTCCCAATGGGAATTGACCCAATTTGGCATGCATTGTGTATTTTGAGATTTCAAGGTAACTGCTGCTAATGGAAGAAAACTAAAGCGTATTGGGTTCTCTTTTAAGGTAGAATGACCTTATCATCTTCCAACAAACTCAACAAATGCATGCTCTGATGAGTTGAAGTTGAAGATTTTGAGAAAGATTGAAAGCTGTAGCAGAAAACATGGGACTGAGATCTCTCCGAAGTATTGCTCCACTCTCTCACAATCTCTGTTCCTTGTATTATGAAGCTTACAAGATTACTCGTTACTGACCATCATCACATGATCTTGCAGGTGATTGTGGGGAGGTTTGCCAATTGACCTTAGTGAAATCAAAAAAGAAAAGTAAGTTTGCTTTTTTACATTTGAAAGTTGGCACCTTTGTTATTCTTAGCACTGTTAAGATTTAAGGATGGACCCTTGGCCCACCACTAGCAACATCGAAATTGTTCCCAACTTAACCACCTATTTAGCAGGTGTGGGGTTTGATACAAAAGGTCTCGATGTTATTAGGAGTGGAACCATTTATTCTATGAGACTTTCTATTTTATTAAGTTTCCGATGTGGGACTCGTGTATTCTTTAACAAGCACTAGACCGTTGTTCAGAACCATCCATCTTAATCTTTCTAATTATTTACAATTAAGGTCC